AGAGCAGGAAGTAAAGCGAAGCAGAGCAGGAAGTAAAGCGAAGCAGAGCAGGAAGTAAAGCGAAGCAGAGCAGGAAGTAAAGCGAAGCAGAGCAGCAAGTAAAGCGTATGTGGACAAGAGGGGTTGTTGCATGGGGGAAGAGACGAGGCCAGATGCATAGGGAGGTGTTGACGGCGTTTGGTATCCTCGCAAAAGAGGTTGACATTTACGATTCTGTATAATTGCAATGCATGCTGCGAACCCTGGACATCCATCAGCCATCCCATCGAACGTTGCTGCCGTGCAGCCGGACTCGATGTGTCGAGCCACCGGAACCGCAACTGGACATGTCAAGAAGCGGGCACCCTGCAACGGTCAGCCGACCAGATGTTCCATGTTGCAGGCACTTCCACGTGCAGACGATAACCGCTGTCCATCATCACATTGTTTCCGAGAGTTTGCAAGGCCATCATCTTTCCATTCACGCTCCTCGCTTACCACCCGGCGCGTGTTCAGTCGGCGCAGGGAGAAGCGCGCACCCGTCGGCGCCCAGCAGATCGGCATCCGACCCTGCGGGCTGTCTGCCGAGGTACACTTTGGAGCTTGGCGTCGACCGAGCGCATGCGACTATCCAGCAAGCCGCAGAGCAGAGCCTCCAGCAACCATACACCAAGACGCAGGTCATCAATTGACGAAGACAGGCTATGGAGGCGCAAGATGGAGTTCACCCGGTGAACCCGCGGAAAAGAAGAAGGAGAAGAAGACTCGACCGACCAGCGATGTCGGCGCGTCTGCTGCTCGATGAGCGACTGAAGGGCGAGGTGGGTGTGTTGAGTGAGGATTTGTTTGAGGGCTTGTTTCGAGGACGGGGGCGTGGTGGTATGCTCTTCTGTAATATTACAAGACCATGAGTGTAGAGAAACTGATGGTAGTAGGAGCCAACACCACCACCAGTCACGTCGCAATTACCCCGTGGCTGCCGAGCTCTGTCGTTGCATCCCAGAATGTTCCCTGGACCATCCTGCCTGTGAGGATTGCTGAGAAGGCCGACACGTTGACAGGGCGGCCGCATCCATCGCTGCAGATGCCCGCTGCAGCACTCGCACTGCAGTCCTTCTCGCAGCTCCTTCACGGTCTAGCGCCGAACAAGACACAGCGCAGAGACACGCCGATCGAGGTGCGCATTCACCGTGTTGTCCCGCTGGGCTTGGACACCGTCTACGTCAATCTGGACACAGAAGCGCTGCGGAAGCTGGACGAAGTGCATGCCAAGTTCGGCGGGGGCTTCGTGACTCCGTCGAACGGCGCAGCCAAAGGGCCCCGGAACCGCTATCTCGACATCAACGGCAAGGCCAAGACGGCGCAGAGGGTAGTAGACCACGCCGCCCAGGAACAGGCATGGAGGACGGCGGTGCGAGAAGCGCTGCGAGAAGCGCTGCAGTCGCCGACTGTGCTGCACACCGGCGACCTGCTCCCCCTGCCGCTGCCTGCGCACCCCATCACGCACGTGACGCCGCCGCCAGCTAAGATCGCTGCCTGCGAGCCTGTGTCGCAGGGCCTTTTGCTGCCGAGTACGCGCATCGTGGTGCTGCAGTCCCACCGCAGCTCCAAGCCTGTCGTTCCGCCGCCTGTGAGACAAGCGCCGATCTCGCACACGTTCGACGACAGCGAAGCCGAAGATACCGCGAACGATGCCTTCTATACTGCCGACGAGCGCGGCGACTCGCGAACCGGCAGCCCGCCGGAGGACGAATCTACCGACAATCTCGATTCGGACTTCTCAGGGTCAGATGCGGGCGATCTGTCTGACGGATCCGACGATTTCATCTCTCTGAGCGCTCCTATGCTGCCGCCGCAGCCTTCAGGCGTGCTCTCGGCGTTCACGTCCGCTACCCCCCGTCCTGGCAACTTCCGCACGAATGGGTTAGCGACACCCGGTTCGGTCTTCTCCAGCTTCACGGCTACCAGCACTGTGCGGGGAGCGCCGTCTTCGAAGAGCAAGGTCTTCAAGGTGCATGGCTTGCTGCAGAGCATTTCCGATGAGCTCGTGCACCCCAAGCCTGGCAGCGAGGACGATGAGGAAGCTCGTGTTTTCGTGGATACCAACGCCCTGGTCAAAGTCGGTTGCTTCTCTGGGGACTGGGTGAAACTCGAGGCTTCAGAGGAGCCGTCAGGTCATCCGCTATGGAGTCTTGGCTCGTTTGGGGCTGCTCAAGAAGAAGAGAGCTCGAATTGGCGGCCAGTCAGAGTGTATGGCCTACCAGAGAGCATGTCGAAAAAAGTTGCGCGCTACCCAGTCAACAAACCTGACGGTGGCGAGCGGAGGATGAGCATATCGAGCTTTTCGGGCCCGGCGAGCACCTCGCTGCCAGCATACCTCTCTCCTGTTTTATTGGCGAATCTTGGAAGTCCGTCACATCTGCGCATCACGCCGTTGGTCGCACCACACGTGCCGGGCCTGCCGCGTACAGCTCTGCAGAAACCTCGCTTGACCAGTTCGTCACTGCCGCCGTCTGCGAAGGAGGTCACTCTACTCAAGATCTCGACGCCGCTGTCTTCGGACCGTTTGCTTCAGCCAAGCCTGTTCGCTGCGCTGAAGGAACACTTCGAGCAGAAGCGTCGTGTTGTCAAGAGTGGTGATCTGATCGGCGTGTCCATTGACGAATCACTCGGTCGGGCCGTCTTCCAAGCATCCGCAGAAGACGATGTGGGAAGCGACGAACTATTGTTTAACTCCAGAAAGAACGCGGATGAAAGCCATGCGGCTGACAGCTCCCAGCCCAAAGCCGTCGCATGGTTCAAGATTGGCAACGTCTCGTCCAAGACTTCGCAACCCCTAGAAGGCGAAGAGCCTGACATCTGGGGCGGCGCAGTCACTGTAGATGCAGCGAGTACGAAGATGGAGATGAACGGCAGCGAACCAGGCAAGGCACCCGCGCCTATTGACAATGCCTGGCAGTACTACCTTGGCGCGAAACGAACACCAGTCACTGTGTCTCAGAAGGTGATGGCGATGGATGAGCTTCCCAAGCCATACATCTCGCCTCTTCGCAGACGATTGCGAGAGCTAATGTCTGTGGCTACTAGTCCGAGAGCCATTCACCTGGGGCTTCCTCCAGTAGCTATCCTCATCACGTCCACTCAACGAGGGATTGGCAAGGCGGCTGTTTCGACCAAGGCCTGCGAGGACCTGGGCTTGCACACTTTTGCTATCGACGCGTTTGACATTGTTACCGAAGGAGGTGCAGGAGGAGGCGATGTCAAGACTGAGGGCTTCCTCAAGGCTAGGGCCGAGCGCGGTCTGACCTGCGGAGCCGAGTTCACCGCACTGCTCATCAAGCATGTCGACGCGCTTACAGCTGATCGAATGCATACAGCACTCAAGGAGATCTTGGCTGACTCGAGAGTACTGATTGCGACAACAACAGAGATCGACAAGGTACCTGAGGGTATACGAGGGCTGTTTACGCACGAGCTGGAGATGACAGCGCCCGATGAAGGCGAAAGAGAGGGCATCCTGCGCAGCATCATCGAGGATGCTGGTATCCGGCTGTCTCCTGAAGTCGACCTTGGCAACATCGCCGTCAAAACCGCGGCTTTGGTAGCTGGTGATCTTGTCGATGTGGTCGACAGAGCCCTCGTCGCGAAGCGCACCCGCATAGAGGAGCTCGCGGCAACAGCAAGCAAAGCGTCATCATCAGGCGAAGCAGTAACAATCAGAGACATCGAACTCGCCGGCGGCCACTTCAGCAACAGCCTCACAAAAGCCGACCTGGATGGCGCCGTGGACGCTGCAAGGAAGAACTTCGCCGACGCAATCGGCGCCCCCAAGATCCCAAAGGTCGGTTGGTCAGACGTCGGTGGTATGTCCCACATCAAGGACGCAGTCATGGAGACCATTCAACTGCCGCTATCCCGCCCAGAGCTTTTTGCCAAGGGCATGAAGAAGCGCAGCGGCATCCTCTTCTACGGACCCCCTGGAACCGGAAAGACCCTGCTCGCAAAGGCCATTGCTACAGAGTTCTCTCTCAACTTCTTCAGTGTCAAGGGCCCCGAGCTGCTCAACATGTACATTGGTGAGTCGGAAGCCAACGTCCGGCGTGTCTTCCAGCGGGCGCGCGATGCAAGACCCTGTGTGGTCTTTTTCGACGAACTGGACTCTGTGGCGCCGAAGCGTGGAAATCAGGGTGACAGCGGCGGCGTCATGGACCGTATTGTCTCCCAATTGCTGGCCGAGCTCGATGGCATGAGCGATGGCGGCGAAGGTGTGTTCGTCATCGGTGCAACAAATCGTCCAGATCTGCTCGACCAAGCTCTGCTGCGTCCCGGACGATTCGACAAGATGCTGTACCTGGGTGTGTCAGACACACATGAGAAACAGCAGACCATCTTGGAGGCGCTGAGCAGAAAGTGAGTTTCCACCCAAATCGTTAGCTTGAGAGAGTGAGTGCCGTTGCTAACACCCACCAGATTCACACTCCACCCCGACCTCTCCCTCGCTCGCGTCAGCCAGGGCCTACCATTCACATACACAGGCGCGGACATGTACGCGCTCTGCTCGGACGCGATGCTCAAAGCCATCACGCGGCAAGCACGGGCTGTCGATAAAAAGGTCAAGGAGTACAACGACACTCACGACCAGAAGATTAGCATCGCGTACTTCTTCGATCATTTTGCGACTGAGGAGGACACCGCTGTCATGGTCACAGAACAAGACTATATGGAGGCACACAAGGAGTTGGTGCCGTCCGTCAGCGCGGATGAGCTGAGGCACTACGACAGGGTGCGCGCCACTTTTGAAGGCGCGGGGAAGCCGGATGAGAGTAAGAAGCAGATCGAGGCGCCGCCGGCGACGAATGGAGCATCTGCGAGCGTTGCGGCCGGTAAGGGCAAGGGCAAGGGCAAGGGCAAGGGCAAGGCGGTTGCAACGGGAGATGAAGACGACGAAATGTTGGTTAGGACGGAGAACATCGATCTCAATGGGACGGGTGGTGGAAGTGGAAGTGGGAGCAGTAGTGGGAAGGGGAAGGGAAAAGCGTCTGCATCTGGGCACAAGAGTCAGAGCAGTGTTGATATCGCGGAAGGCGGATTTGGCGATGCGGGGGATGATGAGGAGTTGTACTCTTGACGTACATGATGCGATAGTATCGTGTCTGCGTCGCAGTGTTGGATGTATTGTGTAGTCCAACCAGGATGCCTCTCTCCCAGGGGACACATCACAGGCCGGAAAGGTTCTGAACAAGATATTATGGCGCGCAATTGTGTGTTCATGTGCACGTGATGGAACGCTGCAATGCCATGCTATGCTATGCTAATGTATCTCATTTTCGTCCTCGCAGCCATCCCTATCAGATCCACATCAATACCGCTGCACCCCCCAATACGCCTTGTTCCGTAATGTCTCCTCCTCGTCCTCGTCCTCGCGCACCACCCGTCCAATCTTATTCCCCAGAATCTCCACCTGCCGCTCATACTCCCACCGCGGCGTATCCGCGCCTCGCATCCCTATGAACCTCGCGAACATCCGCATCTTGACCTTCAGCCGCTCGATCCCTGACAACTTGCAGTCCTCAGGCAGCCCCGGATCGTTTGCTAAGAAGGGCTTGTTCCAGTCCATGGTCGTCGGGTACTTGTATGTGAGCGCTGTAGGCGTTTGGCTTTGGCTGTAGTACTCTGCGAGCGCGTCGAGTTGTGCTTCTGTCAAGGTGAAGAGGGAGAGCATTGTGTGTGGGAAGTCTGGTGCCGCCTGGCCGGTGACGACGTGTATTATGGGCGCAATGGTGAGGCGCATTTGGGAGATTTTGAGCGCGAGTTCGGGGTTACGGTCTGTCAGGGAGCGCTTGGTACGCAAGACATATTTGGATGGGTTCTTTGCGTCGGCCATTTTGGCGAGCCGTCGGTCGCACAGTCGTGTTCGTGCACGGTTTGCTTTGCTGACCTTGTGGCTCTCGTTTGAGGAGAGGGGAGGCATGCCCTGTTTGGTTGAATCTTCTGTATTGTATTGGTTATCGGTAACGTGGGAAGTTTGCTGCGGCCCGGTGTCGTTGAGATCCTAGATGTGAGCAACCGGCAGGGGCATGAGGGTGTTGGGCATATATAATGCGAGCACAAACGCTTAGAGCGAGATCTGGCAAGCCATCTTTGTTGGTGCTTTGCTCTTTGTCACGCACATAAGACAGCCTGTCTTCGTGGGTGTGAAGCGTGGAAGCTTTGTCTTGATTCGTCACGTGTCCATTGTCTTCGAGTAGACAGAAGACTATTCTGCACAACGCTGTTGTGCGTGCTTGTACAAGGCTTCAAAGGTTCTATCGGTCGTCGAGATTGAATGGTGGTAGCGCGTTGTGAATGGCTTCGAGATGTGATGGCCCAACCTTTCAAACCCAGATGCGGCCCTGGCTCGTCGTTTCAGAGGCCTTTGCTGCGAACGCACGGAAGACTGCCATTCGCTTCCTGAAGCTTCGAAACCGTGATGAGTAGCTGATCAGTTTCGAAGAGTGATGTTTGGTCTTGGTCGACATTGTGGAATCGCCGACTAGGTAGAGGGCTTAAGTGTCGAGAATTTGCTCAAGAGACACATCGTTTTCTGCACCACCAACGGGCTTGGTCTGAGCCCAAAATTTGCTGAGATGCCTTGCTCCACTGTGAAGTTGTTAGTCAACGCTGCAATGGATTACAAGTATGGCTCACCTGTCGCACAGCAATGTGACAATGCGGTGACCGGGACCGAGTTGCTTCGCGAGCTTCGTAGCAGCCACGCCTGCAAGAGTCAGTATCTATGCGCATTACGAATATAGCTCGTGACTTACAGTTCACAGCACTGGAGCTACCAACGAAGATGCCATCATGTTCAACAAGCCAGCGTGCCATGGAAGTCGCTTGGTCGTCGGTTACCCTGATTGCATCGTCAATGAGCTCTCTCCCAACATCGAAATTGTGGGTAACACGGTTGATGCCGATGCCCTCAACAATCGTGTCAACCTGATGGCGCCGACGTGTGCCTTCTTTTTCTTTTCGATCGAACATCACCCCGTACTTGACGCGATTGAACAGACCACTGCCGGGAGGATCGGCGAGCACGATCTTGACATCTGGAAGGCGCGACTTCAAGAAGAGCGCAACGCCAGAAATGGTTCCTCCGGTGCCAGCACCGCTGACAAATGCATCCAGTGATCCTCCCGTTTGCTCGTAGATCTCGGGTCCAGTACCGGTGAAGTGTGCGCGCCAATTCGCCTCTGTCTCAAACTGGTCGGCGAACAGCCCACGTCCCGGCTTGTCAGTAGAGGCCGTGTGTTCTGCTGCGCGGGTTCGTGCAAGATTGACGAATTGCTTCTGGTCCACAATTGGTGCTGGCTTGACTCTTTCCACTTCTGCACCCAGTTTCAGAAGAATGTCCGACTTTTCAACTGCCATATCGTTTGGCATACAGCTGGCAACAATCAGCAATGATTCAACGTCGAGAAAGGAGCAGCTCACATGTGCGCTTTGTAGCCACGTGCTCTGCAAATCGCAGCTAGCGAAATGCCAGTGCTGCCAACAGTGCCCTCGTAGATGGTGTCTCCGGAGTCGGGAATGAGCAACCCTTTTTCTTCAGCCTGTGCAGATTGTCAGTAGCCATACGCCACGGCTAGATGGACTGAGCTTACCATTTCGATGATACTGAGAGCAACACGATCTTTTGGGCTATTGCCGGCGCCGTTGAGAAACTGTTTGCATCGGTCAGTCGCCCGAGATGCAGGCAGTGCTAATCGCAAACTTACTTCGGCCTTGACTAAGATATCGCAGCCTGTGTATTCTGACAGTGACTTGATTTTGATAAGTGGCGTGTCGCCAATGCACCCTTCGATGCCCTCCTTGATGTCAACGCGGCCTGCACCTTTCGCCAAGGAGCTTTCAAGCTCCACCAACGTCTTCTTCAATGTATCCAAATCATTGATCTTCGAGAGTTTGGACAATAGCTTTTGCTGCTGCTTCTGTCCATCTTGAGATTGGACATTTTCTGAGGATGCTACCAAGCGTCGATTGCAGGCGGTAGTTAAAGCTATTCCGGTGAGGAATGCTCCTGCAATATAATACCTGGTGTAGTCAGGCATTTCCAAGATTGTGTGATCAAGCAAGTGGGTATAGAAGTGCGCGAATGGTTCGGAGCATGGAGCTTTGACAACGGCCGCCGGCTTGGCAGGGCAGGAGCGACCCGCAAACTCCACCACGTGCTGTCGCGCAGAGAGCTTCCCCAACTGTCGCAACCGAGTTCAGACGACGTGCGCTGGCGTCAATGGATTCGCCGCTCGTCACTCAACTCTTCCGCCAGCTTTTCTCGCACCGAGCAGCGCAATGCCTGGCCCGCGGAGCTCGACCAGCGCTCACGAGCGCGCGGGTACCCCAACTTCAGCGCCGAGAGAAGGCCACCAGATTGGGTGAGGGAGAGACAAGCAGGGAGAGCAGATGGACACCGAGGAAGAATGCATTCCCGCAAGAGAGGACGGAGGAGTTCGACAGATATCCCATGGTCACATCAGACATGCTGCGGAGCAGGAAAGAGAGACCACGGAGAGTCAAGATGCTGATGCGCGACTTCATCGAGGACAGCCTCTACAATCCGAGTTATGGCTACTTCTCGAAGCAAGTCGTCATCTTCTCGCCGGGCGACCCATTCAACTTCAATGCAATGAAGTCAGAACATGAGTTCTTCCAGCAGCTACGGCACCGCTATACCGACTTTGAAGATGCACTCGACACGCAAGAACCGAATGACCTCCGCCAGCTCTGGCATACACCGACCGAGCTGTTTTCGCCATACTATGGAGAAGCGCTGGCACGATACTTGGTGGAGGACTACAGGTACAACTTCTTCCCGTATCAAGACCTTATCATCTATGAAATGGGAGCAGGAAACGGAACCATGATGCTGAACATTCTGGACTACATACGAGACGTACATCCAGACGTGTACGAGCGCACGAAGTACCGAATTATCGAAATCTCAAGTCAGCTGGCAGACCTACAGCAGAAAGGGCTAGGGCACTCAGCCTACGCGCGAGGGCACTCAGACAAAGTCGAAATCGTCAATCGCTCCATCTTCGACTGGAACCAATACATATCCTCACCCTGCTACTTCCTCGCGCTCGAGGTATTCGACAACTTTGCCCACGACGCACTGAAGTACGACAACGAAACCGGCTCCCCATACCAATCCCACGTCGTCGTCGACCCGCGCGGAGAGCTCTTCGAATACTACTCCCGCACCCTCGATCCCGTCGCTACACAGTTTCTCGCACGGCGACACGCAGCGTGTGAATCATACCCACATCCCCTCCAAGGCTCACGCTTGATGCAGAGCCTAAGGAGCTTGGTACCGTTCAGAACAAACCTCAGCCAGCCAGAATACATCCCTACGCGGCTGATGCAGTTCTTCCACATCCTCGCGTCCAAATTCCCGAACCACAAGCTCATCAGCTCCGACTTCCACAAACTCGGCGAAGCAGTCGAAGGTATCAATGCACCTGTCGTGCAGACGAGATACAAAAGGCAGATGATTCCTGTCTCGACACCTTTGGTTCGTCCCCCATATTTTGCCCCTCCCATACCCATGTACTGATGAGTACTAGGTCCATCAAGGCTACTTCGACATCCTGTTCCCCACCGACTTTGAGGTCATGGAGCCCATGTACACAGCCATTACGGGCAAGTTTGCGCGTACGTATACGCATGAGGATTTCATGGCGGGCAGGGCGGATATTGCCGAGACGAGCACGAAGAATGGGGATAATCCGCTGGTGAGCTGGTACAAGAACGCGAGTGTTATGATTACTATGTAGAAGTACGCCGGGGCTTGGTGTGGGGAGACTGGAGGAGCTTTGTAGGAATACAATACCCAGGCGTGCACCTCATGCCGCTCAGATTACTGCCATGCTCAACCTCGGACTCTTGCAAGACAGTCGAGTGTTTTATGCATATCATACACTCCTGTATACAGTCATACGAAAGCAAGCTATTGGTGTTATCGTTGCCTGCTTTGCTGTAGGCTTAGAGCGAGGTCAAAAGATATAGACATTCACCAGCGCTTCTGGAACAGCTGCAAGGTTATATTTCTACGCCATGCACCTTCTTTCACCTCATCATTGTGAAACCGCCAGAGACAGAAGCAAAAAGAAACGTCACTCATACTATTATACACCTTATCACGTTCGTCACCGCAGCAAAAGCAAAAAAGGTAGAAACATTGGTTCATGTATTCCTATACCACATTAGTACAGGAAGCAGGAAACATCTCCTTTTGAGAAGAACGTACCTGGTGGGGTTCGAACCCACGGCATCCGCATAACCCAGATGAGTCATAAGAGTCTGACGAATCTTATAAGAACGGCGCGCTACCACTGCGCCACAGGAATGGCTTGCACCATTTTTGAACGCTACGCGTCCCTGTTTCAGGCAATTTGATGAGAAATTTTAAACTGCTGTGTTTATATTGCTGGTGAGCGCGAGCGTGAGAAGGAATATAAGGGTGAGGCTGCGCAAAGGTGCAGCGTGGGTGGTGGGGACGTGAGAGGGGTTGCGTGATTTGGTTGATGATGACGTATTGGAGGAAGTGGAATGGAAAGGACGAAGTGGCTGGGGCGGACGGGATTAGCCAACCAGGAGGCGCTAGACTCCGCTTTCCGACGTTCATCACGGTGCTCGTCTCGCTCTCATCGGTCACCCACGGAGTACATCTGTGTATCTGTGTTGCGATCGCAAATTGGCTTGTGGTAAGTTGGAGAATTCATCAGGAGCACCTTTCAACACAATGCAAATGCGTTCATATCTCCAAGCAACATCTCGTCAAAGAGCTCTATGGTTGGATTGTAATCATGTACGCGTTCACTATCGCCCGCAAAGCAGTCTACATGGTTCAAGATGTGGTGCTATCGCACAACTCCAGCATGGCAGGGATATGACAACCTCGCTGCGTCGATTAGCTCCTTCCACGCATCACCAGCCTCGTTCTTTACTGTCCTTTCAACGCCGTCTCCATTCTGTATCTACTTCTTCAGAACACGAGACTAACAACATGTAGGCACTCATCCCGCGTTTACATATTCCTTATACTCAACATGACGATCAGGGCCGCCAAGTTCACACCCAAGGTGCTCCTCAGCGCACCGCGCAGGTCCGAGGGCATTCCCAACTCGGATGCATCGAAAGTACTGTACAGTGTGTCAACGTATAGCTTCGAAGAGCATGCCAAGAAATCAGAAATCCGGGTCCTCGATGTAGCCAGTCAGCAGACCAGCCTGGTCACAGATGACAAGACTGCGAGCGAACCCACCTGGATCGATGATGACAACATCCTCATGCTGAACTCTGGTGATGACGGCGTTACCACTGTGCTAGTCGGAAAGGCAGACAACTTTGACAACGAGTATGTCACATGCAGCCGACCTTATAAAGTACTACTAACAACCTCCACAGCAACTACACAGCTGGCACGATTGAAGGTCCGGTTGGCGACCTCAAGACTTACAGACTCAGTGATGATGAGATTGCATTCGCTGTGTCTGGCAAAGCAAAGCCGGATGGCTCTTTCTACAACCCTGAGAAGGCAGAGAAGCCACATACATCGGGCAGGCTCTATGGGTCGATGTTCGTCCGGCATGTAAGCATAAAGGACCAAACTGCTGCTTCTTCGTACTAATCATGCCAAAAACAGTGGGATCACTACGTAACGGAGAACAGGAACGCCATCTGGCTTGGAAAACTGACAAGGAAGAATAGCAAGTTTGAGTTGTCAAAGCTGAAAAATGCTTTGAAGGGCTCCAAGCTCGAGAGTCCCATCGACCCATTTGGCGGGAAAGATCACTTCGACATCTCCAAACATGGTCTGGTGTTCACCGCCAAGGATCCTAATCTCAACCCTGCACTCCACACGAGAACTCATATCTATGTCTCTGCGCGCGCCGCTCCAGGATTCTGGAATCATCTCGATGACTGGTCTGAAGACACACCCGAGATCCAGAAGATAGAGCTGGCGAAGACTCACGGCTTCGAGGGCGCGTGCACAAGCCCGGTCTGGTCTAATTCAGGAGAAATGATTGCGTTCTTGGCAATGAGAACTGACGGGTACGAGTCGGACAAGAACCAGCCTTTCATCATCCATGACTACAGCAAACTGGGGAACCCGCCAACTCTGCTTTACGCGTCGAAAGACGGCAAGGGGAAGTGGGATAGAAGCCCCCAGTCCATCTCTTGGAGCCCAGATGACTGGCATCTGTACTTCACAGCCGAAGATCATGGGCGTGGGAACCTCTTCCATGCCGGACCTCCCAAGCGTCCTGGTGAAGATTCGCCTCTGCCAACGGTCCTCGTCGAAGGCGGGAACGTTGCAGATGTCAAGGTGCTGAAGTCTGGAAACCTCTTCATCAGCTCGAACAGCTTGATCGAAAACAGTCTGTATTCCTTCGTACCTGTGGGCGACCACAAGAACCACGAGAACACCTACACACTTCCCACCTCCGATAGCTCGTCTGGCTCAGAGTTCAACACCCTCACCACCCAATACATCTCCTCCAACACCCGCTCAGGCTCCATGTTCGGCCTCTCTCGCTCTCAAATCAGTGAGATCCACTGGAAGGGCGCCGCACACAATACATCGGTTCATGCATGGGTCGTGAAGCCCTCCAACTTCTCCTCCGACAAAACATACCCTCTCGCATACCTTATCCACGGCGGACCCCAAGGCGCATGGGAGGACTCCTGGAGCACGCGCTGGAACCCTGCCGTCTTCGCCGAACAAGGCTACGTCGTTATCTGTCCCAACCCCACCGGCAGCACCAGCTACGGGCAAGCCTTCACCGACGCAATCCAAGGCCAATGGGGCGGGCTTCCCTACCAAGACCTTGCGCTAGGCTTCGACTGGATCAAGCACAACCTCTCATACGTTGACACCAAGCGCGCAGTCGCCCTCGGAGCGAGTTACGGCGGCTACATGATGAACTGGATCCAGGGCCGCCCGCTGGGCCGCCACTTCAAGGCGCTGGTAACCCACGACGGAGTGTTCAGTATGGCGAGCCAGATGTCATCTGAAGAACTATACTTCCCTTTCCACGACCTCAAGGGCGCACCGTGGAAGAATCGCGAGGGCTGGGAGAAGTGGGATCCGTCCAAGTACACTGAGCATTGGCAGACACCGCAGCTTATCATCCATAGTGAGCTGGATTATAGGCTGTTGATTGGCGAGGGGTTGGCGGCGTTCCACACGCTGCAGACTCGGGGCGTGGAGAGCCAGTTCTTGACGTTCCCGGATGAGAATCATTGGGTGCTTAAGCCGGAGAACAGTCTGTTGTGGCATGAGACGGTGTTCAACTTCATTAACCCTAAGGTGGGGCTGAAGCCGCTTACGGGAGGAGAGGCTTACGAGGAGGAGTAGGACGGTGCTTGCGCGCGACAATATCTTTGAGATTTCGACTTTTCTAGCAAGCATTTCGTTGCAATGAATCGTCATCTACGCTCGTGGGCGCCATAAGCCGCAGCTACATTCACGCAGCGCGAGCTCACAATCATAGAATACTGCTTTGCCTTTGGCAGTTTCGTCACGTGCCAGTAGGTCCTCCAACCATCGACTCTCTTCGCAGTCAGAAGAGAAATCTTTTTGAAATGCTCTTATACCCCTGCTACGAAGGAACCTGCGAGAGGATACAATGCGGAAGGCGTTAACCCCTGACGGCGTCAATCGACCCTGTATCATTAGTGTGTAAACGCTGGTGTGGTGCTGGGAGGGACCATGCCTGTGTTGATGATGGTACAATTGCTGCGCTTAATCTACAATCCTCGTACACCCTGCTCTTACTGCTTCCCCTATTGTACAACAGTTGCCTGCTTTGGCGCTGGGACCTTCGCTGCTGCCGCCTGCGCGACTGCTGCGGGTGCGTTTGCGGCGGGAGCTTTCGTGGCAAGAGCCTTCGCAACAGGAGCCTTTGTGGCCGCCTTGCTGGGCTCTGGCGCCTTTGCCTTTACTTCAACCTCGCCTGTCTCAAAGTGTTGTCTCCTCTCACCCAGCGACTCGTCGTCCAGGTCTGTCACCCGCCTGACCTTCAGGTGTGCTTCCGCGTTGTGCATGCCAACTACGCCTATCCGCTTCTCCAGCATTCCCCAGATCTTCACCGGCGGTGCCTCGCCACGGAACAGCTCTCTCCCAGCGTGTATCAGTTGGTTCGCCTCAAACCCCCCAGGCGCGTACTTAGGCTCGTATGGCTTGCGGTCCCACTCGCCTCTCTGCAGTCGCAGCAGGTGCTGCACCATGCCGTCTGAAAGTGTGCTCTCGAATTTTACGTCGGCCGCGTTGATCTTCTTGTCGCCGTCGTCGCCGCTCTTCCTCTCGCGCCTCTTCGGCCCCTGCTCCCGGCTACCGCTACCGCCAGGCTTGCCATCACGTCCACGAAGGTTGGGGCCGCGCCTGCCTCCTGCTGTTGCATTACCTGGTCGTCCGGTATTGCGCGAGAGCTTCAATTGGGCGGGAGCGCGAACCATAGCTCCTGGCGGTGGCGCACCGGTTTTAGGTCCACCCGGCCCAACCATCTCCCTGGTGATCTTCAGACCGCCCTCATACCGTACTCGAGGAGGGCCTCGTGCAGCCTGACCGGATGTCTGACCGCTGGGGAAGTTGCCCTTCGCAAGGCCTCCGGGCTGGATACGGCGGTTCGCTCCGAGGCGGGTGATCTGGTTGAGGGCGTTGGCGGAGCGGGCTTTGCGGGAGTCGGGGTTCGATGGGGCTGTCTCGCGGTCAGAAATGCCTTTCAGTCGTCACACTGTGCCGGGAGCGTGCCGGGAGCATACCAGGAGCGGAGGGCGCTGCATCGTTGGCCTCCCCGAACTGGTGCGCGGAGACGCTGAAGGCCCTCGACGAGCATTTTGGTGTCGCTGCAACATCTGCAGCTAAGGTGCGCCGCAGCGCGCCCATTGAAGGGTACATGTTTCGCTGATACATGGCCGCAATGGGTGGGAGAGGCGGTGATGGCGTCGTCAACTTTTCGAGATCGCGGAGGTCTTGGCACGACAGGGATCTTCTGACGCACCACGTGCCCTCACTTTCACCATCTCATCTCCCTTGAGCTCACTTCACCCGGCCACGTTGCCGATAAGCAAATCACAGCCCACCAGGGTCCTCGCTTCCATTCCGCGACCTTTCTATCCGAACTTTTCACCCACAAAGCTTCCGTCGCGACACCCTCATCGTCACCACAACAGGGCGCAATATCGACAAACTCCAGTCATTCCCTCCTGCTTTTGTTCCATTGTGAACCCACACTCCTTTCCAATCGCTCAAGCCGCCAAAAGTCCCCAAACTCGTCAATATGCTCAGGCGCGCCCCCACCACCATTCAGCTGACCCAGGCCGATATCGAACAGTACGAGGCCAACCGACAGCGCAAGCTGTGGGAGCAACAACAAGCAAGCTCGTCGCAGTCCACCCAGAGCTCTGAGAAGCCCCAACAAATTCCTCAAAAGAGCAAAAAGGACCGCATCTTAGGTGGGCGCTGATCCCGACTCACGCGACGGGCGACGCGTTTTCTTGAACAAGTTTGCGCTTCCCATCACATCGAGCGCAGCTCGAACAGATTTACGCGTCTTTTTTTTTTTTTGCGCAGGCGCATTTTTGAGCCTGCTCCACCTTAGTACATTATCGTTGGCTCAGCGACATCTGGATGGCTGTTCTTGTTGTGTCTCGAAAGCGCGCGACCTTTCACGAACTTTGACGGCTTTGCACTTTTGCACTTTTGGATACGGAATTTCTTGGGGAATTTGGCGCCCACTTGCAGCCTACCTCATAAAGCTTGTTACCTGGTGAGCAGTCCTCCAGTTCCACAGCCAGCATTTTGCGGCTCTGTGGCTTATGGCGTGCAGGTTTTATACGAATTCACGACGAATTGAACGGCCATGCTTTTGCAAGAATGCCACCCCTCCGCGGCTCTCGGCTCTCTTGTACAGATAGGGCACAACGGCATTGTGTAAGGCACCTCATGTTGCTCAGGCAATCTCTTAATCACCTAGCGCTCACGCGATTTAGGCTCCTGATTACTCTTTTTGTATGGTTCTCAGGTCATGAAGTTGGATTCTAGCATTGTCTTGACGAAAGAGGAGGACTTGTACAGCGACCTCCCTTTTTGGAGTTTGGGTGAGTACCATTGGTCGGCATGCTATACCTTTACTAAATTCTTTGCAAGCCAAGCCCTCTTGAAACATTTAGCATAAACGAAAGCCAATTCCTATAGTCTCCTTACTTCATGGCATCATCCTTGTGACCCACTTGTTGGCCGGTATGCTGAACATCGCGTAGTGGAATGTACGACATCAGTGCGTCTCGCCGCCCCGCGCGACGCGAGGAATGCTTGGTATGAGCACCACCACGCCACAGCCACGACTATATCATACTGCTGTCTCACCCGGATGGATCCTTACGCTGGCGTGGGCAGGCTTCTTCGTCAAGATGTCTGACCACACTGCGGCGACCGCGCTGCTGCTTGCTTCTTTGCCTTATGCCCTTGCCTCAAGTCATTCCTTTGGTGAGCGAACTCACTCCAAATACGACGCCTCGCCCACTTCCACTTGTTCCTGCTCCGAACTCTTCCACCGTCACGGTTGTCAGTACTATTGTCCAACTTGCAGTTAATTCTGCAGTCGAAGACGCTACTGATGCCATTGAAGATGCTGCCAAAACCGTTGCTTCGGTCTTGGAGAGTGCCACAGATGCCATATCAGATGATCTCCCAACAGACGCTCCCTCTATTCTGGACCCTGAAGCAAACATCCTTCCTTTGATCTTTCCAGGAATCTTACCCGTAGAGACCGGTATCCCTGATGAGGTTCTCAACGTCCCTGTCCCGGATGACGTTAAAGGTATCGACTGGCTGCTTTCGAATCTTCCCCTTTCTCGGATCTCCCTGCACTGAGTCTGGATGACATTCCGATTCCAGATGACATTCTCAACATTCCTGTCCTGGAGCTTGATGAGAATGGTATTCCTATCGACGCACCGCTTGACGCTGTTTCCGATGTGACAGCTGCTGTTCCAGTGCCACTCCCTACGAGCCTGGATGCTTTGGGCGATTTGCCAATTCCGGACGACTTGCTCGCCATCGTCGCACCGCTCGACGCTATTTCGGATTTGCCCGCTATCACTGGTGAGCTCCCTGCCATGCTCGATTGGCCGTTCGGCAACTGGGAGATACCTGATTCGCTGACACTTGATGCAGATGGAGAGCTCCCGGAGCTGTCTGACTTCCCGATCCCGGATGACGTGTTGAATGTGCCTGTCCCTGAGGTCGATGACCTCGGCGTACCGCTTGATTTGCCCACTGATGTGGTCGGTGGCCTTCTGCATCCTGACCCTCTAGCTGATCTCCTGGTTTCGACTGTCGACCTCCCGCTTGCAACTGATCTGCTCGATATCCCTGTTCCCGAAGGGGTTGAGGATCTGGATGTTCCACTTGATCTGCCTGCTCCTACGGTCCCAACGCTTGGCGACCTTCCTGCACCAGCGCTGCCGACTGACGATTTTGGAGCTGGCTTCCCGATTCAGGCACTGCCTGATGTGCCGCTTATGCTTCCTGCGCCGGCTCTCCCTGCTGTGCCAGCTGTACCAGTTATCCCCGCCGTACCCGCTGTACCTGCTGTCCTCGCCAAGGTTCTCTTGACAATCCCCAAGCTTCTTTTCCAGGTCTCCAGCGTAGTAAAGTGTCAACTTTTGGCACCAAAGCCTAAGACACCCGCTGTTCCCGCTTCTGCTGTCGCGTCGCCTGTCAACGGTGTTGCGCTGGGTTTGATCAAGCCGCTGTTGAGCCTGGTCAGCTGACTGCTGGCTAGGTTGCCGGTCGTGGGTCATATTGTGCCGGATCTTGGAATTACGCTGCCTGATGTCACCAAGCTTGTACCCGCGATCCCTTCTGTCCCTAGCGTGCCTGATGTCGACGGCATTATGGGCGGCGTCATGCCTTCGTTGCCTGCCGTTCCCGATGTCGCCAACATTCTTCCCGCGGTACCTGGTATACCTGCTGTTGGCAGCATCGTACCCGGGCTTGGTGGTGCGGCTCCTGCGTTGCCCATCAACCCGAAAATCATCTTCCAGATATCCTTGCGATCATTCAGCCGCTGCTCAAGCTTGCTACTGGTATTCTCACCGCATTGCCTGTACCTGCATTTGTAAGCAGCATCGTTTCGACGTTGCCGGTGAACAACGTTCTTGCTGGTCTTCCTCTTGGCAAGCGGGATGCAGCTGCGGTGCTTGGTCTTGGCCTTCTGTCCATCATCCAGCCGTTGTTGACTCTTGTCAACACGCTACTCGAGGGACTCCCCACGCCCATCCCTGTGCCTAATATCCCCATCGACACGATCCTTAGCAGCCTGACCAAGCGTAAGCTGGAGAGTATCACCGGTGCCCTCCCTGTTGACCCGACAACCATTCTGGGCCTCGTCGAGCCTTTGATTCAGACCGTTCTCGGACTTCTCAAGGTCTTGCCTGTCGACTCGACAACCGTTGTACCCAAGCTCCCTCTGAGCATTCTCGGCAAGCGCCAGCTGGAGAGCTTGCCTCTCGACCCAACCCAGGTGGTCGGTCTCGTCAAGCCCCTTCTCACGCTCATCACCTATCTGCTCCAGACCATCACTCCCACTCTCTCGGCTGCTACGGCGTCACTTCGCAGATGACCTGCCAGCAGGCTACCGCACCCCAAGCCAAGCCGTGGTTTCGTTCAGCCAACTCGCTGACTCTTCGGTCGACAATGGTGTAAACCCCGAGCTCTCTGCTATTCCCGACGCGGGTGGGCTGGATCCGAATAACATGCTCAGCCTTGAGGGAGGTAGTCTTGTTGACGATGTGGAAGAGCAGGATCCATATGCGGATATCCGCAAGCCGTGGGATCCCGCTCTCGAGGTCAACAAGCCTGCTCAGGCCCTCGAGGGGCTTGATGTGACGATCGCAGCTTCTAAGAACAACTACACTGGAAGCAAGGATCCGTTCGTACCGGCGCTGCAGGGTGGGAGTGCGGTGGCACAGCAGGCGAAGGCTGAGGCCGCGTAGCAGGGGGGTGCGTTGAGGTGGTTCGAGAGGTTTGTTAGGCCGAGCTGGAATAAGGATGTTGATGCTGAGATTGTGGGGTAGGGTTTGAAAAACAAGGTGAAGATGATGAAGGAGGAAGAGGAGGAGACGAGTGGTTTGAGTTACTTTACTTGATGGAGAAGTTGTTTATGTTCACCTCCCTCTTGAAGAGGCATTAGGTAGCTTACCGGACTGAATAAATGAAAATGAGAATGACTGATAAGAAAGAACGGTCCTATCCATGTCGCATTCGACATGACACTGTCGTTGTCTCCGACTCTGCAGCCTACAACATTGAAGTAAATTGACGAAACAATCTTGCGATATCCGACCTCGCTGGGGCTCTGATTCGATGACGCTAACTCTCAGGTAGCAGAAGAAGCCGGCCACGAGCCCAGGTTTGTTAAGCCCAGGTAACCAGTCAGCGTTGATCTGCAGGCTGTCTCCGAGTGATAGTCTACTACGAGACTGCGATACGTTTCCTGGACTCTGTCGGATGTAGCATTGGTCTTGGAATCTTTTTTCAAAGGTTTGCATTTGAGGCTGGTCGCCGAGGTGTCATAGCCGGCTGTTGCAGCGACGCGGGCGGGGTGAATGGGAGGGTTTGGATTTGCGGCTTGGACGAGGCACATCGACAATGCCATTTCTTGATCTGGAATCCTGAGGTTTGCCTGTTGATAGTGTCTTAGAATTCTCTTGTGTTTGTGGGGTGGTGAGGTGTCGTCGAATGCAGATCAAGGATGGCAAGCCGCAGCCAGTGAGAACTGTGATAGGAAAAGCGAACAGCGGAAATAGATAGTATGGGTCAAGTAGTCGAACATGGTTAGTGATGCGGATATTCTAAGCGACACTCCTCGTGTGAAGTTGTACATTCCATGTATGGGCCGTACGTGGGGTTTTGTATATCAATTGCCTTTTGTGTTAACCAGATCAGCTTGATTCCGGGATTTCGACGGCCTGTAAGCTGGCAGACACGTCTATGAAGATGTGAGACACGGACATCCGGTTCGTTAACTGTTCCGGTATGCTCTTGTATCCCTCTTCGAGATGTATTCAGGACTGATATCGTACGTACCCAAGAAGCACATTGGCAAGAAAGAAGCTCATCTTGGTCATGCGGTTTGGCTGGCGATTGAAGCATCTTTGGTAGTCTGTAGGTGCGTCTTGCTGGCTACAAATCTGACAGACCCAGGTGCTAGCTGTTTTCTGCTACTTGAGAGTCGATTCGGGGGCGTTTGTAGTCGAGATCGAATCGATACTTCGGTGCCCTGGGTGATTCGCGTGCTGGTCGAGTCGCATTGTACAATCACCCTGTAGTGCTTACCGATCATCTCCTGGCCTTTTCTTGAAGTGACATCGCTGTCTTGATGGACGACTTGTTTGGAAGTTGTCGGATGCGACGTCGAGGCAATATGGCAATATTCAAAGTTATCGGTAGTTAATTAATATTTCGTTCGACCTTGTTGTTGTCACTCCCCCTGTCTAATCGACAACCATTTGGCTCTTCCTCGGCCGGACCTTGGAGCACTCCTATTGCCTCGAAGCTGTTTGTTATTAACATGGCAGATGCCGTGAGGACCTGTCTGACTGCGCCGCCATGAGTCGCCAAAGTGTGCTTCCTTCGGGAAAATCAGCGACGACATCCCCACTGAATCGCGTCCACGCCGCAGCCCTGCTGATCATCCCAAAAAGCGCCAAAATAAGACTTCTTGACACGGAACGTCCCTTTCGTATTGACACTGACACGGTCGCTCACGTGTCGAGCATGGTATGCCCGATCCTTTGGTAGGGTCCTAATGTTTCTCGGTTAGACTACTTAGTGATTGTTGTGCACTAGTGCAGAGTCGTGCACTGCACCGTGCAGTTGTATTTCCAGGTTGTGGGGTACGACTCGCGTGCAAGCGCAGGTTCGAAACTTGGGTGCAACCGGGCACTAAGGACTAGCTGAATATTTCAGAGTTTCGAAAGTCCAAACAAGGACATCGCGTTCAACACTTGCGTTTGGAAATGGAAGTAATCGGCAGTGTTGTACGATACTTCTTGACTCGACATGTCACTTTTGTTAGCTGATTTTCCACTTTCGCGGCGGCACGGCATGTTGGTAGGGCTGACGAGCAATGACACTGAAGGGGCCGGACTGTGCCGGCACGGGTCGGGCGTATATCCTCCGAGGGCGGAGTGCGGAGTAAGTGCCCAAAGGGGGAGGCGCCACGAGGGTACAGTGGCACAGTGGCTGCCTGAACGCAGAACGTTCCTGCGTCCTGGCGCTCTCGAGTCTTCGACGGGGAAAACGTCGCGACATGGCATGTCATTGCAATAGCGGGTCGGTCTTGTGGCAATTGGTTTGTTGCGAGAGGCGAGGTTCATACCGTGGTCTTTGTGCATCTGGGAGATAAAGTGGCTTGCAATTTTGTATTGAAGATGTCAAGGAAAGCTCGTTTGGGTAAATCAAAGCTGTGTGAAGCGAACTGCGCACGATGTGACGCATACAGCGATCTCGTAACGGCGGAGCTCGTAACTGGAGACGACAACGGACGGGACGATATTGAAGTACAGTAGCCACCCTTCTGGAAGTCTTGAAGAACATTGGCAACGTTGATGTCGAGATTGAAGTCGAAACAGTAGTACAGCGGGCCACTGGCGACGTCCAAGTCGCACTTTTGGTGATGATTTCTCGTGGCCCGAGAACACATTCAGCATCTCGGTACGCTGATCACTCATGTCGGCGAGCACCGATTTGTGAGGAGTGAGTATTCCTTTGTATGGCTTTATGCAGGTAAGCATATTCACTCTGGGTGGTGGATGTACAGCCGGTGGCTTACGACGGGGCCCGTACGGGCCGATGACCTTCCACTCATAGTCCATAGCCAGGACGAGGACGGTAAGCTGATCATAGATCAGAGATGTTGTGTTACTCGAACTCGTGTAAAGACCTGAGAACCCATGGAGCAGGGTCGGTAGATGCCGACATGTATACCAACTGGGGTCATGTACAAGTGTTGCTCTTTAATGTTGCCGGCAGTTTTCGGTGACACCAACCAGGAAGACGGCAACGATGCTCGTGCAAATCGGTGTTCCGGCCCAGAACCAGGATGGTACCGCCCGCATGGAGCAATCGCATGAGCAAAGAGTGTAGATTCTGTGGAAGCCCTGTCGCGTATTTTTCAATATTTGTCTGCATACAGGTGGCTCTGCCTAATCAAGTCTGCACAAAAGGCCCATTAGAAGCAGTTCTCGACCCAGGGACTATTAGGCAGATACTGCAACTTCCACGCTGCCTCTGATCGGTAGTTCCAGGTAGCCACCAGTCGAGTGAAGCAGGCGTTGTCGAAACATGGAGACTATTAGCTTAACCACGCGTTTGCGCTAGCCTTCGACCATTTGCATATAGAGATCTGGCTCCAATAAAGACGGCAAGGAACGGCTTGTGAGACCAGAACCATTACCCCACAGTTGGTATCAATTAGCATTGGCAGTCATTGCAGGGCCTGAATCCGTCAAAAGTCGCCGCCTCGACGTGGTTGGCCATGAAGGGCTGCATTGTCCGATAATCTTGAACGTTCACAACTACCGACCTTGTCAGTAACCAACGGATCGCCGCTCTACAGATGATCACCTCGTGGCTATCGAGGGATCCTGGGCATTCAGTCCACGATAGATCCGGAGCAGTTGAGAAGTGGTTGAAGTATAGAGATCATGCCTTCTGTTGCCGTAAGCGAAGCATCATTCTAGTGCGGGGAGAGGTTCGATGTTTGACGCGTAACCGCATTTGAGTTGACGGCTGATGGACAATTCTTCTGGGCAACGAAGAGCACTCCGTCCAGATGCAACAGAGCCGTTGGGACGGATGGACGTGTCAGTTAGTGAGACAAGGCGTTAATTTGACAACGACTTTTGTAACGGCTAATCACAAATAGTCGACAGCTGTATTCTCCATCAGTGTTTCACATGGATCTCAAGTGGAGCTGCGTACAAGTTGGTAAGTGAAAATCTCCGAAAGCATACTGATAACGTCTCATGGGAGATCATACGACTCACTGATCAGAGTTCGATACTACACAATGGTGTCAGACTTGGAGCTAGATCGAATCTCTCAAGCTCTTCGCCAATTGAGCATCTTGTGGGGACGCAGAGCTCAACCAAATCAAAACCGTTAGAGTACTGCAAGCGAAGGACGACGAGTCTGCATGCACGCCCAAACTCCATGCGTCTCACAATAGAGAAGATCCTCGGGGTGCTGGATGCCTTGTGCTGTCTCCTGGACTGAGTCAAGCTGAATGTCAAATTGGTTGACAGAAGGTGTTTTCTACCCTTTCCAAGGAGGTGAGCAGTGACTGTGTGTCATTGGTGACAAATACGATTGTTTGCTTAATTCTGGAGGATGATGGCGACATTGCTCGTTGTGGGGTCGCAGGAAGGCACTTTTGGCCAGGCTGGAAGGTGGGATACAAAATGGGTTCCACTAGTCTCTGTTCGGACAGGCTGAATCTTCTCACACGATCATCCCCTCTTCCGCGTAGGATTTCACGATCCTAGGCGACCCCAGCATTTCTTACTCAATAACACCAAGGCTATCCTACACGTTTGTCATACGTTTATCCGGCCTGAGTAGTGGCCCTTATCTCAGGAAGCTCACGAAGACATTGAGCGTCGCATGAATGATGACGCGCACTGTGCCACGACGGCTGGTGCACACTGCACACCGGTGACTGCTGCTGCTGGGAACTCAGTGCTGAACACTCCTTCGACGTTCGGAGAACGCCGGTGCGGGTACCGGCTCACCCACATGGGTGCAGATTCACGATGGTCATTGTGAGCTGAGGTGTGGGTTGCCGTTCACTTGACGAAAACGATTCAACCACTCAGCAACAAGAAGCAACAACACATCTCACTGTAGACAAAGGGGCAAACTTCAGCACCCTGACGCCGCGTGCTACGCAGCAGAGGTCCTGTAAAACCAAAGGACTTCCTTGACCTCCTGGATCACCTATGGCAAATGAGCAGCAACTTGGTCAGTCCACGAGAGCCGAGTGCAACATGCAGCTAGGTGCAATTCGGAACCCGTTACAGAGCACTTTATCACTGCATATTTCCAGACGTCTTGAGGCATCACACTCAATGCCGGTCCGGGTAGGGAAAATGCGAGTGTGTCGCTGTACATACGCCGCATCGAAGCGCGCTTGAAGAACTAATGCGTTCAATAGTGGGTATGGACCATGATGACCTTCCTCATCCTCGCGAATCATGAAGACTGAGCTCAGCGGTGCCGTCAGACTGTGTGCTGCCGTCGGGTTTCGTCTGGCCAGTGCCAGCTCCTGTACGAGACCTGTTCCTGGACCCCAACTTTAGGACCCCTGCACGGTCCCGCCATTGAAATGCTGCTGCACATGCGTTCCTGATGCTTGGCATTCTTAGCTCGCCGGGGGCATGGCGCGCTAGCTTTAGGGCGTCCCTTCTGCAGGGGTTATTGGTCTGCCCGTTCAACGGATCAACGACCATGAAGCCGGTGGGCCCAACCAGGAGCCGCCTTCGAGACCTCTTCTTCTTGGGCTTCTGCAGCCACCTTTTCTGTGCCGCAACGGTTCCTCATATTTTACCGTGCAACATCCCGTCACTCCTTCTTTTCGCTTTGGCCCTCGTGTGTTTCTACGATAACACTCCCATCATTTCCTTTTCGACTAACAACTTCGACGTCACTTCTGCATTCTGTTTCTGCTCTGCGACACTCTTTTGAACCTAAGGGAAACTGGCTGTCATCTGTTTCATCTTCCGCAAAGACCAGCAACACTGCAATCACCAGATCGAACGATAAATCGCCCAGTTATACCCTCCAACGACGCTGGGAAGCGTACCAGCCGGACTGCTCCTCCGACTCTGAAGATCCATCGGGATAGGCATTCTACCAGTGGGGCAGTACTTGAAGATACTCCATGTCGCGCATGTCTATCATCTAGTAGACGTACTGTATCTGAAAGACTCTTCCAATTGTGCTGGAAGCTAAGATGGACAACGCAACTTTAGCAGCGCTGGCAGATCCACTGAGAGGGCAATGCCCTCCACCTTTCTATGATATCTCTCAATTCGGCTTGGATGGCTGTATGTCTTGTTCAACGTCTATTGGAGCCTCACTGACATCTATAGTTGTCACCGGACGTTTCTGTGCACCGGTTGATTACATCAAGAAAGGCCTGATCTGCTGTTTACCATGCCCACTGACAGATTACCTATACCCTCCAGGTGAGCACGGATGGTATTCGTACTCGATCGACATCTACTGACCCTTGATCAGAGTTCAACACATGGTACCGAGCGGCAGAGGCTTTGAATGTTGCTGGCCTGATTTGCCTGGTCTTCCTGATGGCAACTTTCTTGATTCTTCCTGCTGAGAAGACTCGCCGACACTACTTGAGCTACTGCCTGATCATCGCCGCGATGTTTATGGCGGTAAGTTTATCCTATGAAGGACGGTTGTATGAACATCCACTGACAAGTGATAGCTTGGCTTCGTCATCCCTTTTGGAGCAGAACCCGAACAATGTTACGACCAGATCACACCCAACGACATGTACTCAAGTCTGACTTGTGCTTTCTCTGGCGCTTTCCTCATCTCAGGAGGCCTGTCCATTGCGGTATGGATCTTCATCCGTGCACTGTCGATGCACCTCCAGATTTGCTGGGATGTAACGCCCGGAAAGAAGTTCTTCTACTGGGCACAAGGACTGGGCTGGACCGTCACTGCGACATTCTTCACTATTACTATTACAATCACCGGAGTCTCCTTCCGCTTTGGCGATGTCTGCCACGTCAACTCGGAGCATTCGATGAAGGACTTCTGGGGCCCTCTCCTGGCTATCGCTGGCGGTGCTATGGTGATTCAGCTCGTAACGTAAGTTCCGAATTTAATCCTCTATAGGACATCACTGATAAAGAACCTAGGTTCGTGTACTGCATCAAGGTTTACCTGCAGAACATGTGGAGCGACGACAAGACCGAGACTCACAGCAGCGCGGGACTGCCTTCATACACAGGCAGCGTCCGTACAAGGTCCGCCCGAGCTGTTTATCACCGCGTACGAAAGGTGCTATGGCTTCAGTGGAGAGGTATCACCATCGTCGTTTTCATCCTGGTCGACGTCATCTTCTTCTCGGTCGTATTCATTTGGCTCAACTCACTTCAGACGCACGCACTAGACGATCCCGAAGAACTCCAGCCATACCTGAAGTGCCTTATAATGTCGCCCCTGAACCCGGAGCCGTGCTTGCAATATGGCCAGGAGCTGGCGATCAATCAGTCGACAGTCATTGCTATCCTGATAATGCTGTCCATTGCTGGGTTACAGGTCTTCTTTCTGCTCCTACGTTGGAGCATGCTGACTGGATGGGTTGAGTTCTTCAAGTCCAAGTTCAGCAAGAACCGCGAGTTCGTCTCCCTGGACGCCAAAAATTACCAAGAGCACCCCAAGAACTACGAGTTGAGGAAATTCGAGCAGACAGATCTCCAATCACCACCGCATGTATTCTCTAGCCCGGACTTTGCCAGTCACCGTGACGGCACGCCCGATTACTTCCAGAAGGAAACCGAAAGGCCGTACAGGAGTCCAACACAGAGTTACTCGACACCAAGACCGTTTTCTCAAGGCACGATCGCAGCATATCCACGTGTTGAATGGGATCCAAGAAGCACACATGCAAGAGGTGGACTAGGTCTGCACCCTCCGGACTTCGACTCAAAGATCTGAGAAACAATTACGCACGATGGATCCTCCGTGGAACTATCAACATCATGAAATTACGACCATGCTCGTTACAATGGCACAGCATCCAGCTACAGAGATGCCTGCCCAATCGGCCAGACAATGGCCCCCACAAATGCGCAGAGCAGACGGTCATAACAACGACCAGTCTCTCGCAGACGAAAGCCCGCGACTTTGATGTCTACATCATATCGGTGCGCTACGACGCAAGAAGCGTCACAGGACCGTGCAATCGCACACTCAACCGAACAGCACGACGGACCAAAGTGTTTGACCTGAGCAGCTGCTTCGTTTTTGTTCCTTACTGTACCACTTTTCTGTATACGGCTTCGGCCACATTCGACCCATGTTTCCTTGTCAGACCTACGATGTCTACAAAAATCTTCTCTTGCGACTCGCACCAAAAGAGCACACGCTCGCTTTCTCCTCCGTCTATAGAAATCCTACGCAGGTATTAGATATTCAGAATCACAAATTCATCATCATCAAAGACATACGCCATCCACTGTCTCAACATGTCCTCTTTCCTATCTCTGCGCCAACATAATGCCATCTCGCCAAGTCTATCGTGTTCAGCTACATCTGCAACAACGGGCTGGGTATGTAGGTACGTACCGTTGCGTCTGGCCTGCATCGCACGTTCAGGCTGTTCGGCTCTTGGCAGGTACCCTCATAATCTGCAAATCGCACCAAAAGCTGACGTAGGAGCGAGCGCTGCCACATCCAGTAGCAATCGATGCAAGGCCTCCATTGAGCTCCCCGTCTCGACTTGCCCGCTAAAAAGAATACAGGGGTGCTCTCTGCCGTGCTGACGTTCGAGCGGCTAGGATGGGATGGTACAATTGACGAATAGCACGGCACGCTCATCCGGTCTGTTTTCCGCGCGGAAAGCAAGCCCAAAGACAGGCACCAAGAACCACTCAACACGTCAACAGCAATGAGAGAAACAGGAACTGGGGCCGCGGAAAAGAGGGCCCCTGCATGCTACACATGTCACAAGCCAGGGTACCTGCATGGGTCGCCGGGCCCGGTGGAATCGAGGCTCGCGGCACAGCATTCTGTGTCCAAAATTGGTAAAATCCATTTGATGACAGTTTTTGCAATTTTGAAGACTTTCTCGGGGGTGTGTTAGCTGGTGGAAATATGCAGACAGGCGTGCGGTAGGATGTGTAGTTTGCGGGATGGGTTGTAGGATGCAGGATGAGGACGTGCGTAGCGAGGAGCAAGATTTGCATGGCCAGCAGAATGGACGGCAGAGCGACGAACACGGGTTTGGAGAGACGCGACCGGACCGTGGCTCGGTTTCTGTGAGTGTGGAGGTTGGCGCAGGATGGAACAGTCTGACAATTGGCGGTTGTGTGAGAGAGTCAATCGACGGAGACCCCTCCAGACTGCTCGAAAGCCCACAGAATCTCGACTTGACAGCTGTTGTACCAATCTTCACAGCCTTTGGCAGGGTCCAGTCGCGAGCAGTCCATACTGTCACTCGTTGGTGCTCCCATTTTATTGTGGTCACACTTGACCGATCTTGCTGTTCTCATTATCCTCTCTTGAGATATCCACACAAGTATCTATGTTGGACCAGATCGGTCGAAATTACTGTCAGAATGCAAGCTCGCAAGAACAAAGCGATGCGTTCAGCAGGAAGTCACAGGGGAAACGGGTACGCAAAGGGCAACTATGATCAAGAACGAACGCCGTCACATGTTAGTATTGAGCAATTGTCTGACAAGAAGGAAGCATCCTTCAGTCATCCCCTACGGAGTCAATAGCTTGTTCTGCGCCGGGCGCCTCATCCACCAGTATGTCTGCTTGCGTCTTGCTGCAAACTTCTCGGGCACAGGAACCACATAGTGTGGGCCGCCAAAGCCTTCTGATGCGTACAGTTGTCGACCTCGCTCCGACCCTTCTACAACAGCCTATTGTATTCAGTTCAGGTTCTCATAATTCGCATTGTTTGGGACGCTTACATCAACGCCCAGCTCATCGGCTCGAGTGAGACCCCACTGCACCAAGAGCCTGCCAGCACCCATCTTCTGGTAAGCAGGATCGACCATCATCATTTCCAGCGCTGAATATGTCAGAGTCCGGACCAAGAGGTAGTAGGCAAAAGACGGTGCTCAACTTACCAACCAAGTTTCCGTTCGTCTCTTCGATGACCTTCTGTCTCGGTGCGAAGAACCCATGGAACAGACGTTGCGCAAACTCTTTGTCCTCTTCATTCTCCCAATAGTCACCATCTATCTCAGGCTGAGGAGGGATCTCGCCAGCTTTGTACACGTTCCACTTCGCCGCTGCAACTATCTTGCCGCTGTCCTTGTCGACGACTTTCATGAAGTTACCATTAGGGTCACCATGGAACATTTGGAGCATCCGCTCACTTCCTATCTTGCGACCTTCTGGGGTGCCATGGGCAGGAAACACAGCGTCTACGTACTCGTGGTCGTTCGCGAAAGATAGAGAGACGATTTCGAAGACGCGTGGGATATCTGCTTCAGTGCAGCGCTGCACTTCGAAAGACGGCATTTCTGGGAACGAAGCCGATCATGTGTTGGAGGTTGAAGAAGGTAGCGGACTTTCTGGGATCTCGAAGTAAGTAGAGGTCGCGCTTGCCATGATCGCATGGGTAGGGATACTACACAATTATAATGGTTGCTGAGATGTATGGACCCTCTTGAACTTGGTTCACTACTGCGACAGACTTACGTTGTGTAAGAATGAAGGCTTCTGAGTGGCTGTTTCTATCTTGGTTGACAGAATTGACAGTCTGGTACATGTCCTGCAGGGCAAAAACGTGGTGAACGGCCACTCACAAGGCTGTCCGCTCTCATGAACCACGGTACTGTACGCATCACTGTACCAAGGTCAGTGGGGTCTGCACATTTTTGCAAGCGCCGATACAGCAGGCGATCAACTATCACGCTAGTCAGAACATGGCCTAACGCGTATTATTTTATGCACCAAGGTGGCACAGTACAGCACAAGTATCTTAACGTTGTCAGTATACGAACGGTCCGAATGTTCGTATCCAGACAAGCTGCGGCGATTCTGCCCTCAGTCACCGTGGCACAGTTCGTTGAAGAGGCGGGTGGCGCAAATTGACTCCGGACGATGCGTTGATGGTCTGCGCTTTAGGAAGTCTCTGTCCTAAGAGTAAACACAGACTGCTGACAGTGCGCATGTGTTCTACGCAGCCAAAACTTCGGCAGCTCACATGATCAGTGTCTGGACGGGTCTTGAAAATAACAACATAACACCTAAATATCATGCATCTCTGGACCCACGCTCTGAAGAGTGGGCCATTAGAGTAAAGGGGCCTAAGATGAACGTTGTAAGGCGGTTCACATATCTGACTTTGTTCTGGCTTGCTGAAGTCTTGTTGGGAAATTTGCTACTCAAAAATGATGTACGTATCTTATCGCGTAGCTCTGATCTCAGTCAAACTCTCAGTGACAAGAGCTAACGCAAAATGTAGTACTGGCATCGACAGAGTGAATGTGAGAATCAAGATAGTTTGGGGCTTGATCGGTTCTACGTTCATCTTGTGTGTATGCGTGATTTGCTTTCAGTGCCGGCCATTTCACAAAACTGGCAGATTAGTCCAAATCCTGTTGGTTTCCAGCAGCATCCATCTCATGTACAATCAGCTTGTCTTGCTCACCTGTCTTAGACAGAGCAAGCTTCTCTGTCTTCTTTGTTTCCTACTGCCTATATATAGGCAGCTTTCTGCTCGTAGATAGAATCATTAATATTCATCTCATCTTCTGCATAGTGCTGGTTCAACAAATCCTGAAAGTAAGTGAACCAGACTGCAATCAGTTGCACTGCCTGTGTGAAACTCGCTCATATAGTGTTTGCCCAAATGCTTATCAGCCTGCATATTATTTCCTTCAGGTGTCTTTTCTGATAGCCTGCAACACGATCACAGATATATACCTCATGGCCATTCCTATATCGGTACGCATACCTAGGTACGACTTGTGAAAACAAAAACATAGACTGAAATCCAGTGTACAGATCATCTGGAACGCGCGGCTCGACACGAAGAGGAAAGTATCATTTCTCGTTCTTTCTAGCCTCGGTTGGGGTGTCATTGTGTTTGATATTGTCAGCCGGTACCTTCACTACGTCCTTCTCTGAGAGGCTATGCGCCTTTCCCCTTCTGGCTAGCGCCCACAGCTCACTCCGTGTAGATAAACACCATGCAGGTAGTAACAAGACATAATGATTCTGGTCATTTTCTCCCATTGACAGATATCATACGCTGTATTCTCCTTGTAACAGTAGGTCAAAGCAGCTACATGGTCTTCGCATGGAGAAGACTTACCGTATCGCAGACTGGCGAATATGAGATCTCTCAGTCCGGCCCATGGTCTGTGAGAGAATCTTTTCTTGCCACGCTCGTCCTAAATGCCATCGTGGTGGTTCCGCTTTTCATACGCTTGTTCCAAACCACGATTGGTACCGTGAATTCAAGATACAGATTTAGCAAGGACGAGTCATATCAGCTCGATTCACAGTACAAGTCTGGCTCGCACATGAACTCGAAGTATGGCAAGAAAAGGAGATTTCATCATCCGCCAAGTCTCCCGATAAAGTGGGGTAGCGACGAAATGATTACGATGGATCAACAATTGATGGGACCAGGAGGCGGAGGAAACACAACCAAGGCTGGGAAAGACAATGTCAGCGAGTTTACCGCGACTGACCACAGGCCAAGCTTTGAAGTCGATGCGTTGACAGGCCAGTCCAAGAATAAGACGAAAGTCGGTGATTCATCGCGCGTAAGCTCATCAAACGTATATCCTGAAGACATCACGGTCACACGGGAGTGGGAAGTCGCAACCAAATGGGAAGGAAGGAATGCACCATAAGTAATCTAAACATTACTTGACCCGTCCAATGGTCTACCGTACTGCGACCCGTGCCCAACTCACCCCTAGCCTTCGGTATTACCAAAGATGTGCCCGAAAACCGCAGCAAACACAAGGGTAAGCTCTGTCTTTACGAGATGCGAATGAATGTGCTCCTTCCCTTCGCTTCCACCGTCGCTTTTTCCTTCCTTCTTCGCTCCACTGGGCACAGTCTGTTCCTCGACTGATACAGTTCTCCTAACGGCCCGAATGCTCCTATACGAGCAAGATGTAGTTCATCAATTTTTCGTTATCTGCGAAGCAAGGAAATCTATTGTAGTCTCCAGACTACTCAACAGCTGACGATTGCAATCCCAGCATACTTTGCGGACCTCCCAGAATCCAGAGAACTGCAGAGTGGCGACGCGGATTTTCCCAGCCCAGAACAGTAGACTGAGCATGAACATGAAGGAAAAGACATTTTCAGCTCTACTGTCCTTTCTGCCAACCAAGTAAAAGCGGATCACTTCTTCTTTTCGTCTGCCTCCCTATTCAGTCCCTTGTTCACTGCATTGCTTTCAGAACACCTTCCATGTTTTCTAAGATCGCATGATACCGCTCCTCAAACAACTTTAAACCAGACTCAGGCGTGTCGGCATGGCCAGGCACGTTGTATGGCCAGTAGATGGTGTTTTGGCGCGGCTGCTTGACTGGTTGCTTCTCTGGCTGCTGGTCTTTACTTGGAGATTTGTTCTTACCGTCAGAGGGTAGACAGCTGTCTTTGGCTGTAAGAAAGATATGTGAAGCCGTCGACGCTTGTATGACGCAAGTGAAAGTCGTAAGTACTGTTCCTATCTCTACACAATGATGTCCTCGCTCTCGGCAAAGCGCGCTGCATATCAGTGGATGGATGTTTGCTGTCAGAACGACCAGGCGAGCATGGAAGCACTTGACGCCTCATGTACAAGTATTCGTGACCGTCATCCCTCAAATGCCCCAGAGCCAGGTGACGCTTGGCAGTCATTGTCTCTAGCGAGAACGAGGTTCGGTATAGGTTACAAATGGAGTACTATAGTCCTACGAGACTTTGTCAGACTGCAGAAAACCTCTGAACTGACACTGAGTACACCTTCATGCCAGAGACTGGCCGTCTCTTAAGTGAAGACTAGCTCAGAAGGTGATCGCCTCGAGTTCAAGCTGGAAGTCGTAGAAGTCGCTCATTTCCTAATCCACTACCCGTCACTCTTCCCAAACCCCCTGAACCCACCAACATCTCTCCTAAAGAACTTCCCAATATTCTTCAAATTATCATTAAGATTCGCCTTGCCATCCCCCTCAGCATGCGGCTGCCCCGGCGCCGGACTACCAAACCGATCCACCCCATCCCTCGCAGCATTAACCAGCATGTTACCCAATCCCGCTGGGTCGAACCGTCCCGCCGCCAGACTCGGCGTGCCCATTTGCCCCATCACACTGCCTACATTGCTTCCAATCCCGCCGGTCGATGGTGGAGCCTGGAGTTGAATTGGCGTGAGGAAAGGCGAGTTGTCGACGAGTTCGGAGTGCGAGGGCGAAGCTTTGAAGGCGGCGAAGAGGTCAAGTAGCTGTGTTTGTTCGGCTTTGCGGATGCCCTTCAGGTCCATGATTTTGCGGAAGTTGGTGTCGGATTTGTCAGCGATGTGGATTAGGTATGCTTGGACGAGGGCTTCGGGTGGTGCAGGGCGGACTTGGAGGGTTTTGAGGAGAGGGTCGATGCGTGACATGGCTTGGTTGACGCGTTTCACGAAGCTGGTGGCGTTAGTGATTGATATCATTAGGCTGTGTGGGTGGCTGACCTGGCTGGTGGAGCTGTTCCAGCTTCCTCGTTGAGTATGGGAAGCTCTGTGAAGCCCTTCTTCAGGACGTATGAGTCTAGCAGCATCTGCTCAGCACCGGCTTCGGAGATGGGCTTGCTCTGTACGATGTTTGCGATGTATGCGTTGGCCGTGAGGTCGACGAGGTTGTCGCAGAACGCTCGCGCGTATTGTTGCTTGTGCAGCGACTTCAGTATCTCGGCTGAGGTCTCCTTGATGTGACGCAGTAGCTCAGCAACGTAGGAACTCTGATCGCCCACGCTCTCGAGTTTGCTCCACGGCGTGTTGCGCATCTCTCTCCATGTAGGTTCGCATGCTAGCTCGACCTTTCTAACAAGCATACGGACAGTTGCACTGGCGATACCCATAAATGCATCGGCCTGGCTCTGCAAGTCAACTTTCTCTTTGAACTCTTCGTCGATACGCCCTCTGATCTTCTCTTCGAGCTGATTGCAGGTGACATAGCAGTAGTCTGCGGTATTGAGAATGAGGACGGCTTCTTCCACGGAAGGTCCTTGGGCGTCCGGCTTCTCGCTGAGAAAATAGTATAACACTTGTTGTCCGTACTGGTCCAGGTATTTTGCGAAAGTCGTAGACAACTCTGCCAGTCTGCCTCCTGTAGAGAGCTTCGCACACTGTCCAAGGGTGAGCCGGTAAAAGTGGAAAAGCTCTGTCGATGATGGTATGACAGCTTGCGGCGAGAACTCTTCTTCGGTATTTCGAAGCGGCTGCTGGCGGTACTTGGGTATTAATGATGCCAACTGTTTGTCCTGTGATTCGACCCACAAGCTCATGTAAGGTTCGAAGGCTTCCGAGATGGCTTGGCTGAAGCCGTGAGGGCGTTCGTCCTTGGAGACGATGGTGTCCATTGACGATCGAGATTCATTCGAGAATCGCCGTTCTAGGCTGTGCTCAAAGTTGAGGGTCTCCTGAAGACACGATAGCAGCAGATCAACATCCAGTGTCTTTCCATCGCCTCGTCTCATGGACCGCTGTAGGATGCCCTTGAAGTCCTCTCGTGTGCCTTCGCAGTAGGAGTTGGCGAGCATCTCGTTGACGCGCCAGTATGCCGGGAATATCGCTGCGTGCTCAACATCGTATGTCTTCATCATGCGGTTAAACCACGAATAGCGTCTCGAGATGTTGTCCAATGATCCAGCCTGTACACAGTCAGCATGAGCACCTAGAGAGATCTCTGCCAATACACGAACCTCGTCGTTACCACGGAAGACCTGTCTGTACTCGCGCAACTGCGTATTGCAGTACCAGTTGACCAGCCGTGTGCGAGCATGATCGCCAAGCGCATCAATGACCAGACACGCCTCAGCCAGCATCGCCTTCTTTTGCGCAACGTCGCCCTTTGCAAACGTGACCTCGAAATCCTCGCACACCTGCTCCAGCAGCTCGCCCTGCACATCGGCCACATTACGACTTAACGTCGCAATCTGGTCGATCGACCTATAGCTCTTGAAATGCGCCACTAACTGTATAACAGCCTGCAACAGCTGCGCGCATTCGCGGTACTGGCGGGCCTTGCTCAAGCTCCGCAATTGCTCATAGGCCGTCGTCAGCATCTGCAGTCGTTTCAGAGCGGTCATAGACAGTGTGAGGTTGCGTTTTGTGCTATCTAGGCGCTTTATGTCCGCTGTCATGTCGGTGATGGTCTGCTCTGTTTGCATGGCCCGCTCGCGCACGCTCTCGATCTTCTTAAACAAGTCCGCCAGCTCGCCCTTGGCGGCCTGTATCCGTTGTACGCTGTCGGCATCGGAGGCGGACTGTGAGGCGATGAAGACGGCGATGTCCTCGTCCAGGTCATTTTGATAGTTGCGGAGCGCCTCGGAGGTGCTCGAGACAGAGGAGAGGGTTGCGGGGTGGGAGAAGATCGCGTTTAGGTGGCCGATTGGGTCGTAGTCAGCTGTGAATGGTATTAGCAATCATCCAGAGCTTCAAACAGGTATTGATTGTGCAATACCAGAATCCAGTGACATGAAGTGCAGTTAGGCCTGCATTGAGCCGCGGTCCGCAGCCAATTCCTATGCAGCTGCAAGTTTCGAGGGAGACCAGGGCCGTGGATATGGCGACAATGAGGTGAAAGGGTCTCAGTGTATTGTCTGCGTTATAGCACAGGAAGGAGCATGAGGTTATTCAGAGCTCCTTCTTGTCACGTCGCAGTACTCCCACCATTCGCGTATTCATAAGGGTCCAAGCTCACGCTAACCCCGGTCTTCATGTGAGAGCCGACGTCATGCAGGGTACAACAGATGAAAAAATAAAGATAGAACAATGAGAGTCATATGCCAATGTCGCTATGCTACGCTATGACTTTGTACCCAATCCGCAGGGAGAGACTGCCAACGCTCGTAGATGTGGGCTAGAGCAGGTACTCCAGATCATATCTACTGTGGGAAAAGACCAAGAAAGCCATTCCATACTAGACTGCGATCCTTGTTGTCAATGGAGCTCGCATCACCCGTGCCGGTCCAGTAGAAGAGACCTCCCAGTCCGTTCTGCCGTACGTAGTTGGCCTTCATCTTGACCGTGTGAGGATTGTCGTAGGTAACAAAACCGCCGTCACCGCCCATGCAGTAGGCTGCGCCGATGTGCTCATCGACATGCTCCTCTGAGCCAGGTCGGGGTAGATCTCGGTACTCAAATGTGCCCTCCTCGCCCGCCTGACCAGAGAATGAGTGGCCCACCCCGCGCGTTCCAGTGAATGATCGGCCGTAAGCCGGTACACCCATGATGATCTTGTTAGCTGGCACTCCTTGCCGCAGCATATACGATACAGCAGAGTGACATGATATCGCTGCCTCGGAGCTGTGCGGAGATTGCGGGGTGAAAAGCTGGGCTTGGTGACCGCACTTGTTGACCCAGGGACCTGAGTAGTCGTAGGCCATGAGGTTGATCATATCCAGGTAGTAGGAGGCCTGGTTCAAGTTGATGTGTTGCAAGGCCCATTCGCCAGCGGGAAGGGCTGAAGACAAGGTGTACTGAGGCCCAGGGAGGTACTGTCGTAATGCTGCTAGCAGAGCAATGTAGTCTTCACCTTGGCTCCTGTTTTCAGGATGCTCCCAGTCGACTGACAGTATCGTGAGCGGTTGGGTGAATGTAAGGAGTTGGTTTCAAGCTTACTGTCGATGCCGTCGATTCCGAATCGCTGGACCAGCTCCAACGATGATCGTGCGAACTGGTCGCGCTTCGCTGGGTCTCGAGCAACTCCAGCAAAAGGCTTGCTGCCCTCACCACCCCCACCAACTGAAAGCACTACCCGTAGTCTGGTGTACTTCTTCTTCAACTCGGCTAAGGAGTTCAAGCAACCCTTAGTGGCAGGAACATCCTCGTAGCCTGGGACTTCGATCTGAGCATCTGCCCACTCGTCGCTGAGCTAGAAGCTTGTCAGTGGGAACTAGCAGTTCGTGATCATGATCATTGTCGTACATATACTGTGCCATCTTCCTTGACCCTGAGAAATGTCAGCTAGTGCACAGCCATAATTGATACAAGAAGCAACTTGCCAGGCAAAAGCGTAAAAAACGTGAGAAATAACGTTGTAGTTCAAGGTCGCAGGTGGCTGATCACGATAGATACGCCAATTGGGATAGTAAACGCCGTTCCAATACATTTCTAAGGGTGGTGTTGAGAAGTGGGTGTCGTGATGGAGTGGGGGATAGTTGAAGAGGGCTCCGCTCATGATCGGTCCTCAATCTTCCGCTAGCTGCCGCTTAGCCGCGTTTTCGGTGCTGCACGTCAGAATACGAGGCTGACGAATAGCAGCCAGAGACTCAGGTTCTGTGGAGGATAAGAAAATTGACGATAAGTATCCGCTTAAGTCGTCCAAATGTCTGCTAGGTGTAGTGTTCAACGGTAATATCTTGTGAAGAGGCGAGGCTCCATCTTCTCAAATGCTGGGGCTGTTGATGCACTGCAAGAGTACAAGTCAGGATGGGTGGTGGTGAATAGTATGCTATTGGATCGAGTTGATCTCCAGTGATCTGGGTAAGCTGGATGTATATATGATCTGGTAATTGGCAGTCGTGACAGTTGCCCACCTGACGATCCACTAGAGGCAGAGAAAACTGCAAACTGCTTCCGAAAGGGTAAAGTACTGCTAGGGGAGATGCTACAGTCGCCATCTTCCCAACCACGTTAACGCCGGAGATGGTGCAGGGAACTAGCACATTATTGTGAGTCTGTCGTCCTTTACCAAGCCTTGACCATCCACAACACCCCTGTCCGTCGCAGTTCGCGTCGGCTGTGGCTTCGAGATCTGCGAGACCACTGTCAACGCTAACTAGAAGGGTGCGTTCGAGGTATATTGATGGGGTAGACGGTGGCGGGGCCTTTCGAGCTGGTCCCATTCCAGTTGCTATGGCTGAAAGCTTGACAGGAGGCATACGATGTTGCTGAGGAGTTGCACCACAGCTCTTGCGCAGTGTAGTTGCGAATACAGAAACGTAGAACTGGTTGTTTGTTCATAGAAGAGTTTGAGATGTGTGGACAGTGAGTCCTATTGGGAGCAACGAATGCGGGCTATCTGAGCCTCATTGACATCGTCTGCAAACCCACATGTAGGTAAGAGGCTGACAGCCATTTGAGCGGGCGCAAAAAAACTGAAATCTTGGAAGTTCAGCATGCAAGCAGAACACTGAGAGCTGAAATACGAAGCGCCATGATACTTCGAGCGGGAGAAGCATGGCTGGAGCTCTCAGTCGTAACACTTTACCGCCCTGCTATTCGTCCGATCAATAATAGATGGAGGTATTGGATCCGGTCACGGAGATATGCAGGTAGATCGAGCATGATGCAGGTGGGTGTGAAGCGGCAAGGGTCCAAGGCTGTGGGTCATGAATGGCGTGCAGATCCTTGGCAGGCGCGCTAGTTAACGCGTCCGCTTTCACAGAAGATGTCCAGCATCACGACAGCGATCGACCCGCACATTCCTTGCATAAGCCTGCAGTCCCTTCGTCACATCAAACGCCGGTACTGGAAAGTTCTGTACGCCAGCTTTCAGCTTCAGTTCAGCGTCACCTGAGCCAGATCCACAAAGCTTCGAAGCTATCAGCCTCAATCGGCCTTCCACCATGACGGAGGTGCAGACCCCGGTAGCACCTGATCAGCAGCTCGAGGAGACCGCCAAAGCTCAATACAGCTTCAACTTCAGCGACTTCCTTCGACGAGAATACAGATTTGGTCTCGACCCCAACCGCCCGTCTTGCAAAGCATACCTGCAAGGACACTGTCCGCTGGGTAGTCGTTGCCCTGACAAGCACCATGTTTCATCTTCATACAACAAGTATGTTCTATTCACTACGCATACATATGCGAGGAAACCATGCTAACAAAGTCCCCGTAGTCTAGTCTGCAAACATTGGCTGCGTGGCCTATGTAAGAAGGGCGAAACCTGCGAGTTCTTGCATGAATACAACCTGCGACGGATGCCCGAATGCTCGTACTACGCCCGGACGCAAACGTGCTCTAATGGAGACGACTGCTTATACCTGCACATCGACCCTGAAGCCAAACGACCATCATGTCCACACTACGATCGCGGTTTTTGTCCGCTCGGCCCATACTGTGCGCTCAAACACAACAAGAAAGAGAGAATATGCCCATTCTACCTCTGTGGATTCTGTCCAGCAGGGTCACAGTGCAAAGATGGAGCGCACCCAAGATTTCCTACAGATCTTAAGAAGCCAGAGGTTCGCATCGAGAAGAGTCCAGAGGAGCTTGAGGCAGAACGTGCAGAGCGAGAGCGAGAGATGATGAGGAGGGAAGAGGAGGAGCGAGAGCGCGATGATGGACGAGGGTTCCGCGGCGGGCGAGGTGGAAGAGGTGGATGGAGAGGAAACAAGCGTGGAGGTCGTGGAAGAGGCAGAGGGCGGGGAGATCACTAATCGAACTCTACTCCTTTATCTGAAAATTCAAGGATGAAGACGTTGCGCAAGAAAGACTCGCAGCTTAGTGCATTCAAAAGTTATATACCCCAATCTGAAAGAAGATTACAGCTCTTGCTGCAGCCTGTTTTGCATCAACAAAGTGTTGCATCTGTTTGTATTACACACACCGAGCACACCACCACTGCCAACTTGCACGGCATTGCCCAGATAGGCCCAGAAACTATCGTATTCACTAGCGCAGCAATCGCCTATGACGTACCCACACTCTATCCACTCCGATGCCAGCGGGACGACCCCTCTGTCCAACTTCATCGCCAAGTATACAGAAAGCTTGTTCCCTGCATCCCTACCTCGCATATACTAAACCTCTCAAATCGGATCAGTAAAGATGGGTTATGATCAGGCAGGCGTCACTCGCTCCCTCAACACCATCCAGAATGAATTGCAATACCTTGCCTCACAGGGCGTCATTGCACCTCCACAGATGCAGTCAATTCAGGCCCAATTACCGGTATATTAGTTTCTAGTGCATGATCTTCAAAATCATTGACGGAACATAGCAACCGAACGGCCAGCCATCCCAATATATTGACCCCCGATACGTCAATGGCAACCAGCAATTCAACCCGGCCCTGATCGCACAGCAAGCTCAGGATCCTAACAACCCTGCGCATCCCCAAAACCCAAAGGTGGGATATGGCTCCAGACGAAAGACTAGAATGAAGAAAATCCTGAACTGATTCTTTGTGTAGCACCATGAGTGGGCAGGGAAGCTGGCCCACAAGTTCGGCAACGCGGCGGTCTACGGAGCGGGTGCGACGTTTGGTGCTGATTTGGTGAACGATGTGATGAGGAAGTTCTAGAGCCTTAGGCCATTCGAGCAGTCTATAGATAAAATTGATGTGTAGAAGATACTCGAGATGACTGTGTGCATCGAATGCCTCCAGTTCCGTTCCTGAACAGATTGTTCAGGACAATTCAGGTAGTTTACTAATTGTGAGGTTCAAGTCGAATGACCTCTCAATATTGCGATCAATTCGAGACATCCTATCAGTTAATGCTCTTCCTTCCTACTGCTTTCGAGCATCGGATCATAGGAGATCGCGACATCATAGGAGGTGCTCGTGGTGTTGATGAAGGGTCGAACTCTCAATGGCTGCATGCGTGGAACAGCCCCACTTCGCGCCCTTGTGTCCACACCCGAAAGCGGCGACTGGCCTGATCGCGTTCCTCCATCAACACCTTACCTCAACATCATCCCCAGCAGGTACTTGCGAACAATGCGCACAAAAGCTTTGCGATACCCTTGGTGCAGACTAACATCAGGTGCTCATCATGCATGCAATCACGATCTGCTGTTTGTGACCATTCATCGGACACGAAGGTAACCTCAACTCTTCAATTGCAGCATAATCTCTCATTCCTCAAAAAAGCAGAGGCTGGACTCGCAACACCTGTAACGTATCTCGATAAGGGACCGTTATTTTGGCAAGTGTAACAAGCCGAGCAGCGTTCGAGATGCGTGCGGTGATGCAACCTGACAGGTCCGATTGTTTTGGGTCTTTATTCTACATTTGACATACGCCAGTATTGAGCAGATGTACTCAGCCACGTGCGATGGCGTCCTAGAAGGGGACTAGGGTAAAGTCATCTTTACTCTTCTCCAGCACCGTTCGCGAAAGTTAAGGAATGGGCCCACTGCAGAGACCGTCTCCGGACAGGCAAATTATGCTATATTCTTCTTCACACTTACAGGGAATGGAGCGACCAGTGCGATCATTCAAGTCTCTCATTCGTGCTACATCTCCGCGCACGAGTCCTGAGAAACCTTTACCACCCGTACCGCCACCGCTGCAGAAGAATCCATCCTCATCATCAATAACCACTATTCAGACTCGAAGTACTGAGCTGTCCTTGTGGGAAGTCCCATCCAATTGGGCTATGACGACGGCTTCCAAGCTCCATCAACGCCTTCTTTCGCTCTTTGACATTATTCTGCCCTAATACCAGAGCCACCGGAGGATATCGCAGCGATGCAGATGGACCCTATTCTCTGGCAATAGGGCAACGGCCCTTTCCAACAAACGCCATTGGATCCTATAAATGAGCATACTGCGATCACTCCAGTATTCTACCTCGAACCCCTTCCAGACTATCCCTGTCGTTGTCACACACAGCGACAACCAGAAAGAACTCCAAAGATACTCTGCCATCAGTCAGCTCAAGATACTCGACGGGCACACAGGGCGAAGAGATGTTGGAGGAAAGCATTGAACCTGTTTTTGGGAGCGAAGCCAACACCGACCTGTCATCACCTCTGGATCTCGTCTCTGCTCTTTCAGACATGACGATGAAGGAGAAGCATTCAATTTACTAGGTTTGGGATTGCCGCGTGACCAGGAAATCGTATGGGGAGGCCAGCATCAGCGATCAGACTCTGTGCAGCTCGAGGATGATCCTCACCTAGATCTGCAGGGCAATAAGCTCACAACATTCAGGAGAAGGAGCGTCCTGACAGACGATAGTCCTGTCAGCCCGGAAGATCCAGAGATCGGCGACAAGATGCAAGCTTTGAGCTTCGCTCAGGACTACCACAATGTTCTTGCAGACCAATCTCTCGATGATCATGATCAGTCTGAACAAGATGCTCCACCAAGCACACCCCCCAAAGGTCATTGTATGACTCCACGACTATTGACGCGGAGGAAAGAGTCAGGCGGCTCACCGCCAGCGGAGGCCCCTCAACGCCCTCAGCTGCCACCCACTTCCTCATCAGGACAGTACAAGAATCTCAGAAAGATGAGCTCATGGGTCAATCATCGCCTGAGAAAAGATTCGCAGACCAGAGTCAACCACAAATCCGTAAGCGATCCGGAAGCGCTTTCGCATAGTCAGCTAGTGCCACTGATCGACGTTGGGGGCCAAAACTGTGCCGCAGCACCGGCTACCAACATGGCTAGCTCCTGCTTTGTTGCACACTCCGATTGGCTGCATGCTCTCCAAATGATTGACCACCATGCATAGATCCAGCCCATGCTTACAGGGTACGAGATGAGATATTCTCGTTTGGGCCTGCGCATGTCAGCGCGATGAAATAATATTGCTGAAGACCTCCGAGCTCTTCCTGCTCACTCTCCGCTCACCAAGCGCCCAAAATGTCTCCAAACCTTCTCCACGCCCGTCAAGAACCCCAACCCCTCGCAACAACCCTCATCCAACCCACCACCACACTCGCTCTATCCACAACCTTCACACCTCCGGCATCATGCGCGCTCCCCTCACAAATCAACATCCTTCCTCCACCCGGCTACCTAATCTGGTGGAACGAGCCTGTCCCATACACAAGCATGACCATCAGCTCCTGTTACCCTCCCGAATTTTTGACTTCCTACACTTCAATCGCGCCAACCACAGCGCGTGCCCTCGGGTCCTCAATAGTGCCAGCCATGAGTCCCTTGGTCTGCCCCGAGAACTTCTGCACACAGTATGTTGGAGACAACAACTACATCGCGTGCTGTCCGAGCGGATACAAATTTGCGACAACGGGGACGCCGGTGATGAGTAACCGGCCTGCGTATGGTGGAATCTGCTACACGGACATACCGATTAGTCAGGAGTTGACGGCGGTGATGTACGACTCTACTGGTTCAGCGCACCAGGAGGTGTGGGCACCCAGTACGACTGGGGCGCAGGGGTGGGCGCATCCTATTGATGGGTGGGCGGCGAGTAGCGCTGTGGTAGGATGTACGGTCAAGCGTGCAACATCGAGTGGTGGAACGAGTTCGTCTTCAGTAGCGACGTCTGATGCCGTGAGTACCATTGTGTCTTCGACGAAGGAGAAAGCGAGGAAGGCACCGGGCGGCGTGATCGCTGGTGCTGTGCTGGGGGCACTTGTTGCGCTTGCTGCGATTCTTGCGCTAGTTCTGTTTCTATTGCGCCGGAGGAAGCGTGCGAAACAGGATGTTGGCGGTGGAGAGCAGATGTCGCAGAGTGATGATGGCACGCCCCATCAGGTGGAGGGCGCGCAGATCCACCAAAAAGATGGGGACACTGCGCGTGTGGAGGTGCATGCTGTCCCTTCTATGGCCGAGCTGGACTCAAGCAGAGGCGGCGGCACTCATGAAATGGGGACAGGGCCGGAGCGTGTGTCTGAATTGCCAGCTGGAAATGATGGGCGGGTGGACAAAAAGCATGCTCTATAGGCAACAAGATGTATGAAGAAGGTTCATTGGCATCGTTTAAGTATCGGTGGGGTAAACGTGGGTATCATTGCCTGCGAAGTCGAACATGAGCGCTAGAGGTCGTCAGATGGACAGACCGACTAGTAGAGAAAGAGACTTTGATCATCTCAGCGGTTTTCTGCCATACACAACAGTCCCTGGCAAATATGCATGCGCCCTGTAGCTCTTCAGCTCTTTTCGCATTTGCGCCAGGTGCACCTGTGCCCTCGAGATGCTCCAACCACCGACTTGTGTGAGCAACCTCAACATAAATCCCTCAATCCCATCATGCAACCGCAGTTGATTCCACCTGCCAATGTTCTTCATCTTCTTGTCTTGGCTCCAACCGTTCATGGGCCATTTATACCCCACCTCAACAACATCGACAAACCCAGCTCTTTCCATCCTCTCTTTCGCCTCTTCCCATATCGTAAAGCTTTTGCCAAATCGATCGCCCATCTCAATCACTGTCTTACCCCATGTATGGTAGAAATGATCTGGCCCCATCGTCCCATCGTCTGCAATCGGTTGCACAGAGTGTTCTACGATTTCGATCCAGCCACCTGGTTTTGTGTGCTTGTACGCTTCTTGGAAAAAAAAGTCCCAGTCTGGTATACACCCAAATAGCTCGCGAATGTGTATGAAGTCGAAGTGATCTTCTGGAAATGTCCAGTCTAGCGATACGTCGTCGATCTCAAAGCGACAGTTTGGCGGTACCCATTCGGGCTGGATGGGCGAGAGGTCGGTGCCGGTGACGGCTGCGGAGGGATATTGATCAGCCATGTCGATGGCCCATATGCCTGTCCCTGTGCCAACGTCGAGGATTTGCTGGGGATTTTGTATGGGTGCTAGGTGTAGTTTCTGATCGAGGGTGAGGAGGTACATGTGGTGTGCGAAGTCGAGTATCTCCTTTGCGGGCTCGTCATTAGGTCCCCAATATGCGCCATCTCGATATGCGTGGTACTGTCGCCCATTCTCTATTCGGTGGTTGAGGATGTTGGAGGCGAGGGAGTCGGTTTCGTCGCCCACAAGGCTGCCGCTGTCGAAGCCTGAATCAGAGGCAAAGTCAAAGACCTGCTCCTCCTCTTCTGGCGTTGTCTCGTCGACATGCTGGCCAAGTTGTGGTGAATCAATGGGCACGTGCAGGTCAACACCACTGTCCTGGCCGCTGGGGTGCTGCCCTATGGGGCTCGTTGTAGCCATAGTAGGCAGGTCCGGAGATATGGTTCCGGTGGAGCGATCGCGGTGGAGAGAGGGTTATTGTTGTCTCAAGCCGCACGGGGGAGAGCAATCACATTATGACAAGCCGATCAGCCGGACGTGTCTCCGTCGATATTTCTCGCTGTCATGCGCGGCGGGAGCTGTCTGGCTATATTAAACGGCAACGAGCGGGCTGGTGGGCAGCTGCTGGCCGCGCCGCAAGTTAGAGTATGTCGCTCGCCCATGGCGGGAACTAGGCGAAGGGTCTCCGCTTTGCGATGTGCCAGCAACCAGTGACGGGGGCGCAGCTGTGTCGCCATCCCGCTAGGAGACGGCCGGCGCAGGCTTTCTGCGAAATGGCGTCCTCGTCCGGTGCATTAGAGACAGAGGGGGCGACGCACCATTGGCCTCTAGCGGGTTGATAGACGTACCGAAAGAAGGGCCGCGTCGATGGTTCGCTGGGATGCTGGACCGAGCAGCCAGCGATAGGTGACATCGTCAGGAGACCGCAAAGCTTCTGTCAACGACACTGGAGGCTGTTCGAAAGGTTAAAATCATCGCGCATAGGAGCGCCGCCATACTGAAATCGCAATGGCAGAAGGAGCCATGAATAGTAGCGCCCCACGCCAGCTGCCTGTGCTGATCGTTGGATCCGGTGCGTGCATCAATGCTTGTTCTCCATGCTGTGTGACCGTAACTGACTTGAGTTGCAGGCAGCACAGGACTTGCGCTTGCGCAGGGACTTCGAAAGGTAAGTAAGACGAGGTTTCGCTGTGCTACAAAGTCACGATACAGCATTATGTCATCCCCGCTCACCGTTCAGACGGCTGTCGCTAGAAGTTCAGACGAGGCTGACAACACCAGGCTGGCATACCATGCACTGTCTTCGAAAAGAATGCATACCACCATGGAGAAAGAGACTGGAATATGGGTCTGCATTGGGGTGCACCGATCCTTAAAAGTCTCGTGCCAGACGGCCAATTCGACGAGAAGGTACAGAGCCTCCAAGTCGACCCTTACGTGCCCACAAAAGAACTGGATGACTTGATCTGGCTGAGAGGCGACACCGGCGAGCGACTAGCAACGATCACATTCGGCCCCTTCTATCGCCTGCGGCGAAGTAAACTGCGGGACTTCTTGTCTCAAGACCTCGACATTCAGTACGGCAAGCACCTCCAAAATATTACCTATTCCTCAGACGGCCAATCTGTTACTGCTCACTTTGCAGACGGCACCTCCACCACAGGCTCCTTACTAGTCGGTGCAGACGGTGCACGCTCAACAACCCGCTCGCTCCTCCTTGGCCCAGAACTAGGCGCCATAAACCACATCCCCTACTGCGCGACCTTCATCCAGCAGAAGTTCACCACAGAACAAGCCCTCTACCTCCGCTCCTTCCATCCCCTCTTCCTCGCTTCCGCGCACCCGAACAACACATTCGCCTTCTTCGGCATGCACGATGCCCCCGACCCCGATGATCCCTCGAGCTGGACATTCTTCTTCTATGTATCCTGGCGCTCGTCGTTGGAAGAGCAAGAAGAGACCAAGCAATGGACAGACGCGCAGCGCGTAAAGCAGCAGAAGGAGCTTGCGAAGCACTTTTGCGACCCCTGGAAGAGCGCGCTCGAGTGGACGCCTGACGATGCATCAGCATGGTACCTGGGACTTACAGACTGGAATCCCGGACTCAAAGAGCATCGCTGGGATAACCATAATGGGCTGTTGACGCTGGTGGGTGATGCATGTCATCCCATGACGTATCAGAGGGGCCAGGGACTGAATCATAGTGTTACTGATGCTGGAAAACTAAGGGACGCGCTGATCAAGATACAAGAAGGTGGTAACCAAGCAGAGGTCATAAGAGAGTTTGAGGAGGAGATGATTAGGAGGGGTGGCACGGAGGTTAAGGATGGGACGGCGAACACGGGGATGTTGCATGATTGGGAGAGGATCAAGGAAAGTCCGCTGTTCAAGAAGGGGATGAAGAAGACTGATGCTTGAAGCCTTTACCAGTCAGTCTCCAACAGGAGAAGGAACAGGATGGGAACAACCTCGAATGTATAGAAGTGTGGCCCAGGTGTGGAGCGCCTGCCCTTGTCAACCTTGGAAGCTCAAGCTTGTGCTTTAACCCAATTAGGAAACCCCTTGCCAATATCTTAACTACTTTGTACCCGCCTTCCATCTCTCTGTCAACATCAACATCATGACAATCATTAATCCAGATCAATTCCACGACTACCTCCGGACTTCCTGAAATCACACGTTTGGGCTGTCACTGGGAGAATGGAGACCCTCCTACAAGAGCTGTACGATAACGTGCACAGCGCCGACATCGTTCAATTCGCACAACTGCTGGATCAGGCGTAGATCACAACATATTTCGGCATCAAACCGTTTGGAGATGAACTTAGAGGAACCCCGCCGCTGTTCGGGACTCGAGGAACGGAAGGCTGGAAGCGATTGGTGGACCTTCGCCTCGTGAACAAGAAGTGGGCCAGAAGTGCATCAGTCCAACCCTTCCAAGAGGTAAATTCCGACGTTCTGCCACCTATCCTTCTTCGAGAAGGGGAAAACGATTGTACTCTGTTCAAGGTGTCGAACAGTACCTTTTCCAACAACGTTCGCCAGGTTGGTGTTATTCTTTTGGACCATCGTGATATGAATGGATGTGCAGCCGAATTACGCCCAGCGCTACAAGTATACATGAGAGGAGTGCTTGCAGCCTACGCAATTTGACATCCATGGTGTTTCTGGCGCCCATTGGTGGCGACAGAGCAGGGTGGTACAGTGATGCAGCACCCAGCGAAAGTGCGCACCGTTATTTCACAGATTTGATATACAGAATCCTCCATCATGCATCACTGCCCGCATTGAAGGCACTTAGATTCAGCTTGCCGGGAACGCACGCTTTCGCAACCCTTCTGGCCAAGGATGTCACGACACCGTCCTGTCGCTCGATCAGATCCGCAATGGAGAGCATCAGCAAGTTCCAAATCGTTGTGAGCGATTTCGGCTTCAGCCGGCGTCAAGCTCAGCATGGACCCGCATACGAGGAAATCAGAGACGAATTGTTCGACTTCATTAATATGGCACCAAGATCGAAAGATCCCAAGGTTCAGCTACGTATCATGCCCGTCCTCGGCTCCGACTATATTTATCTTCATCAACTAAATGAGCTGAAAAGCCGGGATCTCGAGCACATCAATATTTCCGGTCACCGTCTTCTCAATATTGTGGCTAGAAATGCTCAATCACCAACTCATTCCCCTAGGCGAAATCTGCAAAGTGCAACATAAATGCACATACTCCTCAAACTCTGCAACTTGCCCCACCTGACGATATGCTGGCTAGAAGAGTGTAGGTACTCGGTGGACGGTCTGTCTGCTCGATACCATGCCTCTGTTCGCCCTGGTCAATACCTTATGGTAGGAATGCCGATTGGCTAGAAGTAGACCCGCCCCCCCCCCCCCCGCGGACAATTCATCAACCTGACTTTTATGCCCTTGGCAACCTCCACTCGGTGAGCCTAGGAGTTCGCTTGTGGCGTAGGTATGGAACATCAAGTACAAGATGATGATCATCAGAATTAGAGTGTGCGAGTAGTCGCACAGGAAAGTCGCTCGCAGACCTCCGAGGATCACATACGCGCACACGCCTGGTCACGTTAGCCCCGTAAGTCAGCTAGAATGAGATCACCACTTATCGATGGGAACAAAGAAGACAGCAGCATAGATATTCATGCCTGTTAGAACAGTGACCACAGTGCTGCCTCCAAACAAAAGTTGACTACTAAATGGGCATCGCGACCGTATCTGGCGTTGATGATCTCGAGATAACTGTGGCATCGCAGCGCATTCTGTTTGACTTTACAGGTCAGGATAGAGAATACAAAGATTTGCACAGTCACTCCTGCGGCATACCAGAACGAATCTGCAATTCCATCCGTGTATGCGACCTCAAACAAGTCAGTCAGAAATATGAGGTCCCCGAGGTTTCCTTACAGTGCTTGACTGCAGCAACGTAGCTGCCCATGTCCAGGCTGATACAATTCCAGAGGCTATAAGACCTGGCTTGAGAGATAGGGATGCTGTATTGAACTCTTCCGATTGTTTTGACGAGTATGCTATATATCGGTTATGCACCCACGAGGTACCCATCATCAAGAAAGCGAAGAAGCCGATGCCAACGACAACGCCTACAAACAAGTCAATATCCATCCACTTCAAAGGGGAATGTAAACCTACCATAACCGGCGCCGACAGGCAGTATGGCTGCCGCTGAGTCTGCCATTGTATATTATGAGACTTGAGATAAGACCGTTGAATGCAGAGAAGGGCTTCACGAATCCTTATATCGATCTTGTTGTGACTCCAATCATAAGATCCACATAGCATGTGGTCAATATGGCATTGTGACTGGCTGACGTGAAGTCGTGTAGGGCGTTAGAGTAAAGTTGGAGCAGATTGCGACTTGCGATATTGCGATAAGTCATTCATCTTGCTCCACTCGACTAGGCAGTCATGATAAGGTGTGGTAGGTGCAAGTGTCTATCTCCGCGTCGAATGTCCGGGGCTGTAGGATACGGTTTGCCAAATTTGAACTAGATTGGGCAGGTCGAGCAAGGCACTCAATGCAAGCTTCCCAATTGCAGATAGGAGTGGCGCAACGTTGCAGCAGATGCTTGACATACCTTATCTGCGGCATGATATCACTCTTCTGACTCCAGATCGTTGGGGTAGCTCGTTTCGTTGAGAGTTGTCGTTTGCGAATGTTGGTCTCTCTACAAGGCCTTCTGTGGCACTGATGGTTGTGACCGTGAGAAGTCTCGAGCTCGTTATCTGGCCTTCTCGATATTGACGGCCAACACCAAAGCAAACGTCGCAACCAATAGCTATTCGACATTAGCACCTCAGTCTACCCAAGTACAGTTCAGACTTACAAGAGCGCACATTCCCATGATCACAAACACCTCCCACCCACCTGTAAGTGCTTTCCCTCTCACCAACGCATTCTGCAACCTCCAAAACCGAATCGTTCCAACGAGTAGCACAAAGATCGCCATTCCGATGAATGCCACACTGAGCGGTTCACCAATGACATAGAAGCCAATCTCAGGATTTGGATTGGTAGCACGCTGGATTCGGAAGAGTTGTGCGATGATTACGCCTGTCATGACGAGGATGAGAGAAGTTCGTAGGTAGCCGAGGAATGTGCGCTCCAGCGCTGGAGGACGTTAGTAGGATGGCATACACAGGCTGAAATACGGGAGTCTTACCCAAGTGGTCTCTATGAGCTCCTTCATCGATGGCCAGACTAGCACAAGTCAGTAGTCTATCAAATACAACCTACTACGGTTCCATACCTGACATGCGTCGTCCAAAAATCCACGATTGGGCTATACCAGTGCTTTTCTCGAATGGAGCTGCCTTGAGAACGCAGTACATCCGGCTGCGTAGTGGCGTAGCTTTCTAGCGAGTCACGGTCTTGAAGTGGTGCGTTGGATGCAGTCGAGTTCCTGTTTGATATTTGGCGCGTTCGTGAAAGGACATCTTCGCGCTTGCGGGAAGTGTGAGAGCTTTCTCTCAAGAGTCTGTGGCGCTCAAAAGGTTCTAACTCTTGCGCAACGCGTTGCCGTTCGATTTGTACAGCTTCTTCGGAATCTGGATGGGATACGCGACGCGTGCAATCGTGCAGCGCTGCAGCATGTTGCTCATGGCTTGGGCTGGCCATTATCCGATTCTGTGGTCTTCGAACAGCGCAAAAGGTGGATCTTATACGTTTCTGAATGCATCACGAACGCGAGTACGATGTGAAAGATTATGGAGGTTGTTTACCTCTAAGGTTGATTTGCGGGGAAGGACCAAGCTCGTGATAAGCTTGGGGAGGAGCTCGGGCCGTCGGCCGGCTTGTCGGGTTACATCTGACATTACAGCAATGTCGGTCTTGGAGCGTAGCAACACATGCATTGAATTGAAGTCTTTACATATAATTATTGTTGGAGAGTTAGTTGGAGAGTTAAGAGACTTTATAAATCGCTTGGGTATGGCATGGCAAAGACATCGTTGCATCTGACGATGTACCTCCTCTTCAGGTTACATTCCGTTGAGCACACTCTGCACGCCAACACTACTCACGTCCTCTCTTCTACCGATGAACAACTTCAACTCTTGAGCATCTTGTCCCGCACCTCTTACCCTATCTCTCAGAGCCTCCGGCCCGATAATGAACAGTGTGCTCACACCACTCAGCACATCCATAGCGCCCGGCTCCAACTCATCACCAGTGGGCCAACCCCGTACAAGCTCTCCGTACCGGTTCATGTCCTTCGACACACTAAGTCCACCGACCTGAGACACAGTGAACTTGAGCAAGTTCGCCAAGACGAGCGCACGCAGGCCACGAGCGAGCTCTGCAAGGAAGAGCGACAAGTTACGACCAGAGAGTGCACCGCTCGCTTGTTGGGCGACGCGAGTGAGGAAAGCGGCGACTTCGCGGCAGGCTGCTGTCTCGCTTGTGACCATGAGGTCTGCATCGTCTTTGGGTCGGAAGTCGGTCTTCTTCTGCTGTGCTAGACATCTGCTCACCCAGTTGAGTGATGCTGTCAGGGTGAGGTTCAGGATGTTGGACAGTTTTGCTTCCAGTGTTGCCATTGTAGTATTGGTCGACTTTTCGATTTCACGTCGAATTGTCAGATTTGGCGTGCAGAGCGGAAGCAAGATTGTGGTAATGGTTTGCTGAAGGAGATGTAGGATCGTGGTTATAACGTGGAGTGATGAAAGGTGGACGAGATCCGGTGGTGTCTTCGAGTTCTCTTGTGAAGCAGCGTGATCGGAGGCACTTCCCAACAGTCAGCATGAAGTAAAACCAAAGGTACCAGGCAACTTACGCGTCAAGAGCGGTCTCAAGGTAAATCTCACCCATCTGCTGCAATAACAGATTCAGCAGGTTTTGCACGTCCTTGGGCGTCTCGTTGCCTGGTGACAACTCCAACCCGCGTCCGACACCTTCAGCCAACCACTTCAGCATACGCTTCGCGGTTGCCAAAGACAACCTTCCATCCTCATCTGTCACCTCGATGTCCTTTTTGTCTTGCTGATCGTCTTTTACACCAGCAATTCGAAGAAGAGTCGCTTTTTGACTGGCAGGCAAGTCCGTACTTTCTAATCGGTCCATGTACGCATCTCGCGCAGAGGATGCAAGCTCTTTACCTCGTTGCGCCAATGACCCGAAGTATGACGTGGGCATCTTTCTCCGGCGGGAGTGGTAAATTGTGAACTTGAGAAGAAGGGACGAGTACAACTCTTCTAAATTCTTCTTTTCTCGCTCGATGTATGACGATCCAATAAAGTATCGAGAGAAGAGCTCCTCAAGTTGCTGATCTAAGGTAGCCGCGACCTGTGATGTAACAGGCTCAGGGTGTTCTGTCAACCCATGTGCTTTCAGATCTTCAACAAGTTGTGTGATGTACGCTCTTGATGCTGCCAACGCACGCAAGAACGCGAGACTTGATAGATCGTTTGCTTTGTCCAACACCATCTCAAGCCGCTGCTGTATCGACTGCTGGAAAATGCGCTCGACGAATCTGATGAGTACCTCTTCATAGTAAGGGAACGCTCGCTTGATAATCGCAGACTCTTCTTGCACGACAATTCTGACCTCATCAATCAAGGACTGTAATGTAGGCTCAACAGATGGCGGTTCCATATCCGGATCTTGAAGGGCATCCCATGCCTCGTCGTTCAGCGCAAGCTCCTCTGAGACAAGCTGATGGCGGTCGATAAAGAATGAATGCTGGCTGATGTAAGTCGCAATGACACTGGATCCATCACTGAAGCCTCTCAGTGCAACTGCGCAGTCGCGCATGCCATCGTAATTCGGCCTTCTGTAGCACTCGTCGAACTTGCTGAGCAAATCTTGCTCCAAGTTCTCCAGGAACTTCTCGATGACCTCTCTGGTGTTGTGTTTCTGCTGTGCCATAGTCTTCCTCTTGTTGCCGTTCAGTTCCACACCGTTGGCACGTTGGTTATTCTCGGGGTCAAGACGTGCGCTGATCCTCAGCAGCTGGCGTGCGATCTCGGCGCAACGCACAATGCCACCACTTCTGCGATGGTCTTCCAAAATGTTGAGCTCACCTCGCTCACTGACCTCTTGCCAGCATTCGATCAGGAACTTGGCGTCCATGGCCCTCTTGCGCTGGCGATCCAGCTCTTCCAGCCTCTCTCCGATGCGCATGGCGATGTTGCCTCCGGAATCCGACCCTCCATCATCACCGCCATTGAGCGAGCTGTCTAGCCTTTGGAAGCGATCGATGGCCTGCTCGAGCCTCCGCCCTAGGGACTCAACATTCTGGTTGTGTTGAGCCTCAGCACGTCTGACGGCTCCTGACAGCTCATTCTCCCTCTCTTCCAGGTCCTCGGACTGACTGTTCAGACGGTTCAGGGCATGCTCGAAGGTGCGGATCAGGGGCTTTGGGTCGAACGCCTGCTGACTGGAGGCTGGTACTGACTTTCGAGAACCAGGTACGGCGCTATCGGAGAGTTCTTCGATGAAGTCCTTCACGATGAAGTCTTTACTCTGCGAAAGTCAGTGCGATGTTGTGAGACCAAGATCTGGGGTAGCCAACCGAGAAGGTCTCCAATGTAAACTGCGGTGCGCGGCCACCAGATGCTGTCCTCGATGTCGTATGCGTAAGGACCGAGGCTGTCTCCGGATTGAGATTCGACATGTTGACGAGTTGAAAGATTCCTCAATCGCGCATGCAAATAACGTGTAAGGCAATTGCGAATGACGCGCAGGTCTACTGCGGCTGTCTGGCCAGGTGTTGCTTTCCTCAAGCTGGCGCTTTAGGGCAGTTGCGGACCATGGATGAGACTTGTAAACATTCGAGTGAAGTCTAGCGATTTGTGATATGTTAATCTGTGCCTTCCATGTCTCCTAATTCATCATTGTTTAGTGTTCTTGGTCAGCGTTCAGCTGCCAACTTTCCAAAGCTTCGAGGTCGCGAGATGTGGCTTGCGCCCCGCGTCCCGCGTTTCGACCCTGGGTGGCTGCCGACCGACTGACCTCATGCATATCAAATCAGCCATCTTGCAACATTCATGCTCCAAGACATAAACACGAAAGCATGCCAGACATGATCCTTGCTATACTTGGCACATGCGACGACAAACGCGCAATGACACCGCCTCGACAAGGCTGAGTACCCAAGATGATGCCCTTGGCCGGCCTATTCGGCAGCAGCGGAGGCGCCACAAAACGTGGCTGCTCAACCTGTCAACTTTGCGGATTCATATGATCTCACATCCTCCGCCAAACTGACACGTATTGTGCCCAAGAACTTCCTCTGCACCCATTGCTCCTTTTTCTTTTGTTCTTTTCATTTCACCGCATACAGACTGCCCATTTTGTCACTCCACACCTATCAACCTTCCCATAATGGCTTCGGCAACGGGCATCACGTCTGCGCAAGAAACGGCCTTCCGCCGAGGCACGTTCCAAGGGAAGCAATTGACGCCGCAGCAGCGCGAGGAGCTCATGAAACCCTTCCTCCCGTCCGAGCCTACTTCGTCCCCCGACCGCGAAATCAAGAAAGCTGCAGCCAGCCGGCGCCGCAAATCAGTCCACAAGAAGCGAACAGGACCCATACACGCATCCATACACTTCTTCGTATACCACGTTATCGCACTACTCTTCTCCGTCTTCTTCCGTTTCCGGCGCGCCTACAGACTCGTCAGAGGCAAGATTGTTGAATTGCTCAAGTACCACCACCGTACCCCGGAATTTATTGCGCACGATGTCAAGAAGCTCCAGAAGCTGCCTAAGCACTTGAGTGTGATCGTCGACTATCAAGAAGACGACGAACACCAGGGAAACGCGGGCTTGGAAGGATTGGTCAACGATGTGTGCGAAATCGCAGCTTGGGCTGCATCAGCTGGAATCCCGTTCCTGAGCGTGTACGAGAGGACTGGTAGGCAATCCCCACGACCTGAAAATGTGCAGCGAGAAGATGCTATACTGACGGTCACGTAGGTGCGCTTAAGAACTACCTGCCCCAAACCCACGCCAGCATCTGGAACACACTCGAAGCCTACTTCGGCCCCCGCCGCAAGCCTACCCTCTCCCTCCGCGCGCCCCACCTCAGCTCCTACTCACCACCCAACACGCCCCCGCAGACCGCAGACTCGAACGGCAACCTTAAGGAGGAGCGCCAGCACCTCACTGTCCTGCTGCTCTCCGAGCACGATGGCCGCGACACTATCGTTGATCTAACAAGGACGCTGGCAGAGATGGCGCAGAAGGGCGATGTGAGACAAGAGCAGATCAACATGGATTTGATCGATGCACAGTTGAGCGATCATGTGAGCAGTGAGCCGGATCTGTTGATCCTGTTCAGCCCGACGGTGCAGTTGAAGGGGTACCCGCCGTGGCAATTGAGGTTGACAGAGATCTTGTAAGTTTGTCATTGTCGGACATTGTGAACATCACTAACATGACGTATAGCCATTTGCCTGATAACAAGGGTGTCAACTACCAGGTCTTCGTGAGAGCGTTGTACAACTTTGCGAAGGTTGAGATGCGTCTTGGAAGGTAGTTGGTGTGAAGTGAAGCTTGCTCTCCTATAGTTACAATACCCGGCTTCAGTGGCCTGTGGATCATTACGCAATTATCTCCAATTGTTTCTCTGTACATGAGTGAGTGAAGACATGTGATGTCGGTATCTTGCCATTTCATGTCGTCGTTTGTGCTCTAGTCCGACAGCCGCTGATGACTGAACACTACGAAGCATGAACCGAACTAACCCCTTGTGCAAACGACTGGTATGAAAAGCATGTCATCACGACTGCATAACACTCAAATGTGGAGGTATCTTTGGATGTAGAGGCTATCTACACCATATCTTCATGTCCATCGTGACCGCTTTTCGTGCGTCACCAAGTCATAGAAAGTGTAATGCACCTAACACCTGTATTCGTTGTAAGGTCGTCAAGTACACACTATCCACCCCACGAAACCCATGCAACCAGTAACCCAAACCATTTACTTGAGAGGAATGAAACGGGAAGAGTGAGTGGCACCAATACCGGGCCTACCGTGCTTGACGGGCTTGCTGTGTGGTTGTTAGCTATCTGTCCTGTAGTCGTAGGAATCGGACTTCAAGTGTGCCCGGGGCTACGCACTATGAGATGGAGAATTCGGCGAGGTAGTGGCCAACCATCTCGGGCTTGATCTCGACCTGGTTGAACTCCTTGCCAGAGTAGACACCGATGACGGAGCCGATCATCTCGGGGACGACGATCATGTCACGGAGGTGGGTCTTGACGAGGTCGGGCTTCTCATTGGGCTTGGCCTCCTGCTTGGACTTGCGGAGCTTCTTGATCAGACCCATGGGCTTGCGCTTGAGACCACGGTTGAACCTTCTACGGGCACGGGCGTGGACGAGGTCGCGGAGCTCCTCAGAGCCGAGGTCGAGGAGCTGCTCGAGGTCGACTCCACGGTAGGAGAACTTCTTGAAGGAGCGCTTGGCCTTGAGGGCTGTGTTGTCCTGTCAGCCGGTGTCCTTCCATATCAATGCTTCGCGTGCGTCTGCGTAGTGCGTCTCCATCCATCATGTGCAACCCACATCCTCCACTGTCTGGTGCTCAAAGGTAAAGGGATCGTGGCGGAATGGAGAGGTTCGCGAAAGGAAGTGGGAGTGGGAGTGAGAGTGGGAGCGTACCGGCAGCCTCCTCGGCGTTCTGTGGTGTTGTTAGCAGGCGCATACATTACTTCGTTGCAGGCAGTACTCACGTATTCGGAATCAGCCATGGTTGCGGTGGTCGAGAAGCTAGAAAGTTGACTCGATGGGGTCGCAAGGCAATGTCGTTCACAGTTGAGGTAGTCGCGGTCGGGTCACAATTTCGACGCTCTCGCTTAAGCAAAGTGGCAGCAGCGGAAGACTTGGCGCGCCACCACCAATCGCTCCTTCCCCATCTCCACGAACATCAAATCGGAGAACATGAAATAGACTGGAAACGTCAAGTGGAAAGTCGAAATGTCGCATTTAATCCATTGTTGGATGAAGGTTTATCTCCCTGCACTTTACTAAAAATTATGTGCAGCCATACTTCGCCAGTGCGATGATTGCGTCAAGTTTCAGAGAATGAGAAAAGACTACGAGTACCTCCCAAATGTATTCATACACTCCAAGGATGGTGTTCTTGTTCTCATTAATATCATCCTGATATGCATTTTGCTTGTTTAATACATGGTCGAGTCCACCAAATAAGATCTGCAGCCAGATCTACTCGCATTAACATGTATCAAAGTCACTTATAACAATTACAAGATCAAACGATGGAGGGTGCATGGCTTCATTCAGGGTATCCTAGCAGACAAATATCAAAGTATTGCCGCCTAACTGTTCTTCATATCCTCCCCACAGCACGCTCGACACCGCCCAAATGCTCTTGTTCGTACCGCATGATTCCCGTGCTTGTCGAGAGATTGGCGTGATCATACTTCGTTGACGTTGGTGGGGTATCCGTTTGGCGATGCGCTTAGTCAAAGAGACCGAAGCCCATGTCGTCATCGGACTCCTCCTTCTCCTCCTCCTTGGCCTCCTCAGCGGGCGCGTCAGCAGCACCACCAGCGGCAGCGGCGCCACCAGCAGCGGGGGCAGCACCACCAGCACCGCCGGAGGGAACGGAAGCAAGCTTCTGGGAGCCGGAAGCGATCAGCTGGGGAAGGTTAGTACACGTTCATGTAGACATTATCGATCAGCAGCCTGATCGTCTCTGGGCGCATACCTCATTGATGTCCTTGCCCTCGAGCTCGGAGATGAGCTGGTCGAGACGGGAGTCATCGGCCTCAATGCCAACGGACTCAAGGACAGCCTTGACATCGGCAGCAGAGGGGGAGGTGTTTCCACCGAGTCCGAGGAGGAGGTAGGCCGCGAGGTGCTTCATTTTGAATGTGGTTGTCGAAGTGTGTTTCTGGTAGGAACAGGAGCGCAATCGATTTAACCTAGAATAATTAGAATTTAAGCGACAACGACCTAGTCGCAAAGTAATCACGTACCGTTCTAACGGAGACTGGAGCTTCAAGTTCTCGTCGAGGGTAGCGATCAAAAAGTTCGAAAGGTAGCGAAATTCCAAGTGGGATGCGCCCGGCTCGGCTAAACTGATCGGAGCCATGCAGCGCACGGACGCACGTTTTAACACGTGACGTCTGTCCTTTGCTTTATAAACTGCGTTCAGCGTGCGCCACCGGCCCCTTATTCTGTTCTTTGATTGTCTGCGCGCCCACTATCCTTCCGCCTTCGCCTCCTCACTGTCCGCGCGCCCGCGACTGTCCTTACTGCGACAATCCATAAAGTCACATCTCCACCTGGAAAGCATGTACGACTTGCCCAAGCGATACGACCGGTAACACTGAGTCAAACGCTTGCCAGTCGCTCACCATGAGCGTGAGTTCGATCTTGCGACCGAAGCCTGAGATCATACTGATATCCTGCCTCAGGCTTTCCGAGATATCATGTCCATAGTCGGACCTGGAGGAGCGAAGATAACAGCCGCATCCAAACAATTGCAATCGCAGCCTGCTGGGGCCTCGAAACATACCCCGCGACCAGCTGCTGACACGAACGGGGCGACGCCAGCACCACAGCTCAAGCGCAAGGCATCAGGAACAGCAGACAACAGTCAAGTCAAGGTTCAGCGCAAGGACAGTCCAGCTCAGTCTGTGCAGTATACTGGCACTGCTCGTCCAACCGCGACTCCTGGAGCAGCAAGGCTAAGCCAATCTACTACAACAACCGTACCATACCGTGGAACAGCAGCACCATCGTCGACCAAACCCGCAAACACCATCGCAAAGAAGCCTACGGCGCCCGCAAGTACAGCAGCTGCCCCACGAAAAGCGACCCCCCCTACCCCGAAGCCTGCTTCTACAGCCACGACATCGACTACTGCAGCTCCCGCATCAAAGCCCAAAGGATACCTGGCATTACTTCAAAAAGCTAAAGAGAAGGATCTTACCAAACCTGCTGCGCCTCCGGTCACCGTTGCTGCAAAAGGTTTCATTCCAACAAAGAAGGAGCGCTTGGCACTCAAGGCTGAGGCAAGTGCAGCTAAGGGGAAGAAGCCAGGCGTGGTACCAGCAGCAAAGGCTGCAGATGTCAAGGGCGATGCTTCGAAGGTCCATCGTAAGCCAGCAGAAGTAGGTTACCAGGGCACAGCACGTCCAGCCAAGACCGCTGCACCCATCGGGTATAAAGGAACCGCTCGCCCTCAGAGTACCACCGCACCGTCTAGTAGGGGTGGAACACCCGCAGTCAAGCCGAAGCCGAAGCCAGAAAAGGGTCGTTACGATGGCTACGCCGACTGGTCCGATCTTGACGATATGAAAGACGACGAAGAGGACGACTACGCCTCTGATGTTTCATCTGACATGGAGGGTGGCATGTGGGATGTTGAACAAGAAGAACAACTGGCACTCAAGGCAGCAAAGAAGGAGGACGCGGAAGCATTAGCGGAAGAAATGAGGCTCAAGCGCGAAAAAGAAGAGAAGAAGCGGAAGCTCATGGCACTGTCGAAAGCAGCAGCAGCTAAGAAGAAGTACTGATTTCTTTTCTCTCCCTTTGGCGTTTATACGATTATACGGCATACCATACCAGGATACGGGGCGTTTTCTGCATTTGGGCGACTGCATAGCTATGGAGCGGATTGCATTTCTCCGACACAGGCGCATACACCGGTGCGTCCGGGCTTGGATCATCAACGATTGTGTTATTACAGTGAGTCCTTATAGATGAGACCACACCTATTGCATAGTTCGGGAGATTGTTGGTGACAGACCTCAGTCACAAATACGACTACGAACGATTGTGCATATTGCAATCACACCACCATCTTCATATTGCTCAAACAACTCTTTGGGTCTGAATTGATCATCTTCCAGTATATATCGTCCTAAGTGACAATCACCTGCAGACTTTACCAACGCCAGCTCACCAACAAACGCAGCATCAGTGACATCGACAATGCCACTCCAAACGCCAAACCACCCATACCCTTTATGCTCCATGAGTCCCACGATGCTCAGTACATCGTTGTTCTGAAGATACGACATCGCCTGCGCACAACATGCCAAAAGCATACACCTTAACCCCACGTCCCAAAAACCTCTCTACCACAGCAACCCTCATTCACCGCCTTCGGCACCCCTTGCGCATCCAGCGCATTCGCCACTCCTCCCTTCGTCCTTCTCATTCTGGCTCCGTGCGCACAGAGGTCGACAAACGCCGCCCAAAAGTCGAAGATAAGTGGCTCGAAGCACCGACATACCAAGGCTCGCCGTATGAGCTTGTAGAGATTGAGAATAAGGGCGAATACACTGAACAAAGATACGGTGATGTAAATGTGTACTGGAACAGTGTCATGGTGGAGGCGAGTGAAGAAGAGAAGGCCAGGACAAAGGCGCAAGAGGAAAAGCATCATCGTCGAAGAGGAAGGGTTTTCGAGGACAGCGAACAGCTCTACAAAGCATACCACAGCCGTCAGCGAACTAAGGGTAGTGCGAGTATCCCTACAGCAGTGCTGAAGCGGACGATATCTCTTCTTGATCCTTCGCCTGGGGACCCAGCGCTGAGCAGCCATGTCGAAGTCTCCCATCTGCCAGCTCACCTTGATAACGACACCAGCGACGACCGCTACATCACGCTCACTGGGAACACTAGTGTGGCTGAGCTCTCCACGCATCGAACTCTCGATGCTGATTTGACATGGAACTCAGCACTCACCCGCATTCTAGCCAGCCCATGTGTCGATCCCGAAGTCTCCTCAACAATCAGAGCGCGAGCGCGCGGCCGAAGACTGAGCAGAATTCTTGAGGAAGTGGACATGGGAGAAGTCAGCATGGTACCAAACTTCAGCTACCCGATCGCGAGCGCCAGATGGTGTGATGCATGCGCCGCTTCGGACTGGCCGTTCCTAGACGGCGACGAACGCGGAAACAGAATCGGGGGCTCGGAAAGGGACGAGCACCATCCTGTTGGGCTCAACATCTCAATCAATGGTAATAATGACGACCATGCAGATCTCGGGCACTCGGAGGATGCGGATGACGACTCACTGTACCGCGCACCAACGCCGCCTCAGCGCAGGGCTTCGCACCCTGGCTCGATTCTAAGAGACATCTTAGAGCCGCAGGAGCTGGAGATGTATCAGGAGATCATGAGCCATAACCCGCGCTTCACTGTCTTGCTGGATCGGACTGAGAATAGGCAAGTCCCCCTTGTCCGGAACCTGTGTACGATGCTTGAGGTTCTAACGAAGCGACTTGCTGACCTTGAAGGATGCTCGGCTTGCCACGATCACAAGAAGGAGAGAGCGGTTGGGCATGAGGACCTTTGCCCAGCACTTGTCAAGCTAGAGGAAGATGTTATTCATCTGAGAAGAGCCGTCAACTTCAGCAACAGGGTACTTGATGGGTGTTGGAAGCGCGAATGTTCGATCTTGAACACACTTCTCGATATCCAAAGGCGTAAGCAGACACAAAGGAGTGTACTGGCAAGATTGCTGGCACGCAAGAACCATGATCATGTCAATAACTATGTTGACCTGCGCGATGGGGAGTCGAAGACTTCCAACATAGTGACAGGGATTGATATTCCTCTGAGCCGAAAAGAACTGGATGCACTCATCCATATTGCGGCACAGAATGTGCAGATTCTAAGAGAGGATGTGGGTGACGTGGTCGAGTTATTGAATAAATGCAAAGTGTAGATTACGCAGTTCAAGTGAAATTGAAACCAAGCGGGACACATATTGCAGTCACCTTTCGAGCTTCAGCTCTCGCCCCGTTCCCTAGAACTGTTTTCTTCTGGAGTGACGTGAGCGCATACAAAAACGTCCCCCAAAATTGTTCATTCCCAGGGTCTGTCTATGGAAGAGGCACAACATCAAGGCACAAACATGAGACTCCAAAGCAATGCACAAGATGCCGAGATATAGTTTCACGCATATGCAAGACATTGGTGCAGAACATGGCAGACCAAGATGTCTTGAGAAGGTATTTTAAGATTAACGGTGTCTCGTGTAACGCCAGCCTCATGGTTGCACCAGGCAGCCTCTCCGGCAACCGAGCAATGTTGAAGTCTAGCAATGTCGACAACGAGGTTGGTGTGGCGCGGAGCCTTGGTTTATCTTTTTTACATAGCTGCAGTGTTGTGTGTGGTGCACGGTCTGCCGTCAAGTGGAGCTTTGTTTGTCTTTGAGGAACAAAGCATTGTTTGTCCATGAAAGAAATGGTAATGCACCCACGACTTCTACTGAGTTAGCTTCAAATGATGCTCGATTTGGAAATCACAATCAGTTACCTGCTTAATTACTCAAGTGTGAGGATAAATTGACTGGCATGCACCGCAAGCGGTGTACTGAAATGTTGGCTGCTCACCTGCACAGCTTCGAAGGCATGTCTCAAGGCAGCCAAAATGCATACTGGCACCGCTCCTTCCAACCAAAGCGCTTCCTCAGATGGGACGTTAAACCAATCAATCAATCAATCAATCAATCAATCAATCAATCAATCAATCAATCAATCAATCGCTCCTTCCAAGTTATGGTCACTGGTGGTGAGCTAGACTATCGATGGAGGCGTTCGATAAACAGTAGCCTGCTCAACAACGACTGGCTGACGAAGCTGCCTGCGTCGACGGCCTCGCTTGCTCGATCGATGGGTGCGAAAACGACCAGGATGCATCGTGAAACAAACCGTTGTCGTTTTCAGGTAGGGGTCGGAAGCGTGTAGTGACGGGTAGGCCCATCCTTGCATCATCCTTTCGTCAGGACGGGATCATGACCAAGATTTAATAGATTGACTTTGCCATCGCCGTCGCCGGAAGACAGGCTCAAGGTTTATTCAATGTGCATGGTGGTTGAAGTTACCGAGCTGCAGGAACTCCGAAGATCCACGGTTCTTCATGTCTTCCCGGGATGTTGTTCCAGAATGGCCTCAGGCAGGCCAAACGGTGAGAGTCTCGAATCTGCCAGGAGTGTGCCCAAGATTGGCAGCGGGCGAAAGTTGACAGTTTGCGCCGACGGAGCGCGGCCCTCCTTGTGGAGACACGTTTTCACTGCCACGATGTCAACGCGTGCCGGCAGCGTGTGCACTCGGGCAGTCCAGCGAGGAGGACCCTGGATCAGCATGGTGAGGAGCAGTGAGGGGCGCGTGAGCCTTTGACGACAAGGTGCATCTGCAGAGTCTTGGTAGTCACACAGCGGCGCTGGTGGTTCCTCGCTCTGGTGCTACGCCAGCCACGATGACTGTGGGTGCAGCGTCGGGAACCTATGGCTTTTGGGTTGGAGGAGCTCCGACGAATAAGAGGCGGGATTGTACTCCTCCAGCCTTTGTGCTCGCCATTGTCCGCCATTGTCCGCCATTGTCCACCATTGCTAGCTCTCAAGAGCCGCAAGTACACCTGCACCACAGCTGCTGTTCACCGTCCCTGAGCTATCGAACTGGTGCGGAACACAGAACCTAGCGGACGCACTACTGATTGGCGAATCGTCATTCACCGTCGATGCTGCTGAAGACGCGCTATTACCGAAACTAAAGTAGTGCAATTTCCTCGTGCCAATCAGTTCCTCCGCCAACAACGCCTAACGACCAGCGCCCGGGCTCCTTTCTCCCTCTGCGACCCACGTCTGTACGAAGCACACGGGCGCTGCTCTGTCAGTCCCTCACGCCGCCGTGCAGGCTGCCTCTCTCCCCAGCGCCCATCTCACCGTAGTCAATCGTTTTCACGACGCCCAACAATCGCCGGCAGTAGCAGACTGCATCTAATACCACCGCAATCCCACTATACACCCGCCAAGCTTAGCAGCTTCCCGTGTCACCCCGGCCACTCCTAAACCCGAATTGAACCACGCCGTCGCGACTTCCATCGTTCACGAGCGCGACTGCCATCGAATAGGAACGCCAATCCCCTGGGAGAATGTCTGCGCCCTGAGTCTCGCAAACACCACCACCACCGAGCCCAAGGGCACCGTGGCATCGACGCATATACCACTTCTATTCTTTCAGCACAGCGCTGGTGTGTGGCCATGAGGGAATCCTTCGCTTCCTTGCTGGCCTCGCGGGCCGGCAAGCTCGCCCTCTCGCTGCTCATCGCGTCATCCACCCACGCACTGAGCTTCACACCCGTTCCCTCACCCAACCTCAACCTCGATCAACTCGGCCGGGTAGCATTCGCGGGCGACTTCGACTCCATATCGATATACCGATATGAGGGCCAAACCCAAGCAAACACCGGACGCACCGGAGCCCTTCTTTCACGATACCCTAATGGCGTGTTTGCCCCCATCAACGAAACAGACGCCGACATCAAAGCCATGTGCACGTTCCAATCGAACGGTCAGGACCGTATAATGTTTGCAGGAAACTTCACCAGTGTTGGAGATCTTGCCACCCCCGGCGGTGTTGCGCTGCTTGACCCCAACAGCGGCAACGTGACAGCGATGGATGGCCTGGATGGCGCTGTAAACACTCTTTACTGCGACGGCAACCAGGTCTACCTCGGCGGAGTCTTCACAGGCCTCAATTCCACCAACGCAATAATATGGAAAGATGGTTGGCAGGCACTGTCGTTCGAGGGTTTCAACGGACCTGTCCACTCAATACAGAAGGCACCGAATAACAGCATAATATTTGGAGGAGAATTCAACGGACTAGGCGGCAATGCAACAGTAGCGACGGAGAACAACACTCAGATCATTCCCATCGCGAATGCGAACATCTCAGCCCAGACGAGCTCCGGATTACCCGGCTTCACCGAACCCACAGACATCACCTGCAAAGGCGACTTCACCGCGCAAGGCTCAGGCTCGACATGGCTTCTCGCAGACCGCACAGCTGGCTTCTGGAAGGCTGAGTTCGGTTTCGGCTTCCGCCCTACTAAGTTGCGTCTCTTCAACACAGATTACGAGGGTCGTGGTACCAAGACCTTCCGGTACACCGCGCTTCCAGACGGCGGCATCATGAACTTGACGTACACTGACCCCTCGACCGGCCGTCCAGCATTTTGCGACGCCAGATGCCCGCTTCCAGAAGGCAACACCACAGCACAGGACTTTGGCTTCGTCAACAATATTGGGATGAATGCTTTCAGGATCGACATTTCCGATTGGTACGGCAACGGAGCTGGTCTGAACGGGGTCCAGCTCTTCCAGGACGAAATGTACTCGTACGCCATTGACGACTTTAACGAGCCCGGGAACTGTAGCACCGCAACCACGTTACGATCGAAGTCGACTTCTACTGGCTCATGGCAGGTGACGCCCTCGCACGATAGTTTCTCGCAGTACCTCACCACCGTCTTGCAAGGACCAGAAATCCCCACTGACACGAATACCGTCACCTTCTATCCAGACATCCAGCAATCCGGCAACTACTCAGTAACCATTTACACGCCCGGCTGCGTGGGTGACGGTACCTGCGGAAGCCGCGGTCGTGTCAATGTCACAACACAGATGTCTCAAGGCGAGGAGGATGCAGGCGCAGTTCTTTGGCAGACAAACAACTACGACAAGTATGATGAGATCTACAACGGGCCCATCAACATTCGCGACGGTTTCAGGCCTTCAGTCACTGTTAGGCCTGCGTCTGGACAAGGGCCTACTGCCATTACTGTCGTTGCACAGAGGGTCCGTTTTACACTCTTGAAGGCCACATCTGGCAACCTAAATGGTCTCTTCGAGTACACACCTGGCCAGGCACTCGCTGCCATCGAGCTCTCTGACTCTGCCATCAACCAAGCTGGAGCTAGCCTCACACCTCGCGAGAAGGCAGTCGTCATGAGTGTAGCTACTGGCAATGACAATCTGTACGTTGGTGGCAACTTCTCCGCAGACGACGGTCGCAACAACATCTTCCTTATCGGCAAGAACGCCGAGGATCCTACCGCGCTGTCAGGCAACGGATTGGACAGCCAAGTCATGACCATGTTCCACAATGACAGCACGCTTTATGTTGGTGGTAACTTCACCAACACTAATGACGGCAAGTCGACGGGATTGAATGGTGTGGCTGCCTATGTCAACAACCAATGGAAACCTCTCGGCGCTGGTGTCGAGGGCGTCGTTTTGTTCCTTGTCCCGTTCTCACTCAACCTCACTGCCGATACTCCAGAGGAAGTGCTTGGTGTCAGCGGCTTCTTTGGCACAGTCCATGCCTTCGACGACAACCCTTCTACAATTGTGGACGGTCTTGCAATTTGGGTACCATCTCAAAACAACTGGTTGCACAATCTAAACTCAACTACGTTCTCAGCCTCAGGCAGGCTCATGACGTACGCTGATGCAGCAGGCAACCGTTGGTTTGGTGGTTCCATCACCTCGGGCTTCCTCGGAGCAAATGGTGCAGCCGAACTGAACAGCGACAACGATGAGTTGTCACTTCGTACATTCCCCATCAACATCGAGGATCAACAACAGCAGACCACTCTGCACAAGCGAGCCATCATGGACGGCGACAATCTGCAGACCACTGGAGTTCGCACTGGATTCTTCTACAAGGAGAACGGCAACAACAAGACAATCTTGGCTGGACACTTCGGTGCCGAGGGCACTGATGGACAGAACATCACCAACGTCCTGATCATCGATGGAAATGACTCGGACAAAGTGACTGGTTTCAATGAACAAGTTGACGCCAACTCGACATTCGCCGCTGTAGCTGTGAACAACAATACGCTCTACGCTGGAGGTGTAGTCACTGGAACCGTCAACGACAAGATAGTCACCGGTATCGTCGCTTATGACCTTTCGTCAAACAGCTTCCCAAATGTTCAGCCGCCTGCGCTCCAAGGAAACAATGTCACCGTCAATGCCATTGCTCCTAGACCGAAATCTGACGACATCTATGTTGGAGGACGCTTCCAGTCTGGCGGAGAGTTTACCTGCCCTGGTCTGTGCATGTGGAACAGTGAGACCAGCCAGTGGAATCGACCAAACAACAACGTGGCTGGCGTAGTCAACGCTTTGATCTGGACCTCAGACACCACTTTGCTCGTGGCTGGTAACTTGACGTTCGGCGAGAACAGGACAACGGTCCTCTTGTTCGATCAATCGAAGAACCAATTCACCGAGATTGCTGGCGCCAACAACCTACCGGGACCCGTCACGGCGATCACCGTTGCTACTAAAGAGGGTGACCAGCTTTGGGCCACTGGTAACAGCACTGACGGTACTGCGTACCTCCAACGCTTCGATGGCAACAAGTGGACTTCCGTCGATAACGGTTTGTTCGGTGCCGACACAGTTATTCATGGCATCCAGGTGCTGAGTTTGTCCGAGAACCACGCATCTTCAGACATAATCGATCGAGACCAGGATCTTCTGCTTATGGGGCAGATCAACATCACCAACTTCGGTACTGCATCTGGCGCCTTGTTCAACGGCACTACCTTGGCTCCCTTCCTTCTCGCTACAACAGCCGAGAACACTCCTGGAAGCTTGTCTTCAATCTTTGTCGAGAACCCCAACATGTTCTTCAGACAATCCAGTAAGTCGATCTCGATCATGCGCTATTGAGACATGGTTTGCTAACGCGTAAAAAAGAGAAGCACCTCGCTGTTGGTTTCATCGTTCTAATCGCCCTCGCCATCGCACTCGCCCTCACTTTCCTCCTCGTCGTGATCGGCATTGCTATCGAATGGTACCGCAAGAGAGCACAGGGCTATTCCCCGGCCCCGCAGTCTTATCCTGATCGGCTAGGCAATGTAGGACGCCTACCGCCGGAGCAGCTATTCGGAACGCTGAGCGGTCCACGAGCACCGGCAATATGAGAGCCCGTCAGGATCGAGCAAGTTCAGTATAAGAGCGAATGAGAGTACAACGAATGGATGGGATATCCAAGGCGGGCGATATAACAATTTTGAACACCCGCAACGCTGGATGCATTTGGCACGGCCCTCAGGGCTGTCCCGACTACCGCTTCCTCGGATCGAAACTTATGGGAAGGCATACAACCAATTGCTCTATCCCTAACCTGGATACTGGAGATCTTTCTGGCGAGAAGAAGCACGATGTACAGGATCGAAGAAGGCACGATCAACAGGGACCTGCATGGTTGGTTTTCCATTTCTTTCATGGCCCTGTGAGGCATTATATCTTTTTGTGTGTTTGATACCACTGGCGCGCTCGCAGCAGCCCAAAGCTTTTCCTTTATCTCTCATCTCCTTCGTGTGTGTCCGTGTTCCATGAGCATAATTGTCTAGGTGAATTTTCTGAGCGACTTAGACTTTGCGCCATCGTAATGTATACTCCTAGTGAGCATTGAAGAACGACCACAATTAAGCGTTGCGAGACTCCGGTGCGCTTGATGCGTACTTCGAGTCGAGGTGGTGTATATACAGAACGCAGCGGTGGAGTTGGCGCGGTACAGGCAGATCACGTAGTCGTGTAGCTTAGTCGAATTGGTAATCACTACCTTCAGCCCTTGGGCGATCTTACTCGGACGAACGATGGCGCATGTCAGAATGCATGTCAGGTATCAGAAATCTAACCATCTGGAGCAGACCCCACTTACCGCCTACGCAAATGAGGAAGGAACGTGCCGATAACGGATGTTTGACACATCTGCCTGAAGTGCAGAAACTAGGTGTCAGCATCGGCGTAAGCTATGATAACAATATAAATGCAAGGAAAACCTGCCTCTAAATCAGAATCAACATGTCCAACACAAGTTAGCAAGATCAATCATCACCACCTTTTCTCTCACCCACCACCATGCCCACCACTACCGCCAAACCAACAATCCTCATCATACCAGGCTCCTTCTCAGCCTACGGCGCCTATGACCCCTTCCTCACCCTCCTCCGCGCGGAAGGCTTCACCGCTCTCGCGATCAAGCTCCCCTCCACCCAGATGCGACACCCGCTGCCGCCAGCCACGCTGCAGGATGATGCGGCGCATGTCAGAGGTGTGGTGGAGCGGCTGATTGCTGAAGGAGAAGGCACGGAGGTTGTGGTGCTGGCGCATAGTTACGGCGGGAGTGTTGCTACAGAGGCGCTTGCGGGTTTGGGTGTGAAGGGTCCCGTGGCGGGGGTGAAGAAGGGAGGAGTCAAGAGATTGGTGTTTTTGAGTGCAAGTGCACCAAGGGTGGGCGAGAACCAAATCAAAGCTATGAGATTGGAGGCGGGGTTTTTGCCGGAGGAGGTGGTGAGTAGCTCTTTTCTTTCTATACAACCCAAGGTGCCGCAGATCCCCACCCGCGTCGGGATCAGCTTCACATTTGGCCGTGGGGAGCTAACAGTATTACAGGGAGGATACATGCACATGGATCCCGTCATCATGGCTCCATTTGTCTGCAACGACCTGCCCTACTCGCAAGCCTACGAGAACGCACTCCAGCTTCCTCACCACTCTGCTGTCTCCTTCCAGAGTGAGGTCACGCAGACGAGTTATAAGGATATTCCTGTCACTTATATTTACTGTGAAAGAGATATTGTGATTGCTCCGGAGATTCAGCAGAGGTTCATTGATACGATTGAGGAGGTCAGTGGGAGTAAGGTTGATGTGAGGAGGATTGATGCGGGACATTGTCCGAACTGGAGTAAGCCGGATGAGCTGGTCAAATTGCTGGTTGGCGCTGCACAGATGTAGAGTGATTGATTACAAGGATTTCATTTCAATTTGAGCTCGCATTTGCTTTCATCTGTACTACTAGCGCGTGGCACGAGGTTCCAAGGTCTGCGCGCACATGGCGGCACCCTCTTGATTCCACCTTCGTCCCTGAACACCTCCACGCTCACCTTTCAGAGCACCACAACTATGATGCCAGCCAAGCGCGCAGCGGTACAGTCAACAGACGATCAAAAGGTCATCAAGAGACCAAAATACCAGGACACGTGCAGTGAATGCAATGGGAGCCTTCAAGATCGACTATGGTGCGATGTGAGTCAGGAAGTCTTCAACATGGCGTGTACTAATCATACGCAGTACGGAGCGGAACCGCAAGCACTCGCCCTTGCTACGCCTGTCAGGCGAGATCCGCAACCATATCTACGCATACGTTTTCGGCGGCAACATACTCGTACCGACTTTAGACTCCTTCCGCAGTGGGCCCATTGCGAATCCTTTTCTCGCGAACGGAAGTCGGTGGATTACCCTGCGAGCATTAACCTATGTTTTTCGAGAGTTGTACGCAAAGACAAAACTATTGCCTTGTTCTCTCAATGTCCTTTGCATCAGTCAGTCCGAGCTTGGTCTCGACAAATGGTGCGAGTGTCAGCGGAGAGGTTAAATGGTCATCACGAATGTTGAGTGCCTAGACAGTATTGGCACAGCGCCAACCATCTACTGTGCAAAACGCGGCCCCCACGAAAGCGACGAAGCCACCTACCAAGCGGCCGAATGCAACACCCTCGAGCGGCATTATCAAGAACGGGAACGCAGTGAAAGGCTCCAAAGCGACCTACACCAAGTGGCTAACGCTCCAGGCGGCGCTGGCGATGTGAGTGAAGAATGGTGTTTTTCCGTTGCTGTGACTGACCATACACAGTACAGAACAAACCACAAGCAATCACCACTCCTTCGCTTCCCAGGCGAGATCCGCAACAGGGTATACGAGTATATACTCACTACCGACGACCATGTATCGACTACTGCGACTGGCTCGACCCCTCCCAATGCGCCATCTACAGAAGCAGACCGGGAGGTAGTGTTATTACCATGTGTCACTGGATTGAGGCTTACGAGCTGACTGGACTCTGTCGAGACTTCCTTAATGAGTTTGGATCAGTCTTGACATCTCCAACTGTCGTTTGTTGGTCTGGAAGGCGGGGGATGTCGGGAAGGTACTATGAGGGACGAGAAGAGCGTGCTGCATGGGTGAAATGGATAGGGTTGAATCATGCATGGTACCTGCAAAGAGAAAATCTTAATCATGCCGCAAGTATTGGGGACTGATTTTTCACAAGAACATTCCTGCCGCCGAACTTACAGTAAGCACCAAGACCATATAATGACTTTCACAAGTTGCTGACCCCCCTGTCTGGAAACCATGATGTCATCTCTCCACAAAGTTGTTCTTCGGGCCAAAAAGCTATATCTCATCATCGTTCCAATTATCAAGGGGGGTCAGCAACTTGTGAAAGTCATCGATAAACAGTCTAAGCTTCGAACTGCTCGCATGCACAACATCAAGCGAAGCATCCGCTCTCGTTGATCCAGAAGCAGACACTGTCTGTCCATGCCTGAAGCCGCACCACTTGTTCCTACCCTCGTCGCCATTACCATTCCACCTGCCTGTATACTCTTCCCACGACTGAGCGTGACTTTCCTAGGTTTCTGATTGACGTTCAAGAAGAGGCCGCGAGAATATGCTATGCTGATTGATTGGCTTAACGTCCTATGTGAGTATGAGACTATCGAGGACAGAATATGCTATGTTGTCTGTAGCACCGTTGCCGAAGAGCGTCTCTTGAAATTGGTTCTTATCGTCTACCCAACGAGCGCCGTGTTGGAATGCGAATTCGGCATCATCATCGATCTGGAAGTCGGACTGCTTGCCGTTCAGGCGCCAGATGATATGACCGTCCTGTCCAGATATCTTGTAGACGCAGTCCATAGCTCGCGCTGAGACAAGGTAGTCTCCGCCTGTGTCCTTCTCGATGAAGTTGATACGGAAGTAGTCCCGTGGTGAGTCTTCAGCCCTGCCAACGTCTTCGGGAAGGGAGTTGTACGACTCGTTGATGCCGACGTGAGTGCTTGCGTTCCATTCGAAGATGAGTTCACCGGTCTTAATGTTGATTTCTTGGAATGTATTCTCGAACACCCAGCCGTTCTCGATGCCACCAGTCTCTGTGAGATTCCACGGTATTGTATGGTATATCGGGATCAACCCTGTGTCGTCACTCGTGAATGTAAATTCATGGATATCGCCCGTGTCGTTGCTAAAGCGATTGGCATAAAAGTGTGTAATCTCTGCATACGACTGATTGAGGACGTAGTAGGAGCCACGACCGAAGCCATCTTCCAACACGCCTGACCAGAATGTAAGTACTGGTTGATATTTGTAGGACTGTGTCTTGAAGTTAAACGGCTCGGTGTAGTTGCCGGTCCAGACCAGTGTGCCCATGCTTTCCTGGGAGAAGTCTAGAGTTGTAGTCAGTACCGAGTGCAGTATGTCACACCAGTTTGATCTCACTGACCACGTATCGTCGACCAGTTCTGCCCGCTTGTTGGCTCTCCGTCCATGCCCAAGAATACGCATTCATCCGCCAATCCTGGCTCATTCTTGTTGATCTGCATCTGCGGTGGCCTTTCATTTGCATTCGACATATAAGATTGGGCTGGAGTCCCTTTGGGGTCGTTCGTGCAATATGTCGAAGTCATAGCTGACTGAATCTTGATAATGTACTGATGGCAAGAGTCCAAGGGGACAAGCGTATGTCACGGCAGTGAGGAGACGCATGTTGACATGAGCTCTCAAGACCAGGGAGTACCTAATGAGTTGAAGAGGAAGATCACGAGCACAGGCAAGTATAAGTGGGACAAAACCTGACTATATGAGGCTGAAAGCTTGCGTGTCCAAGCTTCGCGCTGATGCTTCCATCTTGTTAGATGCACAGCTTGCCTGAGTATGGTTAGACAGCAAAAAGCCGCACATCCCATTTTTGAGGCGTACCGCCGCATATCGTCATGCGTCTGGATTGATGTGGGTTGGCAATCCTTCCGAGTTGCTTGTTTTGTGGGCCGCGTGCCTGATTGCCGGAAGGAGATCGTTGTTGATCAACCAGTCCTGATGCTCAGAGGAGAGAATGAGTGCAACGATCGTCACATTGGGATTTCCCAACACTCATAAATTGGCAAACGTCGCGATGTATGGACCTGTGGGCAAGGTGCATGGAAAGCCCTTCCAGTGTGCTGGTCTCCTAGCGTGATGCACGACTCAGATATGCGATTGTTACATCGTTGGTACATTTACGCCATATGTTCACATTCGCTTAAGCATGTCCTTGTCGACCATCATCCCCGCAATAAATCAAGGTTCGGTATCTGGAGCTTAGAGAAACAGTAGCGAACAGCCGTTGTGGGCATTCATTCGTGGTTGTCTATCTACCTTTCGTTAACGAGAGCCTGTCACAGTGCACAACTCTACTTCATGAGCTTGCTGGCAATGTTCAGAAGACCCCCGAGGCCTCCTCCTGAACTTCCACCAGAGGCGCCACCTCCACCCATCTCGCTCTTCATGTAGAACTTGAGAGCCATCTGAGCGGCCTGGGCAACAGCATCCTGCTTGGTTGCACTGGGGTCCTAGAATCTGTTAGCCGATAACTTGTCACAGTTGGTGAATGTCCTTACTGTCTTGCCCTGGCCTTGCTGCTTGTCAAACAGCTGTGCGGCCTGGGACATAGCTAGCCCGATGAACTTGTTCTGACCACCCTGGGCCTGCTGCTGGTTGCCACCGTTGAACATCTTCAAGGCTTGCATTGCAGCAGCAGCGCCGACGTTGTTCGAGGTGGCTTGGTGGTTGCCTCCCTGCTGGTTGCCGTAGAACTTTTGATGCTGCTGAACCGCGTCGTCTTCATCGACGTCCTCGTTCTGGAGCTTCTGCTTGTTGCCGGAGAGTAGGCTGAGGGCAGTGCCAAACAGGTTCGCATCTCCTGAGGAGCCAGCATCTTGCTGAGCGTGGTGAGCAGCCTCGCCATATTCATCTGAGCCGCCACCGTAGCCACCACCACCGTATGACGTGCCAGAAGAGTGTTGGCCACCGTGGTTGCCAGATCCGCCGCCATAGCCTCCTGATGAGCCCTGGCCGTAGCCGCCGTTACCTCCACCACCGTAGCTGTCTGAGGGTCTGTCGTTGTCGCCGTAACCCTGTCCGCCACTTGGGCGGCTGCTGTATGAATCGTCCTGGCGACCTCCACCATAGCCGCCTCCCTCGTGGCGACGCTCGTCCTGGCCATAGCCACCGTTACCGCCGCTGGGGCGGTCGTTGCCGTAGCCTCCACTTCCACCGTATCCTTCCTGATGTCCTCCGCTGTAGCCGCCTTCTTGACGGCCACCTCCGTATCCTTCCTGACGGCGGTCATCGTCACGTCCGTAACCGCTGTTGCCTCCGCTTGGGCGGTCCCCGTAGCCACCGCCGCCCTCATGGCGTCTCTCCTCTCCGCCGAAGCCTCCTTCTTGACGGCCTCCACCGTAGCCACCTTCTTGGCGCCTGTCGTCACGGCCACCACCATATCCCTCCTGGCGGCGGTCGTCGTCGCGTCCGTAGCCCTCGTTACGGCGTTCACCGCCATAGCCGCCTCCGCCGCCGTATGAATCGTTGTAGGACATTGTGTGTAGTTTGTATGCTAAACAATGGTCAGTCAGATGTCCAAGTACGAATGAAGTTTTTGGTCGAATGGTCTAGCGAGGCGTGCTGCATACGGCCGAGGGCCATTGAGGTACTATGGACCACAGCTCTCATTGCAATGATTTCTCCTCATCGTGACAAATTTGTTGGAACCGAGATGCACTTACTTTCAGTTATGTGAGGTTGGATAGGTAGACAGAGAGAAAGAAGTTCAAATTGATTGAGATGTGAAAAGCTTCGGACTTCAAGGTCAAGTTGTAACAAGATGATGTATCGACCCCACATGAGCTCCAGCCCCGCATGACGTAGATCACAATACGCGGCTCACCGCCCGCCACGATTGGTCTCAGAATACTCAAACGTCACAATGCCTTGTTGTGATCTTCCAAGTTCTTGGTTCCAAGTGGCACATGTTGTTCGTTACCTAAACTTGACGTTCGATCATATGTTCCAAGTGTATTTAAATCTCGCCTGTGGACTCAGCAGACACTCATGCTCAGAGAAGACGCTTGCACATATTGCAAGCTGTCAGGATTTGACGATTTTTGCATCCAAAAGAGACGATGCGCTGTTTGTATGGGATCACAGACATAATGTCACATGTTTGGAGAGTGAGATTCTATTCATTCGATGTAGCCCTGATAGACGCATTTACTACATTATCATACTATGTATTACATCGTTCATTACCACAAACACATCTAAGCGTAGGTGGCACCCTTCTCCTCCTCGTGATGGGAGTGCATGCCAGCAGTGCGGTCATTGTGAACACTGCTCATGCGCAGAGTAGGGTCGTCGCAATCCTGGTCAAGAGCGTTCATAGCATCCTCCTGATCGTTGAGGTGGTGGAACAGGATCCAGATCAAGCAACCAGCAAGGAATGAAGCAACAGCCAGACTGCAGAACATCCACATGATCGCGGGGTCGTACAGGAGAGGATTGAGCGCCTCAGAGATAGCAGATCCGAAAGCGTTAGTGAGCAGGTACATAGACTGGACGAAGGACTTCATGCTGGGGGGCGCCTTGGTGTAGGCGTACTCGAGACCAGTGACGGAGGCGAAAATCTCGGAGATACCGATGAGCATGTAGGCACCAGTTTGGGTAGCGATGTGGATGTTGTTGCCCTGTGCAACACCGTCAATCTCGCTGGCCGCGCAGAGCGGGTGACCGTAGCAAGGGCCGGCCTGGTAGATATAGTGCTGGATAACGGCGGCGTAGACCATGGCGAGAGAAGCGACCCAGAAACCGGCGGTGATACGGTTGATGGGAGGGAAGTTGATCTTGTGCTTGCGGAGGAGTGGGAAGAAGAACTGATCCATAAGCGGCAGGAAGACGATAATGGCGATGGGATCGAAGTTCTGCATCAGATCGTTGGGAATGCCATGACCAGCCATCTGACCAGCCTGGGTGACGAAGTTGTTAGAGAAATTGCCGTAAACGACCCAGTAGATGGGGTAGAAGCAGAAAACCTTGCACGCAACAAGAGCACGCTTAACCTCATCGACGAAGTGGTCGTCCCACTGGGTGGTCGGTGTCTTTCCGAGAGCAGCCTGGTAAGAAGGCTTTGCGCCATCCATCTTGCGTGCCCTGATCATCTGACCCATAACGCGGAAAGCGTTGGTGATGACAGAACCCTGCGGTGGGCGAACGACGTAGACCTTACGACCGAGGACGAGGACGAGGGTACCAACGAAGAAGACACACAAGCACATCAGGTAGGCGGACCAGAAGTCGATATCGCGCTCCATGTATGGAGTCGCGAGGAGAGACAGAGAACCAATGTTGATGCACTGAAATTTATTAGCACTGCGCTCAGGGCCTCAGGGCGCCGTGACTTACCCAATAAAAGACCATGTAGATTCTGGAGATGGTGATCGCAGGGTCGATGATGACGCGCTCTCCAGTCTTCTTGTCGGTGCCAACAACCATCTGGCGACGCTTGTACTGATCGGCAATCAGGGGAGCGACGTTGGACTTGATACCACCAGTTCCGAGACCAATGACGATGATAGCAGCAACGAAACCACCAAGACCAGCGCCTCCCTGGAGGGCACCAGGGATGGAAGTCAAGGTGAGGATGAGAAGACCGACGATGTAGACACCGCAGAAGATAACGATGGTGTTATACTTTCCGAGGTACTGATCAGCAATGACGGCACCGAGAATGGGCGTGACATAGCACCAAAACTGGAAGAAGGTAGAGAGACCAGTGGCTCCCTGGTGTCCCATACCGAGAGCACCACGGCCCTCACTGCCATCGAGCGGGCGCTGGATGTAGTTCTGGAAGATACCGGAGGCACCGTAATAGGTGAAACGCTCACAAAGTTCGACGATGGCGACCAAGAAGGCGGACTTGGGCAAAGGCTCACCGACCTTGCGTAGGGTCAGGAGCTCCTCCGGGGTGGGCTTGACACCACCGAGACCATCGTCAACGTCGATGTCGCGGACCGAGGTACCAGAGCTGGCGGTCATAGGCTTCTCAACGAAGTCCTTTTCAGTCACACCAGCTCCAGCGACATTGTCATTGGTCAAGGACAAGCCGTTCAGGTGTGGGTGCTGATTAGCCTCAGCCTGCTCGCGCTGCAGCTGGTGGGCTCTGTGACACTGTTAGGATGAGAGTCAACGAACAAAAAAAATCGAACATACGATGTTTCCTGTGCGGTAGCCATGGCTGGTACACAGGTCTGCGATACAACCAAAGATCAAATCGATCAATGGAAGAACAGGATGAAGTTCAGAGATCCGGACACCTGAGCTCCAGCGAGCGGCTGTTCTCCTCCATTTAACTCAGCTCCCCCTCCTCTAACATCCCGTAGACGTTCGCTTCAGACCGAGGCCAAGGTCCCAAGCTCGGACAAGCAACGATGTAACGTCTTGATAGTGTTTGCGCTAACTGCAACCGTACAAACGTCCGGGTGGAAGAAAATCGAAGCTTTCGCGAAAGGCTTAAGCGCGCCACGATCCGCACCACACTCGCTGCCCGATTCGCCACGCCCACGACCACCTTCCAGAAGCGGGCTGCAAGCCTGGTGATCTTACGTTCATGATTTCGAAAACGCGTTGGTCTGGCGTTGATGCCGAAGTGCCGGGTTGTTGATAGTGAAACAAAAGATAAGTGGCTTGATTATCTGCAGGAACCCCAGAATTTGTATTGGTAAATGCGCGCATGTAACGCCAGTCCATCTTTGTGCCATGGCAGGCGAGCAGTCACAGCTCGATAGATAGGGACGTCCGGAATCTCTGCGCCTCCAACATCATTCTCGCCTTCGAAATCCGCGTCGAACCTGTGACTCCCTACACAGAATCCAGAGCACCATGCCGTGAAGAAATTTGCTCTGCCGAATCCACACCGGGAATCTCTCGGTACCAACCAATCTCCCAGCCCGAGAGTTTCGCATCTGGTCAGGGACTCGAGTCTCGGACGCGGCCGAAGGCATTTCTCATCTCGCCACAAAACCACACACAGCGCGCGCCCACTACCTGCGGGTACGTGTGATGTACAGGTACAAGTCCACATCGCCGTGCGGTCAGCTCACCTTCGGCAAGAACCCACCGGCGTGCTGAGCATATCCCCGTCGCCACGTGCTTTGTAATATCACTCCACCATGGACATGTACACATCGCACACTCGTGCTGTGACTCCCAGGTCAGAATTTGTATGTTTTGTAGACTACACAGCGATGTCGGCGCATAGTGTGTCCATTGTACGAGATAAATCTGGAGACATGCTGGTCTCGACGCAAACATCAAAGTGCACACACCTCTACAAAATTATCATGCTCGTGTCATGTCCACCAGATTCGTGTCTAAGTACGCGGTCATCCTGCAGTCACCATCCCCTCGAGTGCTTCGACAATCCCTTCCCCATCCCCTAACGCTTCGCTCCCACCATCACAACCCGCTCACCCCAACTTTCCACCTCCATCCCCTTCCACCCGCTCTAAAGCCGCTGTTGCGACCTCGTATTTCATCCGCGCGCCAAAGTAGCCGACCCACATGCAGTATCGTTATGGTAATGCCAAGCTCCTTCCTTTTCGCGGAAGGCGGTGTTAAGCTTTCTGGGCCCACAGACTTGCTGTATCCCTGTCCTAACCCCGGTTCTCCCAGCCTTCTGGATTGCGATCCAGTTGCGTGCATGAACACTCTCAAGAGTCGCGACTTGGTATTATATCCACAGTTTGTGAGTGGAGTCAGGATGGGTAAGGGACGCCCTGCATGTGAAGATACGACTTCTGGAGGCAGAGACAACCACTCCCTGCACGACGATGCGTATCACTCCACTGCACGATTCTTAGCACAACATTCTGACCTGCATCTCGAAGCACCTTCTTTCCATTCAGACCAATCAAACAAATGTTGGCAGATAACAGGCCTTCGCTTGCGCGGCTGTGCCGCATAAGCTTATTTGATGTGCTGGGCGGCAGTTGTGAATGACTCTTGTACCGCGGCATCAGCACGCGGACAATGCGGTGAGAGTGTCAAACATGGAGATTTGAGATTGCGAGCGGACATTGGATTGTGGAGAGCAGAGATAAGAATACGAGAAGGAAAAGGCATGGATCAGGTGTGCTTCTCGACACCTATATGAGCGAGTTGTGTGCTCCGCGGCCACCAGATGGTGTGCGATGTATATGAGGCTCGATCGACCCCCTCTTGATGCGCGTTGAGCCGTGTGACTACTGCTGTCTTTGTGTGGTCAACATTCGATGTGCCTGATAAGTCACCTCGCACCTGCATCATTCATTGGATCACGCATACCCAGCATGATTGCATCAAGATTGTACAAAGATGGTATTGTGCTTCTTGTGGCCGTTTCGTTTATACTTTTGGTGTCACGCAACCTCTTGTAATGCGGGCAAAGGCAGTCCAACCCACCGTCCGACCTGAGCCTGTGTAATCATACGCCCCTCTACACTTAGAGTGCCACCCAAGCAGTGTAACACATACATAACGATAGGAAATAGCACGCTAATACGTGTGTGGGTAATCATGTAAGAATGAAAAGGAAAGTATCGTACAAGTATCGACAAATGTTCAGAACGAAAGGGAAATATTAGGCTGATGAGCCATTGCTGCCCTTGCAGCCCTTCTGTCCAGGTTCACAGCACTGCTTTGCGTTGCCGCAGCTGTCTGGGCACTCAAGTAGACAAGCCTCTGGCTCCTTGACACTTGGTGCTTTAAAGTCTGTGGCTTCGTCTTCTGAGCCAGCGGCCGAGTGGTCGTGTGTTGCGTCGAGGCAGAACTCGGGCTGAATGGTAGAGGAGTGGATGCCATACTCATGTAGGCATTCGCGGACCTGGCGAGCAAGGGTCATGTAGCGTGCTGAGCCTTCGCCCTTGAAGTCAAAATCGACCTGTACATGGAGCGAGGCGATCAGCTTGGTGTCAGAAAGCTGCCAGACGTGCAGATGATGGCATGAGATGATGCCGTTGAGATCATTGATGTCCTCCTTGATCTCGTCGATAGACAAGTTCTCGGGAACGGCTTGCAGCAAAATGCGGGACGCAGCCTTGCAGAGCGGAATGGCCGAGAGGAGAATGATGACTGTGATAACGAGAGAAACAAGAGGGTCGGCGTAGAACCTCCACCAAAAGTCGGTGAGCCAGATGAACAAGGCTGTTGCAATAACACCAACGTTGCCCAGAGCATCACCCAAGACGTGGAGGAAAACGCCGCGCATGTTCAAGTCGCCGTGAGAGTGTCCGTGTCCGCCGCCAGCTTTCTGGTCCTTTGGTTTTGCGTGGTTATGGCTCTTGTGGTGATCCTTCTTCGGTACGTGCGAGTGCGAGTGGCCGTTGCTCTTGCCTAGGAGAGCAGTCTGCTCAGTAGGCTGGTCATCACCGCTCTCGCTGACATCAGCATCGTCAACGTCCTGGCGAGAAGATTCAATGATGCTGTTCCTGAACGACGAAGGGTGTACGTAGATCTCATCGAGAGTAGAGTATCCCTGGGATCCAGATCGAACGTGGCGGTGGCCACGCTTGCCAGAGGCCGACTTGCGGCGCGCTCGTGGAGCCTGCGCAGAGCTGCTCTCTTCATGGTCATGGCCGTGTGCGTGATCGTGCGCCTCACTTCCGTGCGCATGTCCTTCCTCGGCGTGCGAATGCTCGTCACCATGCCCGTGCGAGTGGCCACCTGGCCCATGGCTGTGTCCGACGTCGTGGAAGAGTACGAGACCGACGAGGTTCGAAGCGAGACCGAGAGAGCCGACAATGAGAACAAGTTTGGGCTGCGACACTTCCTGGGGCTCAACGAATCGCTGGATAGCTTCGAGGAAGATAGAGAGACACAGTGCGACCAGGAAAACGCCGTTTACGAGAGCACCGAGGGTTTCTGCACGTTGCCACTATATCGTGTCAGTACAGTTTCAGCTTCAGCCTCAACGCTTTACTCACCCCGTATGTGTATTTCTTTGAATTAGTCTTCTCGTTGGCGACCTTCACTGCCCAGAGTCCGACAAGGAGCGATATGACATCGTTCAGCTGCGCTAATGTTAGCTACGTCCCCTCCCAACACGAAGCTGAGCTGCCATACCATGTGGAACGAGTCGGCGACCAGAGCCAGCGAATGCACCGCATATCCCACCACCAGTTCCAGTAGGAAGAAGGCCGAGTCGATACCCAGCAGGATCATAATGCGCGTCGATTTGGAGAGCCCCATGTTTGCAGTATCGGAGCGCGCGCTCGTGTGACTGTCGATGTGCGAGGGATATGTAGGGCCGTCGCGGCCAGGGTCTTCACGGGCGACTCAGAGACGAGGAGAATGAGGCTCTTTTGAGAGGTGAGTGCGGCGTGGCGGTGGGGATGCTAGACAGTTCACAGGTGAGAGTCGCGATGCACGGATGGGCGATCCCATAAATGCATGCACGGGGCGCCACTTCCTCTCTGCCCGATTGCGTCAAGGCTCACGCCTTCCCCAATTCATCATCTCACGTATCAGCCTCGGGTGTGCACAATGATCCAGCCAAGACAAATAGTTTGGCACTCCTCTCACACACTTCCATCTTGGCAATTCAACATCAAACATCCTCTCGCACCTGCCAGACTGCTCGCGTGCTCAGCTTGGTCAGCAGCGGCGAGAGGAACTTGCTCAGGCGTCCATCGTATGCAAAATCAAATTCTGCGTTCTAACGAAAAGGAGTGGAGGTCGTGTGAGGGGCCAAGTGAATCCATCAATCCAAGCACGGGGAGCCGCATCCGCACAAGCGATCCACATGTTTGCTTTGCCATTTGCGGGCCTTTGCCGTGCCGCCAAACGTCCCAACGTCCCAACGTCCAGACGTCGTACAAATTCCTAATTGTGTTGACCATTCGGCCGTGGTCTTCGAATCGATTACTGAGGTGCCACCCGGAGATATACCATCGTGGGAACAGATGCTACCGAGAGGACTACAGCGTTTCTGCCTACTGAGCCAGGAAAGTCTTCTCGAGCATTTATTTGAGACCCTTGTTTCCCAGTCGTGTATCCAAAACTCTCAATAGGCACAAGTATGGATGTCATGTGTAGTGTTGTTACTATCTGAGCTACGGTTTGTGTGGAGGAAACCACTGTGAGGACTAGGATGGATTAGGGCTAATGCGACAATAGATCCAAGATGACATAGGTGCTAGGTGATGTACACCGGGCATCAACAAAAACGATTAGACTTGCGGTGTACACCCTTGCAAAAGAACGTCCTGAACCGAGTTTTCAGAGAGACCAAGCACTAACTTCATGATATCGTTCTTGCCCAGGTCCATCCTAATCGTGCGGTATTCCCTCGAGGTACATTGGAATCCTCAGGACTGCTCTTGCGGCTTCCTTCCCAAAGTGCAATCTAAGGGGGGGGGGGGGGGTTATCACCTTTGGCAGTCATGGAGACGAACCATGAATGCACATCGTCTTCACAAATATGGCCACGTGGATCAAAAGCGACTCGAAGGAGCAACACCAAGACCTTGAGTCAAGCGAGAACCCACAACGAGACTTCAAAATACCCACTCGTCATCCAAAAGAGGCAGCTCGAGGATTCGAACCATCATGGTACTCAACACACTGATCATCGAGGCGAAGGCTGCTGATCAAGATCTATCGAAAACACCCATGATGTTCATGGCTTGTTAGGCTCAAGTCCTTTGGAGGAAACCCCGAGCAAAGCTTTCTCTTTGGTAAATGTCAAGCTCTTGACCTTGGACCAGAACAGTCCCAGCCCGCCAAGCGCTTCTTCGAGCGATGAATCTGTTCCCATGCCCAGGTCCGCTAAAACCTCGGACAGTATGTGGCCCGAAGCGCTGGTCATGTTGCAGTGTTATCGTTGTAGCCCCATCCGCGCAGTTTCTCGGCCAAGCCGCCATCGAGAGGAGATACAGCAGTACCTGTCGTGAAGCCGTACAGCGTTGCTGCGGTAGCGTCGTTGGATGGCATGCCGTCGAGGAGCTTGGTACCGCGGTCGACGGCGTCGCTCCATTTGTCTGCGGCGATGATGACGGTGCTGTTGGAAGAGAATACGGGAGCTGTGCCGGCATTTTGACCATCGTTGAGATGGAACGCGAGATCTTGACGATGTATGCTAGGGTTTCGGCCTGGTACGACTTTTGCGTTCACGAGAGCTACTAGAAAGTGAAGTTCGAGTGTAAGAGCGTACTTCATTTTTGATGGTGGCGCGGTAGAGGTTAAGCTGTATGAGCTACGTGTGTGAACAGAGGGCTGCGTTATGAATTGGCAGATCTCAATTGATGTCCAAGTTCATGGAGAGTGAAGTGAGGGCTTACTGTTTGGAAGAACGCTAGTCACTGATCACTTCGCCTACGGAGCGAAGCCGTTCAACAGCATAGGAAGGGCTTGGAATGGACAAGTCAAATTGGTACGACAGCAAGAAAGTCTCAATTGCGCCATACGAAATTCCAAACATGAAGCATCTACGGGATCGGAGCCTATCCATCATCAAAAGACATAGCAGCTGGTGACCCGCCACACTTTGATCACAGAACTAGCCGATACATACCCAGCCAGATCCACTGAGCGATCGACACCCTTTAGTAGTCGTTGTCGCGCCTCGAGCTACCATAGCTAGACTCCTCGCGGTCGTTCCTGCTGGATCCGTACGAATCGTTGTTGTCATTGCCATAGCTCGACTTCTTCGAGCCATACGAATCATTGTCATCGTTGCCATAACCCGACCTGTTCGACCCGTCATTGCCATAGCCGGACTTCTTGGATCCATACGTGTCTTCGCTGTCATTGCTGCCATAGCTCGACTTCTTGGATCCGTACGAGTCTTCATTGTCGTTGTCGTAGCTTGACTTCTTGGATCCATAAGTGTCCTCGTTGGAGTCGTTGTCGTTGTAGCTGCTCGACTTCTTGTTGGTTCCATACGAAGCCTTGTCGTTGTTGCCGAATTCATTCAGCTTCTCAGAGCTAGGCAAGTTCTCGTTGTCGTTTCCATAGCCAGAAGACTTGTTGCTTGAGTACCCATCGTCGTTGTTTCCGTAGCCACTGTTGCCGCTGTCGTTCTTCGATCCGAAAGCGCCAGATTGGTCGCCGAAGCTCCTGTGCCTGGTGCTGTCGCTGGAGTCTAGAGTGTCGTTGTTGTCAACCCCGAAGCCGGACTCCTTCCTCTGCCGGCCATAGGAATCATCGTCATTGTTGCTGCGGCCAACACCACCGGAGAAGGTGCTGTCGTTGGTGCCGTAACCCGACTTCTTATTGGAGTAGGAGTCGTTGTCGTTGTCGTTGTCGTCTCCAAAGCCGCTCGACTGCTGGTTTGTGTGGGAATTGTCGTTGCGGCTTGAGGAGTACTCATCATCGCGGTCACGGTTGCCGTAGCCAGAGCTGCGGTCCTCACCGTAGGACGAGTTGTCGCGGTCGTTGTTGTAAGACATGTTCAAATGAATTTGGTGTCTTGAAGGAGACTAGTATGACTGAAGATTGTTGGTAGGGTTGTGATCAGGAAGTTGGTGTTGTGTTGATGTCCTGTCACAGTTGAACGATGCCCCCTTCTTATAGCTCTTCCTCAAGACTGGCAAGCCACATTGGAAGCAAGATTTCAGATATTGTCCCAAAACGATATGTACCGCATCAGACCCCGCAGTTGGTGGAGCAGGCCCATACTACGAACCCTGTCAAGCTGAGCGTCATGGGCGACTGCGCCACAGATTGCTCCAGATGCACAGAAGTACTCCATTTGGGCGATGGTGCACGATAGCTTCGGCCAAAGTCGACACCACAGCTGCAATGGCGAGCATGTTTACGGTGCTGCGCCATGAGACTTTGCAGAGAACCACATCAGCCTTACCGATTTCGCAGTATCATCCGCACCCTCCATCATTGTTCGCCGAAGTAGGGCAGAATATGCTCGCCATCACACTGGATCTGGCGCAATCTACCTTGAAGTTGGTGGAGTTGCGAGCATCAAATCGGTGCGATATCAAGATGTTGATGGGCATAGTGGGGTAGATCCTCGGAGGGAGCGAAGAGCGAATGATGCCATGAGGATCGAGCACGGGACGGGACGGGATGGCCGGTGTCATCCCCTGCACGAGCACTCAAGAAACGGCGAATCCATGTGAGCAAGAATCAAGGTTAAAGGCCACTGCAAAGTTCGAAGCGATAGGTGGATTGAAGAGAGATGGCTCAAGGGAACGTTGGAGGTGTAACGGTGTTCCAAGGTTCAGATAAGCGTCAAGCCAAGCCTGATGAGCACAAGGGTACAGACTTTCGTACGGGCTTGGTACGGGCAACCGCGTTTCTGAGGGCAGGCGCCATCGAGCCAGCATGTTAGGAGACTGTCAATCGCAGACTACAAGCTCATACTGGTCGCTCGAAAGCTAATGAAATCCGGCTCGTCACGCATGAATGAAGAGCAAATGCAAGGCAGTTAGCAAGACAAGAGACATACTGAACATGCAAACGTTGATTGACTTCAAAAAGAAAAAGTAGGGGTACAGTATGTACAGCCAGCCGCCTGGTATCTCAAGCTAGCACAATTCATTTTGTTCTAACCACCATCCTTTACCTGTCAACTTCACCGAACACCAAATCCATAGTGCCGATGATAGCGACCGCGTCAGCGAGCAAATGCCCTCTCGAGATCTGGTCCATGCAGGCCAAGTGTGCGAATCCAGGTGCCCTGATCTTGCACCTGTACGGCCTCTCGCTACCGTCCGAGACAAGGAAGACACCCATCTCTCCCTTGGGCGCCTCAATGGCACTGTAGGTCTCACCGGGTGGCACTGTGTAACCCTTGCTGAAGAGCAAGAAGTGGTGGATGAGGGCCTCCATGTTCTCCTTCATGGCGGCACGAGGCGGAGGGGCAATCTTGTAGTCCTCGACCTTGATGGGGCCAGCGGGCATGTCGTTCAAGCACTGGTGGATGATGCGGAGGGACTGGCGGAACTCCTCCATACGGCAGAGGTAGCGGTCGTAGCAGTCACCGTTGACGCCGACGGGAACATCAAAGTCGACCCTGTCGTATGCGTCGTACGGCTGCGACTTGCGGATGTCCCAGGGGACACCGGATCCTCGGAGCATGACGCCAGAGAAGGAGTAGTTGATGGCATCGGCGGCAGAGACGACACCAACACCCTTGGTACGGCCGATCCAGATACGGTTGTCAGTCAACATCTCCTCGGTCTCGTCAATGCGGTCACCGAACTGGGTAGCCCACTGGTAAATGTCGTCGAGCAGACCGATGGGGAGATCCTGCGACACACCACCGGGGCGGACGTAGGCGGCGTGGAGACGGGCGCCAGAGACACGCTCGTAGAATTCCTGCATCTGTTAGCTCTCGTGCACCTTAATGCAGCGACGAAGTGCGCACCATAAGCTTCTCACGCTCCTCGAAGCCCCACAGGAAAGGTGTGAGGGCACCAACATCCATGGCGTGGGACAAGACGGACATGAGATGGTTCAGGATCCTGGTGATCTCGCCGAACAAGGTACGGATGTACTTGGCACGGATGGGGATGTCGACGTTCAGCAGCTTCTCAACAGCAAGGGAGAAGCACTGCTCGTTGGTCATCATGGAGACGTAGTCGAGACGGTCGAAGTAGGGCAGGGCCTGCAGATATGTTCGGTACTCGATGAGCTTCTCCGTGCCGCGGTGCAGCAGTCCAACGTGGGGGTCGGCCCGCACAATCTCCTCTCCGTTGAGTTCGAGAATCAGACGCAACACGCCGTGGGCGGCGGGATGCTGGGGCCCAAAGTTGACTGTGTAGTGACGAATCTTGCGCTCGCTGTGGACGTCGCCATCCTCCTCGAGCGCCGCCTGGTCCTCTGCGTTCTCGGGCTCGATGGGGCGGCTGAAGTCCTCAGTGGTGGGGACCATGCGCATGCGCTGGCTGTCCTCGACCTCAGCATAGCGGCGGGCGACGGTTGTCGACAGGGAGCGCGCAATTGGCCGTGTAGGGAGGGCGGTTCGGAGCTGTGGGCGGGCGGCGTTCAGGCACACACGCTTCGCGGCGTGGCCGGCCAGACGCGCGATGGAGACGGGCATGGTGGGTAAGGCTCGCTGGTCGTGCCCTTGTGAAGCCTCAATGGGCGTGTGGAGTGGGGATTGAGGGCGTGGCGGTGGTGAAGCTCTACCAAAATCGCACCGTCATACAACTTGTCGTGCTTTCGATTGGCCCGCGCGTCGGCGCTTGGCAGTCGTCTTCTTGCCGATGGCTATCAAAAAGTTTCGAGAGCTGCCCGCGCCGGGACCTCGAACTCCAGCAGCAAAGACACACTAACATGGCTCTCCCCAGTTCTGCCGTGCTGGCCGAGCGCAAGGCATGTTTGCGACCAAGACTGCATGTTTCCAATTTGCTAATAGTGTCTGTAGAAGCTCCATGTCGGCGCTGAAATTGTTCAGAACCAGCAGTCCACAGACTTCCCAGGACACTGGCCAGGCGAGAACCATGAATGGGACCTGGACTACTTCAAGGAGGTTTGTAGAATGACACAGAGTCTTCCTTTCTCCTTTGGAGGAAGTGAGTGCTAACCGCTCCCGCAGAACTTCAAGGTCCAGTTCCACGCCCGCCCCACGCCCTACGACTCCTCCTTCTCGCTCTCTGGCCTCGACACCTCTGTCGCAAACGCCTTCCGCCGCATTCTGCTCTCCGAAATTGCCACTCTCGCCATCGAAGACGTCTTCATCTACCAGAACACCTCCATAATCCAGGACGAAGTGCTCGCCCACCGCCTGGGCCTGATCCCCCTCTGCGGCGACCCCAAGGGCCTGGAGTGGATGAAATGGTACGTCAAGCCGAGCGACGACGACGAAGGCTCTGGCGGCCCCTCGGACTTCAACTGCGCAATCCTGCACCTGGACGTGGAGTGCAGCTGGCAAGAAGGCGGTCTGCAGCGTGCAGTAGCCGGCGAGACCGACCCCGATAAACTGTACATCAACCACTCCGTCTACGCCAAGGACCTCGTTTGGGCACCGCTGGGCAAGCAGTCGGAAATGTTCGACGCCGCGCAACCGATCCGCGCCACGAACCCCGACATCCTGATCGTAAAGATGCGTCCGGGGCAGAGAATCACACTGACCATGCACGCCATGAAGGGCATTGGTCAGGACCACGCCAAGTTCTCCCCCGTCGCGACGGCATCCTACCGCCTCATGCCGACCATCGACATCCTGAAACCGATTGTCGGCGCCGACGCAAAGAAGTTCGCGCGCTGTTTCCCCAAGGGCGTCATTCGTCTCGACAAGATCACCGATGAGGAGGCCGCTGTGGATCCTGAGTTGAGCGGGCACGAGGGCGAGAACAAGGCCGTGGTTGACAAGCCCATGAATGATACTGTGTCGAGGGAGTGTCTGAGGCACCCGGAGTTCAAGGACAAGGTGAAGCTTGGGCGGGTGCGGGATCATTTTATTTTCCGCGTTGAGAGCACGGGGCAGATTGAGAGTGATGAGCTGTTTTTGGAGAGCGTGAAGGCGTTGCGGATCAAGGCGCAGAGGATAAAGAGGGGGTTGGATGAGATGATGAAGTAGACGCCGAACGGAAGCGAGGAAGATAGTGATGAGGCTGTTTGCATTGCAAGGCGTTTTGGGAGGCTGGAAAAGTCACGATATCATGGGTGCCTGTGAGATAGATGGATCGATTGAATCTTGGACGTCTTGATTCTACATTCTCTGTGCTGTCTTATGCAGTCTGGTCATACTTCTCGAACTATGCTACATTACGAATACTAATACAAGTGGTGAAGAGAAAACTGGTTGTCAACAGCCAGCAAAAACGCTCACCGTGCAAATGGCACAAAGATGAACAATCGTAGAAACGTAGATCCGCAACATGCGAACAGAGCAGAAGAGCCACAGCATCTCCCTCTCAAAACGGGGCAACGAAATAGAACAAATGCACAGTCCTCACAAGCTCATGTTGGCAGGTTCAGTCCTCCAGCTCAGCAAGCGCCTCACAACACAGTGTCTGCACACTGCTCGGATCAAAGCGTGGCCGAAACTTGATATTCCTCCGACTCTCCCTCGCAGCTTCCACGGCAGCATCGTCGTCTTCCACTTCATCGACACTGATCGACCGACTATGCCTCGCAGCTTTAGCTTTGGTCGGCGACGGTCTCGGACTCGGCATTGTAAAGCGCACCGTCGGCACACTCGTCCTATGCTTCTGCTCCCGCACGTCAGCGAGGTGGTCCTCGATCATGCGCACGAACGATGCGATGTTGGCGGCGAAGTAGAACTGCTGGGGTGTTTGGGGTCGGGGCGTTGCTGTTGTCGTTACAGCATGACTTTTGGTTCTGGGAAGGGTCTCGTCAGAGGCCTGTGGTATGGGTTTCTTTGGTGACATGTATAGGTAGTCATCTTCGTCGCCGAGCGATGTGGCGCTGGATGCTACGCTCCTGTTTGAATATATGGAGCTGCGTCGGCACGAGTATGGAGATGGTAGGGCGGATATTGATGAGTTCGGGGACCAGGGATCGCATTGTGTTGGTGATTGGAGTGAGGAAAGAGCGAGGATGGCGGTGTTGTAGTGCAGTTCTGCCAGACTGAGCTCCTTCCAGCGGTTCTTTAGTGTTGCTTCTCGGGCCAGAGTGTCGTGAGAAAGTGCTGTGTAGAAGTTCAGATGTGCCAGGTGGAGAGGGTGCGTCTGACAGATGTTAGATTCATTTCAGGATATGCTGCATGTATAAATGCTCGAGCATGTGCCGTTGATTGCACTTACCTGATCATGTATTTCGCTCAACAACAGTTCGCCAAATTTGGCGCATTGTGAATAGTGTCGACTGGCATATAAGCTCTTCAAAGCTGCCATCTTTTCTTTCAACTCGCGGTATCGTGCCTCGTCCATCGTTTCGTCGCGTCGCGTCGCGTAATAGTGTCGTTCGTTGGGAAGTCGTCAAGGTGCCAGCCGAGGAAAGAACAAAGAAAGATAGGTGGGACAGGTCGAAACTTCAAGGAAAAAGAACGACAGAGCCCAGCTTCAACAATGGCAGAGGCTGGAGATAATGAAGTAATAATTGCAGACTAGCTGCGAAAAAACCACGCTTGACGATGGTGCATGCAAGAGATCGCGTTCGACCCCGCGAACTTTGGGATGATGTCAAAGGTTTGCTGCAGGGCTGATGCAGGGAAAGTGGCTAGCTGGTGAACGGGAAGATTATAAGCGATAAGAAAGGCAACGAGATCTCCAACGCGCGTGCAAAGCTAGAAATAATGCACCATATTATAGCTTGAACCTGATCAGATGTCACCGCTAGGGTATGCAGGCCGAGAGGGGCGGTTGTTTCAACGGCTGCACCATGTTTCATACCTAACGAACGTCTGCTCCGGCGAGGAACCAATTCCTATTTGAGCGAACTGGCATTGTTACTATTGGCTGCATGGTGTCTATCTTAGCCTGAAGATGCACAAGGTTCTTTGAGCTAAGGTGAACGTTTCAACCGTCCTTGAGTCGCAGAAACGACGTCTCGTCTACCTTGCTTTGTAGGTCACGCTCACTGCGACCGAATGCGACACTGACTCATCTTCGACCATGCGTTGCGAAAGCTCGACAGTCGTCTGGAGAAGATGCGCATATTCATGAGAGCGACTCTGGAGGAAAATAGACTTGGAAAGAACGGCGAGCAGGAGTTTCAGACCCGGATCTTCGACCGAGGACGCGGGACGCAGGACGAGAGCACTCGATTTCGAGCAAGATGGACAGCTAAACACAACACAGACGAATGTGTGAGAACGAGCTTACAGTTGCTTAGCAGGGTGACAAATGAGCTATGAACAGTACTTATTCTACACGGCGCAACTGTGCCAAATGTTCGGGATATCTAGTCTACCACTGTTACAGTCTCTACGACTCGGAAGCAGCCGCACCAGTAATAATCTCGACGAGTTCGCCAGTAATGACGGCTTGACGGGTACGGTTGTACAGAATCTGGAACTTGTTGATCATGTCACCGGCGTTCTTGGAGGCGTTGTCCATGGCGTTCTGGCGCGCGGACTGCTCGCAAGCGTGGCCCTCAGCAAGTGCCTGTGTGTTGTCAGTATGTTGTTTGCGCTGCCTAACTTAAGCTACGTACCCAGTAGAGGGAGTTGGCAAGAGCGTACTCGCGGAGGTTGGGGAGAGCCTCGTCCTCGATCTCGAAAGCGGAGTAGTTGGCTATGGTCATGTCAGAATAACGATCCAGACCAGTATCTCCACTGTTACATACCGGACTGGGTGATGGCCTCCTGGGAGTAAGCCTCCTGGACAATGGCCTCGTAAGAACCAGCGTTGATGAAGCTATTGTAGACGATCTGGATGGAGGCGTAGTCGGTGGGGAGGAGCGAGATCTGGTCGGCAATGGCGGAGGCATCGGCGAAGGTAGGGATGTCCTTTCCGGCACCAGCGAAGCTGAGGACGAAGTTCTTTCCGTTGGAACGGGACAGCTGAGCCTTGCACTTCTCACCAATGACGGCGATGTCGGTATTGGGGGCCTCGAGAAGCATCTTGCGGACCTTCCTCGACATACCAGAGTGGATACCACCGCAGAGACCCTTGTCCGAGGAGCAGACAACGATCAATGTCTTGTTGCCGTTGTCGAGGGGCTTGGTCTCGGCGCTCTCAAAGACGGCGTTGGAGGTCTGGCCGTAGGTACGCGAGGTAGCCATGGCCTTCTGGGCGCGGGTGAGCTTGGTGGAGGCGACGACCTTCATGGTCTTGGTGATCTTCTCGATGTTGCGAATCGACTTGAGGCGACCCTCGATCTCACGGAGCGTGGCGTAACCAGCGGCATTGGTAGCGGTAAGGGTGGCGGGCCTGCAGACGCAAACGTTCAGTCAGCACTTGATGCAATTGAAGATGCAATGGACGCGGCCAGTGCAGTGCACAGCGGGCGTGGAAAAGCTGCGACGCCGGGGGGGGGTGCGTACCGGGCGACGGCGGCGGCCATGCCAGCCCTCATGGCGGGACGGGCAGCTCGGGACAGCATCATGGCGAGGAATTGGGATGAGTGGAGATGGCGACGGCCGGGTGATGGTGGTGAGCTGCTGTCTGTTCGAGCTTCACGATGTCGGGCGGAATCTGTTGCGCTAGCCGTGCTTTCCCAGAAAAGCACGTGACCAGCGCGTGCAGCATTGGAGAAGTGCGGAGCATGCGGGACGCTGCATCGCGAAAATCATGGCTACTCTGTCATTCGAAGAGAGGCTCGTCATCTAGTGTATCCTCTCCTGTAAATAACGCTTGACATTTGCAACCTAGAAAATGATGATTTTCTTGTGGTGTTGGTCTGAAAACAATGACTTTGGACATGGAAGGAGCAATATACAAGCGTTGAACGACGTGCAGTTGGTTGCCTTCACAAACTTGACCCTGCAGCCTACTCTGACTAGCAATGTTTCTCTAGGCGAGATGTCGTCTCCAAACATCTCTTCCACCGTGTCGAGTTCTTAGATGGTAAGGCGACTTTTGTGACAAAGATTCCTGCGCGATCATTTTAGTAAAGGCCGAAAAGCCCGTGCGCCGCGTCGAGCCCGCTGAAGGGAGGCTTCACATAAACCCCAGCATTCCTCTTTCTTCACGCATCTATCGTGCTCTCACCTCTTCCACCATCGCCTCCCTCGCTCTTAGACTAATCCTGCCGGGCGGTTGCTTCACTTTCGCACGCGCCTCATCACCGTTACAGCGCGTCTCTTGCGCCCGTTCATTCGGTTCCGCTAGAGCTTCTGCGTTCGCGCCGAACAAAGCTGATTCAACCGTTCTGTCCTTACGATACCCGCGACACCAACGCGTTCACATCGATTACACAATGTCCTCCTCAGACGACACGCCTCTTGTGAAGGCGAACAATGGAGGTGAGTTTGACCGCGCACAGCTTCATTTGCCTTACGTCCACGTCACGTAACACTTTACCTACGCGAGGATCGCCCAATCTTGCCATCGAAGGCTTCTCCACATCAAACTACATCATTCTATGCCTTTGGCGCGTGCCGCTAGAATTCCATCGTCCTTCAGCATTTTGCTAACCACCTTTACCATTCAGCAATCTCCAACGAAACCATCTCCAAAGTCGTCGATAAAGCCATGGACAAGCAGGTCCCAGCCAACGGCCATGTCGAGCCCGGCATCTCGATACGAATGGGCCCAGTGGACGATATGGACGTCGATGCGCCTAACGGCACTGCGAATGGAAAGCGGAAGTCTCGCGGCAGCATCCCAACCGCCAATTACAAGGAACAAAGCGGCTCAGACGATGACGATGACAAGCCACTGGTGGGTTGACGACTGGCTCCCTTAAACGATCGTGGCGCTAACTCTCCCACAGAGTAAGCGGCGCAGAACATCTCAGCAAGCAAAGCCTGCGCGAGACGACTCAGATTCCGAACTCAGCGACGTACCACTCAAGGCTCGGGCACTTCCTAAGGCTTCTGCGGAGCAGATTGGGGAAGACTCTGACTCTGACGTACCATTGACCACGAAGTTGGTCAAGAAGAAGGAATCCATCGAGAAGGCCGCTGCGAAGGAAGCCAAGGCCATTCGTACAAAAGAGAAGGCAGCACCGAAACGTAAACCTAAGGTTGAGAGCGAATCCGACGATGACATTCCCCTTGCGAAGAAGAAGGCACCAGCAAAGAAAGCCAATGGCGTTAAGAAGGAAGAGTCGGATTCTGATGCTCCACTTGCAAAGAAGCCGGCGGCGAAGAAGGCTAAGGCCAAGCCGGCGGCAGCTCCTGCGAAGAAGGGCAAGGCCAAGGTCAAGTCTGAAGAAGAAAAGCAGCAAGACCAGGATGCCGAAAACGAAGAAGAGGAATACCGCTGGTGGGAGGACACAGCGAAGGGCGATGGCACCAAGAAGTGGGACACTTTGGAACATAACGGTGTTGTTTTCCCACCCGAATACGAACCTCTGCCGAAAAACGTCAAGCTGGTGTACGATGGAGTCCCAGTCTCTCTGCACCCGGAGGCCGAGGAGGTTGCTGGCTTCTATGGAGGCATGCTCAACTCTACCCACAACGTCGAGAACCCCACTTTCAATAAGAATTTCTTTGAGGACTTTGTCGCCGTCCTCGACAAGACAGGGCATGGCAAGGACAAGGATGGCAAGACAGTCAAGATCAAAAAGTTCGAGAAATGCGACTTCAAGCCTATCTTCGAACACTTCGACGCCGAGCGCGCGAGAAAGAAGGCTCTTCCAGCAGCAGAGAAAAAAGCTCTGAAAGCTGAGAAGGATGAGATTGAGGCGCCATTCATGTACTGTATGTGGGACGGACGAAAGCAAAAAGTTGGAAACTTCCGAGTCGAACCGCCAAGTCTCTTCCGTGGTCGTGGCGAGCATCCAAAGACTGGTCGCGTCAAGAAGCGTGTGTTGCCCGAACAGATCATCATCAATATTGGCGAGAATGCAAAGGTACCAGCGCCACCCGCAGGCCACAAATGGAAGGAGGTCAAGCACGACCACGAAGGCACATGGCTCGCTATGTGGCAAGAGAATATCAACGGTGCTTACAAGTACGTTATGCTGGCTGCGAACTCGGACATCAAGGGTCAGAGTGACTTCAAGAAGTTCGAGAAGGCTCGCGAGTTGAAGAAGCATATCGATCGCATCCGAACAGACTACAAGAGGGAGCTCAAGTCTGAGAAGATGGTTGACCGTCAACGAGCCACTGCCATCTACTTAATCGATCAATTCGCGCTCCGTGCGGGTAACGAGAAGGGCGAAGATGAGGCAGACACAGTCGGTTGCTGCTCGTTGAAGTTCCAGCACGTGACACTGAAGCCGCCAAATACTGTCATCTTCGACTTCTTGGGTAAAGACAGTATCCGTTTCTACGACGAAGTGGAAGTCGATACACAGGTGTTCAAGAACTTGAAGATCTTCAAGAAGGAGCCAAAGACCACGGGCGACGACATCTTCGACCGACTGACCACTTCAGCTCTGAACAAGCACTTGACTAGCTACATGCAAGGTCTTACCGCCAAGGTCTTCCGTACTTACAACGCCTCGTACACTATGGCTAGGCTTCTCAAGGAGATGAAGGCCACAGGTACTATTCAGGAGAAGGTCAAGGCATACAACGACGCCAACCGTGAGGTCGCCATTCTGTGTAATCACAAGCGTACCGTCGCTGCCGGACACGCTGGCTCCATCGAAAAGATGCAAGATAGAGTAAGTTCACCGAGCACACTTAGTTACTGAATTGCCCTGACACACCACAGATCAATGGTCTTCGATACCAGCTATGGAGAACAAAGATGATGATGATCGACGTCGACCCCAAGATCAAGAAGAAGAAGGGCGCTGAGTACTTCGAGCGACCAGAAGACCTCGACTCTGAGTGGGTGAAGGCACACCAGGAAGCTGAAGTCGAAGAGCTGCGCCAGAAGATCACCAAGAAGTTCGAGAAGGACAACGAGAAGCTGGCAGCAGAAGGCGAGAAGGAGATGAAGCCCAAAGAGCTGGAAGAGCGTCTCGAGAAGGCGGATGAGCTTGCAGCCAAGTACAAGAAGGAGAACAAGACTGGCAAGGTAGAGGCCGAGGGCAAGGGGCCATCGATCGACAAGCTCGAGACAGGTGTCGACAAGCTGAACCAGCGCATTGAAAACATGAAGATTCAGATGGAGGACAAGGAGGGCAACAAGGAGGTTGCCCTGGGCACATCCAAGATCGTAAGTTCAAGCAATTAACCCGATCTGAAGCTTGTGCTGACCACTACCAGAACTACATCGACCCTCGTCTTACCGTGGTCTTCTCCAAGAAGTTCGATGTCCCCATCGAGCGCTTCTTTTCCAAAACACTTCGCGAGAAGTTTGACTGGGCTATCAAGTCCGTCGATGAAGATTGGGAGTTTTAGACACACAGCACGTCTTCGGACATCTTCATAGGGCTACCGTCGGGGCGCGGAAAAGCACGGTGGCTATGTACAACTTCTGTATGGTTCTTCAGCTGCATTCAGCTTATGCATTGCTTTCACTCAGCGAGCTTTCGGTCTCCTCGCTACATAGCGCAGACTTACTGCGCACCATATCTTCATGATAGACATCGATTTGCAATAATTCCTGATACTGCAGTATGTTCAACGGTCTTGCATCCCGCTTGTGACAAATCCTTCGATCGTGCATTGTGCAGCGGGACGATCAGCATTACTTGCAGCATCGTGCACGTGCATGCTTACAATCTCAGCATCATGATCGCCAATGAGGCTATCGGTGGAATATCGATCTCAACGTGATTACCGGCCTCACCACATGCACGAAGTGTGCAGGCGATCTGGTGTGCAGAGCCTGGCCTGAGCGTGTATACACCTGTTCCACAAATAAATGTCAGACACTGTTTGCACGTGGAAGGCTTCTGGAAACGGTGTCGAAAGACATGTATAGCAAACACCTTCAGATCAGGACAGTGCTCGGCTGCAGCACAGATCGCAGATCCACTGTGACATATGACACAATGAGCTCGTGGCCAGGTACGCGGAGACACTGATTCGTTGACCTCAAGCCATGTTTGAGAAGCAGCAGACTTTCATGGCCGCGACTCATGCCTCAGCGTTTAGGAAGGAGACTTCCGGCCAACATCGCTGGGCAGCTTCAGGCGCCCCGCAAGCGTCATCAGCGATTGTGTTTCTTCAGATCGCTTTTGGGTCTTGCTCCTGGCTTCACCGGAGAGCTGTTTGCGCTGCTGCAGGTGTAGTAGTCAGGGCAGAGGGTTTGCAGGGTGGATGCTGGTGCGAGATGGATACGACAGCTGAATCCTGAACCAAAATCGAAATATTTGATTGAACTGAGATCTTGGCGGTGCAAGAATGCTTGCTCTGAGGTTGGTCTGTTTGAAAGTAAGACGGTCTACTCATCTTGCATCGCTCACAGCACGTCTTCGATTGGCATGTCTCTTGATATGGCAGAAACTGCCCGCCCCTGAGCCCCATCCCAGAGTTGGGCACCTGTCATATGACTGACTTAGCAGTCCGGCCATCGAGGTTCAGGGAAGGTTCAGGGCTACGGGAGCGCGCCGTCGTTCTGCTTGGCTTCCGTTCGGTGCCAATGTTCATCACCCGCATCCCGTCCTGTGCACATGGCGTGGAAGACAATATTGGACGGCACTGCGTGTGCCGTGCTGCTGTGCAACAGACGGAGGTGGTCGCTTGCAAAACCTCGCGCTGTACCTGCAGGGCCATGACGGAGGTCAAGCCTGCCAGACATGTGATGCAAGTGGTGAACCACTCCAAGGCCTGCAATTCAAAAAGTAATGCTGGAACACTGTCGCGGCGCAAACACGATGAGATGCATGGCATCAGCCACAAGCTCCACAGTCCGCGGCGGGCGTGTCTTCCTTCCCGATCGAAACAATGCCTTTAATTTTGCTCCGAAAGAGTTGTCGTGGCCACGGATTAAATATTGGCTTTGGGCTCCCACCATTCCAGCGGTCTGCACGTCAATGAATCGCGCTCGTCAACTGAAAGTTGTATGACATCTGCGCCGCGGCATTCGATCTCTCTTGGACTACTCCTCCGCAGATTTCTCCGTCAAATTTGTAAAACTGTCAGTCACCCTTCCTGCCCTTCCTGAAAAGGTCTGACAGTTCCCAAGCACCAGATACCTATTCCTGCAGTCACGGCGCGGCCTAAGTCCTGAGCGTGGCGATCATTCACCAACGCTCATCTCCCGGGTTTGAGATTACAATAGCACACACAGCACACGACAATATCCACGAAAGAGCACTTGCGCTGGAAGCATAGTACTCTGAGCGTGTGCGCCTGCAAACATGTCTACCGAAGGGAAGCCAGCGGTCCTGATAATAGGCGGCCTGGGTACGTCACCCAACTGGGGATCCCCCGCATGCAGCTGCGACACGAGGGTCTAACAATGTGATCTCAGGCTACATCGGACGAAACCTCGCAAAATACATCCACGACAGTAACCTCGCCTCCGAAATCCGCCTTGTCGACAAACACCTGCCCGAGCTGGCATGGCTTGCGCCCGAGTTCAAAGAGGCATGTTCGAGAGAGCGCTTCATGCAGGCTGATGCCTCGCAAGAACGTGCGTGCCCCTCCATAGCAGCGACGAGTGCATGGACTGATACACGCAACAGGCTCACTAGCGCGCATATTCGACCGCGAAGGCGGCAAGGAATTCGACTTCGTATTCAACTGCGGCGGCGAGACACGCTTCTCACAAGACGACAAGGTCTATGAACTCCGATCCCACGCCCTCTCCATGGCTGTCGGCCGCGAAGCCGCAAAGCGCAAGGTCCAGTGTTTCCAGGAGCTCAGCACAGGCATGGTGTACAAGCCGGAGTCTGCGCCGCGCAAAGAGATGGATAAGTTGAAGCCGTGGAACAATCAGGCGAAGTGGAAGCTCAAGGCAGAGGAGGACTTGGCTAAGGTCGATGGGCTTAACCTGATGATTATGCGGATTGCGCACGTGTATGGGCCGTATACAGGGAAGTTCCTTAGCACGGCGCTGTGCATGGCGAGGGTGTATCAGAGCAAGGGGAAGGAGATGAGGTGGCTGTGGAAAGAGGATCTGAGAACGAACACAGTGCACATCGACGATGTAGTACGAGCGTTATGGACAGGCGCTGAGTGGTATGTCAAGCAGGCGAAGAAGACACCAGCGCCCATCTACAACATTGTGGATCACGGAAACACCTGTAAGTGGCCAAAGCTCTGGGCGGTGGACATGAGCTGACATGTAGTAGCACAAGGAGTCGTCGCCAAGATCATGCACGACGTTTTCAACATCGAGACTGGCTTCCACGGCACACTGATATCGGCATTTGCACGGCTTAATATGGACCACGTAGTTGATGAAGTCAACGATGAGACATTGGATCCGTGGGCAGAGTTGCAGAATGCAGCTGGAATCAGCCAGTCGACGCCTCTGAGTCCGTTCATGGAGAAGGAGTTGTTGAAAGACACAGATCTGAGCATGGATGGTAGTGCGTTCGAGAAAGACACAGGGTTCAAGTAAGTTACGCGATATCGATGCACGACCTTATACTGACGTGTGACATCAGGTATACACACGAGAAGCTCACAAAAAAAGGCGTCGAAGAGGTAATCGAAAGCTACAAGAGACAAGGCTGGTGGCCATGAGACAACATCTTTCTCTCCTTACTGATCGATACCCATTCAACATCACGACGCTTTCACGGCCGATATTCGCATGATCATACCTCTTCCGCCTCCGACTTTGTTTGCATCTTCAGGCTCTGACTACGGCAAGCTACGGCATTGCATGTTCTGCATCTTTTCGTATCTATCTCTTGCACGTTACTACTGTGTATAATATCTTTGCACCGTTGGACGTTTCGTTCGAGTTGTCTCTGGTGGTATCTTTTAGCTTTTAGTCTCGCTTTGTAATTACTGTTCGCGTTTTCGTTGTTGATTCTGCATGTCTGGCTTGAGATTACATACCCAAACCAAGCATTCGTATCTTATTCCTTGCATTCTTCGACTTGTAGATTTGGTAAGGCACAGTGACTCCAAGTAGAGTGAGGCTTTAGCACGTGGCCAGTCCTTCTCACAGTCCGAAGGAACTATGCTGGTGCTGGTGTTTATTGATGACGACAGAGAAAATGCGAATGCAAGTCCAACAACTTGCCCCGCACTATATTACTCTAAACATCTCAACCAGGAACGCTGACGCTTCTAGCAAACCCAAATTCCCTAGCTTCCACCTGCTCTTACGATCAACCCTGCGCACAGCAAGACGCAGCAGCACACACAGCTAAAACGCCCTGTTGTGTCAGTATCGACCCAATCATCCCCTTGGCTGGTCATGATTTACGTTCAACCTAGATGCCCTTGGTGAACCAATGTTTCAGCAGCTCAAAGCAAGCATCAGCACCCGTCAACGCCTTGAGAGACTCCAGGTGCTCGTTGGTCTCCGCAGCTTCATCGCCTAGCAGATCCACTAGCGCGCCTTCTGCCTTAAGGTTGTTATGGAAAGCCTGCGCGACCTTGCCCTTGCCACTCCCTCTTCTTCGTCTCTCCACCAGCAGCGACGCAGTTGCACCCAACACTGGGTCGTTGCGCAGTTATGTGTGAATGGATTTTGATATTTGGCTTGGTGAGTCCCCCTCAACAGCTAACAATGTCACCCCTCTAGGTTTCCATTCCCACCTGATTGGGCCTTTGCTCAGGATGCGCTCAATGCTCTCTTCACTTTCACACAGGATCCAGACTTGGGTGCTCTGATTAGCGGCACCGGCCGGCTCAGCAGACGGTGCAATACGTCGCTCATCATGACCGGTTGGTCAATGATGCAACTTGGACGCATTTGGAACTGCAGGAAGTCGACGCGTTTATCGAGCCCATCTGAGCACAATCTTTCCAACTCCAGACAACATCTAGACTAGAAGGTGAGTGTGCTGCGGGTGCTCTGCCTAGTGGTACCAGTTGGTGCAACGCGTTGCTCGTCATGATCGATTAGTCGATCATGCAACCTGGACGCATTTGGATAACAAACAAGCTTCGGCACGCTCCTCGCGTGCCCGACAGACCTGTTGATGATACTGTGCTGGTAGAGAGTCTGCCAATAGTCCCTCGCTACCGAGCAATGCCAGCGCTCTTTCGCCGGGGTGAAGAATCTTGGGGTCATTGCGAGCTGGCTCGTCTTGGCTTGTAGTGGCCGTCATCTTGACAGTCAGCATTACACTTGAGAGGATGGAGACGGGATGTCCATTCGAAAGGTGATTGTCGTGAGGGTGGCAAGTCCACCTGCGAACTACGTCAGCTACATACTCAGTCCGTTGTCATACGAGATCTTTTTTCATTGAATGCTCGTCTAGATGGAGAGCCTTGAAGAAGAAAGGCGACGTCCATTGTCTGCTGTCTCTTTGTATCTTTTTCTTCTATATTCCCGCCTGCCGCAGCAGTCGATGGAAAAGTGCTTGCCAAACAAATAATGTAAAAAAGTCTTTAGACGCAAACGATTTGAACCTAAGCAAAGAGATAGCACTCACGTCAGAGCCAGATGAATACGAGCGTCCGCAATCTACAGCTGTACAGCACAGACGTTATCTTCAGAGATTGATATCATAGTAAGATTAAGAAATTACACACTAAAGTATACCGGAGACCGTTGCTAAACTATCGACCGGGGTAGCCATCAAGAAGGGATATTCCAACCATAAACAAACATAAACACATAAACGTAGCGAGCATGTTGACTCGAGGTGCTCTGCAGACGATCTTACGGCGGCAGGCCAGAGAGATTCTTACTACTCTTCGACACCGTTACTCAGCTGTCCGCTCACCACCGCAAGACGCTTAGTACGAAAGGGCATCAGCACAGCCAAAGTGCTGCTCAACACCCAGCGCACCAGGGTGCTTCCACGGGTCATCCTTGAAGCTGAACAGACACGCCTCAGCACCGACCTTCTCAATGATCTTCTTCATAGCCTCCTTCTGCTCGGCAACACCAGCAACCGCCTTGCCGTTGTTGTTACCCGCGCTGGGCCAGCCAATCTCAGAAATGTACTTGCCCTTGGCGGCTGCCTCAGGGCACACCTTAGCAGCCTGTTCGAGCTGCTGTGCGGCAAAGTCACCAGCCATGTCGGGCGAGATGGATGCAGTGAAGTACGGGTGGACCTGCACGGTGAAGACGTCGATGTGGCTGCACAGCGCGGCGCCCTTCTCCTCCCAGGTACCAACGGGCTCGGTGGTGGTGATGGCGATGTCCTTGGGGAAGCCGGCGCCCTGGAGCGTCTCGCGGACGTGGTCGATGTACGAGGCGAGCTCGTCGGGGCCGCAGTTGTTGTTAAACATGCACTCGTTTCCGACGATGACCATGGCGATGCCATCCTTGGGCGCATTGTTCTTGATGTCGTCGAGCTGGTCGTTGGCGTACTGAGAGAAGGGGCCCTTGCCGCCGCTGCCGCCGGCCTCGAGGAAGATGCCGTAGATGATCTTCAGGCCGTGCTCCTGGCAGGCAGGGACGACGTACTCGAACACACCGCAGTCGGTGCTGTAGGAGCGGATGGTGGTGAAGCCAATGTCGGCGATTTGCTTGATGTCAGACTTGATGTCGGCCTCGGTCTTGCAGTTGCCATCAGGAGCGTAGGGAGTGTAAGTCATAGCCCACTTGTTGCCATTGGTGACGATGCGGCCACCAGAGCTGTAGCTGCCGGTGGGCTTGGGCTTATCCGCAGCCTTGGAGCTGCTAGGAGCAGGCTTGGGTGCATCGACAGCCTTGGAGCTGCTAGGGGCGGGCTTAGGAGTGTCAACAGCCTTAGTGGGGATCTCGGGAGTGGCAGGCTTAGAAGGCTGTGGAACCTCTTTCGAGGACTGGCTGACTGCTGGCTTGGTTGGGTACTCAAGAACTGCCGGCTTAGATACCTCTGGAACAGCCGGGACGGTAGGGTAGACTGGCTGGGAAGCCTCAGGTGTCTTGGTGGAGATCACGATGGGAGTGTAGATAGAGCTGGCCTTCTCGCCCTCAGTGCACGAGGTCGAGGTCTCCGCGGCAGGAGTAGAGTGCTCATATATGGCAGTGGTGTTGGGCACAATCGAGGGCACTGAAGCATGTCAGTTGTCGAAGTCACTTAACGTAATCCGCCTCTACTCAAATCACAAGCGTCCAAGTCTTGCTACGAAAGATAGATTACATACGGGCGTGAACGTAGACAGTCGTGTAGACTGTGCAGACTTCGTCCTTAACGGGCTCGTATGCGCCACGGCGCATGTGGAACCCAGCGTGGTTCTTGTGCTCAAAAGCAGCAACGGACGCGACAAGCGCCGAAGCAGCGACGATGGAGGCCTTCATCTTGATTCAAGATGGGGACAGAACCGGTTTTCTTTTATGTTTATCCGCTGAAAGAGTGAAGCGGTGTGGTAGTAAACGAGTGGCTGGGCACGGAGGCCGTTGAACTTTGCTTACGAGGCTGTTGATGCGTGCGAAGCCTTGCGTAGGAAGCAAAGCAAGCATGCAACCGGGGAACAGAGGCCTTTTGATGGACTTACCATGATCCCGTGGGCACGGTTGCTGCCATGCATCGAAGGCGTTAGGATAGGGGTCCATGATATTAAACCTGGAAGATGCAGGTACACATGCGGTAAAACGTCGTTATTGGGTCACTAGGGCGTCCAAACTACGGCGCATTGGACCACGATGTGCACGCCGGCGCATTAAGGAGATGAGGCCTGGGGAAACACGACAAGGTCGTTCCTTCGGCTGAGGCGCGGACTAGTTGTGGTTAGTGCATAATTTCCCCTCTGCAAGACACCGTCACAGTAACAACCGCGCCGAGATGACCGACATGAGCGCGAATCTTCAGATGCGCCGGATCACCGGACCCTTGGAGATGATATTATTGCAATCACAGCAACCTGTCTTTGTACGAGGTGGTCTGTGGCTGTCGAATGAGCTTTCCATCCGGCGTCGTCTCTCGTCAGCAGCACAAATGACATTATGGATCCAAGAGCCAACGGCTAATCTTCTACCAACAGTTCGGGTCACTGCGTTGCCGAGATGCAGGTACAAGACGGCTCGTGCACCAGCCTTGCACGCTAGCATGACTATAATTGGTCAGTGATCTATCGTTTGAAGCTGCGGATCGTGTGCTGGTAAGTGTGGGCGACTAGTTGCGATACTCGATCGTCGTGGGTCTTGTAGTCATGAAGACTTCGAGAGTTTACATCCAGTATGCGAATACCTCCAGACATGCTGGACACTGTTGTCTGTTGCGAGAGCGAACAGGATTACAGTGGCGGCCTGAAGTGTGCTTTGCTGTGGAACAGTTGAGTGCGGCACAGCGCCGTGTTGAGAAGGCGGTGTTGTGGAAGGATGTTTGCTGCCAAGTGATATTTGTCTTGGACGCTTAGTCGCGTTGGCAGAACGTGCCGTGACGATCTTGCTTTGTTGTGATCGAAATTGTCACACGAAGAGGTGCATGAATCGCAGCTGTGGACTTTTGTCGCTAGTCACTGTCAATTGGCGAATGTCAGCTCGGCCTTGTGGTTGCGATGCAGTTTTGAAGTACAGGAGTGGAGGCGTCCACCTCGGCCAGTGGTTGTGCAGCTTGCCGCCGGCAACATGTCACGCGGACACAAATGTGACAACCCGCAATGAAATGAAGGCGCATTCGCGAGATGATTTGATTCCAAGTCATTCTGGAGGCTTGTGGATACACCTTTTCAACCGCTCCTGCAGAGTTTAAGCAAGAAGTCACTTCGCTTGTCGTGCTCATATCGCCAAACACCGTCGACCATTTCAGAAAAGAAGTTGAGCTAAATGGATAGACCTGATAGTGCTTGAGGCATGCATTTGACATACTTCTTAACCGCCACCGGTTCCGGAATAGAAGGCACCGACGTTCCTGAAGCGAGTTGTCGCAGGCTCAGCCGTCTTGATCGCACAGCCCTCCGGCACCTCAGCCCTGTCGAACCTATCCTTGATCCATCTCAGGAAATTGAATTGCGTTACCTGAGCTGCCACGTTGTGGTTGGCATCCGGGTACAACATCCGTGTGGCCTTAGACTTGGAATACGCATTGCACGTTTGGTTGAAGTCCCACTCTGTTGTGGGCGTATGTGAGTGGATCGCTAATACCTTGTACAACCAACATAGGTGCGGCCAGAGCGTGTGGACGGCGCCATTGTAGCGCTTCTGCCAGTCAACCGCGGCAGGATGCTCGAGCCAGCTCAGGTCCTTGAACAATTCGTCCTCCGTAAGGTTCGAAAACAAGGCTCGGCCGACGAGCAGACATCCCTGGTCCATAAGAGGAATGCGCCCGAGGACTGTATCAGTAAAATAGACTTCCACTCGGATCTGGTCTGAGAACACAAGTGCAAGCGATTGCAGGAAGAAGACGGAAACAGCGTCGCCGATTGGTCCACCTGCAGCACGACGGACTGACTCTGGAATGAGATCCAATGGACGCAGTGCTGGTGAACTGGCCACTGTACCAAGAAACTTGCCGGCCTTGAGAAGCTCGTCCTGGCTTGGCATGGCCAACTGTTCGTTGGTCCGCCATGCTGTCATTCCACCCTCGCTGTGTCCTACGACAACTCATTCTTCTGACAAGAGATCACCGATGGCCTTGCGAGCAGCAATAAGACCATAGGCGACATCTGCGGCGTGCAGATAGCCTGCTTCGTACATGAAGCCCTGCGGTATGTCCGGTCCCTGACCAGCGTGGTCAGGAGCTATGACTGCATACCCAGCTGTTGACAGAGCGTATGGTCCCTGCCATTCATAGTATAAGTCCTTATGATTCGAAGGTACACAGTTACGGATTCGTCCAGCTGTTCCGTGAGTCCAAACCGCAGTATTGAACGGCTTGTTAGGGTCAGGCTTGTTGTAAGGGAGCAGAACAAAGGCACTAGCAGGGATTGGCTTTCGGCCGATGTCCTCAGTCATGTGAAGAAACTTGGATATAGACATTCCAGCGGGAGATGTGAAATTCTTGTTGACAACGTCCCGTGACAAGTCTTCCCACCGCAAAAGGTCGCCAGGCTTTGCCCCTGTGGCATTTCCGAGATTGCTGTAGAATGTACCTGTAGTTACGTTCTTGGAGACTCAAGAGGTGGCATCGATCGCTTGAGATTGACCGAAGGCAGCCTGACAGGCTGTGTCGCACGCCTCATGAACATTGCCGAAGAGTGCAGACAAGGAAAAGAGGAGAAGTGATTGAGCCCTCATTTTGAAAAACCCGCTTGGAATAGAAGTTGCGAAAGACCAATCCGAATTGGATGCTGAGAAGTTGAAGGAGCTCCACGACGTTTTATAGACCGTCGATCTGAGGTAGTTCCATCCTTGACTTACCATCGCATGTGCAACGTCAGGCTCGAGGCCGTTCATCGTTGATAGTCCCACCGCGATCTAGGCAGTATTAGGAGTATGGCACATCGCTCTCGACGCAATTGTTCGCTGGATTGTCGTCTCGGCAGTTATTGAGTGGTTGATGAGGGCGAGAGAACTACCTAAGCCTCCAACCCCAGAGACTGTCATGATAGATATTCGGCCTCGTTCGAGTCCACTGGCCCCTACGCATGCCTAAAGCAGACTAGCATTCCGTTGCTGCTGATGTCCGCGGCACGCGTGCCGTGACCCTGACGATCAGGTAGATTACCCCACGATAACGAGCGGAATTTGGTATTTGCAATTTTGAGTGTTGAAGAAGTGAGGGGGCTGGCAGCGTGAGAGGTGTGCTCTAGTAGCTCGGTCCAAGCTTCGGAAACGGAAGGAAGGTTCCGGCATCCTTACTTTCGAGCAGCAAGAACATTTTCAACCCAAAACACTCCAAGTCCAGATACACAAAACAACATCACTCGATGTACATATCCCCGAGGCTAAATATATGAAAGGCACACAAGATGCAGATCGCGAAGAGTTAGTACAAGGTGTTACCGCTCTGGCGCAGTGGTGCTACGTGCACCTAGGTATGAGAACGACACATTGACCGGCATACTGTTTGGAGGTCATCTTCATGTGCTTCAGCACGTCGGTCAGCCCTCATCGCCGAAGGTCCATCTGCGAAGGTAGATTGTGACGACTCAACACAGTCTTCTGGCATCAAAGAACACCTTTCACGGCTTGAGCTTCTGGCGATAAGCTTGTATCAATCAAGCGTTGCCATTGTATACTCTAGTGCTAACGGAAGCCTTGAGCTGGGTACAGTGTTCCCCCTTTTGTGGCGTCAAATGCTTGATGACGGAGGCTGCGTCTCGAACGATCTCGGTGCCTCGCAGTCTGTGTTCTCGGGCCCGAGCCGCCAACTCTAGAGTCCGAAGAGCGATCTCTGCGCCATAGGCTGTATGTCCGCCTCTGAGATGCGACTAATATATCGGAGGCTGAGTAGATTGCGCCTGAAATAGCCTTGATGAAGTTCTTCAGGCAGCCAAATGGATATGTATATAGGTTAGGGCGTCACCGTCGGTATGGCAGACACAGATCATCTCCAGCTCAGACTACAAACCACGACGACCTCCACGACCTAACACTCTGTTATTCAAAATACGTCAAGAACTCCAATGATTTAGGACAACTGCCCAGACACCGCTTTAAACATCAACTCTCAAGATGCCAGGCATGACCTACCATCTCAAGATTGCCATCTGCGGCGCTGGACCAGTCTCCCTGACCCTCGCCAACACCCTGCAAAACAATAACATCCCCTTCACCATCTACGAGGCAGCACCAGAAATCCGAACGCAAGGCGGTTCACTTGATCTGCATCCTCAAAGCGGACAGCTTGCCCTGAAAGAAGCCGGCCTCTGGGACCACTTCAAGCAGTACGCACGCCCCGAATCCGACGTATTGAAGATCGTCAGACTCGATGGCGAAGTCCTATGGGACGGAAACAGTGCCGACAAGCAAGAAGTAAAAGAGGAGGAGAAGTTCAATGGGCGACCTGAAATCGATCGCCGTGCATTAATGAAGCTTCTGTACGAGAACTTGAACAAGAACTCGATCGTCTTTGGGAAAAAGCTGCGAAAGGTGGTTCCCAGCGAAACAGCAGCTAAGAAGTACGATCTACACTTCGCAGACAACACAACAGCACCATCCTTCGACCTCGTCATCGGCAGCGACGGCGCCTGGTCAAAAGTCCGCACCCTCCTCTCAGACACAAAGCCCCGCTATTCCGGAATCTCGATGGTAGCAGCCAGCCTCAACAACATCCGCGCGAACCCATGGCTCACGAACTACGTCGGAGAAGGCTCCATGTTCTCCTTCGGCAGCGACATGTCGATTACTTCCCAGCGTGGAGACAACGGTTACCTCTTGACCTACGCATCGCTTCGAGTCCCAGAAGACTTCCTCGAGACGTGCGGCATTGACTGGACCGATGCAGTCACTGCGCGAAAAGAGTATATGGAGAAGTACTTCTCTCACATCAGCCCGGATCTGAAACGTGTCTTCCTTGCATCCATCGACGACCTGACTCCCCGCCCACTCTACGAGCTCCCCGTCGGCTTCTCGTGGGCCCCCCGGTCAGGCGTTACGCTCGTCGGAGACGCTGCACACGTGATGACGCCGTTCGCTGGCGTTGGAGTCAACGTGGGTATGACAGATGCGTTGGTTTTGGGGAGGGAGATCATCGATGCTTGTAAGGGGGGGAAGACGCTGGATGAAGCTATAAAGGCGTATGAGGAGGAGATGGTTCCGAGAGCGGCGAAGTTTGCGCAGAAGACGTTGCGGGGGAAGGAGAATCATTTCAGTAAGGATGGGGCAAAGGAATTTGCTGATATGCTGAGGGCACATCATGATGCACCGAAGGCTGTGCAGGGCAGTTGGGAGTGAAGAGATGCGATTGTGACGAGTCTATAGGCCGGTGGAGGACGGATGCCAGATTGGGAGTACTTGACCTTGCTGATGCTTCGAGCTTTAAATTTAGATCTCGATAGAATTCATGATTTTCATCCTATTCAAGACCACTCTAGATGACGATATCGATTCCTTTTGGGTATCTGGAAAACGAAACAAGATGAAATGGGGAACAAAGTTCAAGGGCTACGTTCTCAATGGCCCAACGCTTGCCTGCTGCTCCACGCCCTTCACATCAACGACCCACTCCTCATCCCTCTCCCTACTCGACCCTCCACTCCCTTCCATCGGCAGTCCTACGCCATCCCTCGAATCCCTCGTCAATTCCTCAAACTCAATGTCCATCTCCACAATCTTCGTAATCCTGCTGCTCTTCTCCCCACCCCGTTCATAGCTGCCAATCGTCCTGACTTGTCTGCCTTCACTCCCATGGTATTTCCCTCCTGTGGATCTCCCGTCAACCAGCGGACTCTGCGTCCACAGCCCTCTGATCATGAGGCCGAGCGAGGTACGAAGGATATGTTTGACGAAAGCAGGTAAGACGGGCAGGCAAGTGGCAAGGAAGCCGAATGTGAGTTCTGGCTCCGCCCATTTGCCCATGAGCGCGGCGCGGTAAGTATAGTCGGTTGAGTAGTAGAGACGGATGGCGTAGTAGATACGGATCGAAGATGCTACGCAGGCGCTGGAGGTTGTTAGTATCTCATTATTGAATCACAAGAAATTATCGTACAGGCCTCCGAGCAGAAAGACAGCGCTGAGTCCCCATTTCCGTTTCTTACTGAGCTCCAGGCGCCAGATGACAGGTTGTGGTAGTATCACTATGATGAGATCACTGGCCGTGTTGATCGATGCTGAGACGATGTGTACGACCAAGTTGTCCTTGACGCATGTTCCCTGGATCAGTGGGTTCCAAGCATATGCCAGCGGACGGCAGGCTAAGAATTGGAAGAGAAAGAGTGCGACGTAGAACATGACGTTCAGCACCAGGAATCCGTCGATAGTCCATAGCAAAAATGGACGCGCATGTAGAGATCGGTTGTGTGGCATGAAGATGCGGCGGATTTGCAGGATGAGGGCGACTTTGAGCGGGATGATGACCAGAGCGTAGATGGCGACTGATATGTAGAAGAGCTATTTCGTGTCAGTGTAAGCACTTCAGGCTGTTTAGTAAGGAATGAAGGTTTGAGGAAGGCGTAGTGAAGTTCTAGGTACGTACGCGTGCATGCTCGATCGCTTTTCGAGCTGTAAGATCCCACTGATGTACACCTAGCGGTAAGCCCTCGATCATGAAGACAATTACATGGAAGCCGGCGAAGCAGAACCATGCTACTATTAGCCAATCTGGATTGATCTAGTTAGCATATTGGGCCCCTCCAGTCTCCGACTTACTTCGGCGCATCTCATGAAGGTACTCACAGTCTTCAGCCAACATCTTCCTCACAACTCTCAGCTTGGTATAGACCCGCATCCCCACAACCACCGTCGCAACTACCAGTTGCAGAACCGCGAGTTCCGGGTGGCTTAGGTTATCCGGATGTTCGAAGTTTGGCTGGACGCCTGGAGGCGGCGAGAGGGCAGGTCCATTCAGTATCGCATCTATCGTGGATTGATTCATCGCACCAGACTCTAGCAACCGTTTGCCTCGCGTATGCGGCACAACAGATTCTCATTCCTTCAACCCTTCAAAGACTCGGAATTCAATCTTACTGACACCGAACAAAAACAAAAGAAAAGAAAAGAAGAAATATCAAAACCACTGATGAGACGCGCGGCGTAAGCTTGTGCAATTTATGATGGGACTGGTGGGTAATGATAGGTAGTACACGAACGGAAAAGCATGAGGTTGACTTTCCAGAACAACGGTCGCGCAAGTCATGCCAAATCATCTTATAACAATTGTGATCCCATGCTGCACGTCTGCCATGCCATGGCTGCCACGCGCGTTCAAGCCTGTCGAGTGATACGGCTACTTGCAGCTAAAACGAGCTTACCATGGGGCTTGCCATGGTATGATGCTACCTACACACAACCGAACATGGGTGGAAGGATCAATCCTTGAGCAGAAAAGCAGGCGATGTTGCTGACAAGGGAAGCAATTGGCGAACGGGCGCTCTTGGTGAATTGTTAAGTGGGATGAGGTGAACGAGAGGCCGTTGCAACATGGGGTGAAGTTTATAGTGTTCGGGGTGATTGGTGGAAGGAGCCACTGGATTATGCAGGTACGTTACGCCGGCCGCCGCGTCAGTTTGAGGCACGGAGACGGACGGCCGCCAAGACAGCCACTGTGTGCGGGGGTGTGAAGGTATGTGGAGATTGGGGACGGCAACTCTTCGGCTGCTGAAGTGATGCATGTAGAGATGTATGTATGCCTCCTAGCTGTGATGTGAACAACACTGCAAAGCTGTCAGCAATACCTCGGATGAAAGACATATCTATGATCTTGTGATCTCAGTTGATCGGAATATTTCGTGATTATACAACCTCCACGCGCTTACCCCAGATCTCAACCGCGGCCCACAGGTTCGTACTCGGATCCAGCAATCAGGGTTCAGCAAGCTACCCAAAGCTATCCAGAACGAGGCATCACCTCCGCTTGAACTTGCTCTTCATACCAATGACTGGCCTCTTAACAACGCCATCGCCGTCTTCCTTCTTCTTACCCAGCACCGCCTTCTTGATCAGCGGGCCGCTCTCTTCTTCAGCAATCCTCTGCTCCTCCAGCGCCTTGTCTTCCGCCATTTTGGCCTCCAGTTCCGCTTTCCGGTTGAACTCGCGCTCGGTGACGCGTTTGTCTCTCGCAGAATAGCCCTTTTCTTTGACTGAGTAGAACACTGCGCCCATGTCTGCAAGCCAGTGTGGATCCACGGACGTGACGCAGGACATGTATTCCTTGCTCGTGAGGATAAGCTCGTGGTAGACAACATAGTCAGGCAGGTACCCGAGTCCATAGAGGGCACTGGTGGGGTGCAATTGAATAGTGACGCTAGTGCGGAGATTGATGTACTCGCCGATGCCCTTGACTTTGGCGGCCTGGTGGTAGTAACCCGAGCAAATGCATTTGCGAATGATATCCCAGTCCGTACCACAACTGACAAGAGGCATCTTCTGCTTCTCCATGATATCCTGTATTTGGTCGCGAATTTCCTTGCCTCGGCGCAAAGCTTTGGGGTGCAGGAAGTGCCGAATGCACCAGCCATCTGAGTAGCCGTTGACTTTCCACTGCGTGTAGACGTGCAGCAGCGTCAGGTGATCAGATTCTGGGACGAAGAATTTCTCGCGCGCGGCGTCGGATTCTTCTTGCCGCTCTTTGGGGCGGTAGAAGACGGAGGGGACGGACAGCATGGCGACGATAGTCAGCATTTCTTCGCTGCACTCGTACTCCACTGCTGTGATTACCAGTTTCGCGAGGGAGGGGTCCATGGGAAAGGCTGTCATTGTGCGACCAAGGGGAGTCAGGTCACCAATATTGTCAAGCGCACCGAGGGCCCAGAGGTCGAAGAGCGAGGTTGTGATGGTATCTTGCGGTGGGGCATCCATAAAGTCGAAATCGAGGAGGTCTTTGACGCCGAGAGATTTGAGAAGGAGAACAGTGTTGGCTAAGTTCGTCCTTTGAATCTCAGGAATGGTCTGGATGTAAAACTCATCTCTGAAAGCCCGTTCGGTATACAGATGGAAGCATTTACCGGGCCCTGTGCGGCCAGCGCGGCCAGCACGCTGAGAGGCGTTTGCTTGTGAGATGGGTGTGATCTGAAGGGTGTCCATACCCATTTTGGGATTGTACACTTTGAGTTTCGAAAACCCTGCGTCGACAACGTACATGATACCATCAACCGTCAAGCTCGTCTCTGCAATGTTGGTGGCCACAATGACCTTTCGAACACCAGGCGCAGCCCGTTCGAAGATCTTGGCCTGCAAATCTGCCGGCATCTGACTGTAAATGGGTAGAATACTGATCTTAGGAGGATCATTGAGAAGCTTCAGCCGCTCTGCAACGAGCTCGCAGGTAATCTCAATGTCTTCTTGACCAGTCATGAAAACCAATATATCACCTGGACCCTGCGAGACGTGAATAGCAAGAACCTGCTTCACAGCACTGTCGACGTAATCCTCACAGGGTGATCGCGAGTACTGTATGTCCACGGGGAAGGTGCGGCCTGGAATGATGAATTCTGGTGCTCCACCATAGAAGCGAGAGAACCGTTCTGAGTTCATCGTGGCAGACGTAACAATCAACTTGAGATCTCTTCTGCGCGCCAGAACCTTCTTGATAAGGCCCATGAGCACGTCGGTGTTCAGCGCACGCTCGTGTGCCTCGTCCATGATGATGCAAGAGTACTTGTCCAGATCTGGTTCGACCAAGGACTCCCGGAGAAGAACACCGTCAGTCATGTACTTGATTTTGGTTTCCTTGCTTGTGCAATCCTCGAAACGAATAGCATATCCAACCAGGCCGCCAAGTTTGACTTCCATCTCTTCGCTGACACGCTTGGCAACACTCATGGCGGCAACACGCCGAGGCTGTGTACACCCGATCAAGCCCAGCTTCCCATAACCATCCTCGTGAAGGAATTGTGTCAGCTGTGTTGTCTTCCCTGAACCGGTCTGGCCCACTACAATGGTGACCTGATTATCTCGAATTACGCGGAGGAGGTCCTCGCGAACTGCGAAAGCTGGCAGGTATTGCCGCTGCTCCCTGAGTGTCTTGCTCTTACTGAACGCGCTGGCGCCTTCCTGCTTGCTGAGATGCTCGGCGAACTTGCTTCCGCCCTTCTTCTCGACATCCTCAGGCATCGGGCCGGCACTGTCTGTGTCTTCCTCTTTCACACCCATGATATTGCCCAGTGTTGTTCCCTTGGCACTCGTGGCCTCCTTGGTTTGCTTCTCGCGTTCCTTCTGCTGCCGCTTATCCTTGACGACTTTACTGCCTCTGCGACTGAAGACAGCCATGTCGCTTTGTGGGTCGCGCACCGCCGGGACTGGGTCGATCTGCTTGGTGAAGACTTTTTTGCCGTCCAGGAACGGCGGCTTCAGGTCGTGGACCAAGATGTGAATGCGAGTGGCTTCGTCGTCATCGTTGAAGTCGTCGTCGAAGTGTCTTCTCTGCGCAACGCCAGACTGCAGCATGCGGTTGGTCTCCCACGCATCGACGTCTTTTTGCTTCTGCTGTGCCCGCATGCTGGCGCGGTTGTTCAGCTTCTTCTCCGTCAGCGCCGCCTCGCGCTGCGAGTCTAACCATGAGCTTTCAGCGCCTCCAAATGGATTGTGCGAGTCGTCTCCGAAGGTGTGCCCGTTCTCCTCTCCACCGTACCAGTCGCGGTCCAGCGCCATCGAGTCGAAGTCCTCCACCAGCGGCTCCGGCCCGTCGAAGGGCTTCTGCGGAGCGTCTGCGCCATTGCCGTGCTGCGCGCCATTCCGGTCACGGGGGCGGTTCGGCTTGCGGAACTTGGGCTGCGGCGCGATCGAGTACTCCTCGGGGTCGAGCTTGCGCCGCTTGGGGCTGTGGCCGCGCTCCATTTTTGTGGGGTCGTGAGGGTTGATGGACGTGACGCGCTCGGGGGTCCGCGAAGGGTGAATTGCATATCGATAAGGAGACCACGCTAAAATTTCCATGTCGAAAAGTTGAGTTCCCCGCTCACAAGTTCGAAGTTGCGCATCGAACATACAGCAACATGTCTATGATCACTGCGACAACATGGGTGCCGCGCGGCTTCGCGGCGCCCTTCCCGGAAAAGTACCAGTTCGACGAGGACGAGTACGAGCGCATATCCCAGCTGGCGAAGCTCCAGCTCGACGATGCGAAAGAGGACCTCGAGGAGGCGCAAGCCGAAAAGAAGGGCACAAGCAGCGGCAAATCCAGGTCGAAGAACCACGAGTGTGTTGCAGCTGTACAGCCCTGTTGTTTGTGTTACTCATGCTTTGCAGCGACGACGATGACGACCTCAAAGAGTACGATCTCGAGCACTACGACGACGAAGTCGACGATGCGGCTGGCGACACCATGGCTATGTTCGGCAACGCCAACAACCTGGTGTTCCACGAGAACGACGAAGACGACCCGTACATCACCATGCAGGGCGCCGAGGACGACGACGACGACGAGAGGGAAGAGCTGCAGATCCTTGCTACAGACAACCTGGTTCTGGCTGGCCGCATAGAGGACGAGGTCGCGCATCTGGAAGTCTACGTCTACGAAGATGGGGATGACAACCTCTACGTGCACCACGACATCATGCTGCCCGCCATCCCGCTGGCGGTCGAGTGGTTAGATCTGCCTGTGGGCAAGTCGGCTGGCAACGGCAAAGGCAACTTCGTCGCCATCGGTACCATGGACCCTGACATCGAGCTTTGGAACTTGGACGTGGTCGACAGCATGTACCCAGATGCTGTTCTCGGCCAGGGCGCAGAGGACGCGGCAAACGCAGACAAGCCCAAGAAGAAAAAGAAGAAGTCGAAAAAGGTCAACGACAACTTCCACGTGGACTCGGTCCTCTCCCTGGCGGCCAACCGTCAGCACAGGAACTTGCTTGCCTCTTCGTCCGCCGATAAGACGGTTAAGCTGTGGGATCTCAACACAACCAAGTGCGCAAAGTCGTACACATACCACACTGACAAGGTGTGCTCCGTCGCGTGGCATCCCGTGGAGTCTACGGTGCTCCTCAGTGGTAGTTACGATCGCACAGTGGTCGCAGCAGACATGCGAGCACCCGAGGCGAAGGCGCCACGATGGGGCGTCGAGAGTGATGTTGAGACAGTCAGGTGGAACCCCCATGACCCTAACTACTTCTACGTACGTATGCATCACATTCTGGAAAGAACTTTGGCTGACAGCACAAGATCTCCACCGAGAACGGCATGGTTCACTATCACGACACACGTATGGCGCCCGCAGACCCTTCGCAGTCAAAGCCTGCTTGGGTCCTTCAAGCCCACGACGAGTCCATTTCCTCATTCGACATCAACCCAGTCATTCCCGGCTTCCTGGTGACAGGCTCCACAGACAAGCAGGTCAAGCTCTGGAACGTACAAGAGAACGGGCCAAGCATGGTGGTATCGCGAGACCTGGGCGTCGGCAGAGTGTTCTCGACCTCGTTCGCCCCAGATAAAGAAGTCGGTTTCCGTCTGGCTGTCGCAGGCAGCAAAGGATCCGTACAGATCTGGGACACCAGCACCAACGCAGCGGTTCGTGCGGCGTTTGCTAGCAAGGTGCCGCAGATGAAGCCTGGTGGAAAGGAGAGGCTTGTTGGCTTGGAGGAGTCTGACACGGACTCGGATTCGGATGAGGGCGAGAGCGGTGACGAAGAGGAGGGTGAGCAGGAGAAGGGCTGGGAGTCGATGGAGGAGTAGATACCCACGAACTCATTGATAGATTAAGATTTTCGACACGACCAACGAAACTCCACGCTGTACCCACTCATCTGGGGGACCTCTTTGCTGTTGACTTGTGAGAAGGCACGACGACCCTTTGTCCTGGAGCAAGTGCACGCAGGAGGTCCTCTGGTGCCTCACACCCTCACAACAGCCACATGGCCTTCCTGCCTGACGTCAAAGCTGCAGTGGCTGTCAACTGCCTGGTGAAGTTCTGCTTCAATTTCGACAAACCTATGCACCGTCATGATTGCACGCCTTGAGCCGGCACATGTTTCAAGAATAGTCCTGCCGCCGCCTCCTGCCCTTGCTTCGTGTGATCCTTCTCATTTCACCTACCATGGCGATCTGCATCCCTTCCTAGAAGACGTTTCCGAGCCTCATTCTCACCATCAACTGAAGCCCATCGCCAGTCCGGGAGTAAATTAGGGCGTTGTTGCGCAATTGCTGGCGCCGTCAAGCGTCCGCGATACGACGAAAAACGATCTGTCACTCTCGCTCCGCGATCAAGACAGGCTGTAGATCCTGGGTGGGTCAGGCCGGGAACGATGTGGGTCGCAGTGCCTCAGGTCGTTCTGGGTCATGCGAGACAACGCGGACTGCGGCATCTGCGGTTTGTCTGCTCGCCTGGCTTGCTTTTGTGTGTGCAGCTGTTTCGAAACCAGCAACCGCCGCACAGGCTGCAGCTACAAGGCAAGGCAGTGTGATGGTGTTGCCAGATACAGATGGCAGCCCAGAAACAGACACGTTGGCAGGCACATGTTTCATGCGCGCGTCTGCAAGGTACGGCCGGACGTCACCGAGGAAGCCTTTGGCGTTTTTGACGCTACAGAGACTAGGTTCTAGAGGCGTGCCGCCTCGATGCAACCACGATTCGTTGACTGGAGACGGGCCAAAGACGGCACATTTGTCCCATGGCACTAAAGTATTCCACGGTACCTGGTGTGAGACGTTGTGGTTGACACTGTGCAATTGTCACCTGCCACTCTCCTCTTCTCGCCGGGCGCCTATCAATATCTACTGTCAATGCCGCCTCGCACCAGCGCCCCTTCATCACGAAGTGGATTTTGTGCCTGGCTGCGATTGATTCAAAACGTTGAAACAGTCGGCTCCAAGTGGCCCAACGAATGCAGAGGACGGGCCCTCCCCAGCTTTATCTGGAACACGTTGGCGCTAGCATTCACTCACTCGGTCCCACGCGCTCTCTTCCCATTCGTTCGTCTTCGAAAGTCGAACAAAATACATCAGGGGCTACGCCCACTCGGGCATCGTCCGCGCCACTAACTCGGTGCTCCAGGCCCAGTGCGCGATGCGGTTTACTGGCCGTTGCTTGTTCCTGGCCCACCCCCGTCAGATCCCGACCCAATCTTTCGAAGACAGGTCAACGCGGCTTGTCGCCGGCGCTGCTGAGCTTTTCTACGCGAAGGCCCTGGTCGCACTGCCCTTTTCTTCAGGCTTCCCTCCTTTCTCTTGCTTTGCTTGCTTGTTGGCTTCATTGCAACATTCACTCACTCCTTGTCGCGGCCCGGTGTCGACACTCCTTACGGCACAGGCTACCAGCTGGACTCCCACTACGCTCTTTGACAGACTGCTTTATTTCGACACACACACACACACACACACACACACACACCATTCATTACCGTTGATCGTCACGCGCTGCTAGCCAGTATCCGTTGCCCAATAACAGATTAAAACAAAGAAAATCAAACTCGACCAAACTCGACCAAACTCGACCACCACTCGTGGAACGTATCGGATCTTTCGAATCACAAGGCTGCGTCCTGCGACTCGTTGTATCACAAGCCCGATTCCCAGTTAGGACATCTGCAACCCAAGGCTCACGCGTCCTCGACACTGCGCAATCAGACAGCAGACACCCATTCCAGAAGCCTTTCACTAGCTGTACGACAAACGCCTTTGGCTTACTCTGTGAATTCTTACCAAGCGGTATCTCGACCTCGTGGACTTTCTCGAAGCAATTTATCCGCGACTTACTCCCCCGCATTCCTGCACCCGTTGACTAGCAACCAACCGCAACATCGAACAGAATTGCCGGCCCTAACAAACCGAGGCTCTGGACTTGATCTACAACACACCGACATCTATCGAATCTATTCGGAATTAATCGTACATCATGTCTCTCGCCCGCGCCATGACCAAGCGCATGAAGCGCACCGCAGCGCCCGAAGAAACCATGCCCTCTCGCAGCAAGAGCGTCAAGAACGCAACTCTGCAAATCAACCGCCCTCAGATCTCGCTCCCCGTTGCCCTGCTCTCAACAACAAACACGCTCGTCTACGACGCCCCAGATCTGGCCAGCATGGACTTGGCCGCCATGCGCGCCACCTCCTCCTCCACATCCACCCGCTCCTCCGCCGACGACTCCGACCACAGCATCTCCGGGCGTTCGCGCGCCTCCTCCCAAGGCTCCCGCGACACCCTGACGGACGCCTCGTCCGTGGAATCCTCGCCCACCTCGCCCGCTCCCAACCATCTTTCCGGCTACTTCCCCGCGCCTAACGGCAAGACACTGCGCAAATCCGCGAGCACCAACTCCCTCAGCCAGGTCAAGGAGAACCCCACTGAACCTAGCGAGCCGGTCCCTGCGATCCCCCAGCGCGCGCTGTCCCACAGTAAGCGCGCACATGTGCAACTCGCGCAGAAGCGGAGCATGCAGAACCTGCAATCGCGGGGGAACAGCATCAGCTCGCGCGGCAGCCTCGGATCTCTTCGCGAGCAGCGCAGTTCCATGGATATGTTCAACATCGCGACAGTCTCTGAGGAGGCGGAGGCGCATCCGTTTGGCGCCGAGCTGGAGCAGCTGAACGAGGTTGTTGAGGAGTTTAGCGGTGTTGCGCGGAGCGCTGAGGAAGAGGCGGATCTGGAGCAGATGAGGAAGAGAAACCTGGCGACGTTCTGTGCGGCGGATTATTTGAGCGTGGTTCAGCCGCTGTTCAATGATTTGGTGGCGCCGAGGATGGCGTGGATCTAGTCCACTCTGTCTGCGGTGTTTCCTTGCTTTCCTGAACGTGTGCGATCTGATACCTCTAGACGATTTACCCTACCCCCTCGGGCATGTTTCTTTGTGTATACTTGGCTTGACGGCTTACTTTCCGTTCAGTTCTCCACCCTCATTGATAATCACTATTCATACACACTTTTCAGCCTGCTGAATCGGTTGGATTGGAATGGCGTTCCCGGTCCGGATAATCGCCAGTAGGCGTTGGGAAGCTCATGCTCTCCCTATTCCCTCTTTACTGTTTTACGATGTCTTACGAAACACGGGGATGAGATTGGTTGGTGTATGTGTAACCATAGCTGCACACAGGAAGACAATCAAAAGATACAAACAACCCTCACCCAAAATGCTTGGCCGCTCGACACCTGAATCTGACGTGTCGCGTGCATGCTGTACTACGGTAAGCTGAGTATGAGCAAAATGCTGTGGCACCCACCTTCGTTACTCGGCTGACGCTTCGACGATTGCGACTGCACGGTGCGAGAACGTGAGGTATGAGGGGTCACAATCCACCCGTTTTTTGGGCTTGCGAGAGGACGGTTGTAGGACACAAGGTTGAACGTCTCTGCTGCGTGGTTCTAGAAACAGTCGTTCGACAGATGCAGGGTCCGCAACCATCTTGGATCAACCGCGGTCGAGCTTGAACCTTGAAGGGGTTGTGGAAACGTTTAGATGAGAAGCTTTCTTGGCTCAAGGATGGCAGGAGCAGTCGAGACTGTTGCAACATCTGAGTTCCGCTCTGTAAACTTCGGGGGCGGAATTGTTCTTGGCGTGTTTCTTTTTTTCGCATACATCGTACACAGGCTACCTGTACAAGACGGTTCCAAGAGTAAATCCATTGCAAAGCCCCAGATGCGATGCCATGCAATATTCCCATAGATTGTATAATACAACACGCTCAATCTCTCCTTCCATAGTATACACATCCCCACTCCACTCGTGCTTATCCCACATCTACTCCTCAAACACAGCTCTATCCCATAGCCTTCAAGAAATTAGCCTCCTTAATGCTCGCCCTCCTCTTATCCCTCATCGCCTTCGTCAACTCTTCTCTCGCACCCGCTGCCTCCATCGCACCCTCCAAACTACCGTTTCCAGCCGGCAAGTCAATCGTCTGCTCGTAGAGCGGGATCTTCGGCGTGAGAAGCTCGGGGTTCATGGCTTGTTCCTTCCGGAGACGCTTCGCGGCGAGTCTTCGCTGTTTCTTGGATTTCGCTGGGCGGTTGTTAGCATTGGTTTTCCAGTTTGGAACATCCTCTTCGAGCACCGTTCACACGCAATTCAGACTGCAAATCTGTGGAACAAGGCGCATGCAAAGAAGAGAGGAGACGTACAAAATAAATCTCCCACAGCCCCAACATCACCCTTATCCTCCTGCCTCGCCAGGATCGTCCATAGCCAGGCTGGATACTCGTCGTCCGCCAGCGCCACGGGATCGCTCTTGTTCTTCTCGAAGTTCAGCCCCTTCAGTGGCGTGCCCGCGGGCACTGAGCTCTTCACCAATGGTGTGGGCTTCTTGTCCGCGACCTTGGCGGCATTCTTCTCAATCGCAGGACTCGGCTTCGGTGTGAGAGGCGCGCTGAAGGGCTGTGCAGCGGATGTCGATGTAGCAGCCGGGGGAGCGTGCGAAGATGTTGGGGAGCCTTGGCGTGGTGTGGGTGTAGAGGCAGAGGAGACGGGTGTTGCGTTGTGCAAGGCGGGAGAGGTCGATATGAAGCGTCGCGATGGGGGTGCGAGAGAGCGGGAGGCCCGCAGGCAGGTTCGGCATATCATTGTGGATGTGTGGACGCTGTTGGTGCGGTTGGGGGAAGTGGTCGTTGTGATGGGAACTTTTGGAGATGCGCCGAGCAGATTCTCCGCGTTCCGCAGACACGCTAAAAGCTGGGATGGCCAGAGGCGCCATCATGTATCATGCAACAACCTACGACGTTCACATTGCTTATGTCTGATTTATATCGACCCATTGTAGGTATTTGCACAAGCATTTGAGTTCAATCGGGCATTACAACTGCGCTGAATATCAGGTATATACGAGATGAAAACACCAGAACACCGCAACATGTGCTCGTGAACAGAGAAATACTCGCGACAGGGTATGCGAAGGAAACATCAGTCTCGAACTGTTAGGAAGCAAACTTGGTATCCCTCCTCGTGCCTCGCGACACTCCAACTTCACTCTTGCTCCGCAGTAGGAGTCTTGACTTTGAGAGCAGCCTTGACGAGCTTGTGCAAGCTGTTCTCCATCTGCTCACGTCCCTCCAGGGTGCGCCAGACCTCGTGAGGTGTCTTCTTGACGATGTCCCAGCTGACGAGGTTGTCAGTGATGGTAGTCAGATCCTTCTGCTTGCGCTCCCACTCCGAGTCGCGACGGCACTCGATACCACTGCTGACAATAGCGAGCGGTGTATCAGCGCTCTGTATGTTCCTGGCAGAAACGACCTCGTTCTTGGACAGAGAGTCCGCAACGAGGTTCTCCTGCAGCTGAGCCTTGATGAATTTGCCCGACTGGTATGCGTTGCGGCCGTAGACGCGGTCGGCGCTTGTGCGGCCCTTAAATAGAGCGCCAGCGAGACGGACGGTACCGAGAGGGGAGATGATACCCCATGCCCAGAGGAGGAAGCCACGACTGGGGCTGGAGAGGCGGTGGAGGAGGTCCTCGTGCAAGGGGTCGATCATAAGAATACCAGTGACCTGCTTCAAGTGACGAGAACTGAAGATACGAGACACGATGCTGCCGGTTCCGGCAGAGACAAGGATCCAAGGACCGTCCTCGCCAGACTTTGCAAGTGCTTCAGAGAGCGCATCAGCAGACATGCCAGCGGAGTGCGGCGATGGAGCATTGTCAGACCAGGCGTAGCCAGGACGATCCTATTCAAGTCAGCAGACGGATCATGATAAGTTGATTTCGTAAGTACATACCCAGTAGCAGTAGCGGTCGATGGTCTCGTTCTTGTAGGCTGCGTATGCCCAGTGCTCAAAGTCATATTCCAACGGGTTTTCGCCCGCTTCAAGGAGGATGGTTGTAACCTTCTCGCCAGCGGTGTTGGTCTCGTTACCGACGCAAGCAAGGTGTACAGCGTACTTGTCGCCATCAACAAGGATGCGGTCGCCGTACATCTTGAGCCCGGCATCGATGGAACGAACGGTAAGAGTGGCGGTCATCAAGAGGACGATGACGATGAAGACGACCGTGAGGATGGTTGCAGCGAGGACAGCGAGCCATTCCTTCAGTGTGCGACGAGACTCGGGACGGCCAGTAAGGCGCTCCTCTTCTTCCTTCTTGCCGTAAGCGACAACGCGGTCGGTCGCAATGCACCAGATGGACATGAGCAGAGCCCAGACGACGCTCGCAATACCAATCCAACCCTCCTCGAGCCTGACTCGTGGAACTGCTAGAATAATGATCATGTCAACGGCCAAAAGCACAGCAATGATGGCCGTGGTGATGCGCAGGCCCTTGGCAGGAGTGACGAAGAAGACAGTGACCACGAGGAGGTTACCAAGCGTGAGACAGGTGTAGGCAAAGTCGAAGAACCCAGATCCACGGCTGTGTAGGCCTGGAGGGGAGACGAAGATGGAAACCAACAGCAGGACCCACCACAGGAAAGTGATGATGAGGAAGAGGATTGTCAGGTACCGCATAGCACGTACCGTCCACAGGTTGTAGGGCGATACCTGTCACATGTCAGTGTTGTACATAACTCTACTTGAGCTATTTCTTACAGCTGGGTCATCAGGGTCGAGGTAGCCATCGGCGTTGGGAGGCGGCCTGGGACGATCAAGCAGTCTTGTGCGCTCAGTGGGTTCCTCGTGAGACTCGACAGTGCGTCTTGAAGGCTCATAGCTTCTCCTGGAAGCTCTTCCTGAAGCTCCATCGTCTTGAGGTACTTCAGGCTCCAGCTGGTCACCGTTCTGCGCGTCCTTCTTGCCTTTCCACATGCTCATTGTCGCAGCTCTGGTGGAGCTGAGAGACAATTAGGGTATTAGAGGTCCTGGGAATGAGGACAAGAGATGGAAGGGCGAGCGTCAACGCTCTAGGAAATGTGTATAGAGAAGAGGCTGGTGTTGCAGGCGACGAGCTGGTTTCATTCAAGCTGCCGCCGCGCCAATGCACGCGATTGACATCATGCTGGTCTGTTAGCGTGGAAAAGCGGAATGCATCCCAGTCGCGAATCGGTGGATGTGCAGCCAGAGCGATCCAACTCAGCCCCGCGGGAGAGAGCACCTAGTTCGAAGAACGCACATGCCGAAGATCTTGGTAGATTTCGCATCATACGCGTCTATTGTTGCCTCGAACAGCAACACAATACCTGGAGGTATTCGCCTCAGCGGGATCACAAAGTCGTCATGGCTACTGAGGAAGGCGTGCAGGAAGCTGTTCCTTGCAATCGATAAGGTGCCCCACAGTTGACTGCCCTCCATCAGATGTCAGAATCGCGGACTCCGAATCCAGCCTCGTCTACAAGACCCTTGAATGCCGCCAGGATTGCACAATACCGGATTGAATTAGCATACACTCAGTTCTGCCAATCGTCATGTCCGACCTCGCCAAGTCCTTCGCAAAGACTAAGCTCTCCTCCCTCCCACCGCCAGAACCATTGATCGAGGAGGAAGATGATTCGAGCTCAGCGAGTTCCATGTCAAGCACAGGTACCGTGATACCTTCGAATGCGCAACGGCCAGCGCCCACCATACATTGGTCAGACTACTACGCCCAAGAATTCTACCTCGAAAGAGAGGAACCTCACTCCAAGTTCCATGTGTACCTCACTCCACCCGCGTCACTGCAAGCACCATTGCTAGTGCTGCACCATGGCGCAGGGAGCTCTGCAATGAGCTTTGCTCTTGCGGTGAAAGAAATCAGGAAAGCAATGCCGGCCATTGGTATACTAGCCCTAGAAGCAAGAGAACACGGCAGTGTCGTCTGGGACGAAAATGGTGCTGTGGACAACAATCTGAGCATCGACCTGCTGAGTCGTGACATGGCGGACATGATGTTCCTCACGCAGCGGAAGATGGGTTGGAAAGAACTGCCCTCAGTCGTGCTCATTGGACACAGCCTCGGCGGTGCAGTGGTGACACACGTCGCAAACATGAACCTGCTGGGTAACAAGGTGCTGGGGTTCGCGGTGCTGGATGTGGTCGAGGGGAGTGCTATGGAGGCCCTCAAGCATATGCAGGCGTACCTGAGAACCCGACCCAAGCTGTTCGACAACCTCGACGCCGCCATCGACTGGCACATTCGATCACGCACGCTTCGGAACCCAGAGTCGGCAAGAGCTAGTGTACCTAGTCTCTTTGTGCAAACATCGACTGGGGGACGTTGGGTGTGGAAGACGGACCTCTCCAGGACCGAGTCGTACTGGGAGAACTGGTTCACAGGGATGAGCGCAAAGTTTCTCAACGGTAAAGGGGCCAAGCTGTTGTTACTTGCTGGAACAGACCGCCTAGATAAAGAGCTGATGATCGGACAAATGCAGGGTATGTTCATTGAAAGTTGTTGTTGTGCATGTTTCCTCTGACCCTTCGCAGGCAAATTTCAACTGTCAGTCCTCCCTGCCGCGGGTCACTTCCTCCAAGAGGACCAACCTGAGAAGACTGCTGAGGTCATCGTCGAGTTCGTCAAGCGCAACGACCGCAGCACGTTGGTGCTTCCTCCCAAGGTTTCAGATCTCCTTGCGCAAGGCAAGAAGGTTTAGGATCTCCGACGCTGTGCCGTATGCCTCTGCCGCATCAAGGATGGTGCAAATACCTCCGGGTTGAGCATGGCGGTCCCTGGGGTATGGTCCAGGCATTGCCCCCACCACTGCGGCTGGAATGACGGGTACTCTACATCGGGTATGGCAAGATGGTGTCCAGTTCATGGCAGCCGTGCCCAATCTCTCAGTAGTCTAGAGGCGTCCAGAGGTGCCAATCCGGTTGGCGCAGACCTCAAGTCTACTGTAGCTTAGCTGTTTGGATCATGGCGAAGCAGCATCGACTGCCTCCAAATTGACACCACCGCCTTCAGCCGCGCCCTCAGCCTTCGATTTGTGCTTCCGTCTGCGCTTCTTCGGCGCAGCAGCCTCGCCATCTTGCGCGTCTGTGGTGGTCGGTTGCGAATTCTGGGGCTCGACAGACACAGCCTTCTTCTCCGAGCTAGGCTGCGAGTTAGATGCGTCCGCCTTCTTCTTTTTCATACTAAGCGGGTTGGGCTGCTGAGGACCCTTCTGCCTCCGCTTCTTAGGCACCTGCGCCTCCGTAGCAATAGACTTGTCATCCCGCTCCTCCTCATCCTCCCTCTTTCTCTTCTCCCCCGCATCCGGCCTCCGTTGCCCTTTCAGACCCAGCTTGAACTTGCTCTTCTCCTCCCTCTCTCTGTGCTCCTCGGTTGCGTTTGTCATAGGCTCCATGAGGACCACGCTCTTGCTTATGTATATCAGCGGCACGCCCGGGATGCTTCGCATCTTTGCCCGCACTTCTTTCTCATTGCTCGCGACCACATAGCGATGCCTGTTACTCCCGCTCCCCTTGGGGTCAACCACACTACTGAGACACTCCAGCGTGCTCAGCGGCTCCTCCAGCTCGTGGTGTCCGCACCTCCTTCGCTCGTACTCCTTGGCTTGTAGGATGAGCGTCTCATTTTTTGGCTTCGCATCGTAGAGATGGCGCATGTCGCATTGGGTGATCATGGGTTTGACTTTCGCGCCGAGCACTTTTTCCAGACGGCCGACGATGTCGATTTTGAACTTGTAGGCATCCTGAAGGATCGAGGAGTCGAGGAGGACTTGGTACGGCTCGCGGAAACCGAAGTTGAGCTCATACTGGTGGAGCAGCTTCTTGTAGGCCTGCAAACGTCAGTCCCGTACCACAAGCTTACAAAAGGCTGTAGTCGAAGTCGCATACCTTTGCGCGCTTGAGCTTCATGGTGGCAGTGTATGTTCTGAGAGGTGCGTGTGTGGTTGCGCTCGTGGGGAATGGAAGGCGTCCGCATTCAAAAAGTTCAAAGTTCCTCTGCCATCGGTCGCCGAGGAAGGCCCGGCCACTGCGCGCCGCATACGTCTGCATCCATTCACGCCATTCCCGAGAACTCCGCATTCAAACCGTATGGCCTGAGAGGGGGCACCACCACCTGTACATATCCGAAAACAAAACAATAATATGCCCGTATAGTCTCGCGCCCCCGGTTCCAGGCTTGGAGAGAGAAGATCAAATGCAACGACCGTAGCATTGGGGCCCCAACATGACGAGCGACAACCCCTCGCAACCCCCTAGTACCGAGTCCACGGGCACGCATATTGCTCCTGCAGAAGCGAGGCCTGACGTCGAATATGACGATTTTGGACTGCCGGTTAGGAAGCGCAGGCCGAGGACGCCGGTGGGGGACTGCTCGGACGAGGACGAGTTCACGGACGCGGTAGCGGAGAGGTCCAAGGCCGCGAGTCAGGTCGACATAGCGGCGAAGACTGAGGACAATGCCGAGGCGGAGAAGGCAGTGAAGAGCATAGTGGAGCATGTGAAAGAGAGAGAGGCGAGGGAGGCGAGAGAGGCGAGTGCGAGTGCGAGTGCGAGTGCGAGTGATACTGCGCAGGCGAGTGTTAATGGGCAGGTCGAGATGGTGGAGGTTGAGGTTGGGCGGGGAGATGAGGGCACGGCGCTGAGGGAGACGATGAATACTGCGCCGGAGAGTGTCGCACCGAAGGTCACAAAAACGGGCAGTTCAGAGCCTGGTTCGAGACCTGAGCAGCCTTCAGCGAAGCTCGACAGCCAGTCGCCGGCGCACAAGAAGGCCACTGCGCCGGGCAGCTCCAATTCGGCTGCACCAGAAGCTCGCAAAAGCCTCGACAAGCCCGCCACGCATCACCAGAAGCAGGGCCCTGTAAACGAATACTCCCACCAACACGCCGTTGCCCAACCCAACGCAAACGAAGAGGACGAGCGCGAGGACGATGATGGCGGCTGGCAGACCATGCCTGCGTATGCGCAATACGACATGTACGACGATGACAACCGGTTGATCGCAAAAGAGAACCCTGAGGAGCTGGAAGACATGCATGGATACGCCAATGTCGGCGGTGCTGCAAAGGGTTACACAAGGGTCATTCTCGACGATGATGCAGACTCGCAAACGAGCATGGACGACAACACTGCCTATCTCTTCAAGGAGAAGACGACCGCGCTACACGACGAAGACGAAGCGGTGCGCGATCCGCTCATGCAGATGCAGGCCACCAAGAACCTCCTCACCGAAGGACAGCGTGTAGCGTACGTGGGCCTGGTGCGCCTCGCGATGATTGAGATGGAGCGCAAGTTCAACAGAGTTGCCGTGAAGAAAAGCCGGCAAGTCAAGAAGGCGCTCGACATGCAGACCGAGACGACCAAGATGTGGTCACAGAAGATGATGGTCAGGCTATATGGGCACATGGACATCAACACTTCAGAACAGGTCATGATTGAGCAGCTGACAGCCCATGGCGTGATACCTGCGGATCTGACGCCAGCACTGATGCAAAATGCGCGGGTGAAGAACCCTGCTGCGGAGGTCGCTGAGGAAAATAAAGAAGAGAAGAGAGAGGCGGACTCGGCATGCCCGTCTGTGACTTCACCGCGACCAGAAGCGCAGGATGAGATGTCAAAGTCAGCTTCTTCAGCCAGCCTACATGACTCTCTTGCTTCACCACCACCTCCGCCCTACGAAGCGCACGAAGACGATGGCGACGAGTATCCCGAACCGAAGACGCCATCACAGCTCTTCGAGAGCAAGAACCTCGATATCGATCTTCGATGGACAGTTCTGTGTGATCTCTTCCTTCTCCTTGTCGCAGACTCGATCTATGATTCGCGATCAAGAGAGTTGTTCCAAGTCGTCGGCAAGTACCTCAGTGTAGACTGGCTTGAGATCTGCCGCTTCGAGAAACGCGTAACAGATGCATTGGAAATGCAAGAAGAAGCCAACAAGGAAAATTGGAATGAAGACGAGCACATGGAATCACGAAGGAAAAAAGCACTGCGCAAGCGCTTAGCATTCATGGGTCTTGCTACAGTCGGTGGAGGTCTGGTCATTGGCCTGTCAGCCGGTCTGCTCGCTCCTGTCATTGGTGCTGGTTTGGCTGCGGGCTTTACAACTATCGGTGTCGCCGGGACGGGTAGTTTCCTTGCTGGTGCTGGTGGAACGGCCGTCATCACTAGCATTGCTGTTACCACTGGCGGTACCGTTGGTGTTCGCGCAATGAACAGGCGAACTGGCGCTGTGAAGACGTTCGAGTACCGTCCGCTGCACAATAACAAGAGGACTAATCTTATAATTACGCTGGCTGGTTGGATGAGCGGCAAGGCTGATGACGTTCGTCTGCCGTACAGCACTGTCGACCCAGTCATGGGAGATATATATTCTGTGCTTTGGGAGCCCGAGATGCTGAGGAGTATGGGTGACACCATCAATATCCTCGCTACTGAGGTACGTGAAGCACTCGGGAGCTGGTGTTCCGCATGCTAACATGCAAACAGGCACTCACACAAGGTCTCCAACAAGTCCTGGGCAGCACGCTCCTGACCGCGCTGATGTCCGCCATGACACTCCCCCTCGCCCTCACAAAGCTCTCCTACCTCATCGACAACCCCTGGTCTGTCTCGCAAGCGCGGGCTGACATGGCTGGTCTCATCCTCGCAGACTCGATCATCGACCGCAACCTTGGAACGAGACCCATCACCCTCGTTGGTTTCTCACTCGGCGCTCGAGTTATCTACGCCGCCTTGAGAGAGCTTCAGAACCGCGGTGCTTTTGGCTTGGTGCAAAACGTGTACATGTTCGGCACACCCATCGTAGCAAATACGGACGAGTACATAAAGATCCGGAGTGTAGTTCCTGGGCGATTTGTCAATGGGTATGCTACCAATGACTGGATCTTAGGTACGTTGCCCTCCTCCCAAATGTCTACCATCTGTCCTGACTTCTTCAACAGGCTACCTCTTCCGCGCAACCGGTGGTGGCGCTGCTCGAGTCGCTGGTCTGGCACCCATCCAAATCTCGACAATCGAGAACATGAACGTCACCGAGCTGGTGCCAGGCCACATGGCGTACCGCGCCGCGATGCCCAAGTTGCTCCGCGACGCCGGGTGGCTCGTAGAGTCCGACGAGTTCACCGAAATCGAAGACCCCGACCCCGAAAACCACGAACAGCGGCAACGCGAACTCATCGACGAGATCGAAGAAGCCCGCCGCGAACTCGAAAAGAAGAACGCCGAAAAGGAAAAGAAGGGAGGCAAGTTATCCTGGTGGCGCAAAAAGAAGGGCGACAAAAAAGACTGGGAAGTTTATGACAAGAACTCCCAAACCCATACGCCCATCGACAAAACCGCCGACACCGCAACCATCGCCGAGAACCCCGTCATGTTCGACATCGACGCAATTCGCAGGGAAGTCGCTGCCCTCGCAGTCGAGAGCGCAGCAGATAAACCGTACAACGGCTACGAACCCGACGCCTTTGAGATCAAGGAGATCAAGAGTACGCTCCCGCCGATGAAAATCGACATCTCCGCCACCACACCCACATCCACAGGCCCCTACACTGGGTTACGGCAGACACAAAGCTTCAACGACAGCCTGGGTGTTGCGGCAGCAAATGGGAAGGCGAACAGCACCGGCAACCTAACTCCCGGCGTGCGCCTACCCCCCGGATCCCAACTCTCAAACGGCACGAGCGGGACAAAAGAGTATGATGAGTACGACGAATTCGACGACCCCGGCGCAGGGAATATCTCCATGACATTCGATTCCTCCTTCCGCGACCCGCCATCCTCAAAATCCACCACACAGCCCTCGCCGTCCTACGCGCCAGAGAAGAGTGCATGGGACTCTCCTCCACTGGCGGCATCAAGTATGAGTTGGGAGGACGCGACAAACGATGCGCCGGGGCGCCCGCCGCTAAGGAGCGCGAATACGATGCCGCCTTCGAACTCGGGGTACAACGCGTGGGCGGATGAGTTTGAGGATGATTTTGGGCAGGAGAAGGAGGTTAAGATGAGTTTCATGTGAGCTTTCGACGCAGGCGGCCGAAGAATTGGAGTATCGGTGTCATTGTTGCATGTTCTGGTTGCATCACTTGGGTGCAAGTGTGGGTCAGTTTCTGCATTATTTGATAGAGGTTTACCTTCGTTCGGCGCTGTGGAGCACCTCTCTATATCTTCTGGAGAGAAGAGAAGCATTGCTGGTGTTCGGTCGTTTGGATCCACCTAGATTCTCATTCATTGATATCTATCAGTAGAGAGGAGAGGAGCTACATAGCATGTATAGTTTTAATACACTGCGCTTATCATCAATGGGCATGTTCTGATTCGAACTCGTTTGGGCATGTTCGTCGCCCACTTTGCAGAGCTCAGATGCAAGCCCACAGCGCTTGGGCTTGTGTGAGGTACTCCGTGCCGATTTGCAGACTACTTGCATTCCAACAATGTCTCTTGGAATTACAACAGAGTCTGCGAATGCTGTACAGCACTCGAAATCCCACTGAACGTCTCCAGCAATGATGTAAGAAGGATTGTTGCTACAATATGGTCGTCAGGCACGTCCACCAACAGACACGGCTCGGTTCACCTGACCGAAACGGCAGTGATAAGCCCATCTCCAACGGCCTCCCGTCCCGGCCCATTTTTGGGCACCTGATGACGACTACGGCTAGGATGCAGGAAGAGCGGCTGCCGATCGCCATCACCCACAACCTCAAACCTGTATCGTGGACGTTTGCGAGGCTGTGATCATCAGTTCTAGATTTTGATGCGTACGTTGCATGTTCCGTTACTCGATTTCCGAAGCCATGTTCGACGACAAGTGTTGTACTCTGGTCATGATTTTCCATCAAAGCAAAAAGAGACATGGCTTGTGATGGTGAAGTCATTATTCGTTAAACGGCTATACAACACTCCACGCCTGTCGGCCGTGGGTATGACATGCCTGTCTATATACTATACAGCTGCTCACAAACCAAAAGAACCGCCAACTCCCACAACATCCACGTACTCATACAATTTTGATGCTTAGAATTCCGAATCGCATGCTTTGATCATCAACGCCTTCTAAGCGTCAACATCCTGCTTCTTTCGTCGAATGCTGCCGAATCGCTTCTTCAGCGCATTGCCAATGCCCGAGTTGCTGCGTCCAATGCCGGATGCAGATGCTTCAGGCTCGAAGGGGTTCTCCGCAGGGATGGCGCCAAGCGCGTCGGTGTGGCCTACGCTCCTGCTGTGACGGCGTGATGTCATTTCAATTCCGCTGTCGCCGAGCCTCTTGTGGTCTTTCAATTGCTTCTCAATGGTGTAGGATGGCTCGCCTTTGCCCTTCAGGTCGTCTGGTTGATATTCCTAGACACTGTTAGTTTGGAGACACGGATGTATTGATAATAATATAGGACGTACAACACCTGGGATTCGCTTGTAGTCGCCCTTGTTCAGGGGGTCACGCTGCATATCGGTGCCCTCTTCGTAGTTGTAGACACGGCCGAACTTATCCGTCAAGCCTGGTGGGACGGTAGCAACGCCCTCCAGTGGGCGGTGCCTCTCAACAGCGTCCTGAATGTTCTCCCTTGGTGTTGCCCTCAGCGCTTCCTCGTTCGAGTCCTGTACTGCCGCGACAGGGCTGTACTTCTTGTCTCTGTTACGTGCAATACTGGCTGCATCGTACGGTCCCTCGTGGTGGTAGTGCGATACACCGGTTTTGTCGAGTCGATCGATGACGTCGGCACCCTGAAAGTTCTTTTTCCTAAGATGGTGAGCACGGTGCGCAGTCTTGGTCTCTTTGCGGATCGTGTCTAGAGGAGAGCTCTCTCCATAGTTCAGTGATCCTCCACGGCTCAGTCCGGATACATGTTGCGATTGTGGCCTGGATGACGATGGCTGGCTCGATCGGCGGGGTCGGCTCTCGTTCATGGATCCGAATGCAGCCGCGCGGTGGTCCGAGAAGTGCTGTTTGCGAGGACTTGCAGACTGTGGAGGGGACGGGTACTCATACCTGCTCGACCTTGGAGTAGTCTGGCCAATCTGTGATACTGTTGCAGAGGGAGCCTTGGCTTCAGACGAGGCTCTCGGTCGGCGGTACGGGTTCGTCTCTACGGAGTTACCAGTATGGTGAGAAGGCAGGAAAGGGTTGGTTCCGACTGAGCTGCCTGTGTGTTGAGAGGGAATGAAAGGGTTGCTTCCAACTGAGTTGCCAGTGCGGTGCTCCTGGACCTTAACGGGTGAGCCATCTTTGGACAATCCGGCAGATCCGGGTGGAGTGATGGGACCATCCCGTATGGGCGCAAAAGTTGAACGGAAATGTGAGTTCAGCCCGGTCTCGTCGCTCGGATCTGGCTCAATCAGAGGATCGATTAATGCGTGTTGTGCCTATTTTCACGATCAGCATTCAGGCCTCTCAAGTGTCTCTTGCCATGAGGGTATGCTCGCAATGGAGCATCTTGTAGTTCACACGAAGAAGATACCCGGAACATGCGATGCGACGGGTAATCGTATGTAAGGGAGGTAAAACATACTGCCTGCATGGTACTTGTGTGGTGGTTTGTGACTTTGATTTGGCGAGGTTCGACTGAATGGGTAGTGAGTTACACAAACAACGTTGAAGGTGACTACTTGTTTTTTGTAAGGCTCTGGATTGAAGAAGAGAAGCAGCAGGTGACGAGGAGGGAATGGCTTAGATAAAGCCTGACTTGGCAGGCACGAGCGACAAGGGAACGACGCGTAACATCGTCTTTCATCGTCGCCCTGCATCGCACTTGCCTATTGGCGCTACGTCACTGCCGGATGTGCGTGGGAGAGTGGGGTGAGCTAAGGACGTTCGAGCCCACCGAGCCACAAACTGACAGCACCTGCAGCTGACAAGAGATCAACAAGGCCCAACACCAACCCAAGCCAACCATGTCCTTGGTGCAGTATCCCGACTCTGACTCTGAATCTGGCGGCGAAGAGAAAGTCGCGTTTTTATCAGCCCAGAAGCCCAATACTGTGTTGAAGCGCAAGCGCAGCAAGCCCAGTAATGATGACCTCCCGCCGCTCCCGGCAGCATTCCACGACCTCTATTCCACAAACGCTCGCGTCACCACAAGCGACAATCCCAGCCTGCATGGCGGTCGTAAGCGGGCAGTTCCTCATGTGGAAGGTAATTGGCCGAGCCATGTCTATTTAGAGTGTAAGGACGATCCTGCGCCGTTCCTTGAAAGCGTGGTCTCGGTTCGCTAACGTGTTCGAGGGGTCCCTTCACAGACCGAGTCTGATAGTCTACACAGTTTGATACAAACCATCAAAGACTCCATCAAGGAAGAGAACATAAAGCGCGCAAAGCCGCTTCCTGTTCCTGACATCATACCTTCTCTGCAGTCAGAGCTTGGCGCACCCTTACCATTACATGTCTCGCTCTCACGGACACTGCAGATCAAGACTGATGACCGTGAGACGTTTCTTGGAACTCTGAGCAGCTCCTTGCGGAGAGCCGCAGTCCAAGCCTTCTACTTCGATTTCCGTGGTCTGAAGTGGGTGCCGAACTTTGAGCGGAACCGATGGTTCTTGGTACTCGGTATCAGGAAGCCGGCGCATGATGAATTGAACAGACTTCTCAGCGCATGCAACGAAGCTGCGCAAACGTCCGGACACCCAGCATTGTATTCTGGCGGTAAGGGAGATGGGCCGATGGAGACCAACTCGCCCACTGCAGGTCCGCATCTCAAACACGACAAGACTGATCGCTCAGAAAACTTCCATGTCAGTATAGCTTGGAACCTCACAGAGCCCGATACTGAATGGGTATCTTTGGTTCAAAGCATGGATGTAGACGAACACATCCGCTTACCACAAGCATCTTTTGACGTCGTAAAAGCACGGGTTGGGAATGTGGTCCACAACTTCGATCTAGGTACAAGGAAAAATAGCCTTGGAACAGGGCGAGGGTCTCTGAGGCTGGGGTAATGGCGGTGCAATCACGTTTGGCGTTGACGTGGACTCGTGCCTGACAAGGATGCCTGGGCAGTGGCTGAGGTCGAACCATTTGGGCACCAAACTTGATACGAGATCAGAACTCATTGAAACCTCAAAACATAGCTTGAAGCAGACGTCGCCGACTACAGTGATTTGAGGCCCTCCGGCCTCTTGTCTCACTTACGCTCCATTCAAGTTGCATTGAATGATACCTGAGAATTTAATGACGGTGCGCCTACTGCCTCCAGCCTGGGTAATCCTCGCAAATTCACTGACACAGATTCTGCTATTCTCCTTTACCATGGTGGGGTCTTGTGTCTTTCTTTCTTCTTTCGACAAGATCAAATGTTCGTGCCTTAAAATCATCTCTATGGCCTATCAAGATCTAAGGTTGCCAAACATTCTGGTCACTGCTCCTGTTGTATACCTAGGCATCGAAAAGATGATTCGAGGGTTTTCGTGTTCAGTGACGTCTCAAACTCAGAGCTTTTGTAGTCTCCAAGCGTCGAGTTAAGGTTCTGGAAGTTCTCGAAAGGTTCACTGAAAATGCCCAATGTCAGCACTATTGGACATATTGTGGGAGGTCCAGGTTTCGGTCGTCCTGCCGGCCCACTTCTCAATCCCGCCATCAAATCAAGTCACATGTCTTGAGCGTTCATGCAAGAGTCGCTTGATCACCTAATTCAGGGTCTGTTGCGACAGCGGGAGAGTGCCCGCTGCATCGCGGTGTGAGTCTGAGTGGAGGGTTGAGAATCATTGTATTTGATGTTCTTGCGGCTAGCAAGAATATGCTCCTGGTCGTTCGGTAAAGCAAAAGGAAACAGGAGCAGAGCAAAAAGAACGGCACAAAAGAAAAAAATGGACCGGCAGGTGATCGAAACCTGGACCTCCCGCAATTTGATACTTGACGCGAACGTCATGATGCAAAGCGGGCGCTCTACCACTGAGCCACAGGCCCCGAATTAGATAATCAAGCAACTATTGAGTCAACACTCAGAGTATGTGACTTGATTTGATAGAAAAATGGTGAATTAAAAATATAATATTGTTGATTGTAATACGGAAACAGTAACAGTTCATAGCTGTCGACAGTGTACCATCATGGGTTCGAATGAAATCCATTGTGCGTACTGTGTGGATCCTAACACTCAAGCAGTAGGTCTAGTGCACAGCCACCACTTGGCGCGTCAGCTCCCGAACACAGTTGCGCCCAAGTCAGTAACAACACAAGACATTTCTCGAACAAACACCACTAGCCTGACAATTCACTCATAACACCACTTTGCGCCTCCTACCCCTTCATACTGCGACTGTCGACCTTCTACTCAGGATACGTTGCCTGCGCGCTCACAGCTCGGCGTTGAGCTTCATTAGCTTCCAACAGCTCCGTACACGTTCACAACCGGCACGATGGGATCGCTAGCCACATACTTTCTGGACGTAGTCTACTCGTTCACAAATTGTATGGTGTGCTTTCCGAGTTCTCCACAACTCAAGATCAATAGCCGCAGTTTCAAGATACTGCGGTTGTTGGGTGAGGTGAGCAACCAATACTAATTGTACATCAGAGCAGCAATTGATTGACTACCTGTAGGGTGGCTTCTCATATGTATACCTCGTACAAGACAACTCGAATCAGCAGCTTCTTGCGCTCAAGAAGATACGATGTCCCTTCGGTCAGGAGAGCGTCAGCTTGGCGCTGAAAGAGGTGGAAGCATACACATTGTTCTCGCCGCACCCCAACATCATTCACTCGATCGACTACTCAGTTGAGACCGACAAGTCAGACCCTTCAGCGAAGACCGTCTACATCCTCCTCCCATACTACCGCCGCGGCAACCTACAAGACATGATCAACGCGAACCTGGTCAACCACACAAAATTCCCAGAGAAGAGGCTGATGGTGCTGTTCTTGGGCGTCTGCAAGGCGCTTAAGGCCATGCACCAGTACAAGGTCAAGGGTGGGCCAGGCGGCGCGAAGAGTGACAGCAAGGCCAAGAAAGTCCGGAGAGACGCAGCGCGCGCGGACGCAGAGGCAGCACAAAGTATGGAGATGAGGCCGAGCCGGAGGCATCACGAAGGTGACGACGAGGACGATGAGCAAGCAGAGGGTTTGTTGGAAGAGAGCAACGTCACAATGGCGCAAGAAGGCATTGCGCCTGGTGGAGAGAGGGCGTATGCGCATCGCGACATCAAGCCTGGTATGTATCGATGATTCAAATGTGTGGATTCAATGAACTTACTTGTCGCAGGAAACATCATGATTGACGATGACGGCAAGTCACCCATCCTCATGGATCTTGGCTCATTAGCGCCCTCACCAACACCGATTACTTCTCGATCGCTCGCCCTGCAAGTTCAAGATACAGCCGCCGAGCACTCGACGATGCCCTACCGCGCCCCAGAGCTCTTCGATGTTAAGACTGGCTCCGTAATCGATACCAAAGTTGATATTTGGTCGCTCGGCTGTACATTATACGCATGTCTCGTTGGCAAGTCACCATTCGAGTTCAGGAGCGATGAGACTGGCGGTAGCTTGAGCATCTGCGTCCTCGGCGGTGACTGGAGATTCCCAGATGAGGGACCACAGAGGGGCAAGCAGAAGCAGCCAGCGGATGGCGAGGGCATCAGCGACGCTGTCAAGGATGTCGTACGGAAGTGCTTGTCACTTGAACCTAGCGACAGGCCTGATGTCGACGAGCTGATCCGCATCGTTGAGGATGTGCTGCATAACTTGCCTGAGGACGGGTTAGACGATTAAGCGCAAAGAAGCCCTCGGGCTCCAGACGAAACCTGTATCATCATATGTTCCTGAGATTGGTGTTCACTTGGCATTTCAGGGATTTGAACATTACAATATACCCGTTTGAGGCATCTTGACAGTCGATTGGCGAACTCCATAGGCTCTCCATGAACGGGTGATCAGTATTTCTGGTGAACCAACTAAGCTCATACCTCTACCTGTCGGTGCTGGGTTGATCATGAAGCAGCTGCGCCGCCGCCCCGATGAACGTCTTCAAAGCATCGTCCAGATGCACACCATTATTCGTAACAGTATTAAGATTCTCCAGCAACTCCTCGGTGTACAGCTCGCTCATCGTACGGCCTGATAGATTACCTGTGGTCTCCTCCCGCGCATACATACATCCTGATGGACTCAAGCTTCAAAAGCTACACCGCTCGCGCTAGCTACCTGGCCGATAATCCCGTCGCTCTCTACCACACTTGTCGAGACAACACCGAGACCTTATTGGCATATTCAGTTACAAACAGGGCCAGTGGCGACAGGCGTCGGGCAATGGCTTCATAGCATATCTCCCTCCACTTCGCATCCATATTGGTGTAGGTCTTATTAGGATCAAATCCTGCCCACACTTCGACATTCAGCGTAAAGGTCCAGAATATTGGTAGATCGTTATCGGAGTGGGGAGAGGAGAGGAAAGAAGCGGGGTCATCGAAGCGGAAGGCGCGATGGTGAAAGTGAAGGCAATGAGCCTTAGCGCGAACAAGAGCAAAACATGAAGCTCCGCCACGACAGCGGAGAACTTGTGCTATACAACTCAACCTCGAATGTCGTTCTTGTAGATCGAAAGGTTGTTTGATGCTGTCAAAATTCTTTGTCGTCTTCAGTCAACCTATGCGTCCTGGAGATTGAAAGAACGTGTCGCAAGTGCCTCCTGAGCCCCGTAGAATGCACGATTGTACCCGACTAGACTGAGACCCGTGCCGATACCGACAAGCAATGGCAGCACGGCGGGCGCATCCAGCCGCGACATGAACTTCTGGTAACATCGCAACTCGTCCTCCCGTTTTTGACCAACCGGCTGTACTCCGCTCACAAGCACCATCTTGGGTCCTCCAGAACGTTCGAGCAGGCTCCAGAACGAGTCCCCGGTCAAGGTATACGTGTGCAGTCGGACGGGTATATGCACAACTCTGGCTACCAGCCTGTCCGGGAGATGTCTACCACGCAAGGAACATTTTGACGTCGGATGCTTGTTAGCATGTTGACTGTCGTCCATTGTTGCCACACCAGGATACAGGGGTACTGAGGAAGCGAGGGTGTATCCGCCTCCATAGTGTTGGAAAATGCACGATTAGCGCTGGCATCATGTGCAGGTTTGTGGGACATGCGGCTGCTTGGAAGCGCCGCTAACCATCTTGACAGTTGATGGTTTACGGTGATTTGATACTGTTGAGCAAAGGTGCTTGGTACATAGGTAGGTCGCCATGAAGCTTGGACTGATGAGTGCGCTGATCAAGGGATCTAGTGAGGAACGTCATGGGTAGTCCACATCTCTAGCCAACAGTCAGCTTTTGAGATCGCCATACAGCCTCAGTCATCCCTCCTCTCGAAGCTGGTGACAGAAACGTCTTGTGTATTGCATATCTGCGCAAATGCAAATGGGTATCTCTTACTACATCTCCCTATATGCCCCCCCCCCCTATTCCTTCCCATCTGCAAGCAGCTTCGCAACCTTCTCCTCCAGCATCTTTATATCATCACCAACAACCTTGACATTGCCCTGCATAGCCTTCTCGTGCTTCTTAACATCCTCCTCTACCAGCTCTAGCTGCTTCTCCCAATTTTTGATCTCCTCTTCTTGCTTCGACTGTCGCGACTCCAGCTCGGTCAACACCTCATCTGCTTGCCACGCGCTTGTGTGCACAAGGCGCAATGTGCGTAGGCGCTCGAGCACAAGAGGTAGGATAGGCGAGAGCTTGTCGATTGAGGGTAGGGTACCGTAAAGCGCATTGATTTTGGCTTCTTGATCAGGCGTTGTGACGGCCTTGTTGTCATCAGAGGATGAGCCGGCGCGTGAGGCTTCTAATCGTGCTTCTTTGAGAGCCTCGGCCTCCTCTATTAGTTTCTTGATCTGTTGTGAGGCTCCATCAAGGTTATTGGTCGAGGCATCGCCAATGGCACCGAGCGTTTGCTCTAGTCTTTGTAACGTTGTGAAGACTGGGAATGTGGAGTCCTCGCTCATCTCTGGTATGGTGTTGCCGTTAAGCCCGAGGCTGTTCTCCATTTGCGTTATCCGTTGGTCGAACTCTGCTGCTTGGCTCAGCACATGCTCCAGTTGACTCTTTTGAATCTGTGTCCCGGGTAGTGGAGGCTGATTCGCAATGGCTGCTGTGATCTTCGAGCTCGGCGCAAAGGGTTCGTAGTCATTGAACTTCTGTATTGTCCGGTCCAGCAGCGGTTCCGCTCCTCGGACGCCTCCCCTCCGGCTTGCATAGATTTCGTCGACCTTGTCTGAGATGAGGTCCATTACGTCCTTTGCGTCTCGCTCCTCAATCTTAGTCTTGTCCCCGGACTGCTTCCTCTGTTCGTATTCGTCCTCCAGCTCCTGCAACTCCTGCTTCACCCTCATAAGCTTCCGCGTGAAGCTTTCCTGCTCTTCATCGCTGTCGTCCCCCAGGATCTCGCCTCGCCGCCGTTGCCGTGTGTATGTGCGGTACGCTTGCCGTTGCGCAATGTTGTCCGAGAAGTCTACGCCGTTGGCGTCCACTCGCGAGGGTTGGAACCTGTTGCGTGCCTGATCTGTCTGCAAGCGCTGATGATTCACGGCAGAGCTGTCTGGGTCGGAGTCATCATACTCCGACTCGGATATTGCAGTCGAGGCTTGTATTGTAGACACATCTTCGGCGAGATCGGGGGTTTCATAAACGTCTGGGGCGGTGTCTATTCCAGGCAGGCTGTCATACTTTGGTCGCGATGCTTCCGAGGTCATTATGAAGTGATTAGGAGGAAAGATGAAGGCGAGCTGTGTAGGTTGGCGGGGTGTCAAGGTTGTGGGGTGTAAACTTGGGGAACGCGTCGATTGGAAGTCGCGACCGTCCGTGCACACATGTCAACTGAGCCTCAAAGTGCAGGGTCTATCAAAGCATCGATCAGGATTAGCTACATCTTCTTCATTACCACTAACTCATACACTGTAACGAAAGCCTGCTGTGGCCCCAAAATTCATCTCAGGTGTCTGTAATACTGATCCACATCGGCATCCCGGACGGCCATGCGGTCATAGTACTGCGTCGAACCACCAGAAGGAATCAGGTCGTCCGCGATGCCGTGCCAGCTGAGCAACTTTCCGCCTGCGTCCTTGAAGCCCCTGAGGTCTGTGTCGTTGGTGCCGATGAAGGATTCCCATTGCTGGTGACCGGCGCACAAGTAATTGGGCAAGCGTTCTGCGGTAATTGTGGAAGTGTCGAAGGATACCTTCTGCTCGACGAAAAGCTGAAAAAACTGTGCGCCGAACGCCCAGGCTGCGGTAGTAGAGCAAGTTCCTGTTTTCTGGCAGTTCGAGTCTGCGATTGAGGTTGAGGTCAAAAGGTGTGTCTAGCGTGTATCCTGCATGGACTCGTTCTCCTTGCCAGTTCGGGATACCGTACCACGTAGCATTCGCGACAATTGCTTCAGCTTCGGGGATCGAGTTGAAGCTGCTGTTGCTGCAGTTGACAGGCTGGCCGACAAGTTTGAATGGGTCAAAGGAACACAACTCTAGGATGGAGATAATCCAGTCTTCTACGCCATCCAGAGAATCGCATGTGGCAATTGCTGCTGCCGCGATTGCCTCGAATTCGCAATTGTGAGGATACTCGCCCAGCGTGTTCATGACAGCTTGGGCATGGAACAAGCTTGCAAAAAGAGGGATCATGTTCAACACAGGGGCCCCGGCTAGAATGCCGTCAAATGCTTTGGGATAGCGCTGGGCCAGCATCATGCCTCGCCGACTGCCTTGAGAGCAGCCGTTCCAACTACGTTAAATCAATTACTGCGTTCTTCAGAATCATGGTCATCTGCTGACAGTGCCTGCAGTCTCAATACTTGGGGCTCATACATACTAAGAGTAAGTGGGGGCCTTCTCATAGAAGCTCTCCGTGACCATCTTCCCGACGATGGACAGTTCATCCAACGTAACAGAGCCGAAGTCATAGTACTCTGGCTCACTACTGCTGCCTCCAGAGCTCCATGATGTCGGTATCAGCCGCCAGCCAGTCGCTGTACGAAGTGTACAGGGTTGCTTTGTCTCCGAGAAGTCTGCGTTAGTGTTGATCGCTTCAACATTGCACTACCTGGTTGAGTACTGTACGAACGAGCGAACAGCATCACGCTACTGCGCGCAATGATTCCGTCCGATGTTCGTCCCGCACGGACATATTCGGCGCGATCTTCCGCATTGCATAGATCCAATTTCAAGCTGTCGAGTCCTACAAGAGCATCAGTCAAACCAAGCAATAAGTCTTGGACTACGTCAATCACTGTTCGAGACAGGTGCATGTATCATGCAGCGAACCAAGGTGATTTGGTAATGTTGTATCTTTCTGACTGGCTGCTAGAGCTTAGCAGGCGCATCCTATGCCTGTACCCTGAACGTTCGTCCACTAGCTGTCTTGCGCTCCTTCTCCTCCGACTCGGGTCTCGCTCTCCGTAGGACTGTAACATGGTAAGTGTGTGAGCTCCAAGACAAACGACTGTCGTCCACTTACCTTGGAGGAAGTCAGCGGTCCTCTTGCGCATCCTCGAGTGAATGAACGCCTTAGAGGCCTTGATGTGGTAGTGGAAGTAGTCGCGGAAGGTCTGGATGTGAGAGATGACCTCGGCTCGTCGTGCAGCTGCCAGATGGCGAGGGAAGAGGACTGTATGTGTTAACGGATTCTCTGTATACGAGCTTTGCTGAACCCACCAAATGTGATGTAGCCAATATCGGCGGAGCCAGATGTGTCGACCCCTGGGGTGCCTTGCAACTCGAGAGGTGGGTCGTTGCGGAAGAGTACTTGGGGTGCGTTTTGAATGGCTCTCCGCCTGGCGTCGACGAACTCCTGGAGGAACACCTTTCCGAAGATCCTGTCTGTCTCTTCCCTGAACACGGTGGAGAAGATAACTGTGACACGGTCGAAGCTGGCCTTGATGTATATCGCTTCCTCTTCGCGGTAGTGGATCGCGCGCACTTCACCGCCCTCCTTCACACCCTGGGGCGCCGACTCGGATGTGTACTTGGAAGCCTCCTCCTGCAGCTGCGCGAACTCGTCAAAGGCTTGCTCAAAGGGTGCAGCCATGGCGTTCCGCTTGAGAAGGGATATGCGCCTAATGAGATCATCGCGGCTCTCTGGTAGCTGTCAGCAGATACTTTGTGCCAATTGGCTATTGGCCATACCCTTATCCTCTGGCAAGTTCTCCAGGTCTACCAGCACCGAGAAGTCGTACCCCGACTCGGGCGACACAATGTATGGGCCATACTCGCGCTCGAGGACTGCCTGGGCGCCGTACTGCACCAGCTCAGAGAAGCACTTGATTTGCAGCGAGACAAGGATCTTTGTCTTGCTTTCAGGGGTCGAGATGTGGAATGTGACGCCGTCGAAGTCAGAAACGACCTGGTCAATGTTCGCTGGAGCTCCTCTGTATGCTGTCAGTCTGGCGGGCTGCTATGCGGGCAGCGGCGGGGTAGGGCGCACCCAGAGAAGCGGTCCTTCAGCAGGGACTCGATGAGAACGTTCTGATAGTCGAGGAGAAGCATTGTAGGCGTCCGGTTGCTGTGACGGGGTGCAACGAGGTATGGCGGGGAGCTCTCGTAGGCTGATGCGGAGGCCGGAGGTGCCCAGTGTCGTCGTTGGTAAGTGGGTCCTTGTGGCTCATGCTGTGGCGTAGGGCGGGTCGCAACTTCCAAAAAGTTTCGAGAGCTCCTGCCGAGAAAAGTTCACCAACTTCCGGGCTGGCCAATGACAACACTGCGAGAAGTCAAGGAAAGTAATGACTTGAAGGCTATACTGTGGATCTCTCGTTCTTGTTCATACTCTTTTCATACCCTCAGAAACCACTAGTGGCGCATCATGGTAAAGTCATACAGGTATGCACTGCAGGCGCAAAGTAACCGGATCTCCCCCTAAGTCTTGAGCAGCAAGTACGAGCAGAGTGACGCTTTCGGCGTTGTCGCGACTGCCACCTCGAACCTCGTCTGGGCCGCCGAAGTTACCCAACCCGGCACCAAGTCCTCCGGAGCAGGGCGCGCTTACGCCGCCGCAAATGAAGAAGTTCTCTGTTGGGATGTCAAAAAGGGCGAACTGCTGAGCAGATGGCGCGATGCCAGCTGCACCGAGGAGGTCACAGTCATCTGCAGGAGCGAAGTCGACCCGGATGTGTTCGCTGTGGGGTACGCAGATGGGAGCATACGAATCTGGGATGCGAGGACGTCGACCGCCATTATCAGCTTTAATGGACACAAATCAGCCGTCACCACACTAGCCTTCGATCAGAGTGGTGTGCGACTTGCAAGTGGTGCAAAGGATACAGACATTGTGATCTGGGACCTTGTTTCTGAGACTGGTCTTTTCAAGCTCCGAGGACACAAAGGGCAGGTTACCGGCTTGCAATTCATCCACCCTGGAACAGCGCCACAGGAAGATGAGGAGGAAATGGAGATGGACACAGACCAGGCATTTCTTCTATCGACAAGCAAGGACGCCTTGATCAAGATCTGGGACATCAGCACACAGCACTGCATTGAGACACATATCGCGCAAACAAACGGAGAGTGCTGGGCGTTGGGTGTATCGCCAGATGGCAGTGGCTGCATCACAGCAGGAAATGACGGTGAATTGAAGGTCTGGGCTATCGATCTTGCTGGTCTACGACAGGCTGGATCGGCCGTTGGCGAAGCTACCGAGCAGCGCTATCTCAGAGCAAGGGGCACACTGTACCGATCGGGCAAGGACCGAACACAGGGCATTTCATTCCACCCCAAGTCGAACTACGTTGCGGTACATGGTGCAGAAAAAGCTGTCGAGATCTGGCGAATAAGGACCGAAGATGAAGTGAAAAAGAGCTTAGCCAGAAAGAGGAGAAGAAGACGTGAGAAGGGCAAGAACGAGGCAAATGCCGATGCACAGGAGAACGAGGCGGAAGACAAGATCAATGTGGCTGACGCAGAGATCGACGACGTGATCACCTCTTACGTTACCGTGCGAACGGCAGGGAAGGTCAGATCTGTTGCGTGGATGAAGACCAGGGGTTCGAAGAAGATGCAGCTTCTAATCGGCACGAACAACAACCTCATCGACGTATACGACATTCCTACGAAGAGCAAATCAAAGACCGACGAAATACCGGATTACACTCGCACATTGTCTGTTGAGCTTGCAGGTCACAGGAACGATGTGCGGGCACTGGCGTTGAGCTCAGACGACCGCATGTTAGCATCAGCTTCGAGCGGTGGCCTCAAGATCTGGAACATCAAGACTCAGAACTGCCTGCGTACATTAGAGTGTGGCTACGCACTTTGCTGCGCATTCTTGCCTGGTGACAAGATCGTAGTCGTGGGTACGAAAGAAGGCCACCTCGAATTGTACGACATCGCAGCCTCATCATTACTTGACAAGATCGAGGCGCATGAGGGCGCTATCTGGACTCTGCAGGTCCACCCTGATGGCAAGTCGCTCATCACTGGAAGTGCGGACAAGTCGGTCAAATTCTGGAACTTCGAGATCGTTCAGGAAGAGATTCCCGGTACAAAGCGTACAATGCCTCGCCTCAAGCTTGTTCAATCACGCATCCTCAAACTGAATGACGATGTACTGAGCCTGCAATTCTCGCCTGACTCCAGGCTGCTGGCTGTCGCCACTCTCGACAACACCGTCAAGGTCTTCTTCGTCGACTCGCTCAAGCTCTTCCTTAACCTGTATGGCCACAAACTGCCAGTACTCAACATGTCAATATCGAGCGACAGCAAGCTGATCGCGACATGTTCAGCAGACAAGAACGTCCGAATTTGGGGTCTCGACTTTGGTGACTGTCACAAGGCGCTCTTCGGCCACGAAGATAGTATCATGCAGATCTCCTTTATCCCACACCCCGTCGACGGCGACGACAAGCACATCTTTTTCAGCGCCAGTAAAGACAAAACAATCAAGAGCTGGGACGGCGACAAATTCCAGCAAATCCAAAAGTTCCGCGGTCACCACGGCGAGATCTGGGCCATGACACTCGCGCGCACGGGCGACTTCATCGTCACCGCCTCCCACGACAAGAGCATCCGCATCTGGACCAAATCCGACGAACCTATCTTCCTCGAAGAAGAGCGCGAGCGCGAGCTTGAAGAACTCTACGAAAACACCCTCGCCCACTCCCTCGAAGACGAAGAACCTCTGAACGGCGAACGCGCAGAAGCAGTCGATGCCTCCAAGCAGACAATCAGCTCCCTCACGGCCGGAGAGCGCATCCAAGAAGCACTCGATCTCGGCATCGCGGACTTGGAAGTTGTCCAGCAGTGGGAAGTGCAGAGGCGAGCGAACCCTAAGATTGCGCCACCGCAGCGCCATCCATTGTTCATGGCGCTGGGTAATATTTCAGCGGAGCGACATGTTCTAAACACCATGTCTAAGATCCCCGCTGCACAACTTCAAGATGCGCTCCTCGTACTGCCCTTCGCTTCGCTCCCTGCGCTGTTCATATTCCTCAGCATATGGGTCCAGAAACAGTGGAACGTCATGCTCACTTGCCGCGTGCTGTTCTTCATGCTCAAGACACACCAGAAGCAGATCGTCGCGTCAAGGGAGCTGAAGACGGTGCTTGAGGATATGAGGGGTGACTTGAGGAGGAGCTTGAGTGGCAACAAGGACTTGATCGGGTTTAACGTTGCAGCACTCAGGTTTGTGGGCGAGAGGGTCGATGAGGCGAGGGTGGTGAGGTTGGAGGATGTGGAAAGGATCGAGGAGGAGGGTAAACAGAGGAAGAAGAGAGGGTTTGTGGATGTTGCGTAAAAGTTTTGAGGGAAGTTAAAGCATTGGGGAGGTGTTGGTGGTGTTGATGGATCTATATGAGTATCTACCCATTTGTGCCGGAAGGGTTGGTATGCTCAATGAATAAATTGCAACTGAACATGATGTCCCGCCAACTAATCGACCCGCTCGTTGAACTGCAGCCAACCCTCTCCCGGTTCCATCGCCTTGCGATTCAAGAAACTCAAAGTAAACTCCAGCCCACGCAACCTGCCAATATCCTCCAAAGATGGATCATAAACTTCTCCCCGGTGTATACGTACGCGATGGATGGCCTATTGTTACTAGACTGTCAACGTTTTCAGCCACATATCGAACAGACTCTGGTAGTTATATGGACAAGGAAAGATGAATGTTCGAACGCGGTGTCAAGCCTCTGAGATTGGTCTGCCGCCAAATTGACAGTGAGGCGCGCAGCTTCAGCAGAGCACCCAAGACACTCAACCTCTGACTCCATTTCGAGATCAGAGATCTGTGCTGGTTAATCGAGACAGGCAGATCCAGAACGCTCACAACCATCGAAGTCATCGACACTGGTTGCCAATATCAGGTTAGCATTGCGCTTGCAAAGGCGTGCTCCGGTACTCTGGGACTTCAGCCTATAATTGCCAGGTCGCCAGCGCTCGTTCAGTTTGTTCATGATGCTTTTGCAAACCTTCAATGCATTCGAATTTGGCCTACCCAAGGTTACAAGATTACAAATCCTCACGCGGCGGACTACTGGGAGGAAACAATTTCATCGGCCGGAGCTTGAGGTCGTTCTCCTGTAATCACTTGGTGGCAGTATATGTGAGGGTATCAAGCTACATTATCCCATTCATAGTCACTAAGACACCAATAGTACCAATTTCAGAACAGTGGCTACTGCACTTACAGTTTCTATGCTCTCCTTCGCACGCGAATCTTGCCTCCATGCAAAAGCAGCTTCAGCCAAACCGTATCCAATAGCTTCGGCCTCACCTTCGTGTATTCGACATCATAGTTCAACAACATATGTGCGATGAACACCTCCATTCGTTCAAAGCGAAGAATTGACCGGGACACGCACGCCATCCGAATCCGAATCCTAAGAACACATCATCTAGCGTCGCGGTTGATTTGGCCTTCCGTTCGGTAGTATTGAATTTCTCAGCTTCGAGGTCTTCTCTCGCTGTGAAGTTGTCGACAATGTTGCTGATATTAGTTGCATCGGCGAACCGGAAAGCATTGAAGCTGCGCAGTTGAGGATAGATCTTCTTGTCGTAGTGAATAAGGGTCCATTGGCACAGCGATCTGGACAGTAGTCAGCACATGTCTTCCATGCAGCTCATTCAGAGAACATCCTACCATGATACCTTGTGGTATGTGAACACCTGATACTGGGAGTTAATTGATTGGTTTAACGTCCCATCTGAGTAGATACTGGGAGTTGAATACCTTCCGGATGGATAACCCAATATCGTTCAACCAACAACTCACTAAGATCCCGAGGTACTCACCGTTCGAAGGAGGCCGGCGATGGCAAACGGGTTCAGCCTCATCGACTCGCGAATCATGGAATCGACGAGTTTCAAGTTCCGAACTGCATCACCCGTCCACGAGCTACCAGCTTTCGCAAGCACAGAAGCTGCTTCATCGCGCAAAGCATCCACGTATCCTAGCGACGGATCCGAACTGAAAAGATCAAGAATGACGTTCTGCACGGTGACACTTATTGAGTGCAGCGATATGTCATTTACCAGCAACAGGCGATGCGCAACACGCCTTGGCTCCAGTTGGTCGACTTGATCTTTAGCAGCTGCAGCGTAGCATTCATCGATAAGCCACTGGAGTCTATCCTTCTGTGCGATTGTTGTATAGATTCTAAACAGTACTGGGAGAAGGGGTCATACCGACGGTATCCACCCGCACTTGGGATCTGCCTTATGTCGAGCCGTGGCCTCCTTTCTATGACAAAAGGCAGACATACCCTCAGAGCATTCCGTCAGAGATACCAACAGTCTGTCCCTACCAGAAAGCCAGTAATAGGTTTGATCGGCTTGAGGGAGGCGTTGATGAGCATCGCTCCGGCAAAGATACTCATAGCATGATCTCTCAGATCATTCAGAAGCCTCTCATCGCGACCTGATACTTGCCAGTATGCTCACTTACTTTTTGTTCGCACTGATTAACAGAGTGGAGCACCGCAGAAGGCACCATTACTGGAACCAGCTATCAGAACACTACAGCATGTGAGATGTTAGTGTTGTGAGTACTCCCCGTTTTGACGCGAGGTAGACAAGTCTACATGGGCATGAAGGTGGCAGAGTCCTGGCGTAAATATGCATCGATATGAACAAACTCTGCCCAGGCCACACACAAAATGTCTGTTATGCAGATGTCACGCATTGCAAGATTTCGAGCCAGCACACTTGCTTCTCATGAGGACACGTTTCCAGATAACTGGTCAAGTAAACATTTGCGTGCTATTGTTAGAGTGCTTCCGATTCAAGCATCGAGTGCGAAGTACGATTCGGGCCACGGGGCATAAATGCCGCCGAACTCCGAAGCTTGACTCCATCTCAAGGCTGGCCCAGATAATGTTGGGACGGCAGAAGCGCAGAATGTTTGGTTACATGGAAGCGATGGGAGATCAGAAACCAGCATGTTGTGCCCAGACTCCAGAGAAGGCTCTGGTCTTGACGTGGCAGATGTGCACCTTGAAAGTCTTTCAGCCCTGTAAATCACGCTTCAATTCTGCCAGTTCTTCCCGCTTTCCCGACCATCCAGTCGGTATGTAGCGCCAAACCGGTGAACTACAACAGGACAATGGCATATACGTACGCGCACACCCAGGACTTCACCTGCAGGACTGCGTACACTCATGAAACGACGGAGAGGACACGATTCGAAGTGCACAATTGAGCAGAACCACGTCTTCTTATCATCATCAGCCCATGAGACGGCAGAGATAGGGTCCATGATGGAGCGGCTGGCAGCACTGCCTCATCAGGCAAGCCACCACCACTTTCAATCCTGGCGTGATCTGGCCACTGATGAGCGCCGCTAAAGGGCGTTCCTGCTGCTTGTGGGTCACCGGTCAAGCCTTGTCGTCGTGCTGTGCAGTTCTCTGGTCGCAAGTGTGGGTTTGCACAGGTAGGTCGACCGCCCTTTGCAGGCCGTTTTGGCTGCTTTTGGTGAGGAACTGGCGGTGGTGGTCGTTCAAGTGTGAAATTCTGCGGCCGACGACGACAACGCGCATCTGCGAAACAGATGGCGAATAGACTGGAGCAGATGGCGCCCTCACTGGTGAACAACTTGCGTCAGAGCCGAGGGTATATATTGTACTCACAGCGAATAATCGCATAAGCTCAAAGTTGGCCGCGAGTTATCGAAGCGTTAGGGCTTAGCCTCCAGGCAGCAGCGACCACGACCACGCTAGCGGAACCCGTCCACGATCTTGGCTGTCAGCGTCGTTGAGTGTTCCCAACTCACACTGTCTCCCTCTTTTTTACTCTCAACTCGCCCAACTCATCAGTCCTTCTCCATTCAGTTTTCTGTCCTGAGGCCTGTAACCCCTCTTTTCCGCTGCGCACCCGCCCTTTCCTGCATACTTTGCCACGCACGCAGTCCGTCTCACCCCGACTGCGCCGCCTTTCATATACCGGATAGTTCCCCACGTCTGCAACAACGAAAGGACTCTGCGCGCCCTTCCTCCTCCGCTGGAATCATTTCTATCACTCAGCCCATCAATCACGCCTTTCCGCGGCCGCCAAATCGCTGTTTCCGAACCGGTCAATGAGAACGTGATCCAGGACTTGCACCACCATCATCGGTTCTGGCCATAGGTCAATAGGATCCCTCGGGCTCTGTGAATTGTCCAGTCGCTGTGACTCATAACCTGAGGCCTCCTTCCCATCTTAGCGCGTCTGGATTCAGTCATACAACATGTCTGCACCTCAACCCCAGAACAGCCACCCCCGCCGCCGTCCTATTAAGGACAACGTCTCTCCCCTTAGCACTCATGGCATGCAACTTCGCAAGTCCGGTACCTTCTCGTCACCCAAGTCGTTGACTAACGACATCTGTGGCCTGGAGAACCAACCGTTCATGCCCAGGAGGTCTCCAACTAGCACTGAGAGCCTCGAAGCTCTCCTTCAGGATCAGCACCCTAGTGTCAGCCGTGTCGCCAACCTGCTCAAGGACTTCGACCAGAAGCTCGCAGGTCATAAGGCCGCATCTGTATCCGGTGCTAGCATCCTCAACGATCCTGAGGTGCTTCCTGTACCCAGCTTCATGCTTGACAGCACTACACTGGATGATATGCCTATGGACATTGACTCTAAGCCAACAGCAGCTGAACGCAACCCTCACGAGCACGCTTCAGACAGCGGTCTGGGTTCCAGCATCGGCTCGAAATATAGTAAGGACTCAATGCAACTATCCATCTTGGAGGCCTCACCATCTAACATACATAAAGACGACGCCCGCACCACCAGTGTGCGTGAGTCCATCAACTCCTCTGTCACAACACACTCTGCCGTCACCTGCTCGTTCTCGGCATTGGGCGCTTCTGAGGAGAAGCACACTCTCGGCGAGTACGCTTGCAAACAGATTCACGACTCGATCATCAAGCCCATCCTCGCCGAGGAGTCACTGAAGGACTTCCATCCGTTGATCCAAGACGTTCCTCGACGCATAGGTGAGAAAAGTATCTGCAACCTCCGTGATCTCGAAAAGACCCTTGTCTTCCTGGCACCGGTAAGTGGTATCCGTTATCTTTCAGAGAGTGCAAAAGCTTATTGCATTCTTCGCGGCTTTAAGGAGTTTTCGGCAACACCGGCATCCTACCTTCGATTCTGCGAACGATCAATTCAACTGCTTCACACGACTGTCGAGTACCTTTCGGAACGCGACCAGCGACTACCGACCGACCGCCCATACACTAACAACTATTTTCTCGACTTGATCGAACAGATCCGTAGATACGCTGCAATCATGGCCGCCACCCGACAAAAAGAAGCTCAGGGAGAGCAGCTCGACGAGATGGATTACTCCCGGTATGATCGCGCCGCGACATTTCTCTTTACTCGCTCGGCTAATCACTCAAACGATAGCGATGAGAAGATCACCCTCCGTGGAGGTCTCAGCCACAACGGTCGCCCTGTGGAGCTCGTCCGCGAGAAGGACGGAAAGGTCATCCCCCTTGCTATCGGCTCCGAGAACGCATACAAGAAGCGCGCCTTGTCCGAGGAAGACATTGACGACGACGAAGTCCTGCGCTCCATGGCTCGCCGCAGGAAGTCCGACAAGCCCGGCGATGTTCTGCACATGTGCCGTGACTGCAAGAAGGAGTTTAAGCGCCCTTGCGACTTGACCAAGCATGAGAAGACTCACTCTCGCCCATGGAAGTGCTCCGAAGAGAAGTGCAAGTATTTTGAGCTTGGCTGGCCTACTGAGAAGGAGCGCGACAGGCACGTCAACGACAAGCACTCGTCTGCGCCGGCGCAGTACAAGTGCCTTTACCCACCATGCACATACGCCTCCAAGCGTGAGTCGAACTGCAAGCAGCACATGGAGAAGGCTCACGGCTGGGAATACGTTCGATCCAAGAGCAACGGCCGGAAGAAGAGCCAGGCAGTCAGCAACAGCCCTGCTACACCTCTTACTCCCTTCCTTGGTACACCACAGTCCACTGCTCTCACTACACCCATTACACCCTTTATGGCATCTCCTTCGGTTCCTTTGATCAACGACTTCGACCCCTATGGTTTCGGGACTCCAGCGATCAGCCTCCACAACTTCCAGGACGACTTCCGTCGTGACTCAATCACCACCGATGGTACACACCTCACATACTCTTCCGGCAACTCACCCGTGGAGCCAAACTCCTTTGTAGAGGCTGCCGTGACTCCTGCTGATGTCACTATCGACCACACTGACGCTCTGTTCCCCAATTGCGGAATGGGATCGAACTTCAATATGGGCTTCCAGCAGCACACCCCTGCTTTGAGCACCGACTTCAACTTCAACGAGCCTATGTTTACCATGGCGTCGAACCAGACTCTCGGTCTTCCTCAGTTGTCACCAATGGCCCAGCCAGATCTCACCTTGTTCTCTCCCCAGATGCAGATCGACGAGGGCTTTGGTGACGCCATGGACACTTTGGACATGCAGGCCTTCAGCCGTCCTACTGAAGACTTCACACTGTTCGACGCGGCGCCGGCTGGCAACATGTCGATGAACAACACTGCCAACTTCTTCCCTGACTTCAATCAGCTCGGAGGGCAGTTCGGCAATGGAGCTCAGCAATTTGACAACACCTACTACAACGCCAACGCCTTGGAAACTACGTTGGACGAGATGTTGGGCCTCAACAACAGCAACCAGCAGTAAATGCCGGTCTGCATTGTGTACGACGATGGATGTGCATTTGAATACCGATCTTCCCCCACTTTGTTTTCATAGGGCAACGAACACGAGTTTCGTTATCACGACGCATAGCGAGCACAATGTACTTTACAAGAGATGGATTACGGATACGGCATGATACACCCTCAGAACAGAAAATCCATAAAACAAATGGCTTTTGGATCTCTCGTCTCCCCAGCATCGTAATTGATTGGATCTCCCCCCTTCTTTCCTTTCGTGTGCGGAAGCAGGGTGTGGTTGAGATCATCATATAGTGTAGAATATATACAACACAAATAAATTGTGGAGGAAAACGCGTCTTCGAAACCGCATGGTGATGCATGATGACTCTGAACTTGTGACACATTCCGCATCGATGACTCTGCCGCGTCACAGCAACCACGGTTCCTGCACTGGACCCTGAGAAGTTGCAACAACCAAGCATCAGGTGCAAGGGTCCTGAATCCAGCACCGCCCTCAAGCAGTCTAACCCCTAACAGCATGACATCAGAGACTATCTTTTTCGATAAAGATGGCACAGACAAGTCGGACTTAGCGCCCTAAGCTGAGCAGCGGAGTGGAGAGTGAGTGGGTCAGAACGGACATCGAATGCAAGCGGCACGGACTTGAAACGCTCGAGCGGCTCGCATACCAAGGCGCCCCCCTCCTCTTCAGCCGTCATGCTGCCTTCTATCCTCGACAGGCGGAGGCCCTCGTCGTCGTCGTGAAGACGCGTTCCTGTCACTCTCTTTTGACCATCGTTAGGCCCGGTAGGCTGTCCAATCTCTATAACTATCTTGTCCGTCTTTACAAAGGTTGAGCGCTGGTCGTTCTCCTTCCTCCGACGAATTCGCGATACCGGTTCGCGCCGTTTCAGTTCTATCAGTCTTTTCACGTCATTTTCGCAGGGGTTCAGGATGTTGGGTTTTCACAAGAGGACGAGGAGTTTGATTCCGGTCAAGGAGCTGGCGAAGTACGATGTTGTTCCGGTTGAGGAGGAAATGTATGGATATGAGAGCGAGAGCGAGGAAGAGCTGGAGAAGCAGAACACAGACGCGTTGGACCCGACAACACACTCACGGAGAAGGCAATTGCTGCTTGTCTACCTCGTGTTCTTTGCTGAAGCGTAAGTCCACCCCTCCCACGAGCTGTTTACTCTCGATTTGCATCCCGTGGACCCTGAGTCGAGAGCAACCGCGCTAATGCACGACATGCAGCATCATGGCCTCGAGTCTACAGCCTCAGCTCCAAATGCTCCTCTCATCCTCCGACTACTGCGGCAATCTCTCCACATCCTACCTTCGCAGTATTCTCGACTGCGCGTATGCGTTCGGCGGCACCACCGGCCTCTTCTGGGGGTATCTGGCGGATCGCATGGGACGGCGGCGCGTTACGCTGATTGGGCTATGGAGTATGGTGGTTTGCTGTCTGAGTATGGGCTTTGCGACGAACCTTGCTGCTTGCGCTGCGTTCAGGTTCTTTGCGGGCATGGTCAGCTCGGCGGTTGTGTGCACCAGCTTGACGATGATTGGGGATTTGAGCGCGACTGCAGAAGGAAGGGCGAAGAACGTCGCAAAGCTGCCTTTGATCTCGCTGTGTGGCTCTGTTGGACCCCTTGTTCAGGGCATGGTCTCTGAGAGCCTACAAGCATATGGCATGGTGTGGGAGAAGTTCCCTACGCTGGGTTCGGAACTGGCTTGCGGAAGTGTGCTTTTCGCGATTGCGCTGGCTGCTTCTGTCTTGCTAAAGGAGAGTCTGCCGCTCCACTACGACGTACCAACCGAACCTATGGATCTGGACTGCGAGAAAGCAGCCTTCCTCACACGCAGCTCGGAGGACACCAACATCACCCTCGTCGATGATTTCGCTCGCCCAGAATCCATCACCATTACGCAGTTCATGCAAGCGCCCTCCCTCCTGGTCCTCCTCTCATCATTTTGCCTTCTCTCCCTCCACGCCGCAACCTTCGACGTCCTCCTTCCGCACCTTGGTCACAGCAGCACACAGCACGGCGGCATGGGCATTCCGTGCGATTGGCTCAGCCTCGTCATACTATTTGTGCGCGGCGTCGCCGCCATGGCCATCTTCTCTCTCATCCCCATGATGATAGAGAAGCACGGTCTGCTTAACCTCTACCGCACAGTCTCGCTCCTCTTCCCCGCCATCTACATCATCACGCCGCTCCTCGCTCTCCTGGCAGCATGCTCCGGCCTCGCGCCCCTTCTCTCGGTCTTCGCCATCCTGACAAAACATATACTCGCAAGCGGCGCACTTGTTCTCGTTATGCTTCTCGTTCTGAACACTACACCCGACGCTTTCTCCGCAGGAACAGTCGTCGGCATGATGCAAGTCGCATCGCTATTCAAAGCCTTCGCTGTCGCCGTTAGCGGTGCTAGCTACTACGTCAGCAGCGACGTCAGTGTGCCTGTTATCAATTTTGCGCTCTGGACATGCCTGGCTATCTTCGGCGCAGCAGGTGCCGGGTGTGCGTGGTTTGTGAAAGAGAGGCCGAGCGTGGGGCTCGACTTCAAGGGCGAGGTGCTGAAGTGGGAAAGCGTCTTCGACTTCGATGCTGATGAAGTCGTTGACGAGAAGCTCGAGGAGAACTTTGTGATTGGCGATGATTGAACATCTTTTCTTGTCGTGTTGTTTGTATCCAACGACTTATTTCGTTTCTGTTCATATGTAGCGATTTCCTTGTGTACATATCACCGCATTTCCAATGCCATCTCATTGACCTCTGCCACCCCACTCCGAACCGGCGTATTGCCTGCGTACACAGCCACCATATCGACAACACAGCCTTCAGTACTCTTGTCCTGTCATCGACTTCGTGAAATTACGGTCAAGCAGCACGTGAATGGCATTGGAGTAGCCGAAGCCTGAAACACGCCAACTCGATGCTCGGAGTTTGGTACACATGCGGAACGTCGACATGCAGCAACCATGGTACGCTCTGTTGGGCAGGTTGACATGAGCAGAACAGCAAGCAGCGTACACAGACACCCAGGCCTCACCTTGATCCTTCTTCTGCACTCCACGCGTTCGCCATCATGTTGATCCTCCGCAGTTCCAGCTGCCACTAGCACGCAAGAGGTTAAAACAAAACAACGGCAGTAACGACACGAGTAGCGGCGGGATGCCCCTGCATGAGAGCGTTCGAAATGAGCAAAGGAGTGGCCGCGGTGCCTTCTATTTGGGGCAGGCTTGAGGGCGCTTGGGAAGGCAACCGCAATCCGTGTTCCTTTTCGCCTTCTCGACCACAACACGCCTTGCAGACTGTTTGTTTGTTAACCCCGCGCGTGTACCACCACCAAACTCCACTCACCAACAAATCACCCTGTATCTATTAGGCCTGCAACACTACACAACATTTACCAGAAGCCAACATCTGCGACAGTCTGCGCCATGACGCTCAGCGACACGTACCAGACGTTCTTAGACCGTCCTTCGCAAGGCGCTCTTGCAGAGAAGGCAGCGCTGAACTACATTACAACCCTCACCAGCATCCACGATGCCGCGGCGATCATCAAGCACCTGCAGGTTCAGGAGAAGCTGCTGAAGAAGACGAAGCAGCAGGTCGTGAGCGTGGTAGAGGGCAGACATGCGCTCAGTCTGGACGTCGAGACGACAATTGAATTCCAGAACGGCGGCGGCGCGTACCTGCCTGGCCTGGACGACAACTTTGTCGCAGATCGCACTGTGACTTTCCCTATGGTGAGCACCCTTCCAAGAGACACTTGAGCGCATGCTGACAGTAATGCAGGTCCACATCGTGCACTTTGATAGTTCAGACAAGATTACGCAGATTCGTCAGTACTGGGACCAGGGCTCGCTGCTCAAGCAAATCGACGTAATTGGCGCGCGCGCTCGCAACTGGCCCATCCGCGAAGGCCCAGAGCAGGCGAAGCTGATCAAGTCCTCTGCTCAACTCGCACAACTAGACTCGGCGCCGTCTTCGCGCCCTTCGACCGCTTCACGAGGCGCAGACGAGGTCTCAATCCGCTCGCGAGACTCGACCACCAATGCCACAAACGACCCCCACGCCTCTCTTTCCTTGTTCGAGCGCCGTCAGATCGACGAGGAGCTGCCTAGTGCGCACCAGATAGCGCCACGCGCACTGTCTGCAAAGCCCCCGCCGCGCGAGTACTCTGAGCTGTTTGTTGGCGAGAATGCAGGAACGACATCTCCACAGAACCAGAGGATCCCAGTCAAGGCTGGTGCCAACAAGAAGCTGCAAGCAAACCGCTTGTTTGATGAGACAGAGGAGGACAGGATTGCTGCAACTACACCCCTCAAGGTCACCAAGACCAACCCGAAGAAATTCAACCACTTCGAGTTTGGCGATGGCGAAGACGAGGAGACACCGCGTGGACGTGATGCATCAAGGAAGGAGGGCTTTCGCGACAAGAGCAAGAGCAAGAGCCAGGCGAACTGGGACTTCGAGGACTTTGTCACGCCTGAGAAGACGAACCCTAAGAATAACCCGCAGGCTGTTCGCAATTTCAGTTGGGAAGATGACGAGGTGGGTGCAAATCAAACAGCACGTTGGACCTCCTGGTCCTTGCGTTGTGTTCTGACACTGAAGTCTGTAGATGAGTGCTATACTGACACATTGTAGGTCGAGACGTCTCCTGTCCGCGTGGAGCGCGTGTACAAGGCACGCCCCGGCACCGGTCACCAGTTCGAATTCGAGGATGATGGTACACCAGCTGCGCGCAAGACTCAAGCCCCCACCAAGGGTGGTGCATCGAACAAGGGCCAAGGCCTGTACAAAGATCATGTTACCGGCAACGACGACGACGAGGGCACCGCTCACGGCGACAACCGCGCACTGAACGACGTCACGAAGGCAGTCAAAAACAAGAATCGCTCCAAGGACTTTGGTGCCCACTGGGAAATGAACGACAACACTCCCGTTAACAAGTCCAATGAGAACAGCAAGCTTGGAAAGCCTTCTCACCAGGCTACGAAGTCTAACTTTGGCTTCTACGACGAATCGCCGCAGCAGGGTTACAAGATCAACATCGCTGGTAACGGCATGGGTAACCGCGCTGGCACTCAGTTCTCCCTGTTCGACCAAGAGCCAGAGGAGCCTAAGGCTGATGATAGGAGCATTGGGAACCACAAAGGAATCAAAGCCACTGGCGACGGTATGGGTGGGCGCAAGGGCGCGGATAAGAGCTTCTGGGACTTCTAGATGTTGGATTACCACCCGTGTACAATGCTTCTGTTCTTCGATTCCTTCTCACGTTGTTTTGGTTCTGTATCCTTGGGGAAGCTTGGATGTGTGTTACGATCTTTGGCGTGGTTGACACAGCAGCATGGTCCGGCTGGCGCAATCATAGGTATACCATGGTGACATAGTTGCAATTCATAACGATTCTTTGATACCTCCGTGGTGCTAGTAGTCTGACTACCTGTTGAGAAATACTGCGATAGTTTCAGACTTGTGGCACTACTGAAGTAGATTACGTCTGGCTCGCCTGTATCACTTGGAAAGCGCAGACTCTGCCGGTAAATCTTTCGCTGCCCTTGCAAACACAACTTCCAGCTCGTCTCCCACTCTGTAGCTGTCCATCTCCCCATCCCACTTTACAAATCTGATCGAAGAACTGAGACCCATCCGTGTCCGTCCTTTCCCTGTGCACAATCCCTTTCCCACCAGCATCGCCCACACACACCGGAACGCCTCGCCTTCGTGCTCGCGCTCCCCGCCCTCGCCATCCGTTGCAGGATCGTTGAACCACACTCCCCGCTCTACAATGCGGTGCAGGTCATCGCAGCTGTCCATGCTCGCCCAGATATCCCAGGGCATATATTTGATCCGCACTTCTTGTAGTGTAGATGAGGAATGCAGCAGAGAGAAGGCGTGCACGGTGACGTGCACCCAGTACCGCACTTTCAAGGGTAGTGTATAGCCCGGCCGGCTGTGGCGCCGGTGGAAGAAGGATTCGCGGGAGATGAAGTAGAGGGGGAGGGTTATTGATGTTAGGGATGGGAAGGTGGGGGAGGAGAGGTAGGCGAAGAGGGGTGTGACTTCCATGTCGACTAGCAGGTCGAGTTTCGTGGTCAGGTCTTCGACGGTGTTGCTTGTTTGTGTCGGATGATATGTTTCTTCGGCATTCTGGAACGGGTTGTGGTCCGCGAACCCGAAAATGTCGTCTGCTGCGGCGTTTGGGTGAAGAACGGGGACGGGGTGCGCGTACGCAGGGTACAGCGACGCATCAGCCGGGTCATAGAAGTTGTCGTCGTAGTACCCGCCCGTGTGATCGTGCTCGTCATAGTGCCCATTATATGCTGCGCCGCGCACGTAGTCGACATCCACCTCCACGCTATCATACCTTTCTTCTGCGGCTTCGAACCACCATTCGTCGCGCCCGTGTGTGCGGTCTGGCGGGTACATGCGCAGATCTGGAAATGTGACCCAGTCGAGCTCGATGGCTTTCAGCCATTTGAGCCATTGTTTGCCGGACCCATGCTGTTGTTCAACAGCTTCGAGCAGCGACTTTAGAACGAAGGGACCGCAGCTAAGAAAGACGGTGTGGTGCTTGGAGAGGACTTCGAGCGCCTCGAGGGCGATTTGGCGATTGAGGAGGAAGTACTCGTGGTGCAGGATGAGGAGGAGGGCGGCGGCGCTGGGGCGGAAGTGTTTCAGGCTGCGGCGCTCGATGCGGAGGGCGCGGTCGCTGCGCTTATCGGGGATGCTAAGAGCATGGTTGTAGATCTAGGAGTATTAGATGCTTCTGTCAAGGTGTGGGTGTAGCCTGGAAACGTACCTGATCGCGCAACTCACGAGGCAGCCGCAAGAATGGCAGGATCGAACTGCTCGATGCAATGTATCCGCTACCTGAAGAAGTATCAACCACAGGTGCTACATGCGCAGCAGACGCAGTGCCAGCCATCTTACCTCGTCACCTCAAATCGTCGCGTGGTATCTCGTGTCTGCGGAAAGTCTTCCCCGCAGACCCTCAACGCCATCGGCACGTGATGAATCATAGGGCTGGGAATCCCTGCTCGGAAGCAGATCTCTCTTTCGGGCAGGAGCGAGAGATCGACGGCGTTGAACGGGCCGATGTGCAAGTTGTCTTCTGAACGTGTTTCTGGCACTGGCATTGGCACCCCGTGGCCCCACGCAACCTTACGCAACTGTGAACGGCTCTTCCATGGTCGAAGTGCGGAGTAATATTCAGGTACCATGGTCGTCGGTGGACCACGCCGTTGAGGCAACGTATTGCTCACTTCCAACGTGCCCCTGAGCGAAGGATCGAACGATGGCATTTCAGAGTCTCAGTCGCATTTCGGTCTTGCCCGAGCTGAGGAAGACTCCACTAGATCTGACCAAGATGCCGCTAGTCATTCGGCGATCACTGACAGAACGAAACTGATGTTGGCGGTGCTTACAGGCCAACGGGCACAGCGCCGGTCGCTACCACTGCATGTATGATGTAGATTACTTTTGGAGGACACGCTGCATGTTGTGCAGTGGTGGACTCAGGGGGCTGCAAGCGTACTTCACCGCCGGAATGCGTTCCCGAGAAAGTTTACGAACATAGTTGTAGGAGTCGGACGTCGGACGCATTGGTATCTTTGGTGTTGATCATGGATGGAAGCGAGAAGGCTAAGCAGTTTCGCAACTATCCGCCCGAAATTGCCATGTTGGAATGTCACTTGGAGCAGTCTGCAGTGAGCATTTCGAACCGCCGTTGAGCGCGGTGCGACCTGCCAGCTACGTACCAACTGCATCTGTGCTACGGCCAAAGTCCCAACAGTTCCACCTATGAACGGCTACCGGCTGCTCACTTACGATGCTCGATGCACAGCATGAGGTCTCAATCCGTGTGTATCGGCTTGATTTCTGTCCTAGCAACGTGTTGTCCTCTGGCGACACAAAGGCTGATCGGATTCTGCAAGTCCATAGGTGGCTTAGATCGGACAGCGACGACGCAATGTTGAGTGCTGTGGTATACCCCATAGCCAGGGTTTGCAACGAGGCTAAATGCCAGTGATCCACCTGACCGTACCTCACAGATATGCAGTCTGCCGTGCAAGTATTCACCCCAAGTGGTGATGTTATACGACCAATGCAAGGCTGACAGGTACAGCAGCTTGTGTGTACTGAAGGATGGTGGATAGCTCGTTGCCTGTAATTAGTCGTGCATCCTGAGGTTTCATGATCTGCAGGTTGATTCAGGGCGAGGTTGAGCACTGGATATGTTCTCGGTATGAACAGAGAAGCTCTTCCAAATCATGGACACTCAGTGAGAGACATTGCCTCCTCACCTGGGACAAGACCAATAGCAATACCAAGACAGCCCGGCTCATGGCCCATGCTGGAGAGTGTGTTGCGTACAGAGCATGCGTTGGCACCTGATACAGAAGCCGTTATTCTCGAAACCTGGTTGTCGGTTCTTGCGTACTGTCGCACAATCCGGGTCTCAAGCAAAAGAGGCGTACATGCGGTGGTGGACCTGACGCCAACCTCGAGCTAAGTCAGTGACTAGGACGGAGATGCTCAAAAACGACGAGAGATGCAAGCCGTGTGGATGAATTGGCCGCGTTTAACCGGAAGTTGCTGTGAGGCTGTTGTAACCATGGGATTCAGCCGTCCATTTGTGCTACCCTGTGACCAGACTGCAACTTGACTGATCGTCATTGTTTGTCTTAGGAGAAAGGCAGGTATACCAGGGCGCTTGATGATCTTTGAGGTCTGTTACCGCTGGGGCACCGTTGTTGTGAGGTATTTAGTAGTTCGTCCGGGCCGTTCGGTTTGCCTCCTCGAAGTGTGTGGTTCGAGTTGTCGAGTTCTCGAGAACGGAAGTCTACACCACAATTTGACGTCCGAGAGACTGTACCAGAATGCTCCTCCCAGACTGGTTCTGCGTAGGCCATGCAAAAGCAGCCTTGCTCTCGGACATTGACCTGCGTTAACGGGGGTGCGTACGCAACGTGACCACTGACGATGTCGTGTAACTGGCCTGGTAGATCGGCACAGGCCCATGTAGGCATTCTGGTATGAGGGGGGATCTCAGGTCCATCAAACAGCGTAGGACATAACCATTGAATCATCCTGGCCCAGAGGTCAAAGAACAGGACTGTTTGGGATACCCACCTGGTATGTCGCTGTTCACGAGACGAGGAGCTGATCCTGTTTATTGTTTGTTCCGCTAGATGGGTGCGGTGTGGGACCCGTTGCAAGGATGGTAGACCTTGAGACTCGAGTTGGACGTAGTCGGTCCGAGGAGCAACTTTAAGGAACTCAGCAAGAGGATATTTGCTTCGACCCTCTTTGGTTGTAGCCACGTGATAGAACGTTTCAGGGTTCTCTACTTGACGGCGCGTCGAAGCATGGGCATGAGCGCCTTCTTTTGTCTGGTTCGGGGTACTTCTTCGTCCACAGTTCGATATACCTCGCGGCCCAAAGCTGTCAAAACCATGGTTAAAGTTAGGCAGCTACTGACAACCGTGGAGAACACGTTGCTGCTTGAATAAAGCAATATGTGACAATGTTGGCAGCGTTATTGTATGCAGCATGCACGACTCGGCGTGGTGTCGGCCATGAGGATCGCTAGTGAAGCGCAGACTTTGCTTTTCCCGGCGAACGCGCCGGTTGGGCAGGAGACGTGGAGAAAGGTGGCCCTCGTGGCGGGCGGTGCTATGTACAGCGGACGGCACCACTAATCGCGCCCTCACGGCTCAGGTGCTGGTCTTCTACCATGGTACGGTGAAGCTGCTGCTCTTCTGGCTCACGCATGTGTCCTCGCTGGAATGCTGGACGACGATGCGCAGTCGTGACCCCCCGGCGCTGAAAGTCGCTGGGCGTCATCTGCGCCGCCATCTGACCATGCAGCAATGCAGCAGTTCGCGCGCGGAGCCAGGGAGTGCCACATTAGTTGCAACTAGCCGCCGCTAGATGGGCTTGTTTAGATACACGAGGCCTCGATTGAACGATTCCCACGTGCGGCCGGCTTAGTTCTGGGCATCAGTATCCTCATTAATTGGTCCCTCCCAGAAGTGCCCTTGCGGATCGAATTCGTGACTGTTGGCTTTCCACTCCGCTGCAAGCTCCTCCACTTCGAATTCATCCCGCGGTCGCACACACGTCCAGACCACTGGTTGCGCGCTGCTTGTTCGTGTCTCCATCCGGCTCATTGTGTGCCCCCCGCGCCCTTGAAACTGAACGAAGCCCGTCCATGCAAGGCACGCTGCGCGCTCATTGAATCATCGGTCGCGAACAACAGCTGCTGCCCCCTCACTTTTCCTAGGACTCCAAGTCGACCTGAATGTCTGCGAAACTGGCCCTCCTTCCCCATAACACCCCACTGCCCTCTGCCATACGCGTGCAGCAAGACGAGTGCCTGTGCTGATTCGGCGCTGACTTTGTTTTCGCCGCCCCCGATCTGTTTGGGAAGTCCAGTTTGACCGCACTCGACGTGTGTGACCTCCAGGCGCCACCCATCAGCTGCTCCATAGGCTCCCGGAACAGGCCAAAGCTCACCAGCAACCTCTGGCGCGCCTCGCAGGACGCCTGCACGTTGCATCGGATCGCCAGTACGCCAGTCATCGCGCAAATTTCAGATCCCGCCTTTAGGACGCTGTGTACCAGTCCAGCGCCAAGCCAGATTGGTTCTGCAATTGACCTTGCTGCAACGCAGACCCGCCGAGGATTGCACTGCAGCCACGTCCAATTTGGCTACGAGCGTTCGTGAGAGCTTCATGATCCGTCGCGGTCGGCGCGACTATCACTGGTTTAGCCTGGTGTTGCTGCTGTCCGCCAAAAGAAGGGCGTCTCGGTATCGTCATCGCTCAGATTGGCTGCGACTGCAAGTACCTGCGACTCTCCTGCCTAGCGGAATTGTTCGCGTGTAGACCGCACACGACTGCGCCTGCCTCAGCAACGAAGCATAGTGTTTGCTTGGCGCGTACCCGGAATATTTCGTTCTGCTGGCCTGCCCCGCCGAACGTCTACTCGATCCCAAAGGGTAGGAGCGACCACCTGCGTCCCGTGCGCCCTCGACCCTCGACCTTCCTTCCCTCCAGCCTGCAGTCCTCCCTGGCCATCTTCCTCCTCCACGCTGCTGCCATTCTTCGACCCCAGATCAACACCCTCTCTTGTTACCACCCTCTCGGTCCAGCAACCCGCTGTAACGGAAAAGTCACCCATCTATAACGCTCCCTTCTAGGCCTTGCTCTCTTGCTCCTCATTGGCCAGCATCCCACCACTGGCGCTCTGCATCACCACCCATTCACGGCAACCCACCCCAGATTTGCCTCCTAACCTCAGGTAGCGCAAAAGGCACCGGCCCTCGCTCATTGACATCGTTATGGAGTCTGTCTCTCAACAACGGCCGCCCGCGCCTGGCAACGGGTCTCACCCTCAGGCCCTGCCATCCATTGCCTCTCTCACCAGCAGCCTCTCTCCGTCTGAACAGAGCCCAGTCCGATTCAGACAGCAATCTGAGTCTCGCGAAGCTCGTGATTCTGGTAATTGGTCCATCTCTCAGAGCAAACGTGAGTGCTTCCTGTCACTTGCTCTTGGACCTTCCCAGGCCTCTTCGTGCCAGTGCTAATTATTCTTAGACTCCTCCACTGTATCCAACAACATGGGTCTCCAACTTCAGACGATCCTCAATGCTGAGGACTCACCAACACGCAACATTACTGACACGCCATCTTCGGCCAGGCACCAGGCTGTCCACCCTCAACAGGTACGTCGCTCACAGTTCTGTGTCGTACTTACTAACAAGCCTTAGCCTAGTGCGCCATTTCCTTCCCTCAATCAGGGCTTCGGCGACAACCGTTTGAGCACTGATGCAGGCTCACATTTCGACTCCCGACGCAGTAGTGTGGACAGCCGCATGAACGTAGGAATGGGTCACCTTCAGATCAGCCCTGCTTCCCCCTATGATAGCCAGAACCCATCGCGGGTTTCGCTTGTCTCCAACCTCCAGCAACAGCGAGGTATCACCAACCCTGATGCACGCATCAATGGCGCTTCCCCACTGTCACCGCCAGTCCGCAACAGCGGCATCCGTGCTAATCATCCTCCTCGTCGAGCGCCTATCATCAACCCAAATCCTCGAAGCGTGTCGGGTATGCCAGATCCTATGGCTGCTGCGCCCACGAAGAGTTATGCTTGGGCTTTCCCTGCCGAGTTTGAGCCTGAAGAGAGGCGAGCATCAAGCAGTGGTGAGTCCAGCGCAGGGAATTCACATATCCCATCGCGCCAGAACAGCTTTGCCACATCCATCAACAGTAGCATCTACACCACAGATTCACAACTTCCCTCCGGACAGAAGCGGTTGGATAATGGCACGCACACCTGATCTTTGGTGAAATGCATTTGCTAACTATACCCAGATATCTCAACAACTCATCATCACTCCATGCAACACCGCAGCGTTACGAGTCTTCAAGGTCTCGATCATGGATCTATGGTTCAAGGCAGTGGAAACTATAGTCGAACCCCAGAGCTTCGCATCAGTCACAAGATGGCTGAGAGGAAGCGTCGTAGCGAGATGAAGAACCTCTTCGATGAACTCAACCAGATCCTCCCTAATTCTCCTGGAAGCAAGTCGAGCAAATGGGAGATTCTCACGAAATGTAAGATTTTCTGTCCTTCCAACAATCAACCTTAAACTAACACTATGTTAGCTATCGAATATATCAGAAATCTTGGTAGAGCACACGAAGCTGCTCGAGCTGAGAACGCACGACTACGACCTGAAGCAGACTTCTCTCGCCGAGCGCAGGAGGAGAACGAGCTTCTGAAGAACGAATTGACCGCCATGTGGACCAGCCTGCGCCGCCTTGACCCCAATAACCCGCACATTTACGGAAGCATGACGGGTATGCTCGCACAACAGCAAGGCAACACACCAGCGTCAACCAATAACGTCCTACCGCCGTTACAGCCACAGCAACAACAGCCTCAAGCACAGCCTCCGCCGCAACAACCCCAATGGGGCACGCAGGCGCCTACAGCGATGCAGGGCGTCGAGTTTGGCGGTATGCGACCCTACGAGCACCCACACCGTTGAACACATCGGTTACACTCGCACACAGGTTGCGAGACTTGTCCACGAGGACTTGCTGTACAATACCATCCTAACATTTACGGATCACGGGCGTTATCACATACATCTTTCGGCCATCCAAAATCTTCATTTCGGCCGTCACTACGCTGGCGGCCTCGAGCCTCCTGCATGGTCTTCATGGCCCTCTCCTTTGTTTACTGTTCAACGATGGCGGCCTGAGCTATGTGGTGCTGCAGGCATTCGACCTGTCGCCATGGTATTTCCACTGGCGAACCCTGCCAGACTTAATGGCCACGCTCGATGGGATACTCCGGCTGCAGTCTTATCCTTCAATGGCTTTTCGCATCGTTTTGTCATCTTCAGGCATATCTTATAGGAATGGCTAATATCAATCGAAAGGATTTACGCAAGGTCATTCGATCTTGGACCCACAGCAAAAGTATGTTAGGCGTATGTATCCTACACGATCTACATGGCTGCTTTCGGGAGGGTACTCGTGGGGTACGGCTTTAACTGTTCACTATGGACAAGGGCATGCGCCACTGTAATGTCAGGAGGGGTTCTCATTGCTATCCGGGCTTCGGTCTCAATGTACGTGGAACGACCTATCTGCATGGATGTTATGTGTTTTGGTAATCATGCTGCTTACGACGCACACAAAAAGCATAGGTTAGCTAGAACAACGAAACTAAGTTACCGTACTATCGTGCCAGTCAACAATCTTGAATATCTTCAAATGGCTCCGAGATCTTCGCCTTTCCATGAACTTTGTGACGAGTTCTTACCTCATGCAGACAAGCTACCACATGTGTTTGACGGGTTGTTGAACCATGAGAACGATCGTCGAGATCTATAGATCTGCACTGCTGCATATGCGATCGGCCGCGTCTCCGGTGGCTGAGCCAGCACATGGCGAGCAGATTGTTGGGTCAGGCTTGGAGGGGTTTGGCAGGTCGAACCGGGCTTTTAGGGCTGGTGTTGAGGTGGTGACTAAGGGTGTTTGGGTAGTGCTGAGATAGGGTTGGGGTGCGGAAGTGGTGTATTGAGACGGCTGTATGCATCCTGTGTCCGCTGTCATTCGTTGTTTAAAGCGTGGGAACATTATGACATCTCATTCTTTCTTTGGGGTTTCTTTGACAATTTCAGAAAGAATTTAAGTTTGGTGGTTGTGCAGGGCCGGTGCTGGGAACGGTTGTGTTTGCTAGTAGCCACACTTCAGTGCATTGCAAGAGCATGTCACTGTGATTAATGCATAAGGATCGGATCCTACTCTGCAATGCTTTCAAGTGGAGATCATGCGTCTGGTACGCATGAGCTAGTCTCTTCTTCATCTGCTGCTCCCGAGACCTCGTAAGCGGTGCCAATCGATTCTCGGACTTTTACATGAAGGCTTCGCCTGGATACTGCCATGTAGTGCAAATGTTCTGCCAGTGTTTAGTCTTCTATTCATATACGCCGAATGCAACGCAAGTGGATATCTTCAGCTTTGAGAATTCACTTGAGATACGTCCAAGGTCACCGCGATATACTGATAGAACATTATATGTAGAGATAAGAGGTGTCAGTAGCATTATGGGCGGGTATGATCAAATACTGACTAGCAGCGCTTATAAGATACTACCCTGATGGCTGGTGGTCAAGATTAGGTGAAGTCGGTGGTCTGTTACTGTGATGGATGACAACTTCAAGCTTACAAACAGCAGCTGTCGTGGAAATTGTCACACAATCGCTAGTATTGGATTGACTTGATTGCATGCTTTTCCAGATTGCCGTTAGTGCATGGAACTGACTTCTACACTAGGCAATAAGGTATGACCATAATCTCGACGTGAAGTTGTCACATTTTCATGTGAATGTTCATGGGCCTATTGATGCCCTAATTCTAGAAGATCTATGGTAAGGTCATGCACATGTGTAGGGACTCTAATGCGGTGAACAGAATAGTTTGTTAATAATACTTTCTCTTTCTCTTCCATATGCTATGCATTCATAAAAGTATCTTGACAAGATGATGATAACCCAAACGCTCATTACGCCACGCTAAGAAATGATGTGTGCCAAGTTGATGTCCAAACCTCCTCCCAGTTTACAGTTTCTTCCCCGAATTACTTTATGTACTGTTCCCGCTGGAGGCAGTCTAAACACCAAGAATCTCTCTCTTGTCCCACCTCTGCAGTGCATTCCCTGCAGACTTTCCTTCCACATCCTCCCAAACATTGCCTTGCGCAGATGTAGCACGTTCGACCGACGCAACGTTTGCAATCCATGTAGTTTTCGAGATCCTTCTTTCGTTTCGGTGCTGACTTGCACGCGTGGCATGCTCGCAGGTCTGTGACGGCGTGGGGCTGGACTTGGCCGTTTGTGAGGCCTACTAGTGGGCTCGTACTGGCGTCGGTATCCATGAGGTGCGATGTCGATTTAAGAAGGGCGAGCTTTGGACTGATGCGTTTGATTTGCTTCATAGGACGATGTTCCGCTGTTGCGTACGGCGCATACGATCGGTCGCTGTTGTTGTCGAAGGCTGACGTATGTTGAGGACGAGGTGCTCGACTTGTAGGCGTTGCATCTACGTCGTGTGTCCTTTTCCTCTTTCCCAGGCTTGCCGCGTCGTGTTGCGAGTCGGTCATGGTATGCCAGTAGTGGTGGGATTGGCTGTGTGTGTCGACAGGACCGAAGAGGTCTGATGTGATGTAGACCATGGCAGCGGCCTCACGGTGAAGCAGAGGAACTGGTGGGACCTGGAATTGAGGGAGCGTGCGGCGGCAAAGCGGTGAAAGGTGCAAATGAAGGTTCTAGTACGATCAAAAATACCACAGGCAGGTATATCGCAGAAACACAGACGCCGGACGAGGCAATGCAAGAAGGAGTGTAGTGACAACGATAGTGAGAACCTAAGTGAACTTGGTTGTTGTTGGAGGATCGACCTAGCGCAAGGCATCACTACGCTAAGAAAGCTAGCGCATGCAGGAGGAGAAAGTGCGGTCCCCACATAACACGCTTCACGTGCCAGACTAACGTCCAAGCTGCGCGCCCACTGTACATAGACGGCCTGGCCCCCAACGTTAAAGGTTGAACTTGCGACTGCGTATATTGTTTTTGGAAACTGACACACGATGTTTTGGCACTTTCCACGGTAGTTGTTATGAATTGGCAGCCTTCACGACCTTTATCTACACCCCTGTATCGTACGCGACCTTGTCACTGAGCCATGGATAGTGTCAATGTCTCCGAGCTGGTTGCTCGATTGGGAGCCGAGGAGGAGTCGACCAAGAAGATGGCAGCGTTCAAGCTACAAACTGCCATTGGTGACCCCTCCTTCGCCGACGTCTTCATATACGAAGGGGGTCTGCCAAAGCTCAGGTTCCTGGCTCTGCATGCTACAGGAAACACATTGGCTTATGGCCTCACGTCGCTGGCGCGCCTATTAGAGCTGGACAAGGGCTGGGACCATGTCACAGATGATCTCATAGCGAGGGTGCGTGCTGTGGTGGGACTTGTCAAATGTATGGGAAAGACTGACGGAGGGGTGACAGATAGTCGATCTCGTAGTTGCGCAGCCGCTCGTCAATGTCAATCGAGGTGCCATGTCGGTGCTAGCAGCGATTGTCGGACACCCTCTCCATCGAACCTCTCAGCCTGGTGTCACTGGCTTCCAGCGACTTAAGCCAGCAGTCGACACCCAACCGCAATTCCTCCCTTCGCTCGTCGAAAAGATCACCTCCGCCGACCATGCCCTCTGCGCGAACTCGCTCCAGCTCATCAATGCACTGATGCGTGATGCGATCGCACACGATGCCGACTTCGAAGCGCCCAAATTCACAAAGCAGCTACAGGAGCTTGGTGTAATCAAGAGCGTGTATGCTCTCATGCAGAGCTCTGCGATACAAGATCTAGCTCACCCGTTGCTCGACTTCCAGACGCTCACCAAAATACTGCTGCGCAACTGGCGGGAAGAGAAGGTCGATCTGGAGAAGCCAGATCATCGAAGGGCTATTCGAGGCTTGCACACAGCTAGTACCGCTGAAAAGGGGGACGCCAAAGGCAGCAAAAAGTTGAAGTGGCGTCGATTAGGTTTCGATACAGAGTCGCCAGCCTGGGAGTTCGAAGCCACAGGGTTTCTAGGCCTCATGGACTTCACCGACTACGTCTACAAGAACGAAGATGGGTTCCAGAAACTGTTGCTGGAGCAGTCAGCAGAATCTATTGAGCAGCGCTGTCCAATCGCTCGAGCCAGTATTTCGGTAACATCCATACTATATGAACACTTTGAGGTGGAAAGGGCAGACGATCTCGACTCGCAGAGGTACACAGTCCTTGAGTCTCGAGCAAACTTCGACCGTTCATTCAGGCCCTTATTGCTCCATTGGTCGAGAGCACACACGAGCGGCCTCAATGCGTTCATTCGGCTGTGGAAGACGGCAGGAGCTCAAGTAGAGGATTTCGACAAGATCGAAGAATTGGTGCGGATACTGATCGAGCAAGTTGTGGGCCAGGCTCCTCGCACGAGAGAGATCAGAGATGTTGAGGAAGAGCTGGCAGAGTTTGAGATACAGAGATTACGAGAGCTGCAGATGGAGTTGCTCGAACTCACATATGAGGATGCATGGGGCCATCACTTGCGGTATGTTCATCGGCGGCTCCGCTGTCAATGCCAAGACTGACCTTGCGTAGCCAAGTCCGTGAAGAACTGAACCACGAGGCTCTCCAATTCGTCAAAGAGCAGAGGATAAGGTGCTTACTTCAGGGCGGGTGGTTCCCAAGCGGCCTCGACTATAGCTCGAGTGCGGGGCCAGTCACAAGCAAGACCCTCAGCCGTGCAGTCCCCTCAGCGTGGCGTTTTGTACGACTATCACACAACCGACGATATCTGCATTACGCCGACTTTGACGAGAAGCCAACAACGGAACCGAGGCTGGACGCCTTGAAGGAGAAGAGTAAGTGCCACCGATTGGCCTAGTGTGCATGCTTGCGTAAATGCTCTGGCTGACATGCATTGACAGTCGATCTCTCCATTGTGTCCTCTGTCGTGAGCAATGTCTCGGCAGAAGCACCATCTTCATCGTCGTCCGACAGCACGGTCAAGAGTCTTCCACATGAGCGAGCGACTACTTCGACCAAGATCACAATCCATGGCTACCTGCGTGCTACCAATCACTCGCGGCAGGCGTCCAGCGGTTCAGGCGCGGGTCGCAAAGAGTCGGTTCTCTTGCAATTGCACCCTCAAAGCCACACTCTTGCATCAGAATGGCTTGACGGTCTGCTTATGCTCCTGAACCAACAGCCTATTACAGCCGACACCAATAAGCTTGTGAACTTCATTGGCGGCTATGGACTCAAGATTCGCTTGCTTAACGTGCGCTTCGAGGATGTGGGCTTGGGGGAGCCGATCTTACCAAGTCGCGAAGGATTGGACGATGAGTATTATTACGACATAGCCGGGGCATGAGGCTGAGTACAGCTGTTTCTATTGGCAACACACGTTTTATCTTACTTGCACAGATCTTTGATAAACGTGGGCATTGGAGAAGGTGTCCCTGGAACCGGGCTGAGGGATTATTAGAGACCCTAATCGCGCGTACCGAAAGTCTATAGATCTTGACATGGTGCTACCAGCCCGCGGTCTCGAGATTGGGTTCTGCAAGCACGTGGACGTTTGTCCGGTGCAGAAACTTTGGAAACTTTGGATATAATGGTGGGCGATATATGGGACGGCGGCAATTTGTTGTTGGGTGTTGGTTGAGAGTTTCTCTGGAGATACCCTTGCTTGTACCTTTGCAAATCACAGCAAACATTATGGATGCTTATTTCCCAACATGGATCGTGCATGTCCTTCAGCTCTTTTGCCGTCACACTGCGCATGCTCGCAATGGTACACAGAGAATGTGGTATCGTCCGTGCGAGTATTACCTGTGCAACGTCCGGCTGATGTGCTGATCCAGTGAAGCGGACACGGGCTTCGCCTGAAGCATGCCATCTGAGAACAAACAAGTGACGACACTTGCTGGAGAGGCATGAACGGTGGTCCGCAATTGCAATTCCAACATAGACAACCGCACCCGTGACGCTGCCGTGAGCTAGGAACTTTTGGCAGCTAATGCGGTGTGTTGCAGACCAGCGACACTAGTGCTGGGGCCCGCGTTGGCGTCCCTGAGCGGCCGTGTTGGCCTGAAACAGCGGACGGAGAGGTGGAGAGAAGCGGGGAGTTTGCCTGCGTGTGCGACCAAGATGCCCAGGGTTATTGGACTGACTTGGTCCCTGCTGTGATGTTGTTGCTGCCACCGCCCATGCTTTGGTGGTTCAAAGCGGCTCTCAGAACGAACAATACTCTGTTTTTAGGGTATTCTAGGATGTGCCTGACCCGCTGATCGACTTTCGAGAAGCGTGACCGGCAGTCTGATTGATTGTCGGATCCTGAGCCACTGCACTGCTAGGGCCCAGACGTGAGGTCGAGCTGTCCACGTCTCTGGCGCTGCGTTAGTGCAGCGGTGGCATACCGACTGCATGTACGAAGATATGCGCCGCCCCAAGTGCGCATGTCGGTCGTATGCTGCTAATAAGCCCTCACATTGTTTCTGTTCCATTCCAGCTCCGTTTCGCTTCTTCGTTGCTTCTTCAACCCTTCAGTCCCTCCTCGCCTGTCCATCATTGCCGCCATTGGACAATCCCGCCCGGACGATCATCCCACGAGCACTTGCACCTCTCACCGTGAGGTCGACACACTTCGGCCAGGGCGTGATTCCTCTGCAGTGCACCCATATGTACCTGGATCCGGCCGTCACGCCATATCGCAATCGAAGCCATGAGGAGAAAAACGAGGGCAGTTCCTCCGCCGCTACAGCAGGTCGACTACGACGCGCTTCCGCTTTCAGTCCAGTACGTGTGTCCCAGCCTTTTCTGATTTGCCGAACGTGTGATGAGGCGCGTTGTCGCGTGCATGAGTCCCTCCTGGCACCCCACACCAGGGCTATTGTTCCTGAGTACCTTGCAGTAGCCGGCTTGAAAGCTAACCCGTGCTTGCTGCAGGAGAAAGTACTTTTCGTCCTTCGAGCGACTGCAAATACAGCAGCAGGCCATCGGTGATCAGACAAGTGAGCCGTCCTCTGGCTCCTCTTCTCGTGCAGCTTCGACAGCACCTTTTCGACGTCTTCACTCCAGGCGTCGAGCGCTTACTACGGGAAGTCAGCAGGAGCTCGAATTTTCGCAAGCCGAGGCTGCATTCTTCCTGTCTTTACCTGATAAAGTGCGGAAGCAGCACTTCTCTCGTGAAGAGCAGGTTGTTCTTTTCGCCAAGTGCGACCAGGCGTTCCTTCCTCCTGACCACAGCCTGGAGGCAGACGAGGTTGCCAAGCAACGCTTTCACGACTTCCACTTCGACTTCTCCACCAACAACCTTGACAACACGTCAGAAGCTGGGGAACCACAAGGGCGCCGTTTCTCAGTTTCTACATACAGCTCTTGTCGGCCTTCATTTACCTTCTCACCCAGATCGAAGAAAGAGCGGGATACAGAAAGCAGTTTGTTCTTCCTCGACACCATGGATTCATCATCAATAAGAAAGATGCGTCCAGCAGGCTTCAGACGAACTATGTCTCTGGGCGGTCCACCTAGTCGTCACTCGACTTGTTCTGCAATGGCCGGACCAGCATCTCCGCTGTTCATCTTCCCTGCGGAATATCGACCTCGACATCAGCGATCACAGTCGTCAGCGCTCCCAGGACGACGTTCTTCGTATACACCACCGACACCCACATTCGATCCAGACGCCACGTACTATCAGGACCCGGAGACAAGAAGGAAATTACGCATGTACCTCGCCTCACCGCAGAAGTTCGACGAAGCCATCGAGTTTGGATTTCCGTCTACTGCCGAACAGGAAAACGCCATGCCTCACTATCAACTTCCTCCAGTCACTAAGCACTCGCGCAAGTTTAGTCGAGACATGCACACATTCCTCAGGGACGGCAAACTTTCTTTCTTCGAAGGCAGGAATAACGAGAACCAAGGCCTTGAATCTGATGGCGAATCCACCGTCGATCTTGAGTCACCGAGAACACCCTCGAGCACAGGCTTGTCCTTCCGTCTGCACACGCGCCAGATATCTTCGATTGATTCCAACGGACTATCCACTTCATACCCGAGCCCTGGACACATGAATCGCGAGATGACTCTGCGCATGACGCTCACTCGGCCCGACCTGCGAGCAGACGAATATGCGCTGTATGGTTGGCAGAACCAGTCACAGCACCTGCACCAAAAATCGACAGCAACAGCAACCGTTCAGGACGACCCACTCGCTCTCGAAGAGCTTGTCCTGACCGACGATCAGACTGGCACCAAGGGACCATTCTACGTCAAGCCAAAGCCAAAAGGCAGTCTCGTCACGCGACTTCTGAAGCGCGCAAGCCAGAAGGGACGATCTTACACAACCTAGCCGCCAAAAGCTACGTTTTCTTTGTACCTTCCATTTCACAACTCATGTCTTCCTATCTTCAAGCGACTATATTGTTGCATGTTAGCGGGCGTTTTGCTTCAAGCCACTCACGGCTATGTACGATGACGATATGCATGAACATGGCGTTTTCCATTTCTAATTCGATTAATGTCTATTCGAACAAAGACAGAGAAGAAGAGAGATCAACGAATGAAAAATTCTGAGCAGCCTTCAAGGCGCTCGACTAGACACAAGTCGCTGTTTTGCTATTTAGTTCTCCGATCCAGTGACTACCAACTAGTGTCCTTGAGGCTCAGACTACCACATTTAGCGCCGGTAATTACGGCACATGGAAACCTTTGTTCTCACAGCACTGTCATGGTTCTCCATGTTGGTTACTATCTCAACTACAGATAGAGTTCTGTCTATTCGCCAAACTTACCTCTGTATTGACTAACCTACTTTCCCACCAGGCCTTAAGATGACCGTTATACCCAAGCCAAAGGAACATGTGTGCAATGTGTAACACCGAAAGCGTCATGGTAGTCTACGTGACCGAGAACGGTCAGACTGCTCGAGTCGTCCTCTGCCTTACACTGCCCGGTCGGCGAGGGCTGGCAGTGGCATGCCAATTGGGCGACAAGTTCGTCGGTGCTTTCGGGCAGTAGGCACAGTGTACTCCTGTTTGAATTTCACACTTCTTATTGATCGGAAGGCTTCCGTAACTCAGCCGCGCCACAACATGGCAATGATGTGGCAGTTGTACAACTGCCGTGCTATAGCTTGCACGACAAATAGTAACGGTAACAAACATGGGAGACTCGCACTGATGACCCCGCATGCAAGCTTTCGAAGTGACATGCCGTGACCAATAACTATCTCGGTGCATCTCATCCACGCATCTCTAGCGTCGAGAGTGCAGCCTGGAGGAAGTCCGACATCTAGCAGCATGGGGTTACAACACGGAAAGTACAAAACGGATGGAACAACACGGAAAGCACGACACCGAAGATACGACACACAGCGATGTCTCCATCTCCACTTCGACGTCGTTCATGCAAAGTGGCTACCTCGCAGCCTTAGCCGCCTTGAAACAGTAGTCTACCAAACTTTCTGAGATGTTCACCGGACGTCCAAGCTCGAGCCCATATGCCATCTCGCGATCGCTCGGCAAGCTCATTGGAGACGTAGAAGCCAAGTCCGCTCTTGCATGTCGAGGATGTTCGATGTTGATGACGTGCATGCCGCTGCGGAGACTGGGATGGAGCGAACGGGATGTGAACTACAGTTCCACCAGGGGAAGATTGTTGGATGACAGATTCGGTTGTGTAGACTCTTGGATTGGTTGATACAATATTGAGGTGTCTGATATAGATGTGTGGGCTGGCAGGGATATCCGTCATGAAGCACAAGAAATCGGACGTAGAAGCTGCCAATCTGAGGCCTTACAGCAAGGCCTGGAAGTCTTTGGCTGATCTTGGGCAATTTTCTGATGTCGACAACTATTCCGTAGTCCTTGGTCTACTTATCAGTTTACAATATTTCAGCAGATCTACCTTGACTTCCTCATGTGAATTTGAGGGATTGGCATGTGCTCTTCTGGCAGCATAAGAAGATACTTACCTCCATCGAGGTACACTAAGCTTGCTGTATTTAATATTCACAGTGCCTATATCGGCAGTTGCAAGGACAAATTGTCGAGAACGGAGACCACGATGCATGAGCGTGACGTATTTGCTCTGCAGTGAGATGCCTTGCATCAGCTGCAGCTTGTGCATCTCCAGCGCTGCTGCACCACTACGGTAGTCTAGACCATATGCAAGGCATCAGATTTGTAGAGTGACCTACTTGAGAACAATGCAGGGGCTTTTGCACAAGTGCTGTGTTGTGACCACGCGGAGGTGCAGCAAGAGACTCGGACGAAGTTCACAATGTGGAACGCGTCGAGTTTCCAATGACCTGGTTGAGACTTTCGGGTTACTGTTTGTACTTTGTAGGATTCCGTGCTCGTCCCAGATTTGGAAATTGCTTCGACTCTGGGTTACATATAGCTGTAGACTGGCAGCTGGAGATGTACGACTTCGTATTGAGAAGCAGGTAGTGTGGACCTCGCTTGCAAGTTCACCTGCAGCAGCTCATTTCGGGGCACGTAAGGGGTCTCTGAGGTGTCAGTCGACGTGCGTTTCTTCCGGTTCTTTGCATTCGGACGAGAAGGTGGTGCGTGAAGGTCGCTTCAGTAGCTTTTTCATTACTCATGGTGCCTTGCTTTTGACAGGCATCTTCATTCATACATGTCTATCCACTGCATCGACAAGCCTTTACCGCGACAGGGCAATGTCGTCAATTCGCAAGATCATCTTCACTGTCTCCGCCGCCAGCTCGATTGCGCTTGTGCTGACAAGCAGGGGCTGGAGTACGTTCTCTTCTGCGATGTCATTCTTGACGCCTCCGCTCTTGATGCTGATACCAGCGTTCTTCTGCTCCTGTGCGTGCCTATGCCTCAGCTCTGTGACTACCTTGATGCTGTTCAAACCGGCGTTCTCAGCTAGTGTTGTGGGAATGACCTCCATGGCGTCGGCGAAAGCTTTCCAGCAGATTGCTTCTGTGCCAGAGAGCTCACGGGCGCGGAGGGAAAGCTGGTGTGCAATCTCGATTTCTGGGGCACCGCCACCGGCAAGAAGAGCCTTCTTCTTGACAAGAGAGCGGATAGCGCAGTGGGCATCGTGCAGCGAACGCTCGGTCTCGTCCAGGATGAGCGAGTTAGCTCCTCGACAGACAATGGATACGGTCGATGCTGCCGACTTGACACCAGAAACCTTGACGTAGCGTGCGCCTGATGCCTGTACTTCCTCGACAAGATCCGCCGAACCAAGCTTGTCCTCGCTGAAAGAGTCGACATCCGCAATCGGTTTGCAACCGGTGCTCTTGCAGATGAACTCGATTTCGTCGCGCTCAATGTCCTTAATAACCATGATCTTGAGCTTCGACAGGAAGTGCAAGCTGAGGTCATTTACAGCGTCGCGCAGGATCGACTTCTGGATGAAGAGGACATTGCACTTCGCCTTCTGGATCTTCTTAACCATGTTGAGCAGGTATGTGCGCTCCTCCTTCAGAATCTTGTCCATCTGCCTGTAGTCGTTTACGACGATTTGGTTCTCCATGTCCGGCTTGGGAGGGCTCAGCTGGAACTGTATGAGGCCTATCCGTGCCTTCTCCTTGATTGTGGGTCCACCGGCGCTCTTCACTACGGGCTGGTTGAGCACCAGTCCATCAATCATCTCGCTGTCCTCGATAGTACCACCCTGCTTCTTGATCATCCGGATGTTCTTGAGGTCGACGTTGTCAGCAGTCTTGGGGTCAATGACCTTGAGGACCGAGTCGACCGCCATGATTGGCAGCTTAGGCTCCTGTGCAACGATCTTGGACGAGAGCGCGGTGGTTGCGGTCTTGAGCAGAGTCGGCCTGTCAGTTAGGGAGATGGGAATCGACATGTCTGTCAGGATTTGTATCGCCTCTCGTGCTGCGCGCTGGAAGGACTCTGAGATGACGGTGGGGTGGATGCCCTTGGCCAGCAGGCGTTCGGCGGCGCCCAGCAGGCTTCCAGCAATAACGATGACTGATGTTGTGCCATCTCCCGCTTCGATGTCTTGGGCGTGTGCGAGGTCGACGAGCATCTTCGCGGAGGGGTGGAGAACGCTCATCTGGCTAAGCATAGTGGCTCCGTCGTTGGTGATGATGGTTTCGCCCTTGCCAGTTTGGATCTGCCACAGGTTAGCCCTGATGAACTCCTAGATACCTGCCATGACCCATACCATTTTGTCCATACCCTTTGGCCCCAAAGACTACTCCACTGTCAGTGACTGAATACTCCCCCGCACTTCGCGGTGGGACGTACCGTTCGGATTGCATCTGCTACAGCTGTATATGTTGGTCAGCATACCATCCTGACAGGGCTTCCAAGACTTCTCGTACCTCGTGCAGCAATGATGTTGGCGCTGCGAACAGCTCTGGGCTTCTCCTTGTCCTGCAGGCTGCATCAGTCAATGTTTTCAGAGCTCCGAACAGGCACTCCTCACCTTGAAGGCAGCATTTCCGCTGCCACCGTTTGCGACTTGTGCGGCCATCTTGTGTTGTATGCGGTAAACAAAGACAAAAAGAGGGGTATCGTGGGGTGAAGGCGCGTTGTGCTGTCTCTCCCAAAGTTCGAATAATTTCCACGCGCCAGCCGCGAACACGCCAAGCCCAAGCTCCGACCGCCGATTGCCTCGCAGCAGCTGCCGTCACTGATTACAGAACACCACGCCCGCCATCCACAACAACGCACCCAGCAACCCTCCCACCACGCATTTCGTACCCAGCCACACACCGGTCCTTTCTCTCTAGATCGTCTCGAACATAGCCGGCGTCGAACCCCCCCCCCCAACCTAAACCGCAAACATGCCCAGCGCCACGGGCTCGAGCTGGGAGAAGTACCAGAAGAACTTCGCCGACGATGAGGTCGAGGAGAAGAAGATCACACCTCTCACCGATGAGTAGGTGCCCTGACAGCTCAGCAAAGCAAGCTGGCGACTGACTTGGCCCAGGGACATCCAGGTGCTGAAGACGTATGGCGCGGCACCCTACGGCGCGGAGCTCAGGAAGCTCGAGAAGGAGATCAAGGACAAGCAGCAGACAATAAACGAGAAGATAGGCGTCAAGGTAGCTTTACCCGCAGCATACCCACAATGCAATAGGGACTCACTCAACGTAGGAATCAGACACCGGACTAGCACCACCACATCTCTGGGATATCGCCGCCGACCGGCAACGGATGCAAGAAGAGCAGCCCCTGCAAGTCGCCCGCTGCACCAAGATAATACAGGACGAGAAGGACTCAGAGAAGAGCAAATATGTCATCAACGTCAAGCAGATTGCCAAGTTCGTCGTCAACCTTGGAGAGCGCGTGTCACCCACAGATATCGAGGAGGGCATGCGAGTGGGTGTCGACCGTAACAAGTACCAGATCCTGCTCCCCCTGCCGCCCAAGATCGACCCCTCGGTCACTATGATGACGGTCGAAGACAAGCCGGATGTCACATACGGAGATGTAGGAGGCTGCAAGGAGCAGATCGAGAAGCTGCGAGAAGTCGTCGAGATGCCCCTCCTGTCGCCAGAACGCTTCGTCAACCTCGGTATCGACCCCCCGAAGGGTGCTCTTCTCTACGGTCCTCCAGGAACCGGAAAGACACTCTGCGCGCGAGCCGTTGCAAACCGTACAGACGCCACTTTCATCCGAGTCATTGGTTCAGAGCTGGTCCAGAAGTACGTCGGTGAGGGAGCCCGTATGGTGCGAGAGCTGTTCGAGATGGCCCGGACAAAGAAGGCGTGTATCATCTTCTTCGACGAAATCGACGCCGTGGGTGGAGCACGTTTCGACGACGGCGCAGGAGGCGACAACGAAGTGCAGCGTACCATGTTGGAGCTCATCACACAACTCGACGGCTTCGACGCACGAGGAAACATCAAGGTCATGTTCGCCACAAACAGACCCTCCACACTCGACCCCGCGCTCATGCGTCCCGGACGTATCGACCGAAAGATCGAGTTCTCGCTGCCCGACATGGAGGGCCGCGCCAACATCCTGCGCATCCACGCAAAGAGCATGAGTGTCGAGCGCGATATCCGTTGGGAGCTCATCTCGCGTCTGTGCCCGAACAGCACGGGTGCTGAGCTGAGGAGTGTGGCGACAGAGGCGGGTATGTTCGCTATCCGCGCGAGGAGGAAGGTCGCTACGGAGAAGGACTTCCTGGCTGCGGTGGACAAGGTCATCAAGGGCAATCTGAAGTTCAACTCCACCGCTACGTACATGCAGTACAACTAGAGGGTATTTAGAACGGGGATGGGATACTGCATCAGGGATGGAGAGCTTGGCTCTTGTATGACTAGATATCATGATCGAGCTATAAATGTAGCCGTAATGCATGCGTTGAATTCATCTATGGGCACTCTATATATGTGGCTTCCGATCTATCATCGTGCTACGCCTCAGCCCCGCAGCCATACCTAACTTTCCGTTCTGATCTGCCATGTGCATCGCCATTAGTGAAAGCTGTTCCATTGTGTTACATCCCCGAGGAGTTTGTTCGGGACTTCTGAATATACATGTTGGTCCGTTTCAGAACAGTGGCCGTAGCACAAAATGCTTTGCGTATAGCTAAACCACCTCCGTGGTGCAGTAAGTCTGACTAGTTCCAGACGTCACTTTCACTTAACAGGTCTGCATGATACCTTTGTAGGGTTCGAGTCTCTGCAGCGAGATCAATGCGCACTGGAACAGTTGAGCAAAACGTTGCTGTATATGAGCAAGATCCGTAGCACGCACTTGGACTATCACACCATAGGGGACAGAGACTTGTTTGTTTCGTTTGCATTGATATGTTCGAAGGGGAACTAAAGTGCGAGATCTCTAACATGCATTGCCAATCAACCATCCAATATACATAGAATACAGGACAAACTCCATCTTTTCCCTTACCCTTCACTCAGCAAACACGTCTAGTAGGTACGCTTGAACGGCGGTACAGCCTTGCACTCGTTCTCGTCCAATGTCGTACCAACGACCTTCCTGTAGCCGAGCTCGGTCTTGCCGTGGGGCTGCTTCTGCCACGACAGAGTGTGCTTCATCCAGTTCTCATCATCACGGTCGGGGAAGTCCTCGCGGGCGTGTGCTCCTCTCGACTCCTTGCGGTTGGCGGCGGATTCGGCGGTCTGGACGGCGCAAGTGAGCAAGTTCCTCAGCTCAAGGGTCTCCACAAGGTCGGAGTTCCAGATCATGCTGCGGTCCTTGATACCAACATCGGCGAATGTGGCGTCGACCTCATGGATCTTCTTGACACCCTCATCGAGCGACTCCTGTGTACGGAAGACAGCGACGTCAGTCTGCATGACCTTTTGCATGGCAAGACGGATCTCGGCGGTCGACTTGGAACCGTCGGCGGTGCGAACCTTGTCGATGACGGAGATGGAGTCGGCACCAGCGTCGGCGGAAACGGGGTCAGCCTTCTGGCCGGGGCTGAAGTTGTCACGGATGGTGTGCGAAACAGCGCGGCCGAAGACGATAAGATCCAGAAGGGAGTTGGCACCAAGACGGTTAGCACCGTGGACGGAGACGGAGGCGGCCTCACCGCAGGCAAACAGACCGGGAACGACCTGGTCGTTACCCTGAGCGTCCTGTGTGATGACCTCACCGGTGTACTTGGTAGGGATACCACCCATGTTGTAGTGGACGGTGGGCAGAACGGGGATGGGCTGCTTGGTAACATCGACACCAGCGAAAATAGCGGCAGTCTCAGAGATACCGGGCAGACGCTCGTGAAGAATCTCAGGAGGCAAGTGGCTGAGCTGGAGGTAGATGTGGTCCTTCTCAGGTCCAACACCACGGCCCTCGCGGATCTCAAGGGTCATCGAACGGGAGACGACGTCACGGGAGGCAAGATCCTTGGCGGTGGGTGCGTAACGCTCCATGAATCGCTCACCCTCAGAGTTCAGGAGATAACCTCCCTCACCACGAGAACCCTCGGTAATCAAGCAACCAGCACCGTAGATACCAGTAGGGTGGAACTGGACGAATTCAAGATCCTGGTTGGGCAGACCGGCACGGGCGACCATGGCCATGCCGTCACCGGTACATGTGTGGGCAGATGTGCAGGAGAAGTAGGCACGTCCGTAACCTCCGGTAGCCAGAACGGTGTTCTTCGCAATGAACCTGTGGATTGTGCCGTCCTCCTGGTTGTATGCAACGACACCCTTGCAGACGCCGTCCTCCATGATCAGATCGGTAGCGAAGAACTCAATGAAGTACTTGGTGTTGTGGCGCAGGGACTGTCCGTACAGAGTGTGGAGAAGGGCGTGGCCAGTTCGGTCAGCGGCAGCGCAGCATCGGTAGGCCTGTCCACCCTTGCCGTACTTCTGCGACTGACCACCGAAAGCGCGCTGGTAGCTAGAAGATGTTAGTAACCATATAGCACCAAAGGTTTCGTAGGGTCGTACATCTTGCCCTCATCTGTTCGCGAGAAGGGGCAACCGTAGTTCTCGAGCTCAATAACGGACTGAGGCGCCTCTCTTGTCATGTAGTGAATGGCATCCTGGTCACCGAGCCAATCTGAACCCTTGACGGTATCGTACATGTGCCATCTCCAGTCGTCCTCGTGCATGCTAGGGTCGTTGTCAGCCTTCCACGTGCGCTATGAGCATACGGTGGTTTGAACGTACTTTCCGAGCGCGGCATTGATACCACCTTGCGCGGCTACAGTGTGCGAACGGGTAGGGAAGAGCTTGGAGATACAGGCGGTGTTGAAGCCAGCCTCAGCGAGACCGAAGGCCGCTCGCAGACCAGCTCCTCCAGCACCAACGACGATGGCATCGTACTCGTGATCGATAACGGGGTACTTGCTGGAGATGAATCCTGAGGCCTCCTTTGCCTTCAGGTTCTCGGTAGCAAAGATACGGGCAGCGGGCCGTGTCGATGAGAAAGCTCGCGATGGTGTGCGGATGCTCTTCGAGAGCTGTGGCGGTATTGGTTAGCCATTGCCACGTATACAAGCGCGAGAAGAAGCCATTGCATCCACGCATCGACCACGAAGCCATTGAGACGCCTTGGCATCCTTGTCGACATTGTGCCAGAATACTGTGGGATGTGGCACACGCCTCGGGGCGGAGGATGCCGGGTACGTAGGAGCTCGAGGGCGATGGGTGGCGCATGAAGCTTCAGACGGAACTCACCTGGCTGGCGAACTGCATGCGACGCATCCTGGCGAAGCTCATGATGGCGGTAGCCGTGGAGTGGAGAGCGGAGGTGGTGTAGGAGACCTTTGGCGGTTTTCGATGTTGCAAGTCAATGATGGAAGTCGCGACCCTGACAAACTAGTTTGGACGTGTGCTGATTGGCGCGGAAAAGGCCTCGGCTCTTCACGAAGGAGCAGCGGGATCGAGGCTTTTGCTCCGGCTTTTCACGAGTGAGATTTTGATGTGATTGCCCCAGATGGACGTTGAAGTGTGGAGTATTGTTTAACAGCGTGCGAGTATCGAGCTCGTCTTATTAAACCTGGTTCAGACATATCCGGTTCAGCCTCATCCGGGCTCCATAATTGCAATTGCCACGAGACCAGCACCAGACTGTCTTCGAGCTGCTGGACACTTCCACTTGCTTGAGCGGCCTCAAATTTGGCCAGGCAATGTACTGTTACAATTTGACTCGAGTGTTGACTCATGCCCAGATGCAATGGTCCGACAGTTTCGCCGCTGGTGTTGTAGATGCTCGCTGGCTATCGTCGTCGTCATAGACCTTTTCAGACCATCACATGCAGTCCGAGTCGTAAAGAGCCTCGAGCCCACATTTCCATTGTGCGGAAAACGTTTCCATTTGGTACTTTTTACACTATCAAGTTGGTACGGAGGCAATGCTGCACATAGCTGTCTTTTCAGAGACTGTGAGCTTTATCAATTGTAGCTTCTAGACAGTTGCTTGATTACAATTGCGATGTACACTTGTTGTTTCCGTGTCTTGTCTGCGATTGCACATACACTGGGTCTTTCAATAGCTGAAAGTTTCGTACTTTCATTGACATCTCTTCGTTGAGGGAAAATGTATTTCTTGTATGGTACCAAATGATCGTTTTCTACTCGAAGCTGGTACAGCAACTCGGATTCTCGTCCAAGGCGGTAAACACCCATCATCTGCCTGCCACCGACGACGTTGATGGTGCGCAATGCTCAGAGCCTTCCGTATTGGCTTCTTGTATGCAAAACAGTCAAGGCTTTCCTTCGCGGTGTTCAGCCAAGTACCTATACCTGAAAGAGTTTTTATCCAGCTGCAACCTTAAACAGGAATCAAACCTTCGAAGTTGCATGTATAAACGCACGTCGTGCTTAACACCTTGAGGCTCGCTAGCTGCTAGGGCGCATGGAGGGTAGGTATAACAACAAATCCCCACCTATCTAATGTGCATCAAATAAGTACGACGGAGGACAAAGGCAAAACACTGAGTAGGACGCGAAGATCTCACATTACACTGTACGGGAGAGCAAAAACGTGGCACGAGATTGTGAATTGGGGAATCGTTAAATTTTTTGCATTAGACGCTCATGATCATTGGCATCCATGCATTGCACCTATCCCATTCGCCAAAGAGCCTTTGAAAAGAAACACCTAACAACTGCCAGAACACTTCTAAGCAGGGGTCTGGAGGTCCTTCTTGAGGGTACCCTCGTACTGCCTCTTCTCGGCGGGGGTCTGGTAAGCACCATGACCAAACTTGGAGGAGGTGTCGATCCACTTGAGCTCGACCTTCTCGAGAGCCCTCCTGGAGGTGTGGGTGAACATAGACTTGCGGAGAGTCATGACCCTCTTCTTGACACCGGGGCAGGCACCCTTGATCATGACGAAGTCGTTCTTCACCTCACCGTAACGGACGAAGCCACCCATACTAGTCAATGTTAGCGATGATCTGTGGATGTTGAGAGCGTGCAACTTACGGAGTGATCTGCTTCTTGGAGACATCGAAGTCAGTGGAGGCGTTACCCTCATCATCACCCTTGCCGATACGGTAGATCTTGTGGTTGACGGAGGTACGGTGGTGGTAACCCATCTGACCAGCACGGGCAACGGTCCACTGGACGTGAGCCGGGTGCCAGGCACCGATACAAGCAACCTTGCGGAGACCCTTGTGGGTCTTGCGCGGAAGCTTCTTGGTTCCCCAACGGGCAGTGACACCGTTGTATCCGTGACCCTTAGTGACAGCGATGACATCGATCATCTCGTTGTCCTCGAAGATGGAGGAGATCTCGATGGGCTTCTCGAAGAGACCGTGGCCGTAGGAGACCTTGTCGGCGATGGAGCCACCGTTGACCTGGATCTCCATAAGGTGGGCCTTCTTCTGCTTGAGGGGAGTCTTGGAGATCTGGGTGTGGGCGAGGACACGGACGACGGTGCAGTACTTCTTGATACGCTCAAGCTCGCGGGTGATGGACTGGCCGGAGGACTCGGAGTGCTTCTTGGCGTACTTGGTGAAGGCCTTCTTCTTGCTCTTGTACCAGTTGCGGTAGAAGCGACGCTTGACCTCGTCGCTCAAGTGTTCAGCCCAGACGGTGGTGAGCGAGCGGAGACCGCGGGGAGTCTCGATGTAACCAACGAGACCAACGGCGATCATCTGCAGAGTTTGTTAGTCCTCCGCGCCCAATTTCTCAATTTGGGTGTTCTTACAGGAGGAGTCTCGATGATGGTGACAGCCTCGACGATCTCCTTCTTGTGCAGCTTCGCACCGGGACGGTCCAGATCACGGACGATCGTGGACATACCGGCCTTGTAACCCATGGCAGCCGTCAGGTGGACGGGCTTCTTGGAGTCATCCTTAGGGAAGCTGTGCGGCCTCGTAAGCGTGCTGTTCGTAAAACTTGTCGCGGCGGTGTCGAGCGTACCTCTTGACCTTACCCCTGTGACGGGCAGCGCGCTTGCGCGGCAAGAAGGCCAGAGACCCGTGGCGGGGGGCTTCGAACTTCCTGTGGGACATGGCGAGTTCGGTGCTGTGGTTAGTATCGAAGTTGTCGGAGGAGAAGTTGCGTCGAGGCGGGATCAAAATCGAATGTGCGAAGCGAAAACGCTTGGGCCAGCCTTCTGCCAGTAGCGCCTTCCGCACCTTGGCGTTCACCGCGGGGCGGTGTCCAGGACCTTTGATGCTGGAAGTGCCCTCCAGACGCTTTTATCTTGTACCTGCGCTGCACTCAGTCTCCCTGCATCGCCGCCCGTGCCCGTCGTTCCGCCTCCGACAAGCATCCGCAGCCATCTGCACCGCCGTACTACGCACCCGCCCACTGCTGCCGCCGTTTTCGTCAACCCCAACAAACACCGCTGCTACGACATCATCCAGTATTACCTGCTGCCCAGCCTCAACGTCGGCGGCGCCATCACACCCCCGCCGTCACACCACTCGCCAGTCTCTCTACCAGCTGTCTACACTGCCTGCACCTGGGATTGCACTAGGTCCTGATCACTTTCGACCGAGTCCCACAGCCTTGGTTCTGGAATCATGGTAGAAGCAGCAGAGGGCAGTCCCACGACGTGGAAGTTCACACAGTAGGTCGATTCCCACGACAGGTCTGCTACAGGAGGTCTCACGGATCCTACCTGCAGCTATTTGCGCAGTCGCATTGCGTTTGGGTCGCTTTTTAGGATGGTACTGACCCTGCCAGGTGCTTCGGTGACAAGGGCGATGTTGAAGATATAACAGAAGGTACGTCACCGGCACCCCACCGCTCAGCACAGTATCCGAGCGAAACTCTCCCAGATGACAATGACTAACACGACGAACCAGCGGACATCATTTCCACTGTCGAGTTCGACCAGACAGGTAACTATCTGGCGACAGGCGACAAGGGTGGTCGTGTGGTCCTGTTCGAGAGGAACGAGACGGTACGTTCTGTTGGTCCAAGACACTACTGAAAGCTCGAGACCTAACATCCCCCCAGAAGAAGACTTGCGAATACAAATTCCACACTGAGTTCCAATCGCACGAGCCCGAGTTCGATTACCTCAAGTCTCTCGAAATCGAAGAAAAGATCAACAAGATCAAATGGTGTCGCCGCCAGAATGCGTCGCATTACCTCCTGTCCACAAACGACAAGACAATCAAGCTCTGGAAGGTCTTTGAGAAGTCACTGAAGGTTGTGGCGGAAAACAATCTGTCACACGAGCTGACGCCCGGTGGTGGGGTTGCTGGTGGAGGTGGTCCTGTCAGGAACCCAAATGCACACTTCCGCACCGCCACCGACCTAAAACTACCTCGCCTCACTCACCACGATACCGTCGTCGCTGCCGTACCGCGAAAGACTTACGCCAACGCGCACGCCTACCACATCAACAGCATATCGGTAAACAGCGATGGAGAGACGTTCATTAGCAGTGATGATTTGCGAATCAACCTCTGGAACTTGAACATCCAGGACCAAAGCTTTAACATTGTTGATATCAAGCCCGCCAACATGGAGGAGCTCACAGAGGTCATAACCGCAGCCGAATTCCACCCCATCAGCTGCAACTGGTTTATGTACGCCAGCTCCAAGGGCACGATCAAGTTGGCGGATATGCGAGAGAGTGCCCTGTGCGACCAGCACGCAAAACGTAAGTCGATCACGTACGTTTGATGGGAAGCTCTGTACTGACTATCTACGTGTAGAGTTCGAGCAAGAAGAGGACCCGTCCTCCCGCTCTTTCTTCTCCGAGATCATCTCTTCGATATCCGATGTGCGATTCTCCCACGACGGCCGTTACATCCTCTCACGCGACTACCTTACCGTAAAGATCTGGGACGTAAACATGGAGCGAACCCCTGTGAAGACTATTCCCATTCACGAGCACCTACGACCCAGGCTATGTGACACATACGAGAACGACAGCATCTTCGACAAGTTCGAGGTCGTCTTCTCTGGCGACGCTAAGAATGTCATGACTGGCAGTTACAACAACAACTTCATGATCTACCCATCGGACCCTGAGAAGGATACCGAGGTTGTTCTGCAAGCTGACAAGTCGGCTTTCAAGGCTAAGAAGGTCGGTATTCCCACACCAATGAACTCGTCAACCAGCCCAACGGGCGGCAAGAAGGGCGGTTCAAGAGCTGGAAGCCCTGCTGCTGGTGCAGGTGGGCAAGGACAGCGTATGAGGAAGGAGACAGATGCGGATCAGATCGACTTCAACAAGAAGATTCTGCACATGAGCTGGCATCCATTCGAGGACAGCATTGCTATTGCAGCAACGAACAACGTGGGTTTCATTCTTGGCTTAGTACTTTCATATGCTAACAAACGCCTAGCTCTTCGTCTTCTCAGCGTTGTAAGAACCTTCAATGCATGGCGCGGTTGATCCTGCAGGGGCACTTGCCAAATAGATGCACTCGCTTGCCTCTCCCTTGATGATCTATTACTCATTATTCCTCCCTCCATCATTCGCGATGACTAACGCAACGGCGCTCGGAAGGTAGAACTGGGCCACGCATGGTGACTGGGCGCGGAAGAACGAACGATTGACGATGTGACGCGCAATTCGAATGCATGAGATGACTGCATTAGATTGGAACACCACGATAATTGACCAGTGGTGAATAACAAAAGAATCAAACTAAACGCTTGTGATGATGGCATTGTGACGGTGGTCTACTTGCACGTAAAGAGCTAATCAACGTCACAAATATACAGACAACAGATAAACGACACTCCAAGTTGACAGCTGCATGATCAGCATTGCATGCCTCCAGGTACCTATAGCCCACGTGCTCAGATCTGACCCTGGTCAGCCCTATGACGGGGTGTGCCCAGGTGGGCGGGAAGGTGCGACTAGCGTCCGCGGTGAGGCTCTAATGCCAAACCTCCACGTCGACCATCTGGACCTCCATCGAACACCATTCAGTCACCAGAACCATGGCAATTCGTCGATAACGTGTCAATTAGATCAAAGCATCTCTTTTAAGTAAGTGAAGAATTTCAGCGCTGTACAATGTTACTCTAGTTGCGCACCAGGATCTGTTGTATTCTCCTAGAAACGTGCGCCCTACACCAACAAGCAATCGCCAACATGAGTTGCATAGTCCAAGGCTGACGATTCTAAGATTCTCTGAATACCTCCACACATCGTTAGTACGATTCAAGAGCTTCGCAACTCTGTCGGTGGATCATATTACAAATCCACTGGTGTCGTCATGGCAGCCATTGCACCCATCATTAGCAGCTTCTCGCTCATTTTTGGAGGTTGCTGCGCCAATGTAAGAAACCATATCTGATGACTTGCTCAGACTAACATTCCACAGGTCTATTGCCTAGAAGCTATCGTTAAGTAAGATACTCAATGTTGCCTTTTCTTCAAGCGCGCACTGACACATCGCAAGACAAGAGCCTGATAGCGGCCTTCTGATTACACTCTTTCAGTTCGTCTTTACATGTCTCTCGACGTTACATTATCAGCTCGATCCAAATGGCCGTTATTACCTGCGATCATCACCGGTACCGTTCCGCAAGTGGGTCACAAGTGCTTTGCTGTTCTTCACAGTCAACATGATGAACAACTGGGCATTTGCATTCAACATCTCTGTTCCCGTCCACATCATTCTTAGGAGTTTTGGTAGTGTGACTACGATGACAGCGGGCTACCTTCGTGGGAAGAAGTACACTCCTCTGCAGATCTTTTCTGTTGCCATCCTCACTCTGGGTGTCATGGTCTCTGCTTGGGCTGATGCATCGTCAAAGGTACGAAGTCTACTCGCGTGCTTAACGATCGTACTAACAAGAGCAGGGCAAGACCAATAGTGCCAACGCCGATCCAGACAAGGCATCACTCGAGGCCGGACTGCTCGTACTTCTTGTCGCCCAGCTGCTATCCGCATACATGGGCGCCTATGTCGAGGACGTTTACCGCGACCACGGCAAAGACTGGAAGGCCAATCTTTTCTACTCGCATCTCTTGTCAATCCCGATGTTCGCCGCATTTGCACCCGCCCTTAACGCGCAGTTCGCGCGCCTGCAATCCTCGCATTCCTTCCAGGTCCCACCCAGCGTTGCCGCGACTCTGCCACCAACTCTCAACAAGTTCCTTGCGTCAACGTCGCAACACGTTATCTATCTCCTTGCCAACGCGATCACGCAGTTGCTTTGCATCACCGGCGTCAACATTCTCAGTGCCAACACATCAGCTGTTACTGTTACGATAGTGTTAAACATCAGAAAGTTGGTGAGCTTCATGCTGAGCATCTGGCTTTTCGGCAACCACATGGGTGGTCTTATGAAAGTCGGCGCTGTAATGGTTTTCGGTGCCGGTGCGCTGTATGGATATGAGACGACCTACAGGATTCCACTGAAAAAGAAGCTAGAGGCAAGGAAGGAAGAGAAGGGGCAGTGAGAGTAAGAGTTATGCATGCTGGCGTTGGTACGAGAGTTGGACGGGTTTGGAGCAGCATGTATATCAGAGGTTAGACGATAGACTATGGAAAATAGATTCAAAAGAAACATATCTCTCGAGTAGCTGCAAGCTCAGGTTTGCCAAGAAACGAGGAGTTAAGTCAAGCAGTATTTGCAGGCCAACTTTGGTCTTATAAGATCTCAAAAGACTACGAGAGCTTTTGCGGCCATTGTACAACGGGCTATCTAGCCCTGGAGGCCTCCAGAGGCTTGTTTTGAAAGTTGCAACCTGGACGTTGCAGCCAGTTTTTTCTGCAAAGGCCTCTTACTCTGTCAATACATATATGGTATAAGAGCCTAATACGTGCTTTGATATAGAATATTTTAAGCTGAAGTGTACTGATATAATAGCCAAGGGTCTGGCTCTTTCAAGGGGTCTGCAAGGAGCTGTGAGGAGACGCGGCCTCGGTGGTGAACCAATGAGAGCTCAGCAACCTTAACCAGCGGAAGGTGGAGCTTACTAGCGCGGGATCTCCTTATGTACACGAAAGCTGGCGATCTGGCTTTCCAACCCTCAATTCACGTTCCTTTCTCCAACTCATCTTTCCTTGGGGTCACTTGCGTGGGGTAAGTCTCCTGCAGCTTCTACAACGCAACTTGGTGCTCTATACTGACATTGCACTCAGATTGATACAACATGTCTTCCCCCACCGGCGTGAGGCAGCGTGCTGCGAAAGACAGCAAGAAGCGCTCTACAACACCAAACCCACCTTCAGCAGAGATCGTCTCTGAGAAGGCCGCCAACTTCCTCGAGAAGGCCAAGCCTTACAAGCCACGACAGAAGCAGCCAGAATGGGACTACAAGCTTGCGATCACAATTATGACGGCGCTTGCGTTCATCACAAGGTTCTGGGGCATCTCCCATCCTGATCAGGTCGTCTTCGATGAAGTGCACTTTGGAAAGGTACGTTGGACAAAACCAATCTCTGCTGCAGATCAGGAGCAATTGGCAGCTTTCTCAAGCTCGAGTGCGAGGCTAACGAAATGCGCAGTTCGCTTCATACTACCTGCAACGAACCTATTTCTTCGATGTCCACCCTCCTCTCGGAAAGCTTCTGTTCGCCTTCGCTGGCTGGCTCGTTGGATACAAGGGCGAGTTCCTCTTCGAGAACATCGGCGACTCATACATCTCCAACAATGTTCCCTATGTCGCATACCGTGCTATGCCCGCCTCGCTTGGTGCGCTTACCGTTCCTATTGTCTTCCTCATCATGTGGGAGTCTGGATACTCTCTGCCCGCCTGCGTTACTGCTTCTGGTCTCATGCTTCTTGATAACGCCCATATTGGCCAGACGCGCCTGATCCTGCTCGATGCATCGCTTATCTTCTTCATGGCCCTCTCGGTCCTCGCATACATTCGTTTCTACAAGCTGCGACACGATCCGTTCAGCCGCAAGTGGTGGAAGTGGCTGCTTTTGACGGGGATCAGCCTGAGCTGCGTCATCTCCATCAAGTACGTCGGTGTCTTCACCTTCTTCTCGATTGGTGTACCCGTCCTCTTCGATCTGTGGGACCTGATGGACGTCAACCGCCGCCAGGGTGCATTGTCTCTTCCAGAGTTCGGTAAGCACTTCGCTGCTCGCGTCGTGGGTCTTATCGTTGTGCCCTTCTTCCTCTACTTGTTTTGGTTCCAGGTCCACTTCACTATCCTCAGCAGGTCCGGTCCTGGTGACGACTTCATGACTCCAGAGTTCCAGGAGACTCTGAGCGACAACGTAATGACTCTCCAGTCTGTCGGCATCAATTACTATGATTCGATCACCATGCGCCACAAGGAGACGAAGGTCTACCTCCACAGCCACACCGACCGCTATCCACTACGCTACGACGACGGCCGTGTCTCTTCGCAGGGACAGCAGGTCACTGGATACCCTCACAACGATACCAACAACCACTGGCAAGTCCTTCCCGTGAAGGAGCTCCCAAGCGAGGTTGGTCAGCGCGTCAAGATCGGCGATGTCGTCCGTCTGCGTCACGTTATCACCGACACCGTTCTTCTTACCCACGATGTCGCATCTCCTTACTATCCCACCAACCAGGAGTTCACAACAGTTGCTAAGGATGAGGCGGCTGGTACACGCTTCAACGACACTTTGTTTGAAATCAAGGTTGAGAAGGGCAAGGGCGACTTCAAGACCATGTCTACTCACTTCAAGCTCGTTCACGTGCCGACCAAGGTTGCTATGTGGACTCACACCAAGCCTCTGCCTGAGTGGGCCTACAAGCAGGCTGAGATCAACGGCAACAAGAATGTTCAGCAGTCCAGCAACGTTTGGTATGTTGATGACATTCCTTCCTTGCCTGCTGAGGATGAGCGCAACAAAAAGGAGGTCAAGCAGGTGAAGCATCTTGGCTTCCTCCGCAAGTGGGTCGAGCTTCAGCGCGCTATGTTCTACCACAACAACGCCTTGACCAGCTCTCACCCGTACGCTTCTCAGCCGATCTCTTGGCCCTTCCTTCTCCGTGGTGTCTCCTTCTGGACACACAACGACACTCGTGAGCAGATCTACTTCCTCGGTAACCCGGTCGGATGGTGGCTTGCCTCCTCACTCCTTGCTGTCTTTGCCGGTATCATCGGTGCTGATCAGCTGGCTCTGCGCCGTGGCATGGATGCTCTCGACGACCGCACTCGCTCTCGTCTGTACAACTCGACTGGTTTTTTCTTCCTTACCTGGGCTGCTCACTACATCCCGTTCTACATCATGGGTCGTCAGTTGTTTTTGCATCACTATCTTCCAGCACATCTCGCATCTTGCCTGGTTACTGGTGCCCTTGTCGAGTTCATCTTCTGCATTGAGCCTCAGGACCCTCAGACTCCCGGTACCCCTGCTGAGAAGGGCCACCGTAGGACTCGCTCTCGCCCTGTTCGTGAGCGTGTTGCTACCGCGAGCCAGCTCGGAAGCTGGATCGCCGCTGGTGTCATCCTTGCTGCGACTTTCTGGTGCTTTCTGTTCTTTGCGCCTCTTACATACGGCAAGCCAGGCCTCACAGTCGACCAGGTCCAGGCCAGGAAGTGGCTCGGCTACGACCTGCACTTCGCAAAATAAACCCTGCGCAATTCTGAAGCATAAACTTGCGTGTGTGGAGGGTTGGTGTTGGCTCGGTGGTTGAGCCGCTTCTTGATCAATTCCCTTAGGGTAAAATGCTGCTCAGCGTGGAGTGCCGGTGGTGTGGGTTGCTTGCTCCGCTCAACTCTTTCGAGCATTTCCTTGTATTACACTATACAGGTCCTGTTGACCTTGGCCATCTATCTCCTATCTCGATATACTTGACGGGATAAATAGACCGAAAATGTACGATTGGCACTTGACGAAATCTTAAAAACCTATCCAAATCATTTGTGCAATGTCAATTGTAACTTTGTCAATTACATATTGGGATGGCGCATAGGGGACGGTGCTGGAGTGTAGAGATATGCGGATCTTCTGATATATGGCACTATACGTCGAAGTACGCAGATGTACTGCCCAATTCAGATAATAGGGCGCGCAGGGGCTGCATTCGCAAAGTTCGAAAGCTCACGCATGTCATCACAAGCAGAGAGGGAATGTGTCTATGACCGTGTATGCGTCACTTCGTTGAGATCGTAAGCGCACGCCGGCCCACGCCCGTAGTAGGCACTGTAAGTATCGGAATGTGTAGTAGAGCACATGTGAGCTTAACCGTCCAGCTCGCGGTCAATGTCATCCAGCTCCTTGACAATCTCTAGAGCGGCCAGACACTGGAAAAGATCCTTGATCTCGTAGTCTGGACCACTGATGGTTTGACTAACTTTGTCTCAGCGACCGATAACATTGTTAGGCTGCGCAGCAAGCCTGGTCGCGTCTAAATTCAAAAAAAAAAAAAAAAAAAAAAAAAAAAAAAAAAAAAAAAAAAGAGTTTTGCTATAAGGAAGTGAACAGTTTTGGTAACACTTTCAGAAAGAGGCTGGACAACATCCCGCACTATCTTTATTAGGCGCTCCACAATAAATTCAAGTGAAACCTGACGCTGGGTTGTCTCCTTCTGAATGGCCTTCAAACAGCGATGTTCTGTTGTTTGTGTTGACAATATCTCGGAGTAAGGATGAGTAAGAGTAGATCCTACTATGCCAACCTCAAGCTTGATCGCTCGTACACAGAATTTCATCGTGTTGTGACCAGCCTGGGGTACGTGGACAGAGCATGAACCAGCGGAAGGGGTAGACTAGAGAGGAGCTCGAACGTACAGACGTCCCGGAAAGCAGGCTAGGTAGGACATCGCATTACCGAGTGTTGGACATGGGCGGGACAGCGGCGGTTCGACTGCTGGTAGTACAGATGGAAATGGGAAGGATAATTGTCTAGCACCGGGACCATGGACCGAGCAGGGGGAGTAGGCAGTGCAGGACTTCCAGTAGTCTGACTACCTCCAGGCTGCGCCTTTGGCTCCACTCTTGCAACACAATGCTGGGAATATAACTTTTGACAAGATGGATTCTCTATCAGTTTGCTTAGTCGCGGCCCCCTTGTGTCCTAAACCATCCCATTATCCCAAAGCCTCGATTCTCTCCATGGCTCATAGCCGGGCTCTTACTCGGCAGCCACAATATCGCCAGGTCCTTCAGCTTATCCTCAGTCGTGAGCGGTATGTCTGCTTCCAGATCGGTCCAGCCGCGGTACCCTTCGCCCTCATAGGCTCGTTGTTGTAGCTGCCAGATGCCGTCTTGGATCCACCGGTCGATGCGTGGGCTGAGTGCGGCGCGGAATTTGGACAGGTAGATCATGAATTTGGGGATGAAGATGTCGAGGAGGGCGACGAGAATGGAGAAGGCGATGATGAAGGAGAGACCGAAAACGTTGACGTTTCTGTTATGCTGTTAGACAGGTGTTTGTGGGTTTGCGGGAGTTTGAGCTTACACAACGTTATCAGACTTCCTCATCTTTTGCATCGTACAAAGCTGCTTCTCAGCATCGGTCGTCGGTCGGACATACGCGGGATAAGCAGTATCGCGCGATCCAGGACCAATCGAATAGTTAATCATAGCAACTTGCAAAGATGCTAAGATCTGCTTTTGCCAGCGTGTCAACTCGCGTAGCCATTGGTCGTCAGGAAGTCCTCTTTCGATATCGGGTTTTTCTAGCGATTCCGCTAATAGGTCAAGCGCGACGTTTGCGATGTTGAACTCGTATGCGGACGATGTAATCAATCTAAAGATCGCCTTCTGCATTTCGTTTGCGTTTGGGAAAGCGCTGAAATCAATGTTGGGAGGAGGAAGGTTCCCTAGAAAGACGCTGAGAGGGAGCTCGCCGAGCTCGGTGCACTCGTCTTTTCCGGAAGGGGGCTTGTAGCAGAATCGATACTGGGGTTAGTTAGACAAAGGCTTGTACGAAGTACCCCAGTCTGACTTACTTGCTCCTGGCAGGCGAGTGCTCGAGCGAACTTGGATGCATAATACAAGGTTCGGATTGGATGACCGCCCGTGCTGTCTATACCCTTTGCCTCCATCGGCACGGTTGCGTTGAAGAGAGGGTCGTGGACTTTGTTCTGATAGGTAACAGCATTGAGACCAACGAAGATGATTGTGAGCGTTGTGTCGTCACGGCGAAGCTCGGGTCTTGGGTCGAAGCCTCGAGCTACTGGTGCCAAAGGATTGGTGTAGTTCCAGATTGTACTATTGGGGGGTCAGTGATACCAATGGGTTGCGAAGATATCTTACATATTTTAGCGAATATTGCTGAAGCAAGAGAGCCTCGTCTTGGTCTACAGCCCAGGTAGTTCCATTGACAGTACCACCATACACCGATCCGTAGTCGAAAAGCAGAGAGTGCGGGTTTGTTGAAGAGTTTGGGGTTATGGAACCATCCGATGCAGCACTGTAGCGGACTCCAGTGTTATACTTGGTGTTCATGGCTATGAGAGAACAAGTCATCTTTTGGCAGAACTTGACACCGTCCGAACCCTGCAGATTCAGTCCGAACGAAGGCCCAACATCCATGAGTCCAGTATCATAACTGACAGAATCCAGATTCGGCTCGCAAGCAGTCTTCTCGAAAGGACATGGAACTTGGGTCGTGTTGAATGGCAGCTCGCGCTGGACCAGGGTGTTGCATATCGACGGAAGCTTAGTCACGCTCGTGTTTGCTGTTGGTCTAGCACAGATTTGCATACGGATCAGAGGCTTTCTTTGTAGGCCGAACCATGCTCCTGTCGAGCGTACTGGGTGTGCCCACCCACAATTGCGGCTCTTGACTAGCACCTCCAAAGTTGTTGTATCCACGACAAGGGATGAGAACACACTGGCTGCACCTGTGGGCACTGTAAAGAGAATTGCAATGAGCAAGAGGAACAGAGATCGGAGTAAAGATCTTTTGGCTTTGCCTCTCCAAGCCCACCATAGCTTGATAGTATCGGCGATAACTGAACTCGGTGCCGGTAGTGTACGTAGGAGTGCCTGTTGTTGCCTAAAAAGCGCATCTTTTGGCCGTCCAGTAGCTCGCAATTGATGTATCAAGAACGTGATAAGATGCCACAAGTGTGCAGTGGCTGCGATATGTAAGCATGGCTCATGACCTGAATGAGTGACGCCTACCTAGTGTCGACAGAACAGCGAGTAAAGCAACTATGATGTTGCCAGTTTGTGTGTCGGTCGTGATTGTCTTGCCCATGACAGGGCCATGAGCTAAATTGGTTCTGAGTTTATATGAGCAGGGATCTTGAGCTGGATTGGCTTCATAGACTCACCATACGCCGCGCTTAATCAGATTTGGCTCAAGTTCGAGAGACATCGTTGCGAACCTGCGCACACTTGCTACTGGAAAGAACTGGATGAACAAGCACCAGCTGATAAGAAGCCATGCTTCAAAGAAGTACTCCTACGAATTGCTCTATACGGCACAGAGCCTCCCAAGACTGATCTTGTCTTACCTGAGGGAGGCACAGCCGAATGTCGAGGTGGATATTGAAGTACGCAGCCAGCCAATGAGCATTGGCCATTCGCTCGCGAAGCACCCCAAGGCACACCCTTGACGCAACGTTGCCGCTGAACATCTCAAGATCTGTCGTTTTCGTAGCTAGTGTTCAAGCTGTTGACCATGAATGGGTCATCTGATATCCGCGGCTCTGGATCGTTTAGTTCTTGCGGCGGCTCAAAGTCTTGGAAGCATCTCAACAGCGCATTTTCATGCATTTCTGTACCGGTCATCCGCCTGACACAAACGTAAGAATCGATCACTCATAGTTAACAGTTCGCGTTGATCCGGAAGTGCATGATCAAACTCGGCTACCGATAGTGTATATTGACTACTTCTCGACAGCTTGTCTGCCTAGCAACAGAGACGTGTGGCTTTACCAAATTGGAATGCGTATTTCGTTCAGTCAACCTTTGTTCAGGTAAAAAAGCATAGGTGCATATCGAAAAAGTTGACTGACATTTACGAGTCTCGCACGATGAGGTCTAACGGTGGTTTTCTGATGATGGAGAACGTCGCGTGCTTGTTTAAGGCAGGAACGATGACCGAGGTGGCAGGGAGTTCCCGAAGCTCCGCGCATCACCGGGACCAGCAGCAACTCTTGAGACCTGCATCTGCTCGAACAGCATCACCCTTTGAGCGCATTTCGTTTCTGTTGTACGCATTTGCTTGTAGACTGCAAGTTTCATATTTAGGATATCTTACCAAAGTTCCGCCGCAGCTTCTCCGTTGTGTCGCGTCCACTGTTTCATTAGCGCCAAGCCATTGCCTCCAGCTCGACAAGGGCTGTGGACGGCGAAGCAGCCAGCTGTCAAATAAGCACACATCTAATCCATCCTCCACCCTCCACAGTCCTCATCGCCTTTATGCATCATGCGGTATAACACAGGCCTGCTGCTGCCGGCGTTATTGGCACTCGCGCCCTCTATCGCCGCAAAGAAAGATGCGCCGCTCGTCGAGACGACCCCGTTCAAGAACGAGCTCGTAAACATCCTCTACTTCGACGATTCCAAGGTCGCGTTATTACAAGAACTCGAAAGCGGGAGGATATGGAGATCAGAAGATGCCGGAAAAGGGTGGAAGCAGGAGAAGGAAATGAACGGAAACGGCATTCTCAAGAATCCGTACGACAACAAGGTTGCCACAGTCTTGGGCGAGACAAAACATTGGATTACATATGATCAGGGGGAGACTTGGTCCTCCTTCAAGACTGAGCTTCCACCTTCGCCAGAAGCACCTCTGAGCTGGCATGCGACAGATAACAAGAAGATCTTGGTCAATGAGATTGACAACTGCTTCACTGCGCCGTGTCTCGGACGTACATACTACACCACCGATGGCTTCAAGTCAGAGCCGAAGCTGCTCATCGAGGACCGCCGCATGTGTCAATGGGCGAAAGGATCTGAGAGATTCCTTATGGACAGCGATAAGCACGACGACCGCATTCTGTGCATCACGAGAGGCAAATACTCGGATAGGACGAAGGACTTTAGGTTACTGACGTCTGACAAGTAAGCTAGAACAGACGCTGGGCGCATGAAAACATGCTAACAGCCATAGCTATTTTAAAGATTCCGATGAGCCTGTTATGTCCTCAGGACGTACCGTACAAGGCATGGCGAATATGGCAGCTGTGAAAGGCTACATCGTTGCTGCTGCGAAGGCCGATCACTCAAGCGAACTTACCCTCTACGTCACGACCGATACCGATACCTGGCATCATGCTGAGTTTGGCGATCATAAGGTCGAGCAAGACGCATACACAATACTCGAATCGACAAACTACAGCATTCAGGTCGACGTTATGACATCGAAGTACACCGCGATGGGCACACTGTACACGAGTAATTCGAACGGCACATACTTCACGAAGAACGTCGAACACATGAACCGCAATGAGCGAGGTTTCGTAGACTTCGAGAAGATCGCCAACATTCAAGGTGTGGTCATGGTCAACGTCGTCGAAAACTGGGAGGATTACGAGAAGAAGGGCTCACCGAAGAAGCTAAAGTCGAAGATCAGCTTCGACGACGGAAGAACCTTTGAGAAGCTGGAGGTCAAGGGCAAGGACAAGGAGCTACACCTCCACTCCGTTACAAACCTTCACAATAGCGGCCGCGTCTTCTCCAGCCTAGCTCCTGGTATGGTCATGGGCGTTGGCAACACCGGAGACCAGCTGGGCAAGTACACCGACGGCGATCTATACGTCTCAGACGATGCTGGTCTTACCTGGGAATTGGCTCTCGAGGAAGCGCACAAGTACGAGTTTGGTGACCAAGGATCAATCCTGGTAGCCGTCTACGACAAAGGGGACACCGACAAGGTCATGTACTCTCTCAAGCATGGACGTAAGAACACCTGGAAAGAGATCGACATTGGCTATAAGTTCCGCGCTCGCGAGCTTACCACTCTTCCTGACTCGACAAGTCAGAAGTTTATGCTCTATGTATCCAAGAAGAAGGACGGCGGCGGTCGTGAGCATGTCATTATCCATCTCGACTTCTCCGAACTCCACGAACGAAAATGTGGAGACAAGGACTTCGAGGAGTGGTCAGTTCGCAAGGAGGACGATGGAAAGCCAAGCTGCATCATGGGTCACAAGCAACTATTTAAGAGACGCAAGTGGGATGCCGATTGCTTTGTTTCTGAGCCGTTCAAGGATCCGACGCCACACTTCGAGCCCTGCGAATGCGACGCTGTCAGAGACTACGAATGCGACGTCAACTTCACACCCAGCGGCGAGGGCAAGGACAAGAAGTGCGAACCCTCTGATCAGGTGAGACTGCCAAAGGGTGCTTGCGATGGCGACGCCAAGACGTACAGGGGTAGCTCAGGTTGGAGGAAGATTCCCGGCAATCAGTGCAAGGGCGAGACCGAGCGCGACAAGGAGGTTGAAAGGCCCTGCGATGGTGCGGAGAGACCACCGCCGAAGAGCGACAAGATTACCAGCGAGATCACCAAGTTCAAGGGCAGCAATTTCATGGAGCACTACTATCTGGAACGCGATACGCAGAACAGCGACGATAGCGACAACGCTCGGGATCGCGACGAGACCATCGTCCTATTGACATCCGAGCGCGAGGCTTACATTACCCACGACCATGGCAAGAAGTGGAAGAAGGCTGTTGAGGATGAGATCGTACGAATCTACCCTCACACCTATGAGAACAATTACGTATACTTCCTGACTGCTTCAAAAAAGGTCTACTACTCGGAAGACCGTGGCCTGAAGGACAGCATTCACAGTTTCGAGGCCCCTGTCATGCCGAACACGCAAATGCTTCAGATCTTGCAATTTCACCCGAAGCAGAAGGGCTGGCTCATCTGGCTCGGTGGCGAGCACTGCGAGAAGTTAGGCGACAAGGATTGCCACACCGTCTCATATGTCTCGCAAAAGAACGGTGTCTCTGGAAGCTGGGAGGCTATGCTTCCCTACGTGAAGAAGTGTGCCTTTGTCTGGCGCGAAGCAGGTCGCGACGTCAAGGAAGAGCAAGTTTTCTGCGAACAGTACACCAAGGAGGAGATGGGCGCTCCCGTAGAGCTCATCTCGAGTGATGACTGGTTCAAGAAGAAGGACATTAAGTTCAAATCGGTTGTCGAGTTCGCAACCATGTCCGAGTTCATCGTCATCGCCACCAAGGGCAAGGATGGGAAGTCCTTAGAGTTGTCCGCCAGTCTTGACGCCAACACTTTTGCTGAAGCCAAGTTCCCTCCCAAGTTCAACGTCGACCACCAGACGGCATACACTGTGCTTGACAGCTCGACTCACGCCATCTTCTTGCATGTCACGGTCAACCCTCGTCCAGACCAGGAGTACGGTTCCATCATCAAGAGCAACAGCAACGGTACATCTTATGTTATGAGCTTGAACGGCGTGAATCGCAACACTGAGGGTTACGTCGACTTCGAGAAAATGCAGGGCTTGGAAGGTGTCGCACTTGCTAACATAGTTGCCAATATCAACGAGGTCAACAACGGCGCCAAAAAGAGGAGGCAGACTCGCATCACCCACAATGATGGCGCAGAGTGGGCACCACTTGAGGCTCCAGAGAAGGATTCAGACGGCAAGAGCTACTCTTGCGATGTCTCAAACCCTGAGAAGTGTGGTCTGCACATCCATGGATACACAGAGCGCTCAGACCCCCGCGAGACATACTCTTCTCCTACAGCTGTTGGTCTCATGCTCGGTGTGGGTAATGTCGGCTTAGAGCTTGGTACTCTTGGTGAGGCCAGCACGTTCATGACCACTGACGCTGGTATCACGTGGAAGGAGATCAAGAAGGGTGCCTACGCCTGGGAGTTTGGCGACCAAGGTTCGGTCATTGTCATTGTCCGCCGTGGCGAAGACACCGATCATCTGTACTACTCACTCGACAGTGGCGACAAGTGGAATCTCTACAAATTCGCCGAGCACGCTTTTCGTGTGGACGCCATCACCACAGTTCCCAGCGACACCTCGCTCAACTTCCTTCTGTGGGGCAAAGATGGAAAGGAGCTTGTCGCCGTCAACGTTGACTTCTCTGGCCTAGAAGAGTTCTCGAAGAAGTGCAACCTAGATGAGAAGAACCCCGGAAGCGGCGACTACGACCTCTGGACGCCCCAGCACCCCATGCAGGACGACCAGCAGTGCCTGTTTGGTCACGTAGCAGAATACCACCGCAAGAAGCGTGATGCTAAGTGCAGAAACGGCGAGCGCATCGATCATATGCACGACATTCAACGCAACTGCACCTGCACACGCCGCGATTTCGAGTGTGCGTACAACTACGAGCGCCAACCGGGCGGTGAATGTATTCTCATCCCCGGCCTTACGCTCGAAGACCCCAAGGCCGTCTGCTCAAAGGGTGCAACCGAATACTGGGACAACAGCGCGTATCGCAAGATTCCTCTGTCCACTTGCGAGGGTGGCCAGGAATTCGACCATGCCGGCACGCCGCACCCTTGTCCTGGCTTCGAGGAGGAGTTCGAGAAGAAGCACGGTATCGGTGGCTTTGCACTCTTTCTCGCTATTGTTCTGCCGTTTGCAGCGGCTGGTGGTATTGGATACTATGTCTGGAGGAACTGGAGCGGCATGGGCAAGTTTGGGACCATTCGCCTTGGTGACTCTGGGAGTGGCTTCGACTCAGATGCACCATGGATCAAATATCCCGTTGCTGCAGTATCAGGACTGGTCGCTGTTATCGCTGCTATTCCTATGCTTGTTGGTAGTTTGTGGAGGATGGTATCTGGTGGCAGAGGTGGTGGAGGCTACGGTAGTCGTACCTACACGAGCAGAAGCTCCTTTGCAAGAGGCAGGGGTGACTACGCAGTCGTCGACCCCGACGAGGGCGAGCTGTTGGGCGACGAGAGTGATGAGGAAGTGTAGGCTGCGATGTCAGTGATATAACCAGTCAGTAAGGTAGTAGCACTGGTAGTATGCGAGATTGGCGTTGGATTCTGTTGATGGTGGAGTTGACACGTTAGCTGTACATTTTCACTGTAAGAATTTAAAGTGTGGCACTGTTGAGCTCTTGCACCCTCCTGTCATCGTTCGAGTCCAGCAGCTCGCAAGGTCAACCATCACGGATGTTGCAGTACTTCTGCGACAATGATGGGGTGAACTACTTGTCTATTTGCAGTCGATATACACCGCTTTTGCTTCTATAGTTGGAGAATAGATGAGGTGGGCCTTCTACGGAGGAACAGTACCTTTTTTGTTAAGCGACGCGGCGCAGGTAGATTGTTTGCATGATGAAGGCCAGGATCGTCAATTAGAGTGTCCGCCTGCCTGGTATTGATGAGGCGCAGTTCAGGCCATTTAAAGTGTTAAAGCAATATCCCGTTCTTCCTCCTGTTTACGGCATGTTTTCAACGGCATAAGGTCTGTTTACGACACTTTCATGCCGTGCTACTTGACAGCTGGTGGTTGACAGCTGTCAATGCCGCTGGAGACATGCTTGTCATGCAAAGACCCTGACATTTGTGGCAGCGGAAATTATGTCTGTGTCAAACAACGCCAACGCTGAAGGACGTGAACGATTTTGTGGCAGTTCCGTGTGTCCCATCTTACAGGCGCAGGCGGAGGCGTTCATGCAGCACAAGCAGAGGACGTTGTTACAACAGCACTGCAAGCCATGCTCACTGCATCGAGCCCAAGGAGCGAGACGGGACTTACCTCGTCGTCCTTAATCAGCGATGAAACGTCCGCCCACTCTTGGCTGGCCCAGAATGCACGGAAATGGCTTGTGTCAAGACCGCACGGCTCTCCGGCAGCGGCAGCGAATCGAAGGCCGGCCATGTGCCACAGGTTGCGGGTGGCTCAGGCACAGCAGCAGTCTGTTGGACGCCACGAGTTGGGTTTCTCACGGCGCATGAATCCTTGACGCGCCATGGATCCCTTGGCCGTGCGTCGCTGAGCTTGCGCTGTTGAGTAATGGGGCTTGCCGAGTTGGGTCGCGTCGCAAGCTCTCGTGTTTCAGGTTGATGCAGCCAATCAGCGTGTTGACCCTGAGGCTCGCAGCTTTTGGTGTTGTTGCTGCGCGTCCACGTCTGTTGGCGAGCGTTTGCTGAGATTTGTGCACGCTCGTGTACCTCCATACGAGGCGCCATCACCAGCGCCATGGGCGCCAGCGCCGTTCCACGCATCTGATGCTGCACTCGATCTTCACGTTAGCAACTTGGTTGTCTTTGCACAATCTCCTGAAGTCCCAATCGTGCACCAGGGCCCGGCTGCCTTACTCGCTTCGCATCCACCAGTACCTCCGCTGTTCCCACTTGAGAGTCTGAAGCAGGCCAGCGGTCTTGGCCCGCGGACAGCGCTGGTGAATTGGGCATGGTCAGTCGCGGGAGCCAGCCGACCGCCAAGCTGTTTCAAATATGGACGACTCTTCGCTGAGCTTGGTACTCGTGGCCTACATGAGCGGAGCCCCATGCTCCTCCTTCCTTCAACTCTTGGTCCTTCCTTCCTCTCACAACTCTCAGACCGTTCTTTTCTTTAAACAGCACTCACCTTCATTCTTTAGGTGTGCTTGCCTTGCAGTAGTTCACCTTCTTTTGACAGCTACTCTCACTTCCTTCACTTCGTTTCTCGTCTTAAGGCTTTTTTCTCCGGCCGCATCCTTATTCACCTAAAAGCGTGCTGTGCACGTCTTGGCTCAAACGCGCAGCTCCTCATACCTGTTCCGCCTGACACAGGTTCTCTACCAGCTATCGTTGCTCGCGCGTTGATGTAAGTCCTCCAGTTTCAACTGTCTAAGGCTGCCATGGTCGCCTGTCACTTACCATGATTACCCCACACCATGTTGTACGAGGCTACGAGGTGTCTCAACTCCGTCTGGCTTACGCATCACCAAATCTCCGTTGCCTTCTTCGAGTGTCTTCGAGCCTGGGCGGGGTGCTTGCCTGTTTCAATTCGCGCCATTACCGTTAGTTATTAGGTCTTATACAACAAACACTGACATGCAGTAGCGCTCTTTATACTCTTCACTCCCTCTCACCAAGACGGCCACACGCTCTCTCTCAACCTTTACCGGATCAGGATCCAGTCTGTAATCCAACATGAGGACTTCATTCGCCATCACCGGTCTTTTGACCCTTGCCTCCTCCCTTCTTGCTGCTGCCGCTCCCCAGGATGGCTACATTAGTCTCAACTCCACCACTCCGCAAGACGACGATGCGAAGGAAATTCTTATTATGTTCCAGAAGGATGAGCGCCCAGAGTGGGAGGTTTTAATCCAAGGACTCGAGAAGTGCGTCAACGAGACCAACCTCCTTCGCCGATTTAACAACGAAGTTTTCGCGGGTGTGGAGATCAGGGCAGGAAACCACTGCATCAATGCCTTCAACGCTTTGTCCGAAGTCGCCTTTGTTGAGGAGAAGACAGTCATTCAGTCGTTTGTTGAGACAAAGACTGGTGCTCCTTGGGGTCTGCAGCGCATCTCTAACGAGGCGGGCGCATCTGGATCTGCCCAGGCCCAGGACTTCACCTACTCCTTTGACGATGCGACTCTCGGTGCCGGTGTCGACATCTACGTTATTGACACTGGTGTCCGTACATCGCACGCGGTCTTCACTGGCCGTGCCACCCAGGGCTTCTCCGCTACCGGATCCTCTGTCGACGGTGACGGTCACGGCACTCACGTTGCTGGTACCGCTGGTGGCGCCAAGTTTGGCGTTGCTCAGGGTGCCAACATCATCGCTGTCAAGGTTCTCGGTGACGACGGCTCTGGCTCTTCCTCTGACACCATTGCTGGTATGGACTGGGTCATCAACAACCACAACAAGCGTAAGACTCAGCCCGGTTTCGTCGGTTCCATCATGAGCATGTCTTGGGGTCTCCAGGGCACTGCTAGGTCCGTCGACGAGGTTATCATCGGTGCCAGCGAGGCCGGTATCCACGTCTCGGTTGCCGCTGGAAACGACGGTGTCGATGCTTGCGGCTCTACCCCTGCTCAGCTTGGTGGCAGCAACTCCAGCGTTGTTACCGTCGGTTCCGTCAACATCAAGAATGAGGTCTCCACTTTCTCTAACATCGGCAAGTGCGTTGACATCTACGCTCCCGGTGAAGATATCCTCAGCGCATGGAGCACCGGTGACAACATCATCAACTTCCTCTCCGGTACCTCCATGGCTTGCCCCCACACCACCGGTGTCATGGCCACTCTTATGGCTCAGGACAAGAGCCTCGGGCAGGACCCAGCTGCGCTCAAGAAGAAGCTCCTCGCGACTGCCCGCTCCGATAAGGTCACCGGCAGCCTTAGTGGCAGCGCCAACCTCATGCTCAGCAACGGTGTTGATGGTGCCATTGCCAAGCGCCTCGTCAAGAACTACGTTGTTCCTGAGCGCAGCGGCAGCCCGGCTGCGCAAGCCATGAAGAAGGCCCACGATACCAGGGAGCTTGAGAAGTGGATTGTCGTCTCTGACGACTCTCCTCTTAGGTTCTAGAGCGTCGCATATCTGCAGCGTTTGAGATGATACCCTTTGTCGTTGAGTTTCGTACGAAAAGTCTGCCTAGAGCATTTCCTACGTCGAGGCCTTCATGGCCGATCTCCGGACCATAGTACCCAATAATTACAGCATGGTGTGGTTTTCCTTTCATATCTAAGACTCTTTTCTTGTCATCATGTGGTGGAATCTTAATTTCGCTGTCAATCCTTATCATGTATATGCATTGATAGAGTGGAGGAGCATGGGCGATGAATAGATAAGACAAGATGCTTCGGGCATCTTGCTGGAGTCCGTACTGCACGACTCCGCTGTATACCATCAATCAAACATATAAACATAGGTCTCAGTCTTCGCAATTTGCCACCGTGTGATTCGCGTGTTACCGTGATTGTGATCGTCCACTGATTTCTCACTCATTATCGCTGATCATGAAGATCAAGAACAGTACAACATCGATCTGTCACATCGATCTGTCACATCGAACCTGCATATGTCGCGCTTGCAATTCGTCAAGCTTACCCGACCTTGCACCCGAGCATAGCGGCTCATCAAATGCCCATCGTTCCCAACGAGCACAAATTGGCGACCTCCCATTGCATCCACGTTGCTGACATCTCCGGCCCACATCTGCTGTCTCGAGCATGCAGAATATTTTCTGCACATGAACGCGCGGCCCGGTGTACAGACAGTGCTTCTGCAACGGCTTGAGGCAAGTTGGAGTTTTTTTTCGATGCTGGGGTGCATGATGGGTTCTGGATGTATTCCGCGCATGGCGTTTAAAAAGATGAGTGTTGGTCGAACTGTAGTCCCAGAGTACGAGGCAGTCTCACGAATCTGGAGTCTTTTGTTCAGTATGCTGACTTCAAGTACTAAGCGCTGTTGACTGTGTCGATAAAGTGGTCAATCTGTGTCCATCTCCATCTCGGTGTCGATACCTAACACAGAATCATGGCGAATCGATCTACTATCATCTTTTATGTCATAGCTCTAGAACCCTTTTTTTATAAACATCTTTCTCTTTCTGCTCATAAGACCTAGTCTTATAATTGCAATTCTAATGCTAAAGTTATAGTAAATAACTGGGTTTACAACTTTTACATATAAATATTTTAAAACATAGCTATTCTAGTATTACTACTTTGTACTTATAAAATTAAGGTTGATAGATTTATCTAAGATTTTAATACAAGATCGAGTGCTGGGTGGAATCCACGCCTACTCCAGTTTTTACGAAAGAGTGATGGCGGCCTCTTGCGTGTCAGTACTCTGATTCCGCGCAACCTGCCAACCTGAAGCGTAAAGATGGGGATGTGGGTGCGGCATGTGTCTGTCTCCTGGATATTTGCAGCGCGCCCTGGACGACCTCGGCCTCTTTCTCATCTTCTACGAACACGGATAGAAGTGACTCTACCTTTACACACCCATCTGTGTCAGTCTCGATCGTGACCTCCGGGTCTGACAGTCAAGCTGCAGTGTCTCAAACAGTATCAAGATCCAGCTCAACACACAATCCTGTTACTTCATCTGCCAGCATCTCATCAGAGACTACCGGTGCCTTGCAAAATGTACGAACCCCCCTGGATTTTGGCTCAATACCATCAAGCATACGTAACAGGTGGGCGAGAGCTTTCGAGTGGCTAGCTAAGGCTGGCTGATAGGATGGGTGACAGTCTGGGTGGCAGGATGCAGGGCAGAACGTGGGATGCTTTAGGGCACCAAGACAATTAGCCACTCACGTATGTGGCCTGCATGCTATACTGTGGTACATACAGTCACTGCCAAATTCAGGAGGGTCCGTACATTTCGCAAACGATTGTATCTTGCCATCAATCACAACCTCAAACATAGCGAGCGCCCTTCTTGAGTCGCACTTTTCCTCCATCAGCTTGAGCCTCAAGAAAAATCAAACGAACAAGCTGGACGATATCACTTCGTCGGTGTCGACAATGTTCAGGGTTTCTGCAAGCTCAATAGCGCCATCACACTCAACTCCCTTATTGAGATATGCTCACGGCACATGTCGCATCCACTTCTACAAATGGACCGCACGCAACGAGCATGTTGCGTTTCGTCTCAATGTTTACGACGGCAGCAATACGCAGCTGTTTGACGACCATTTCGACCGCTATTTTGGCAAGACTGTCTCCATCCCTCTGGATACTCACGTTTGGATTATGATGTTGATGTCTACACCGGAAAACCTCGCAAAGATCTGCCGCAAAACGATTGGAACCCTGAATTTTGTGTCGGCGTAGCCGCTGTAGTATACTCACAGCTACGGTAGACGATAACGTAGGACTATCGGATCGATAGAATACTGCGCTGAATTGCTATCTAGCTAGGATAAGACGATATATACTGGCCCTGGAACGTGCTAGTCCATAGCAGTCTAAGCAAGGGTGATCGGGTCTCGTACGGACCGGTTGATACCGCAACGAATTTGCATTTGGCAAAATCGCAAGAGTGAACTTTCATGATAAAGATGCTACCAGAGTGCCACGTTGCAACACCAGTGGCTGGAACTGGGGAAACTTCAGTCAGGCCAGGAAGGGTGTAAGTCTGTCTTGCTCGTAATAGTAACATATCTGACAATGCTGCAGCAATGCCAAGCAGACTGCTTTTGGACTTGTTGAACAAAGGTCATCAAAGAACGTTTGGGAGTGAAGTCGCGACGGAGAAAATATGAAGGCCGTAAGGCAGGAAGGTAGAAGGCTAAGCAGAAGCCACGTTAACAAAAATGGCAGTGGCATCCTAAAAGTAGCATTCCAGCATTCCGGGAAGTTGCAACCATTTTGCTTTTGCTAACACAAAAATAAACAACACTCAGAATACCCATCTTGGCCCTTCCTTCATACTATTTATATGTCTTCTCTTCTTTTTCTGCTTTCGATCGTAGTGGTTTCCTGCCGCTTTTCTCGTCTCTGCCAGAATACTGAGAAGTGAGTCCAACCCTAAGGTTGATCTCGTCACAAATACATCATGCACCACTGTCGTGACTGAGTGATGCTACGCATGAAGTCGTCTCCTCTAGACCAATCTGTCGTGGTCTCTTACCATGATCTAGAACATGTGGCGCAGGGTTACAAAGACTATGCTTGGCGACATAAGGCTGTTCATAGCCGAATGCACCGTCCTTGGATAGTGCTGCGGTCTGGGCAAAGGCGCGGTAGTCTTCGACACAGTTGGCGTAGGGATCTGCTCCTTGTCGCAGCATGGATGTGAAAACGTGCATCCAGGCAATAAAACCCAGGTTTAGCCCATCCAGATTGCCCAGGATGTGGGTCTATACAAGAACGTATTGCCAGACGGTGCATCTGCCAAACTTCGCATTGGATGTCTGGCCGGCTTCGAGTGAGCAGTTGACCAAAGCGACGTAAGGCGGTACAACTTTCCCATTACATGTCCATCACGGCAGGCAGATTGCGTAGGCAAGTAACGGTAGGTCCGGTCTCTGAGTGTGCTTTACAAGAGGCATGGACAATCTTTGCTGTCTCGCGAGAAATATTGGGTAGGCGAGATTGTGCAGTTTGAACTCGAAGTACAACTTCAGACTAAATATGACTGCCATGGCGAGCAAATCAGTGCCCTAGTCTTCCCTCTGTTGGAGCTGCGATAGATCCTCAGAGTTGCCAGTGAACCAGTGTCTGTTTGTTGAGGCGGCGGCGAACACTCTGTCGGGTTATTCAAGCAGCGCGTTGGCCGCTGTCAATCCAGGCGGGATTTCTAGTCTGGCTAGTGCTGTGAATGATAACAGCGCGGCTTGGTATGTTGTAGGCCTTGTGGTCCGGATGAAGTCTGTAGTTTTGACTTCGATCACATATGCAGCACGGACGGCTATGTGTGGATCGAATCCCTCGTGCTTCGTTTCGTTGAGTATGCGTTCCCAAATGTGTTCTTGCTCTAGGAAGCCTCGTGCAGTTCGATGTATATACATCACATAGAGCGATTCTTAGGCCAGAAGGGCCACGGTGATCGTTGCTCCTCACATGTACCAGCAACTATTTGATGCGGTTCCTGACGTGAGGTGCGAATGTAGGACACCGTATCTGTTTCTCGTTGGCGAGGAGCATATACACAGCGGTATCTGTTAAATGGTACGAGTGGATAGCATATATGTTGTATTGTTGACTATTTGAGCTACGGTTTATGTGAAAGGGAAGCACTGCGAGAGATTAGGTCGGATTGGGCTAGTGCAGCATATCCCAACTGACATACTTGTGCTGGGTGAGGTACCCGGGCATCAACAGTATCTGCTACAGGGTTCAATGTTGACGGTCCGTGTCGCCCGATCAACTTGTTCACTAGGTCTACGTTGTCACGGAACGTGTCTTTTCCTGTTTGTGTAGCGTGAACGTTGGCTTTGTCTCTACGGACTGTTGAGAAAGAGCTGTTCTCTGGGTATCCATTACCGTTTAGGTACTAGCATTATCCTATGTAATTGGTAGCGTTCGCCACCACTCAATAACAACACTTACATCACATACTACTTTCTATGAATGTCATCTTGCTCATGTTGATCGTGTGCATCATGTGTCACGAGAAAACCCTTGGTGCGGCTGTTGAGTCTTGCTATTGTACGGCCCAGCGTTGATGTGGGTATTGTTGAAGTATGATTATTGACTGAAGTTACGAAGGGGCAACCTGAGTATCCATCCACTAGCACATATAAACAACGCTAGTACTAATTAATATATAGAGAATAGCACCTTCCAACAGGTATAATAGCGGTACCAACAGTGATGTCTATAACTCGGCGATGGTCGGGATGTGACAAAGCTCGATACAAGGTACGGAGGCCGAGGCTGTAACCACTGGCACGGAAAAGCTGGAAGATCTTCGCTCATTCCACCTTGTACTTGAGATCAATCCTGACTAATATGTGCTCGTACAGATTCTCGAGGGCAGGTAGATTGGCGAGGCGAGCCCGCAAACGTGAGATTTCGTCGTCATCTCGGAGGCCTCCAAGTGATTTGGCGACTAGTTCAACCCATAGGAAGACACCGTCCGCTTTTTCGACTATGTCTTCGATGAGGTCAGATGTATCTTCGGGATCACATTGTCGCAAGCTTTGCATGTGTCGCTCTTTTCCTAGAATGTCTTGAACATACGCTCGGATGTCGTCCTTAGTAAGACCTTACAGCTTCAAGCACGGCGCGCATCTCGGAAGACATACTCGAAGACTGGCCAAGGCCTGCTAGAAACACAGAATTTGGCGTAAGGAGCATCTTCGGCTAGATCGTGCACAAAGCCTGAAATGTCGCCAGCAGAACCGTCGTATTCGTGCAGACCGTCTATGAAGAAGCGGAAGCGGAAGTCCTTGGACGAAAGATTGACCGGTCGCTTAAACGCTGTTTGCAACTGATCCTGGGACCAGTGTACTGACGCGAGTGGTAGGTCGTGAGATGAAAGGGCGCAATTCTGCTCCCATTCGTTCGAGAGCACGTTCGCGATAAGGTCCGTCTTCTTTCGTAGCAGCTCGTAAAGCAACGAACGAAAGAGGCCTGACCGAGATCGTTGCTCTAATGTGCCACTGTTTCAGAAATCGAACGCTCCAGTCACCAGTTCATTTCCTTCGGCCCAGTCATTCAAGCAGTCCCAAGTCTCTTGCTGTTCCGAGATAAGCGCAGCAAAGTGGAATTCGCAGCAGCTGCTTTACCACTCACCCAGAAGACCATTGAGCCTTGTGAGAGCCAGACTCTGAAGCTCGACCACAGCCTTGCTGGGCTGCCGGGATCCTGGAATAACCATTTGAAAGTATGCGCATGAGCTGACCCAATTGCTTCATATCGATGGCTCATTCCTGCAAAGCGCGAACTTTCGAGGAGATGAAGATGCACTCGATTCTTGCGAACTTCGAAATCTTGTTGCACAAATGCTGAGCGGGATGTTTCAAACTTTTGTTGTATAAACCACATGGGCTGGTCGAACTGTTGTTGCAAAAATATATTTTGGGCCTTCTAACTTCGTTCAATGGTCTTGATCACTGGCTGTGTGTTCTTGTCTAGTAGGGTGTAAATCTTCTCTTGGCTAAGGAAAACATCACCTATGATCTCTCTAAGAACATCAGTCAGCAGCGCTCGCCTACAGGTATCGAGAAGTTTTGATGCTGTTGACATACCTCACGATAGATAAGATATGAGTATTCAGCTCATCCCTCAGGAATCGCAATCGCTCAGCCATCTGATCCATCTCACTCTTCGACCACACCGTTTTCAAGGTGTTGCGGAAGTTCTTCCATTTTCAATATTCAGCGCCTTTCGGCACCTTCAGCTCGTACAAACAATCCAGTAATGCCTTTGAGAGTTCGGTGCATTCGCGAGCAATCTCTACGATCTGCTTTTGATGCGTCTGAATTGCATCAGAATTTTGTGGGTTGATCTTAATTCGAGTATTGAGGGAAGGTTTCGTAATTTTGTGATGTTACCGCTTTAAGGCGAAGTGTAATTGTTTCCGTGTGTTCGTTCTCCGTGAGTCGTTTGATAGATTTGTCTGCTTTTGCTCACGATTTGCGCCGAGAACTGTACAAACTTAACTGCAGCTGCAGCTACTGGTGAAGTTGAAAGGGGGTCAATCACCCTGATCTAGAGAAAGCCAGGCGTCTCGAAGATTGTCTCATGGAGATACCAGCTAAGGACGGGGATTACGAAGGACGTAGATGCGATACTCTGATCAGGCTGTGTGAAGGCTGAGCAGGCTGTCGACACCTGATGGCTTAGCGGCATGCACTGTAAGCCAGCCTGCTCCGTTGCTGCACGGCGAATCAGATTTGCACAGCAACAACAATTAAAAACGTTCGTAATGACAGTCCATCGAGCCTTACGGATGGCCTGATGTGCGAAACGAAGAATGTCGCGAGGGCCAAATTGACGCTTAAAGCGCGCCTACTGCCTGTACATAAATCAATTTAGCCCATGGGCACGCAAGAAGTGTCAGGATCATTTACTGACTCGCAAAAAGCCTTCCCCGAGAGAGTATCGAGAACGCACCGGGACCCAAAGCCAAAAGCTGTAACGAAGGTACGGTGATTCATGCCGACCACGACACACACCACCGTCAAACAATGCAAACAGACACAACTCTTCGCAAACATGGCATCCATTTTCGTCCCTGAAGACTAATCCTTTCTATATCCATAACTACCTGCACCAGCTTCCCGCGGATGCTCCCAATCCAGCTCCTGAACGAATGTGGGGTATAGGGGTATGAGAAAAAGAGTAAAGCACAAAAAGCCACAAGAGGGGAATACAACAACCAGAAAGCACAATAGTCAATCAGTCCATCCGTACAAGATAAGTGCACCATACCTAGACCAGCCCAACATGTGTGTATATTTCGATCCTCTCAAGGAGGGTCGTCCGTTGCTAAGACAATTTGATGGTGAAGGGTGTATCGAGGCGCACAATATGGGTAACATGCAAAAGCCAACCGTTGACCCGAAAGACTCGCTGTCGTAAATCGTCAAGAAGGTGGGTGTTGAGAAGTGTAAAAGTCGAGATTAAAAGGTTTAGAGGTTGAAGGATCCACGAAGTGATTCGGGTTTGGAGAGCTGAGGTATTCAACCGTCATCCTCCAGATCATCGTCCTCGTCCTCCTCGTCTTCCTCGCTGATGCTCTGCTGGGCCTTGGTCTTCTTGGGTGGACCGGCCTTCAGCTGAGTTTGAGAAGCCTTGCGCTTGGGGCCACCGCTCCTAGCTTTGGGCGCCGGTGGCGCAGCGTTGTTCTCTTTGTTGTCGGTCTCGCCATCCTTGCCTTGAGCATCCATAGCAGCAACTTCTTCGGCAGTCAAGAATCGACCACCAGGTCCACGCGGGCGGCGCATGGCATGGTTGTGTCTTGACTCGTGCAGGTACGGCTTGCGGCCCTTTGATGTGAGACGGAGGGCATCCTCCAGCTTCTGTCTTGCAAGACGGCGCTTCAGGATTCGGTGAAACTGTTTGGCGTTGACGTAGAGCGGGGCTTCCTCGGCCTGCGCTCCAGCTACAAGCTCGGGCGACTGTTGATGTTGGGGTGGCGCCGACATCTGGGGTGGAACGGAAATAGACGAACGAGGTCCTACGTGACTCATCACGGGCTGAGGTTGCTGCATCGCAGGACTGCTGATCTGGGTGCTCATTCTGCGTTGTTGCATCTGACCGGGTGTCATTTGGACTTGGGATGCAAGAGGTCCAGCCATACCAGCTGATACAGCAGTAGGCGATCGCGGAGCGGCGCGTCCGTCTTGCTTCAATTGTCCTCCCGACATGCGCGGAGATGCTCTGGGATCTTGCGCAAGCTGTCCATGCATCGTATTCTGATCATATCCATATGCTCCCGCCGGACCTGCAGCAGCAGCTGTGGCCATGGCTGCCGCTTGTGTTGGCGACATGCCGTACGCTTGGGGCATGCCAGGCATGTAGCCTTGCTGTGCGTAGCTCATTTGCTGGGGGTGTTGCTGGTGTTGCGCGCCGGCTTGGCCGTATCCCTGCGATGGGAGGATTGGCGATGTTTGTTGATACGAGTGCATCTGTTGCTGTTGTGTGGGTGACGTTATCGATGGGTTCCCAGCAGCTGGGTTCTGAGCGCCGCCATAGGGCTGAATGTGCCCGGGCGCGTGCCCATGGTGGGGCTGTTGGTATTGCGCGTAGTCGGTCATGGTAGGAATATTTGTTGTTGGTGTTGTGGGTGTACAAGGCAAGCTCGACGTGCGCGACTTGGAAGCGGCGTTGTTGTGAGTATTACCCCGGTTGCGCCACTGGCTGACACAGACGCAGGGTAGTTGATCCTCGTGGAAGCCTCAGTCGTATATGGAACGAGCCTCAATTGCGAGTGCTCGTGTCGTGCGTTGCCTGGGACGGGGTCTTGTGTGATTCGCAGAAACACGTATGATGGGCGCGCAGGGACGCGACTTAGATACTAGCTCTACAAAGGCAGGCTGGAGGAATGGTAGCCTAGAGCTGGGACCGAAATTAGTATGCGACCAATAACGCGTATCTTGAGCGTCTGGAGGCTTACGGAGGATTGACTTCAGCTTGATCGATATAGTCAGTGGCTGATTTGACAGTGAGCTAGGTGGTGAAGGCTACCTCGACAGGTGCGTCTTGTTTGCTGATCGAGAGCGGGAAGCGTGTTTCTAGGCGCGCAGTACAAAACTGGTCACGTCGTGGCAGAGCCGATGCTTGATGCGTTGTCAATGGCCACGCTTATGAGGCGAAGTGCTCGAGGCGCGCACGGTCTTAGTCTCAGCGTAGGTCTTGAGGCGCAATGACGGCAATTGGGTGCCGAGTCAGATCTGGGGCGGTGCACTCGCACAGAGGGCAGAGTGGGCCGGTAATGGTAAGAATACGCAGTCTAAGGGCCCGCTCCGTGTGGGGAAGAGTCCGTTTCAGGGCTTCACCCAGTCAAAAGGGACTGCGAAAGATGTCTACACTGTTAAGAGTAACCGTCAGCTAGTCCGAGGCACAGATACTCGAGCAATTGGAGGAGGTCGAGGGGAGGCATGTGTTGGCGGGCGGGCGATTGGAGGTGATGTGTTGGCAATGCAGGTTCATGCACGCCCATGAAGACACTTACCGACTTTAATCAGCGCGGCACATGCACGTCGCAAATACACGCTTGGGTAATTGCTGCGCCGGCGAGGTGACGCTGGCTGGCGTGATAGTCGTGGTAGGGCTCTGGTAGCGGTGTTGCTAGAACGTGCTCGGATGGCGGCGCCAGAGATCAGTGCTTCTTAGGGCGACCAGCGACTGCGCAGAGATATATTGTCGCGGTGCGCAGGTGGTGCTGGCAACAGCAGGCTCAGTCCAAGCAGCTGGCAGAGTATGCGATACAGAGCCGAGCAGCGTTAATGAGCCGTGTGTTCTCTGTGTCTAACGGGGCGTTGTTAGCAGGAGCGCATGGCAGGCCGGGAACGCGCGACGGTATACAGCGCTGGGACCAACATGACAGTTCTAAGGGCGAGCTGCGCAGGCAGCACTGCAACTGTCGCGCAATAACAATAGAAAAGAACACGGCGGCGCGTCGCGATAACAGTCAATCGACGACGAGGTGCACCGCGCAGATGGGCATGGTAGACTTACGGATGCAGCAGGCCGCAGCAAAGTTCAGTCACGAGATTTTGTGGTGGTGAGGAGCGCGACTCGCGTTGACTGGCTGGGAGGGCGGCAGGACGCAGCTCTTGTCTTTGCCGACGCGTGCGGATACCTGCGAGTACCAATTCTGCGCTGGGCAGCACGCCGTGTGGAAGCGCCGAGCAGATACACAAAGGTACCCGGTGCGGTTTGACGTGTTGTGACCACGAGCGCGTTGTAGCGCAAGACTCGTGATTCTGGTTGATGCGATGGCTAGTCGTGGTGGTGCAGGATGATTGGAGAAGGAAGGAGAAGCTGTGGTTGGGCGCGAGAGGGAAAGGGCGATGGGCGGGGTTCTTCTATTCGCGGAAGGCGCGGCCTGCTGACAGGGATGTCTGCCAATAACAGGTCAGCCACGGGCGTGCCTTTCGCGACGCTCTAGCTGCTCAGTGCTGGGGTCTGTTCTGCGCGACCGTGCTGCACATGACGGCATCTGGGGAGTGTGCTTCTACATGTCATGGTAGCTCTACGGGAAAGCTTGAAGATAGATTTCAATCAGTTTGGACCGACTTCCAACGCTCCTCACGGACAAGGGAGAGCCGCGCCGGACGTCACGGCCCGGCTCAGAAGCGGGCAGCAACAGAGCGGTCAGCCCGAGGGCTACGCAATGTGCAATTGAGTCTGTGGCAGGTGGACGCGAACGTGCTGCCCATCACCCTCTAGCCCGCAAGGCCTCGCACTGCTCTGGCGTGAAATGGAAATGCACATTTCACAGGCAAATCACAGTCGCACATCGCCGAAAATCCCGCGCGCGTAGCCAACGTGATCCCGCAGCGCTGAACTCGCTGTGTGTTCTTGCGGCCGATTCGCTGCCCGGGCCAAATTACGGCGCCCCCAGCTTTGCACTGCAAGCGGCGCGCCCAAGCTCCTTGAATCCGTGCTCCAAAACCGCAAGCCTCAACAACAGACAGCAGTCTTGCACTTGCAAAGACAGCAAACAGTGTTGATCGTCGGTATCACTCGGGTCAGACAGTCGCCGCGGTGGTCACAGTCGCACAGAACACATGCTTCCATCTCACCACCGCAAAGCCTGCCTCTGCATGCCATACCGTAATCCTTTCAAGGGTTCTTCAGTGCCTAAGTGTTGCCCCGCTGCTCTGCCCTGAACTCTGAAGTCCAGATGCGTCGCCTCGCGCTTCTGCTGTGTTTCGCGCCCGTTATCGAGCTGCGATGCTGCCATCTGGCGTCCATTGGCTCAGCAGCTGTCTCGTCTGCGTCTCAGAAGCATACAACGTCAGCACGATGCCATGCAGCTTAGCCCGCGCCTGAGCGTCAAAGCTTCTGATCGTCATGCTGGGGCCAGCGTGCACATGGAGGAGGCGTGTTCGTGGTTGCAGATCGATCAGGTCGCCTGTTTAGACAACATGTCGCGGCTAGGTTAATCTTGTGTGCAAAGCTGAACGACATCTTGTCTTGACGTGCTGGATGGAGTACTTGAACAAAGCTCAAAGCTCAAGAGCCAAGTCGCCTACCTCCAGCCTTCCTCGCTGCGTCATCCCGTCCACCGCCTCCAGCCGTCGGCAGCCCGATAGCTTGGTCCGGCCGATGACCCTCGCCGACATGTGAAGTCACACCAACGATGACAGCGTAGGATTGATACCACGCACAATGCCATCCCACTTTATCGCAAAAGGAAGAAACCTGTGTTATTCTCGAAGATCGATTGGTATGCAAATGCCGGAGTTGCAGCCTATTCTCGTATTCATTAAGCGTTGTTGATGGTCTTGCTCGGACCAAGTTAAGATCAGATGTCTGGTCTCCAGATGAGAACTCAAAAGCTGCAGTTTTCCTGCGACGCTCTCTCCTTTTCTTATTTCAAGATGGATTTAGATCAATTTCCAGTTCACCGACCAGGCTCGAGTCCATCTATAAACCTGCATCATGCCTTACCTCCGCAGGGCACACAATTGCGACCCTGATGGGGTGCATTTGGACACAACAGCAACCCGTGCCAGCACGCGACTCTTCCCTGTTTCTCTCAAGAAGTGGTGCCACCGTTGCTATATTTGACGTGGTGCACGCGATCGAGTCCTGCATTTCTCGCCTTGCATGTCGTGGTTCACAGCCATTGCGCTCTACACAAGAGACAATGTTTCTGGTATTAGTACTTTGGGGGACGCTTAAGCATGTTGCAAGAATCCTGGTCGTTGTTGATATGTCATTATGCACTATATCAATTATAATATACAACTGAGTGAAGCGCAAGCGACAGAATGACCGCCGAAAACGCGATTTAAGGCAGCAGGGATATCGTCGAGATGTGAAAACCAAAAGTCGTTAGGCGTAATTTGCGCTGAGATTGCAGCTTCTTCCTCCTAGATCACCCTCTTCCCTGCTCACAAGCATATCACTGTCCTTGATACTGATAGTTCTGTTGGTGCTGGTTTGTCAGGTATTGCATAGCCTGGTATGTTCCCGAGGGCGTTTGTTGTTGATACTGCATCTGCAACGTAGGATCGAAGTTTCCTGTCATACTTTGCTGATCAGGAGCAAAGTAGCTGGGGAACACAGTTGTCTCGGTGGGAGAATTCGTGAACATTGCCTGTTCTTGTTGTTGAACTGCAGACATGGGACCCATGTTGAGGTATGATGGATTTTGCATTTGGAACCCATTTGTGTACACTAGAGGAGATTTTGGCGGATTTTGAAGACCTGGATAGGTCTGGTTGGAGTAATGGACGTTGTTTGTAGCGTAGGCTGCATAACCACTCTGCTGCGGCGGAACCATTTGAGGCGGAGGATAGGAGTGCATGGCATTGGCCGCTGCCTCGGTTGGGTTGTTATGAGGAACTTGACCGAAGGGGTTGATACCAGGCGCAAAAGTTGTGTTGGGTGAGTTCTGCGAGGAGCCGCCGCCAACTGGCTTTCTAGTAAATGCGGCTGATAACTTGCGTGCGTCTGGGGGCTCCTTTACAGGGCTGATGATGGTGTCGGCGTTGAGAAGCTTCTGTTCGACTAGCGGAAGTATGGGCATGCTGATCTGTTCCATATGCTTTGCCAGGTGAACAGTGAGCTTCTTCCAGCTATTGCAGATGTTACCGCAGAACCGGCAGGGCTCGTCTTTGGGTTGCTTCGTTGTGTCATGTCGGCATCTTTCGACGATAGCCCAAATATCATCTAAAATACTGTTAGCAATTACTCATCAAGCTCATTTCGGTGTTACGTACCTGAGTCACTGCTTGCAAGCGGGTCTTTGTTGGATGCCCGCCCAGTGCGTTGCTTTGGTTCAGCAATCTTGTGCTCCCGGACGAGATGCTGCACGAAATTGTCCTTACGGAAGCATGTGTGATTGCAATCAGTAATGTTGCAGGTCCAGTTTTCGAGCTGTCGATGGCGTTCGTTCTCGTGACGAACCCAGTCAGCTTTGCGCTTGAAAGATTTGGGTTCCTGGCAGTTAGGAAAGGTACACGTGAAAGGTTGGACATCTTCGTGTACATGCTTGGTCCAGTCAGATGGCTTGTAGAACTTCTTCACCTTGAAGCACAACGGGCATTCGAACTCAGCTGGCAGACGTTTGACAGGCGGCAAAGGAACACCCGAGGGGAGCTGTGCAGCCACGACCGTTCCTTCCGATGGAAGCTCATCATCGTCGTCCTCCTCGCCTGGAGCCGTAATCTGGAAACCGATGAACGGCTGATCAGGGTCTTTGTTGCCAGCTTTTGGAGGAAGTTGCTTGGCTTCTCCCCCTAGTTCCGTACAGAAACCCTTTGATGCGCAGTTCTTGTTTTGCACGACATTGATATGCTTTACTCGAAACTCAAGCAGTCGCTTGTATCTTCTAATCTGCTCCTGAGCAACTCGTTCAACCATGAAGTCAGCTAGACGAGGGTTCAGTTGTCGAGCATGTGTTCGAAATCCTTCTTGATTCGGGATGATAGGGTCAGTGCGCACTTTGAGGTCCATCGTGATTCCCTCTTGTTCGTCATCGTCATCGTCTGCGGCGGGACTCGGCTGCACAGACTGCTTTGTCGCTTCCGTATCTGCAAGCGGCGAAGCAAGCATGGGCATAGGTGGTCCACCGTGCTGTGTCATGAGCTCGGCGAGGCCAAAAGACTTCCCAGAATCGCCTCTGCTTCTGCCAATGTCACTTCGACTACGGCTTCGCTTGATGACGTTCTTAGCGCCTTGGTACCATGGGCCCGAAGTTGCAGATAGACCTAAAGAGCTAGACGGGACGCCTTCTTTGCTTTTGTCGCTGAGGTTGGTGTTAACCCTTGGAGACTTGGGGCGGCCCCAGCTGCCAATGCGTTTGGGCCTCTCGAAGACAGGATCTTTGGATTGATCCGATCCCATGTCCGAAGACTGCTGTACAGGCATACTGCCCTTGCGCTTGAGTAGATTGCTTGGGGTACGTCGAATGTTCCGTAGAAAACTTGGACGCCGTTGCCTTTCATCGCTCTTGCGGGGCTCGGGCTCTATGAGTCGAGCAATACCTGGTGATCCACGAATACTAGCAAGGTCCGGCTCACTCAGCCGGCGCGATCCAACAGTTGCAGCGAGTGATGCAGACTCGACATCCTTTGCTCGTTGTCGAAAGCGCATCATTGCAGCATTCGAAGTTGGAGGCTGATAATGGCTCATTGTTGTCGGTGGCTGCATCGGCACGTCCATCCATGGTTGTACGATCGCATCAGTAGTTGGACTAGGTTCTCGCGTGGCAGGAAAGTACGAGTCCTCTGCTTGATCCGCGTGTATATTAACAGAGGCTGGTGGCGAGTCTGAATCCCCGTATTCATCCTCATCGTCGTCATCATCATCGCCGTAGTCGCTTTGCTCATTGATGTACCTGGGACTGAAGTTCTCGAGGTCAGTGCGTACCCCAAGCACGAAACTGCCCTGAAGAGCCTGGCGATTGGCATCGTTTTGGCTTTTTGCACGACGTCGTCCGGTGTGGGGCTTGAGGTAGCTGCTTGATGGACCAACATCTCCTGCCTCACTTCCAACCTCGCTCTTCGTCAACCAGTCTTGTACTTCAAGCTTCTTTTCCATCCTTGCTCTACGCTCTGCGATCTCGTCAAGACTTGGTACCAGCATGTCGCCCATTGCTTGACGATCCTCGGGACTCAGTCCAGCCTGGCCTTGACCACCCGTGCCTAGCCAAGAGCCGTCTTCATTGCGTTCTGTTTCTCGGCATACCGTACGAACACGCCCTTGCTCGTGCGAATCTTCTTCATCGGAGGAATCGTTCTGTGGGTATGGGGAGAGATGATTGCCAGATCGCCGACTACTGAGGCTTCGTCTGCTTAGGCCACGGCTATTGTCTGAATGTGAGGGTGACTCTTCTCTGCTGTAGTTCTCTACTCGAACAATCGGACTTGTCATATGGCGTTGGAGAGGACGAGGACTCGCCAATGACATGGGTCCAGGACTGTTCGTCAGAGGTGGACTCTGCAAAGGCTTCCTTGGTATGGTATGTGGTGTGTGACTCGCTTGATTGGGAGGCGTGAAGGAGCTCTGGGCTTCTCCAGCAAATTGCACTGCTGGAAACGTCGAGTTGTCGTTACCTGTTGCAGGACTGGAGTTGTTCGTTATGATTGGGGATATCAGCTGGTGTTGATGGGCGAATGCTCCATTGGTCGCGGACATATGCGTTTGGGCATTGTATGTGTTCAGGGTGCCAGACGTTAAGAGAGACATGTCTACATCTCCTTGGTAAGGAGGAAAGGCAGTGGTAGTGGGATCTTCAGCGAAGTTCAGGTTCGAGAACGACTCGTCGAGGTATTGGCCATTGAAGCTCGGTGTCGTATAGTTGCTCAGGTCGTGCTGGTTGAGGTCGCTTGCATATCCGGGCTCTGGGCTGAGGTGCTCTGCGGAGTGTGACGGCGAGATAGGTTGGCCAACGCTGTTGTAGGTTCCTGGTGGGAGGCTTTGCCCTTGACTATATGCGTTGATTGGAGGGTATGAGCGACTGGCCATGTCAGGGTGGAAGGCGGAGTCGAAAGAGGATCCAACGTTAGGGGTGAACACAGAATCTTGACCTGGCGTGCTTGATGTTGGGAGGGCCATCATCGAATTGTCGTAGGCTATGGCTGTGGGCTCAGCCGAAAAGGTGAATGCGCTTTGCGCATCTGGCATCAAGAGATTTCCGGTGCCAGACACAGGTGGGTAGCCATTGGCAGGCGCATCCTCGAAGTGGCGGTGCTGACGCCGCTGGCCATCTCGTGGCTGCATATGAGCGTCGATCGCGTTCATGAATAACGGCTGTGACAGCCTGCTAAGATGGTAGATTGGACAGGTAGACGGTGTATGGATGAGTGGCGAGCGATGGATCCAATCAAGTACACACCAGGGAATAACGTGACTTCGATACCCGACGGTCAAGGAGGCATAGTGCTGCCTGAGTGCTGTGGTGGGATTATGCGAGAGGCCAGTGGAACCAAACGAACAACAACAACAACAGAAGGTAGCTCAGTAGCGCATCAAAACGCGCAAACAGAGTATAGAGAGGCAACCCAGGTAGGTAATACCTCTGTACGGTCAAGGATAAGTGAAGCTAGCCTGAGGCCTGACGTTTGCGATCTGCCTTGCGCAGGGTAGTTGCTGCAGTGGTAGAGGCGGTGTCGGTTTTCCGCGAAGTCGACCACTTTACGAAAGACCGGATGTGAGAAAACGGGAAAAGCGCGCGCGAGTTACAGAAGTGGGTCGAACGGTAGGCGAAAGCAGCGCGAGTCTCGTGTAATGGTCGATGCTGCTGCGGCTGGTAGGGGAACTTAAGGCTGACTCCTCTTATGAACTCCAATGTGCTGGCAGGGGTTGTTGAGACGATTGTTTGCCAAGCAGACACTTTCTGCAGACTCGAAGGTAACACGGTCGTCTAGCTGATCCAACGAACGCTGGTGGAAGAGAGATCGAAACAAGCGCGAACATACACCAGGAGCTGCGAGCTTGATCGCAGCTTCCCAAGGCAGATTCACCGGTGGTGACTGCCCTCTTGGCACTTGATACAACGGCAGGGCACAGCCCCCTAGCCCTCTGAAACAGGGCAAGTGGCTATGCTCAACGACACTGCATTTTCATGCAGGCGCATCTTTTCTGCAAGTCGGAGCAGCCCTCCGTCGTCACGATGCGTTATAGACTCCATATCTTCGTATCTCAAGCTTTTGCTTGCGCATTCATCTCAAACTCATATACCTCATTACCAGACACCAGCTGGCGCTTAGCCTGGAGTTAGCAGCCGGTGCCGATGAGTGCCATATAAAGACCAACAAGCTTTCATTTGCGGTTTAACTCGAATCCTTACATGCCGAAGTATCTTGGATCGAGCAAACCGGAAGAATTGATCGCGTGTGAAAGTGCTTGAGTGTATGCCAGGCGTTTTCATCAGCTCATGGTTAAGCTTCAAGCTTTAAACACAGCGAGGCGGAGCAAAACATAAGCTCCTGTTAGCCACGCCGCGGAACGAGGCCGTGCCTGGGCTGGCTCAGTGACCGATGCCGGTTCCCGGGCAAGCTTGTGGGGCAATCCGAAAAGATGGTTGACAGAAAGTGAGAGATGTGCATTTGAGCCCCATGTCAGGAACATTGAGATGACTGGTCGATCACGGCAAAGATACTGAATGGGGTGTTGAGTGAATCTGATCGTGCTGGTATTATCATTCGTCAGCATCATCTGTCATGCCTCAATGGATTTGCAGAGAAGTCAGCGATAAAGCAACTATGTTCAATTGTATTGACAATGAACAATGGCGTCAAAGACGGTATTCGCGCGCGAGAACTTGCTGGAAAGGTTTCCTCTGATTTGCAAGGCCATTTCCTCTTCAAGTCCACAATCAAATTGACGTCATATCTCACGTGGTTTCAGATGCGCACCGAGCGATCTGGCTCTTCTACTAACCTTACTTACTGCTACCACTGGTAAGGCCGGTTTGTCGCTGTCCGCATCTGAAGAAGTGCTTGGACAACAAGGCCTTTCCACGACGGGTCATCGAGTACAGCTGAAGCTGCAGCGAGAGCAACATCATCTGGAGGCACGGCCCAGGACAACAGCACTTGAATGCGGGGCACCTCAGGAAGTTGAGCTGCTGTTGGGAAATCGAAAGCTGTTGATTGACGGACGTGAGGCTCAACTTTAGCCGCGGTCACCTACATCTGGAACTTTTGTTCAACATTGCCGGCAATCGCAACCGTGCGCTCTCAATCAACTGGACCCTTCGATGTTCGGCGGAACGGAAACTAAACTCCACTGCTCCAGCTTTCTGCCCGCAAAACATGGCTCGTCTCCAGAATGCAAATGTTTCTTCACTCTTCTTCTCCCTGACACCACAGAGTTCTCTTGACTCTTGCTCCCCTGCGTCCCCAACTCCGCACTTGTGCATCAGTCTCCCCGCGCGTCACTGTTCGCGTCCGCATGTGACGGAATCACCAGACTAGCAACCAGCGCACCATACGACATCCTGACACTTTTGGTAGTTCTGCATTCGACGGCTACTGTACCATTTTCGCTCAGTAATTCGAGACGTCAAAAGTTAATTCAGACCATCTTCCCCCCCGCCCCCCCAACAAAGCCCCACAATCAGCTGCAATGCCTGGGCTCGACCAAATTATTCTACAACCCGACTCAAGGGAGCTCCTTCCCCCGCTCCTGGCCTGCCTCGCAGTATCAGGTAAAGCAAAAGAGGCTCCACCAGGACTACTGCCCCTTGTCTCACCGATTCTTCGCCAGAGACTTCAGCTTGTTGCTACAGACGACTGGCTCTCCCTCCTTTGCTGGGACCGGGATGTCGCGGCGAAGTTACCATCGGTCATAGAGAAGATCCGCGTCGAGCCACACCCAGCATCTGGCGAGATCGAGCCGGAAGACCCAGACCAAATACTGTACAGGCGGTCAGATCCTGAGACACTACATGCGAGATTGGTATTGGGCGAATTTGGCATTATCCCAACATACCTCTGGTGCACAGGTGGAGAGAGCGGCAGCAGATGGCTCCTTGCTGAGCTCAGAGGAATCGCAAATGCCGACGATGGCACAGAATGGTTCGAAAGCCTAGGCGAGGCAAATGAAGCAGGCTTCCATCGCAAGCCCTTGAAGAGTAACGGCTACCCCACACAGCAAATCACACAATACTCGGAGTCGCAGCAAGAGGACGATGAAGATGACGACGGCTCCTACTGGGCCGCATATGACCAGACACCCAACACCCGCACACCTGCGCAGAAACGCTCGCCCGTGCCGCAAACAAACAGCCGCACACAAATCGGACCCACACAGTCTGAACTGGAGTATTTCGCACGGTACGCTTCGGAGGTACAACCGGCGCTCGACGCGCACGACCCCGACGAAGAGAGCCCAGAAGCTGGCGAATCGACACTCAACGGCAATGCTCTGAACTACACTCGCGCTCCTCAAACCGAGCCGCTCGAGACTTCGAACCTAGGACCTAACGGATACGACTCGTCGCTGCCACCATCATATGTCAATGGATCTGGTGAAGAGAGCAGGACGGAGCACATTGAGTCGGTCGACGACGCACGACATGCTGCGCTGAACCACCCACGTCCGTCGTCTTCTAGCTCGTCGAGGTCGGTTGAGAGGTTGGAGAGGGAAGCAGCGACCCACAGCCAGGCTGAGCTGGCTGTCAAACAGCATATCAGTACGGATATCAAGAGCTTGTTCAGATTGGCAAGAGCATCGGGCATTGATAGGGAAGAGTTTGAGAGGATCATCCAGAGGGAGCTTGAAGTACTGCCTTTGCTTGAGAGGGATTCTGACTAGACAACAAGTTGCATACACGCAAGATAAGCGGACCAAGTTGGGTACCAGAACATGTGCATAGCGTTCTGTTGGCGTTGTTGGCACAGCATTTATAAGCATGTAACGAATTCACATAACAAAATAGCATCACACTCGATCCGATTCTTACATATCTCAAAATCGTGTAAGTCATGTGATGTATTCTGTATGCCTCGTGGGTTTCGATCAATTGAACAGGTCACTCGTCCTAAAGAAGCCCAAACATGTATAAGTTGTCGCTCTGAGTAGGTTCAGTCTCTCCTCCTGAGCGCCGTAGCCAGAACGATGCTTCAGTTTCCTCTTTCCTCTTGTCAGTCGAGTGAGTATAAATTGTGTGATACATTTTGTCCGCTATACGGCTCTCAAATACTGAACAGGTCGCTCGCCCTACGGAAGCCCAAATATCCCGGAGCTGTCACTCCGAGCGGGTGCAGCTTTTTGTCCCAAACGCCAAAATCAGGAGAATGCTCTCGCTCATTCCTCTTCACACTCTCCTAGTCCGCGGCAGTCGTTCACTTCCTCCTCCTCCCCTCCCCACTTACAAAGCTCGACCCACTAGCCTTCAACTGATTCAGCACATCAATCGCATTCGAGCTGTTTAAGTTCAACTGCTGTGCCCCGCTTCCCCTTCCAATATCTTCCACAATGTTGTCTGGGTCTGCGGCACCGATCACTGGGACCTCAGACGCAAGCCATTGCTGGAAGGGCTTCGCGGTGAAGTAGCCGTCAGATGTGAACCACCGTGTCATGGGCGCGCGGATGTGGATCTTCTGCTCAGGGTTTGAGGTGTAGGGTGTGGGTGTGAAGACGACGTCGCATTCGTAAATGGGGATGTGCTTTTTGGTTGAGGAGGAGATGCGGATCTGCATATGCTTGTTAGCCACAGTTCTATGCAAAAGTCGCTAGGAATGGCAGCACAAGCGTTGTTGGTGGTGTGGAGTGGTTGTAAACGTACCTTCCCTGTCTTGCCTTCTCCCTCATACACAACGCCCCTCTCTACAAACCACAGCCAGTACGAGAATGCGCCGTTCAAGAGGAAGTATGCAACTACTGCGGGCGCAGTGTACGGCTTTGAAGCCTCCCAGCCAAACTTCCAGTCGAAGTAGAAGAGTGCGCCAGCAATGATGACAGCGCTGTAGCCGAGCGCTAACCTGACATCGGTTTGTGTGTGGATTTGCTTGAACTTGAGAGAGTGGAGGTAGTTGGGGAGTGCATCGTCTGTTGTGTTTTTCAGGTCTGGGAAGCTGTTAGTTGCTGCCTGTATACGTGTGTTTGTGCTTGAACTGGGTCAAGTACCGGAGAGTGAGTGCACCGCGATCTTTTGTGTCGCCGACATGTTGACTACTACTTCTTTGCTAAGACCCAAAGCAGCGGTAATATGGTCGCGAAAGAGCTCAAGTTATGTTTATGTCGAAGCTGTAGAGCTCGGTTGATGGAAGACACCTTTCCAGAAGGAAGGCGCGGAGGTGACAAGGGTCCGTCCGCCGCACGAGGCTCCGCTGGGAGCTTTCATCATCAAACGAGCAACCTCACGTCAACCACCACCCCACCCTTCACTTCGCGCGCATCCTGTCTTCGACCGGCAAGATGGCTGAACCTATCGTGCAGACGATCCATAGGGATCCTGCCTTGTTGTACGTGCAATGCGCCGGCAGATGCAGCAACACAGTACTGACGAAATGATAAGTTGGTGGATTCTGCTCCCTATCACGGTGGTCATGGTATGTTTGTCAATTTATATATCATGATATTCTTTCCTAACGATTCTCCAGATCCTAACAGGTATCCTTCGCCACTACGCGATGACTCTCCTCCAAACGACCCCCAAGAAGCAAGACCTGCCTAAGATCCGCCAACAACGATCTCTCGCGCGCGGTCTCTCGCTACGTCAGAACGCTAATGTTCTCTCTCCTGCTGCCTTCTCCGCCAGGAAGGCGTACATGGTACAGGCGTACCAGGAGGGCAAGTTTTTGGCTGAGCCTGAGATGAGGGGCAAGCCTAGACCAAACCCTATGAGTGACCCTGCGGCTATGGAGGGTATGATGGGCATGATGAAGGGCAACATGGCAATGATGATTCCTCAGACGTTGATTATGGGGTGGATCAACGCGTTCTTCTCGGGGTTTGTTATCAGTAAGTCTATCCTCTCTTTGGTGGCGCAAGAGCTGTTGGACTCTCGAGACGATGGAGGTGGCTGCAGGTCGGAAATGCAGTGACTTGAATCTCCGGAAAATACTCCTCATGGCGTTTGCTACAGGCTGTACACGCGGGGCCATATAGGAGAATATCTGCTGACCATGCTCGATAGTGAAACTTCCCTTCCCCTTGACTCCGCAGTTCAAGTCCATGCTCCAGTCTGGTGTAGGAACTCGTGACTTGGACGTAAGATGGGTGTCTAGTTTGTCGTGGTACTTCCTCACCCTCTTTGGTCTGCAGCCAGTCTACAACTTCATCCTTGGCAGTAACAATGGTAAGTGTTTCCGTTGACCCGTTCATTCTAATGGAGCTAATCTCCACTTCTAGCCGCCAACCAGGTTTCACAGCAGATGGGCATGCAGAATCCTGCTGCAGGCATGATGGGTCCTGAGCAGGATCCGGATAAGCTGTTCCTGGCAGAAGCCGAGAACCTGGAGGTCCTTGAGCACCGATGGATCCTTGAGGGAATTGAGGAACGTCTAGTAGAGAAGTACGCCGTGTAGTCTGCGCAGTGTATTATCAGCGCTGTAAGCTTGCAATTGGGTTGCAATATAGAAGATCAACATAGCACCCAAAATGGAGGACTACCATCCCACGCAGTACTTCGCACTGGTTGCCTGATCTACGTAGCCGGTCAAACGATAGTCCTAAAGCCAATTTTATGACAGTCCTTCAATCCATCGTGTTGGTACCTGTGGCAGGTGGTTCGATCCTGGTCCTGGTCTGCGCGGGCGGACTGCAGCTGATGTGCCAAGCGTAAGCTTCATAAAATGATGACCACCATGACGAAAACGATAAGCTCTGGTCCAGCGGAATGTGAAGCAGATCCGCCGGTGGCCTTGTTATCAAAATCGCCATTTGAGACGACAACGACTTCTTTGCCCCTGCAGCTGGCGCTTGGAGCATGTTGTTGTCATAGTGGTACTGCTCGAGCTTCGAGGTCCTCCAAAACTTCCCCGCCCTTTCCGTCCAATCCTTTTCATCCATCTTCCGCGGGTCGCACCGCCCCCAATGCGCTGGAATGCGCCTCAATCCTCACCAGCAGGACTATCAAAGCCATCGATCGATCTTCGAGTCAGGTTAAACGCGACTGCGGAAGTGAGAGGGGAGCGCGCAGCCTGCGAAACAGCCTACACGGGCGTGGTCCGGTCCATTCACCACCAAGTTCTCGCAATTGTCATTTCAAACGCCCTCTTGTGTACTACGGCTTAGGACAAGGCAAATATCTGTGCTCCGCCCTGGCCTCATTGCCTTGTTCAAGCGTCTTCAATAGCATTGCGCCCCAGATGGTGTGCTTCCATGCAATCGATTCTCCAATGGAATGCGGCGTCTCCACCACCCTCGCCAGCATCCTCCTCGTTCGACAGATGCATCTTCTCCCGTTCGAGACCATGGCTTGCTCACTCATCATTTCCTTTGTTATTTTGTGGCCTTGGGCATCTGCTCGATGTCCAGGTCCCTGATGCACGTGCGGGAGCACGACTGTCGCCTTCCGCGACTCTGCCACGAGCGGCCTCAAGACATCCGAAAGGATGGTCGTCTGTTCTCACGCGCCCGGGTTGTTCGCTTTTCGCTGTTCGTCACCTCAGAGCTGATCCTTCATTTGGCCCCCAAAGCAAAGCGAACCCGCGGAGCGTCACGTTGGCATTTACAGGACCAGGTAAGGTCCCCTGTTCCTGCGCATCCATGACAGTCGGGAACGCAGTTCGTGCACGGCTTTCGGTTCGGTAGGCACTGTGATATGACAGCGATTCGCCATACCATACTGTAATTGCTTTTTAAACTGGGGCTGCGGTCGGTAGACTTTACCTTATCAGATCTTCGTAAACAAGAGCTAGACGCCCAGACAGCGAGTGGTGGGTGAGTAGTGGCTGTCCAGCTGTCCCTTGTCTCCACCGGTGAATGCAGCTGCAGGGCCCCTATGCAAGCCAAGCACTTGCGCATCACTCCTCATGTATTCCTCGCTAAACCCAAAATGATGCGGCTCTGCGAACAAGCCCATCATAAAGCAGATAGGGAATGTGAGCTTGAGGGTGGAAATACACCAGTCTAAAGAAGTGGCAGTGCAAATTGTTATCAAGTTTTTAAATCTGTTGCCTCTAGTCACCGACATTGTATTCGATGCTGCGCCCCTTCAGTCCACACACAACATATCCTATTCGTCTACAGCTAGTAGTCGACTCGACAGACTGGTGTCTGAGATAGGTGTAACCTTTGAGTACTTGTTATAAGTTCCAAGGGTAGCCACCGTAAGTAGGACATCGATCTCAGATGATTGAGTTTACGCTTACACACTCCAGCATATTACCACTTACTTTGGTGTGATGTGCCATTGTTGTACCTTTGCAGCACATCTCCCTTGTCCTTTACTGATCTCGGTTACCCCGAGCGTACAAAAATCCTGTCCACCCCAATCGAGATCAACCAATATGCCATCCCAACAGTTCGAAAATCTCCCACAAATACAATGCATGGATGATGCACGCTTCCCTAACTGGTCATCTGACTGCTATGGCTATCCCTATGCCGACAAGCAACACCCATCTGGCTTCAGCATCGTCGACGATAACGTATATCTCGGCCGTCTCGACGATGGCACAATGAGCATGCAGCCAATGCAGCGCTTCATGTTCGACCCATCACCACAATCCCTTGGTCTGCTGCACGCCAACATACCAGTGCACAGTCAGCACCAGAAGCATTACGTTCCACAATGGCCTTCGAGCGAGTGCTACCGCAACGCATCGCCTGACCGGACGTCAATCTCTGGAATATCAAGCTACGCTTCGCAGAACGAAGTGCCATCGCCACATGCCTACAACGCTGTCTCCTATGGTAGTCCCATAGACTTCTTCCAGCCTTCGCTACCATACAGCACCACTGAGCAGTTCAGCGACATCTCGTATATGTCGGGCACCTCAGGTGCAAGCATCAGTCTCAAAGAAATTGAGTACGCCCACCAGGAGCCCGAACCCCCAATCCAAGAGGCCGAATCCGCCGACATCAAGCAGGAAGCTACTATCGAATCCGAGCAACCGTCTGTCAAGACAGAGACTGCCCCCGATACATACAGGGAGTATACAGATTCCGGTATCGGCAACTCCGTCCGCGATGCCGAGTCAGTCCAGCCAGTCGACTTTAAAGATGAGTCTGCTTCAGACTCAGACTACAGCCCAACCCACCGGGGTAACAAGCGCAGGAGGTCTGCTCAACACACCGCTAGAGCCCCAAGGCGACGCGGTGGCGCTCGCAAAGACTCAGTGGTGAGCTCGTCGAGCTCTAATAAATTAAGTCGCCGACCTCGAGGTGCCTCCAAAGCCAACATCGAAACCCAACACCAAGACGACCGCCGACCCTTCCCCTGCCCACTCGCCGCTTATAACTGCACATCGACCTTCTCTTCCAAGAATGAGTGGAAGCGCCACGTCAGCACTCAGCACATCAAACTCGGCTATTGGCGATGCAATCTCTGCGCTCCCACCACTGACCCCAACGACGCCTCAGTACTGTACTACAATGACTTCAACCGCAAAGACCTCTTTACGCAACACCTGCGCCGCATGCACGCCGCACACGGATCCGGTGCTCGCCACATGAAAGAGCATCCCATCAATGAAGACAACATCCAGGAGCACCAGACGCGCTGTTACTTGCAGCTTCGCTGCGCTCCACAGCAGTCGATCTGTCCATTCTCTGGCTGCGACAGAGATTTCATTGGCCCAACGAGCTGGGAGGAGCGCATGGAACATGTTGGGCGCCATCTTGAGAAGGACAGGAAGAGTGGCGCAGATATGCTCGATACTGCGAGTTGGAAGGTCGATACCGCTCTTGAGCAATACCTCATGAACGAAGACTTGATTGTCTGGGAGCATGGCGCGTGGAAGATTGGCGACGGCAAGTCGCGACGAGTTGGCAGTGAGTCCAGCGATGAGGACTACTGAGGTGATCGGGATATTGGAACTATGCTACGAATTTCTTTACTCGATAGATACCCTGAGGCGTTCGAGATACGTGCGCACATTTCTTTTCTTTCGGTAGATGCACTTCTTGGTCTCTTCGCATAAATCGGCCTAGGTCATGAGCATAATGCATACTGCTTTTCTACGCACCAGTGTTCTTGAACTTGTTGGCTGTATTGCAGTTTTATTAGCCACATTTACTACGAAAGAACAGATGACGCTGATTCCGTCCCAACGACCGCTCTTTCCACTTTCACAGCTCACCAGACACGTTTCCAGCGAAGAGACCACTGACGTTCATCGACGTCACCACACGCCCTCACAGCCATGCAAGGCTGGCTGCCGTGGCTGACGAAGAAGTTTTTCGATCCTGTTTGGCCCTCCCAAATCTCGAAAAGGGATGTCACTGAAATATGCACCCGGCGGAGGACTGAGTTCACCGGATGTAGTGAGAACCTTCTTCACGAGGTGCAAGCGCGGAGCAAGGTTGCAAGCGAGAGGATTCAGCCCCCACAAAATCCTCTCAACTTTGGACTGTGACCCCCAAAAGACGATAGCGCAACTAGTCAAACTGATAGGGCTCAAGCGCGCTGAGCCACTTTGACGATGGGCTTTTGTCAGTCGAGGGCGAAAGAGAGCGAACGAGAGGAGGCGCAGACATTTGATCATGCAGGTGGCTCAGCCCCCAGTTGTCATACCTCGACTTTCAGCTGCATCTTGGAACACCATCTGTACCCCTTCTCATTCATGTCGACAACTGTGAAGTTCCTTCCATGACCGTCTTATAGCAAAGACACAGTGACCTCACTGCGATGGAAACTGCGCTTGTACGCTTTGGTCACAAATTTCAAGACTCCAAGACAGACAAGGCTGCAAGAACGCCAAAAGATTACAAGCGTCCCACCTGCGAAGACATCTTCTCGAGCTCAGAACGAGATATGGCAGAAGTGGAACCACCTCGGAGACTGGATCATATTGCGGAAGAAGTGGATGGAAGTATAGAACCGCAACAAAGGGCAACCGCTGGAGGATCTTCGTTACCGAAGCAGTCGAATGTCACCTGGTCAGGCGATCCGGTGCATACACGGTCACAGAGATCGTCTGCACACAGATGGTCCGACGAAACCATTTCTGCCCCTTTCGGCTCCGAAGATTACGCTAGGAGGGTGAACCAGTCTAATCCATTTGACACAAAGCCAACAATCCACATCAACGTTGGTGGGTCTTCACGACCGACCAGAAGACCTGAACGATCCGACGAGAGGAGGTCCCGATATTTGGACGATTCGGGAAGCGAATCAAATAGCGGAGATGATGGTTGGTATCGTCGACGAGCAGGGAGACATGCAGCAGCCAGGCGCCCATCCAGTCCACCTCTGTATATGCAACACACCACAGGAGACTACAGGACGAGAATATGGCCCAGAGAGCAGCGAGGAGATCCTTGGGCCGCGCATGACAGAGGTTCAGAGCCTCTTCATCCATACCCAGTGTATCCCCGCGACCGTAGAGACGATATACCTCCTGCGCCAATGCAGCCGTGGTACGATTCATACCTGAACCTATACGAGGACGATCATCCGCATCCGTGGCAACATGTAAGGCATGCATCGCCGCCACGACCACAGGCAGCCGTGGTACCACCACCAGACAAAGGGTCTGATAGTCCACGTCTGGCCAGGATTGAGGCCTTGCTTACAGCTCAACAGAATCTTTTGGCTCAAACTATAGGCGAGCAAGCAGCCGTTGACGATGCAGCCGAGATTCAGCGGCATTCCACACTAACAACCAAGTACAGAGATTTGATACGGGAACTCGAACAGGCAGTCAATCGAGAAAAGAAGGCACCAAGAAAATCAAAAGATGAGGCGAAAATCAAAAATAACCCTGCTCTGTCCTCGCCACCATCTTCCGCAGTTGAAACTGAAGGATTAACGTCTTTATCGGACCTCGAGCTTGTCAAGCTTATGGATGAGCGCATGCAGACATTGAAGCAAAAGAACGAGGAAAGGCTCATCGAAGCTAACCAGGTCCTGGCCTACTTGGAGCGACGCTCAGAGAATATTCATCAACAACCCACGGTTGGAGCTGAACCCAATCGACTTGCAAACTCGGCAGATGAAAATGCCCAGGTACCAATAGTCTACGCATTTCGGACTCCTGATGAAGAGTCAAAGGTCTATGACGATGAGTCAGACGACACCGATGTAGACTCAATCGTTGGAAATTCGTCAGGCTCGAGTGTTTCCTCCTTGGTATCAAGGGCACATCGGGCCAGACTCTCGAGAAATAAGATTGAAGGTCGACATGGTCGACGGACAGGAACAGGGTTAGTAGAAAGAGTAGTTGATGAGTCGGTAAACAGGGTCTACTCTGGATCTGAGTCCGTAATCGGCGGAGGTGGACTATCACACAACCTACCAGAAAGAACTGAACATGGTAACGACGGTGGGCCGAACGACGAGCCCGTCAACCATACACCAGAAGCCCGAACAGAACACGATATGGTCGGAGAGGTTATCGCTTTGCGTCGAGACCTGTCTATTCTCAAGAGACAGATAGTAAGCTAGATACATGCGAAATGCCCATGCTTAGCTTACCTCAGACAGGTCCGTAAGAACAAGAGCTGGCTTGGACAGACCCTATGTTCAACCTATGCACGGTGGAAAACACAACTCAGGGAGGTGCCGCGTCCAGGTACGCAGCGTTTGGAGTGGACTTGTGTGAGTAATGTGACTATTCTTCTTGAACCTCAAAGTTGATAGTCCCAGGAATGCGGGGACGAGATGTTCGCGGACTTGCCCGTCGAGAACGGTGCCCAATACCAGCAGATGCTTGAATTTCTCACGAGGCCTGCACCAAAGACTCAACCCACCAGTCAGAACCGGACCACACCCTCACAGCTTGAAGGAGGTACAGCTCAGCTGAACTACACTTCGTTGCAGTTGAGTCAGAGCAGTATTGGCCAGAGCAATGCACCCGCGTCCACGGTTGGTTCTGGCAATACCTATGTTGGGTCAGGCAACTCGCAAGCCCCTACCGCACAGCAAAATGGACTTTACGTGCGAAACAAGTACCTCGAGCTCTGCGTGGACGTTGGAAAGTACGAGACAAAGCTGGCTGAGATCCAAGTTGCCTCTAGCGAGTCCAACGGCGCCGCCATCTGCACCGATGCCCATCTCTTTCGCCAAATCTATCACAGATACTTCGCCCTTCGGAAGCATACCTGGCGCCGCTTTCTATACCGGCCTGCAGGTATCAAGTTTGTCCACTTCGGAGTTCAAGCTGGTTATCGAGTGAGCTTCTTCTCCAGCGATCCGTTACCGTCTGAAGAAATCATTGCATCGAAGCAGTATGAATACAATCTGCAACCTCCTGTACCGCCACCTATGGACTCTCGGACATTCTTACATTACTTTTACAAGCACAATGCGCATTCGCAAAGTACGAGTGCTAAATATGTCAGTCGACTACCAAAGAAACTTGGAGACAGCTTGACTCGTTCCCTCGGTGTTGATGAGCTTCTAGAAGGATGGGGCATCCATATCATTGAAGGGCCCAATAAGGTTGCGATATGCTGGGCGCTCATGGTTGTACTGGTAGCAAGCTTCGGAGTCTCGATTGGATATGATCTCATCACTCAGTCAGGAGATAGTGGATTCGCTATCGGACAGTGGATGGTTGCTGCGCTGACGGTGGGGCTGTCGGCGCTATACTTCAGTCTGGAGGATGATGTCAGTTCGAACTTCGACTGAGGGTCGAGCTTGAAGCCAACATCATAATGACATACCTATTGCATGCTCAAGCGTTTCATGAAGCGACCATAGAAGGGTTGTGCACAAAACCGATGAGCCTTAGAGATGCGCGCCTTGCCAACTGCTCAGCAGCCTAAAGAAGGCAATCCCGACTTCCACATTAGGAATACGACACTTCCATACTGTCCAAAGTCAAGATACCCTTGCTGTGTTAGTTTTGTGGCTTGACACGTCGTCGTTTGCCTTGTTTCTGCTTGAGGCTCGTGTGCAGCAGGCAAACGTGAGGCTGAGACAATTCCCGCTCTCGTGCATATACGAGGAGTCCTTCAACGGCAGTGTTCCATAATCCCGCCGTTCTGTTAGCGTTCTGATCTTCGACTTGTGGAACGTGGGACATCTTGGGCGCGCGCAACTTGTGTTGAGGACCAAAACGTCATAACCAAAACGTAGATCTACCACACGACCATCTATGCTCTCTCTCGTTTACTATAATTTGCCACTGAAGAAGTCGTGTTTTTCACAAAACCGCTTTTGGAAGGCTTTACTCAGATGTCTGGTTGTAAATTACTAAGGCAAGAGCACGCTTGATTGGCTTGTTCTAGCCGCTGGTTAACTATGTTTTCGCAGCTGCAGTGGCTGCGTGAGTCCTGCATGGCATTGTGGGCCATTGCATTCTTACAACACTCCAAGCTCTTGAGTCTTCGCCGGCTTTTGCGAGCGTTTACCTGATGGTGCTACGAATCATCTCGCCTCATTATCTCACGATGATGGAGAACATCGATAGGTTGATGCATGCTAGCTGGTTCGCACAGTCAGGCCCAGTTACTGAGCGCGCGCCTTTCGACGACGCAACGATCAGGGACATCGCCACTGTACTTCGGAATGAACCCCACGAGTCGTGGGGTCGGGTTCCAAGCATCTTTATTGTATTGCGTACGATCAATCAGCCTCATCTTGTCCAGTCTTTTCTCGACGAAGAGTTGACGAACCTTTGGTTCCCCTGCACCTTGCCGTTTTGCCTGACAGACCAAACCACCAGGGATGCCTTCTTGACCGCACAACGTCTTGTGCTTACAAAAGCCCTGGACCTGGAGAGAGAAAACGGCAAACATCGACATTTCCAGAACCCAGGGATCTTCCATTCGTACAACTTTCAGAGTTGGGAAGAGGCGGATTTGGAGCTGTTCACAAGGTACAAAGCAACATCAGCTACAAAGAAAATGCAAGAAAATGCCTTATCAGAGGCCTCACTTTCCGCAAAGACAGGAAAGTTTTGGAAGAGTTCGAGAATGAACTCATTACTATGAAGCGGTTGTCGCATAGACACATTGTCAAGTTCATTGGTAGTTACACAGATCCAACGTGAGTCTACCGAAGACTATGTGAGACAAGACGGGTCTAATGTTTTTGAGGGCAGGTACGTTGGTATCATCATTTCGCCTGTTGCTGACTGTGATTCAAAACACTTTATGTCCAGACCGGCCTCTGCGGACCGAGACTCTTTATTGCAAACTTCGATGGGCTGTCTTACTGTCGCGGTGGCCTATCTATATCTGAATCGCATTTGGCACAAGGACATCAAGCCAAGGGTGAGATATGATATACCGTTACTTCGCCTGATAACTGGTGTTCAGAACATACTCGTCAAAGATCACCAAGTGTTGCCGACAGACTTTGGCAATAGCCGTGACTGATGCAGGCAGGCCGCAGCACGATCACTGGTTCTACCGTCAAAACCGAAAAGTACTGTGCAGCAGAAATTGCGCAGCCAGATGCTCGAAACACATCGTCCGATACCTGGCCTTAGGTTGCGCTTTCCTTAAGATTTAGTCACTGATATGCGGTTCGACACTCGCACTGCTTGATGCTCATGCGCAATAGCGGCTCTAAGTCTATCAACTATCACAGCAACCCAGACGCAATCGTATCATGGTGCGAGATGCTCCTGTCAGGTATTGCTGTCGCAGATCTTAAACGCCCTGGATGCTCGAGACGGATCAGAGGCAGCGTTACATTGCAGCGACTTTATTCGATGCCATAGCTCCAGTGAGGATGATACAGCTGTAAGTGATAGAAGACATTACTTCGTACGGATATGCTGCTTGGCGCAGCATGAAGTTGAGGAGACTGTGGTATCGTCTGTTTTTGCAGTGCCAACACCCGGTCTGCGAGCTCGTGCAAGATCGAACAATGGACCTGCGACGACATATGCAGATCGAGCGAGCGAGCGCATGATATCTGAACCTCAACGCGTATCGATGCAGACGACAGAGATGCACTCCAACATGTCGGGAACTAACATTGAGGAAAACAGTTCAGGTGCTCTGTCTGGACGAACAAGGGATTTTGACGACGTTGTTCGCGCTGAATACCGCACTATATTCGAGTCTGTTGCAGAAGCTGACGGTCAAAGCGTGGCAAGGCCCGAAGTCATGTCAGTCTTTAGGAAAGCTGGAAATAGATCGAAAGAGCTCGACTTCATATGCTCACTTATCGGTCTGCCTAACCAGGACTTCGCTGTGTTGAGCGAATTGCCTCTTACAGGCCGCTTTCAGCTTCTGACTCAACATTCAGTGACTTGAATGGGCCACTCGCAAACAAGAAAACCTGCACAACATGTCCCTTGGGACCGTTCAACGTCGCAGCTAAGTCCTCCCGCGTCAATGAAAGACAAGGTCACAAGAGCTCAAGTAGTACTTGACTTACTCACGAAAGTTAACAAGAAGTGTTTTGTTATGGAGATGCCGTTCTTCACAAGACAGGAACAATTGGATGTTTACGACAATTCAAACAGATGGCAAATGGTAGGTCTTTGGTCCCCAGCAAGCCCTTACGGAAGATGAAACCCATGGTACCATCCGAGGAAGACTTGTACCAGTTCCGTGATAAGCTCCCACAGAACCTTCGAGATAGGATCGAGTTGTTGGCACCCGTGGGTGCTGAAGGGGAGACCAGGATATTCTGACGCAAAAAGCACACCCAAAGATTTGTCTTCCAAGAGTATTGTCTGGCATACATACTACCTGTCGAAAACAGATGACATACCAGCTTTTCTGCTTGCATTTCTCGACTGGTCGATTGATTGTGCTCTGGGACAGCGCAATACCCCAGGGCAAAATCCGGTCAACGGGCCCGTCATCAGGATCGAGATGACGATTCGCACACCTGAGGTACCGGAGGTGCTGGGATTCTTCAAATTGTCATTCTCGGACTGTCATCCTGATGTGATCATTGACAAGCTCGAATAACAGCTTGCGAAGCTCCAGTTTACGCAATAGTTCTTATATAAACTACATTGGCACGTAGACCGACAGTTACCCAAATATGGTGTAAACAAACAAAATTTCACAGGTCAAGAGCTAATCACAACCTACAGGGACTCGTGTCACGCAAAATGTGCACCTCATGCCGAATCTACCATGTGCATAAGATTGTCCGCCAAGGACTAGACTTATGTTTACTTACATCATATGGTTCCTCAAAAACGGGTATCTAAATCGCCTCCTCTACTAGGAACCCAAAGCCGACGCCCTCGCTACATTGCTTTCATATAGGTCATATCCATAACCGATGCTGTTTGTTCCCATTGGCCCTACCCGCTCAAAGAGTTTCGGAATGCTTGCACATCCCATCTCTTCCGGATTTGACAACCGTTTGACAGTCGGGTTTCCGAGGCTTCCAGCACGCTTTCCAAAAACTCCTGAAGCGGTGGTCTGCCAATCCAGGTGCTGTTCGTTCGCTCAACGTTGACGGATGATTTCTAATACAATCCGGTATCAGTTGACGCGGAAATCGAGTTAAAGAGGAACAAAGCTTGCGCACCTGTCAGGAACTCCTCGCTGTATATTCATTAGCCACATGCATATTTCATCTGAAACATAGTTCCACTCACAAGCTCAGCGTGATGTACCCATCACGATCCTCATCATACTTCTTGAACACGTCTGTCATCCTCTTAAGACTGATACACGCCTGCACGAACAAATCGAAACTCATCGCGTTCTGGCCGCCACGGTCGTATGTGCGGTACAGGAGCGTAACAAATTGCTGTGACAGGCGGTATCCAAAAGCGACCAGGGCTTCGTTGAATTCCACGTAGGAGATGGATCCGCTGTGGTCGGCGTCGAAGCGATCGAAGAGCCCGCGCCATGCGGAGAGGAAGCCCCATAGCCCGCTGCAGGGTGTTAGTGGTAGTTGAGGGCTGGGTAGCAGAAAGCGGGAGATCTGAACATACCAGAACTCGTCAAAGTTCACAGAGCCAGAGCGATCAGTATCAAACATTCTTCTCCCGTCAGTTTCCCCCTCCCAAACATGCCGATAAACATTACCTGATCATCATGCGCACAGTATGCGGATCAAAAGGACTCCAGTCACCATTCACAAGCGCAGTCCTCAGTTCAGCCTCAGTCAGACTCCCACTGCCATCCTTGTCCACAGCCCCAAACAGCCTCCACAGCGCATCCCTATCGTTCGCGTCCCTGGGCGGCGCAGGCGTAGGCGGCGGCCTCTGCTGCTGACTTATCGGCGGCCGACCATGATAACTCTGCGGCGGCGGTCCATGTCCATAGTTCGCAGGCGGCGGGCTCCCAACGCTGGGCCGTGAGTCGTTGTAGCGTGAGTCGGTGTAGCGTGAGTCGTAGCGGTCGTTGTATGCGCCAGGAGGAGGCCTGCTGTCGTAGCTTACAGGGCGACCGCCGTAGCGCTCTTCAGGGCGGTACGACTGCTGTGAGCTGGGAACAGGCGGCGGCGGTTTGTTGTAGTCGGGTCTGGCGCTGGAGGTTCGAGGAGGACGGGAGGATTGAGACATCATTTGCGCGGCCTGGGAGCTGTGTCAATGGTGCGCATTCGAACAGAGGAAGTGGACCGTACCTGCTCTGGCTCCGCATGCGCGGGCAGCCTGTCCGGGTTGAAGCCTTTGTTGTATGCCATAGTGAGGTGTAGTAGTTGTGGAGGGGTGGAGAAGGAGGGATGTAGTTGCCAACAGAGGGGCCCGAGAAGTGACACGAGGCACGAGCTGATATAAGGCGTAAACAGAGGCTCAGCTTCTGCGGAGAGACTGCGTATTCGCAATTGTAAAGTGCATTAATACGCTCTAAGCTCCACTTGTGCCCAATTCACAGCCCTGGAGCCTTCCTGTTCGCGGCTGACTTGAACCCTGGCGCGGGGCTCTTAGCTATGACGATGCCGGTCAAGCATCGAGCCAAGAGCACACAGGTCACGCTCAGAGCCCAGCATCGTGGTCTTCGGAGATCGGCCTGGCAAGCTCGGAATGAGCGTCTTCTTAGCTTGATTGCCTTGCTGGGAGATTCAGCCCTTTGAGCCCGAAATCTGGAAGTGTGACTGACTTGAGGCTCTTTGTTCAAGGGTCATCGCTGTAGCGATCAGTAAGGCAGCGCAAAGCTGAAGCATTTGACGAACTGCGGCTGCCAAATGGTGGAGGCGCAAAGCTGTAGTGGAACTTTCATGCAGTCAGACCTGAAGACAACAGCACATCGCTCTCGTGTGGCAGAAAGAGCTGGCTACACCCATCGTCGCGACGTCCTTCCCACATCAGTGCTGGAGGCCTCCAGTGGGTCGAAGCGTGTTGTGAAAGCATCCGCACAATCTGTTGTAGGTTTTAGACGCTTTACCAGGTTGCAGATGGACTGCGATTTGGTGCTGAGTACCTCCTATAAATTCAAGGGCCCTGGGCTTGTATCCTACTGCTGCAACTCGAGAGCATAGCACCCGGTCCACCAGTGGTGTTATGAAAACGTACGAGTGCGCTTCTGCTTTTGAAACTTTGAATTGGTATCTACCCCGAAGACCTCGTCTCCAACTTCATAACTATCGTGCTATTCTTCGTATCTTGAACTCAAGACACCCAATGCCATTATATAACTGAAATCGAACAAAAACATACTCAAGTGTCGTGGGTATCCTATAACGCCTACAACATCGAACAATATTGCGAGTATAGAAATGACAACACACATGCAAAACACGCGCCGGCCTATCAAGGCAGAAGAGAACATATAATGGTACTACAGGTTAAGAATGCTTAGGTTTTCACCCTCTTCTGGCTGGTGTCGCTCCCCCCGTCAGATGTCTTGCGCTTGCGATCTGCAGAGTCGTCGCGTGCGAAGGATGGCCCGTTCGTGACTACCGGTGTTTGAAATGTCAACGGGCTCGGGAGCATATTGGAGTCGCCACGACCAAAGCCCCATTCAGGGTAAAAGCTGCTCGGTGAAGGCAGCAGTCCATTTTCAACGAATCGCGATGGCAGTGCTGATATGGGTGTCTCCATGTCGCGATTGCTGCTACCGTATGAGTTGCTGTTGGTTGGAGGAGGGGGCCGTGCGAAGGGATTCGGTGGTCCAGTTGCGCCGGCGCTGAGGAGGGAATTTGCGGACGGTGACGGAGGTGGGAGGACGACACCCGATGAATGTGAGGCATCGGTGCTGCGAGCTGGCGTTGCGCCTGAAATCGAGTCTTTGGGTGACGAATCGGCTGTAGCACTGCCTCCATCTGAATGTTCACTCGGGATCTGGACGCGTAGCTTTGGCTTGTTCTTGTCCGTCTGTAGACTGTTCGTTCGCGTGGGTGGAGCTATCGGGGGTATGGATGAAGCAGACTGCGTTCGCTGAGGAGGTTGCGGTGGCGGTTGTGGACTGGAAATCTTCGGCGGTTGCAGAGGCTGAGCGCCGTTCGGCTGGAGTCGTGACATGGCGGCTGCATCGATTGACTGCGGCCGGTTCTCCTGCGTTATGGCTTGGATGTCACTGCGAGGTGGGATCATACTACTACTACCCCAGTGCGCTGCCAACATTGACTGACTGTCATCAATAGGTGTAAAGATACTGTGCTTGGCGGATGCGTGTAAGGGTTTCGGCTGCGGGAGAGGTGGGCTTTGGAAGTCGTGTTGAGGCGGGGATGGAACGGTAATCGTGGGCTGCGGCGGTCGTTCATGTTGCTGCTGCTGCTGTTGTTGCTGAGGAGGAGGAGGCTGCGGTGTCTGCGATTGTTGCTGTTGCTGTGCCTGCTGCTGTGCTTGCTGTTGTGCGTGTTGTTGAGCTTGCTGTTGCTGTTGTTGTTGCTGTTGTTGATGCTGAATCTGCTGCTGCTGCTGCTGTTGTTGTTGCTGCTGTGATGGGTGCGGTTGCATCTGGGCGGTAGGCTGCATCTGCGGGGAAGGCTGCATCTGGGGCACAGGCGGCATAGACTGTCTCCGTTGCTCCTGTTGCATATACTGCTGTACTTGGGGATTCGGCATGGGGTGCGTAGCGTAATGATACTGAGGACCTGGCGGACCTTGCGGCGGTCGCTGAGCGGCTTGCGGGTTGTAGAAGGGGGGGTTCGGCATGTAAGCATAGCTAGGCTGCGGCGGCGGTGCTTGCGAGGGGTACGGCTGAGGAGGAGCAAGATTCGAGCTTCGGCGGACATGGCCTGGGTGTTGGTCCAATCGTGAGTTCGGTCGCGATAAGTGGTGGGGGGGCTGCGGCGACGGTCCTCGGTGCTGGAAACCGTTCGGTATCGGCGGAGAGGCAGAGGGTGTGACGTGACGGACGTGTTGGAAGGCCTGCGCGTGCTGCATGTGGTGCGGCATCAGGCCATGCTGCTCTGGCGGGGTGTGCGAGTCGCGTGGAGGCGCGCCATCGTCGTCCTCGTCTTCGTCGTCGTCGCCGTCCTTCTTGCCCATGAAGTCCTCAGGACCCTTGTGTTCGTGTGCGCCGCCATACTGCGTGACCTGTCAGCGCGACTCCATTAGGCGCTGCTGTAATCTGTCAAAGGAAAAGGAATGCTCACGTATTGGTAGCGACCGATTGTCTCGTTGATATCGCCAGATGAAAACTCGTACAGTTTCTTGTTGTGACCAAAGATGATGACAGCGACATCAACTGAGCAGAGCACAGAGAGTTCATGCGCCTTCTTGAACAGACCGCCCTTGCGCTTCAAAAAGGTACTACATAATGTCAGCGATAGCTCGCAGTAAGCGCGCGTCGTGAATGGAAAGCGTACACTGAGCGGTTCCGATCATCCTTGATGGCCTTGATCTCGATCTTTCTGCGACCCATAATGAATAGCAGAATCAGACGTCAGCGCGCATCGAACGTCGAGGGGTATATTGGGCAGCGATGGCGTGGCTCGCCGTCGAGGGTCGTCGAGGACAGAGGCGTCGATTAGCTTGCGCGGCGCGTTACTGCGAGAGCGTTTCAGGAGACCAGTATAGGCGGCCAAAGTCGGCGCGAAATGGTGCTGAGTCTCCGGCAGCCCGCAAGCTATATGGTTCCAATGCGCGACACAGAGCTGTACCCAAAGCTCCCAAATTCTTGAGGCTCAGAACGAGAGATGATGTGCAGAGGAAGCATGGAGGCAGGCGCGGGCACGCTGCCTATAATTAGAAGCCATGGCTGTTGTCGAGCCTGGGCCACTGCTCGCCAAATTACCCCTTCGCGGATATTTGCTGCTATTCGAGACGTTGTGTAACAGCAGGCTGACCACTGTCATTGGCTGAGTATCCTCACCGGTGTCCGGTAATACCACGCTTTGGGGTTAGACAGCCATCATGAAGGCTAATTATAGGACATATCATAACTGGGATCGCGCCGTTGCCAGACTCTCGAGAATTGTGCTGGACGATGCAGATGCAGACCCTGATCTTCTCTGTAAACTCCCATGTGTGTCTGTGTGCATTCGTGCGCAGTTTGCATCATATGATGACGTTAGGCCGGTCTCACCAACCCCGCAGAACAGGTACGCGTGCAAGGCGAGCAGAGTGTTGACACCAGTTCACGTGGGATGCTCCTTGGAAGAGGGGAAGGTAGCATCAGATTGCGGGAACTCGAACATGGGGAGGACTCTGGCACACGTTGCGCTGCTTGTACGAGCCGCATCTGCTGGCAACACACAGCGAAGTGACAGTTGTCTCTCCTGAACTGTGCCTCCAAAATTCAGCATTTTGTGTTGCACATTTCTGTATGGGGCATTGCGGCTGCCAAAGCAATTGCCCTCGATACTGCACTGCATCGCTATCGAGCTGCTGCTTCGTCATCTTACCAACCACTGTCTACTGTGTGGTCAGCAGGCCACAAGACCTGCTTCTCTGTACGCGCCCCAGCCTCCATCATATCCTTCACGACTGCGTCGTGGTGTCGTAGTTCGTCGCCCTCGCGTACCTTTGCCTCCACTGTCACAGGTGCTCTATATTTAGATATGCATGTACCCACGCGGGATGACGCAGCCGTGAGCGACCCACCGTGCCATATCAGATGCCGATGGGCTACTGTAGCCGAATGCGTAATCGTGAGGGCTCTTGAATACCACTTGCTGAAGGGCTTGCGTAGGCTGTGTCCCCCGGCAGGATTGAGGATGACCCGTCTACGCGCCCACAGACCGACCTGTGGCAGTGTAGGAATTGATTTGTATGTGCTACTTTGTGATGGTTGGTAGTGAGATCTGTTCTGGTGACTCCTGGGCAATGATTGAGCTGCGATCGAGCTGCGATCGAGATCACAGAGCCACATAGTGATGGATAGGGAGATACTCTGGTGCTATGCATTATGTTGATGGTTTGAGATCTATTGTAAGTCGAAGGGCATTTGCAAAAGTGCATTAGATGCCAAAGCTATGGTCTTTCCCCACTCCCAGCAATTATTAGTGTGATGGACATGCCCTTTCTTCAATTACCTCAGCAAACAAAGATTGAATGATTGAATCGTATAAAGCGGATGACAAGTTAAAAGTGAACTCGCTGAAGACATCGAAGGGGTATCAAATGTCCGGAGAGCAGAACGGAAATGGGTATCTGTGCTCTTTGTACGCTTGGGAAAGCAGACAGTATATATAGACGCATGAAAGATCTGGTCAGATATTAGCAATCAATGCGCATTTGTACAAATGTCAGACATACCTCTGTATACGAAGTTGTTTTATCTACCGCATGGCACCACCAGGTCTGACTGGCGTTCCATCGACGTTGCCCGTCAACTCGGCGACGCGAGCTTTGATGCGAGCAACACGGCTCTCGATCGTCTCCTCACCACTGGTCTCCCCTTCGTCGGTACGCTGACTCTGGCTCTGGCTACGGCTGCGACGAGTCTGCTCTTCGCTGAGTCGTGCTGCGCGCTCAGCTGCGTTCTTCCTAATCTGCGCCCACCTATCTTGCGAGGGCGAGGCTTGTCTGCCGACCTCAACTGAGTCTTCTGAGATGTCATCCCTTGAGTATGCGGTCTGCTGCTGAGGCGGTGTGACAGGTCGATGTATCCTTGAGTCATGGTCCACTGGGCGACGGTGGACTACAGGCGGAGCGGCATGATCTTCCTCATCGCTCTCCTCAGGCACAAAGGCTGGCATGTCCTCCATGGGGCCTTGGTCGAATCTCGAAAAGGCGTGATCTGCTTCGCGTTGCTCATGCGCAGCGCTACCTGGAGCCAGTGGTGGACTGAGCTGTTCTGCTGCAGGCTGTACTTGCTCGAAAGGTATGGGGCTAGGCTCGAGAGCCGGAGAATGTGTCCCAGCAGGCGCAGCCTGCTCAACGCTGATTGCTGGCGATGGCTCTCGGTATTGCTGGCCGTGATATGAGACTCGAGATGTGCTTCGAGCAGCGTCGAGCGCCCGAAACCGTGAGTCGTCTTCAGACGGCCTCTGCTGGTTGACACCAGCTGGAGCGGATGTATCGGTCTTCTTCCGGCCAAAGAGCTTCCTGAAACCGCCGCCACCTTCCTTCTTCTTCTTTTCCAGCTTCCTCGGTTCGGGTTGTCTGGTCTGCTCTTCACTAGCGCGAACATTGGAAGATACTGGTGTGATTGCCTTACGCTCAGAGACTGGCGCCTTCAAAGCAGGATGCCGGTCAACGTTATCCGAAGCGGGCAGGGGCTTCTCCTCCGGTTCGAGGTGAGGAGTGGGAAGGGGTGAATCCTCAGGCCACGGGACTGGGGTGATGGTGACGTCTTGGCTAGAGTTGGCTGTAGAAGGCTCCCATACTTGTGACTTCGATGCAGGTAGGTCCGTCTGAGACTTGGGCAGCGCAGGCAGGTCGCGATTCGAGATCTCGGGAGGTAGTGGTGATGAGCGCCCATTGGCTGTGGTCCTGAGATCGTTTCTTGAGCCCTTTCCAGCGTTGATGTCACCAAGGTACTGCGCACGCATAGCCTCCTTGTCTTTCGCACCCTCTCCAAACCTCTTGTCCCATTTCATAGCGGGCCCAGCTTCGCTCAATAGATGCGGCTGTAAAGTCAGCACACTGTTCGTCTTGATGGAGGATGCCTCGTCCATTCTGGCCCGGCGCTGGCCATATTGTTCCGCTGCCTTCTGGTCTCGTTCCTTTTGTGCCAGTTTGGCAGCTGCAGCCTGGATTCGTGCATGCTGGTCTGCACCGATAGTGCTTGACGGTGTGTTTGAAGTTGTTCGGTTGTAAGGATCCTTCGCAACAGGCGCGGTCTTCTTGCCGGTAGACTTTCTTCGTCCCAAACGTCCGCGCTTGGTGAAGCTGAACTTCGACTTCTTTTCTGCGATGTACGCGCCCTCTTCGGGTCCCGCAGCGGCGCCCTTGACCTGCTCTTCCATAACTAGCCACTTTCCGCCTGGAATCCGTGTCTCAATTATCGTGCATCTGCCAAAGGCTGCCTTTCGGTCGGGAGTTTCTTCATTTGCAAGACTCGTCATCCACACCCACCAGAACGTCTCGTCTAAATCAAATGCAGTGATGCTTGCGAGTTCACCAGGCTCAAGGTCTTCTTCTGAGCCATGCCCGTTGCGGACGTGTGACTGTGAGCTATGTAAACGGGCTGGCTCACCAAGCGGAGGAAGCTTCTGTGTTGGAAGCAACAAAGTAGTTGGGGAAGTCTGGTTGTTCTCGTCGGCGAATCCAGAAGAGAGGAAGTCGGCCCAAGACGGAGTGGTAGGACGGCCAAAGTCAGTCTCTTTGGAGCGAGCTCCATTTCGAAGGCCAGAGAATTCATGCGGACTTCCCACTGCCGATGCTCCGTTGGTGCTGCTGGCAGAATCTTCCAAGAGCCCAGAGAAACCGAAGTCCTCGAATCGTGACCAGGACGGATCTGGAGTTGTAGCGTCCGGTGACGTGACAGACTGATTTACCGACGCAATGCACTCTAGCACTCTGCGGCACTCATCAGTTAGTGCCTTCACAGTATCCTCGTAAGCCGAAAACTGCTGCAATGCTGCATCATCGTCCCGGTATTCGAAGTTCTTTGCGCGACGCAATAACGAGAACGGCGTCGGTGAAACAGAGTCCACGATCATGACTACCTTTGTTGTACGAGATTGCATAAGTGTAGGCGCTTGTGGCGGGTATTCGGTCTGGGAAAGCAGCGACTGAAGAGAACGAGGAAGGTTGGAAATGCCGCCTATTGTATTCGCATCGGGGGAGAGTGATCGTAGGTACGCGAAGAAGAGATGGCTCGCAGCATCTGCTGCCCTGAAGTTGGAAGAGTTAGCATCGTACTCACTGACAAAGCACTAGTAATACATACTTCTCCCACGTACGGTACCCTCCGTCGAAGCCGTTTCCATCATCGTGGAATTCAAAAGCCCACCAACCTGCCATGCGCGACAGCTTCCTGCCACCCATGCCATTGGTCTTGCCTCTTGCTGCGACTGCAGACAAGAGGTCAAAGAAATCAAAGATTAGGCGCTTGCGTGCGTCTGAGTCGACGCTGAGGGGTATGAACGTATCGAAGGCGTGTCTTGCGAAATTAGAATCTGTCAGGCGCGTCAGTACGTCTTCACGTATTTACAAGTGTCTACCGCAGTTGCCTGCTTACCAGACTCGCCAATGCGAAAAAGCTCATAAGCATCCCAGGTCACAACACCACCTGGCAGCCGACTCCAGCACCATTTCATGATACTACATAGTGTCTGCGTATGTCAGCATACAGATCGAGTTTCTTGGGCGCAACTGATCGCACCAATGGCTCGGCTAGGCGCAGCTCTTGCGCCAGGCTCTCCCCACGATATTGCCGTGTCCCTTCATATGCTGCTTTGAAGAAGTTGCGCACGAAATTGCGGGAAGCGCTTGTGTCCGAGGTGGGGCGGAAAGGGAGGAGCATGAATGGCATGTCGACAGCTGTTGCAAGTTAGTATTGACTATCATGATGGCCAGGTCCTGTTCTGCGCGTACCCCTCGACTTCATCTCTTGTGTGCAAACGTGGACGAGCTCTTGGACCTCTTCTGGGGCGACATCCTTGCGGGACCATGAATCTTCCCATCGCGGCCGTGGTGCAGCGGGCTCGCTGCTGGCGTCTGCTTTTGACCCTGACCTGGAGGGGTCTTTCGATTTGAAGACGTTCTTGAAGAAAGGCATGTTGAATTGGCGTGGGCAGCCTCAATGGGCGACTTCTGCGGTCGAAGCCAATGGGTATGAGGAGGGGCGGCCGGCGGAGAGCGTGCTGGGACGCGCGAGCGTGGTCGTTGTGTAGCGCACGCAATGCAGGGACGGAGCTATGTATGCAATGGCTGCGCAGGAGGTGGGAACGTCGCGCAGTGTACCTCTGAACACACTGCAGGGCTTCAGAAAGGTGCTAGGTGAAAAGGAGAAGCACGAGGCGGTTGCTTCTGAGGCAAGCCTCCACTCCCAAGTGGAGAGAAGCGAAATGACAAGGGTGCGGCCCAATAATGCGACGATCGTCTTGGGAGCCAGTGCCACTGCTCTGCAACGTGTGGCTCCTACCTTGTGCACGTACTGGAGATTGTTCTTCGTTCTTGCACCGATACCTTGCCCGCCAGCACATCCTCTACCAAATTGTCTGGCTGCCTTGATACACACACCTTGTGGTACATCCAATTGGTCAGGATTCGCTGATGCGTTGTCCTGGTCGCGTCACTCACCGCGAATCATTGCATTCTGCGCCCGGCGAATGTAGAACATCTACTGAACGCCACATCCAGGCACATCTTCTTCTTGTGCAACGCTCATAACACAAGATTCTGGTCATCGGCGACGGTCTCACGAAAAGCAGACCTCGCCTGGCTGATCTGCTGGGCGCTGCCCCTGAGATGCTGATAGCCGTTTATTTAAGCTCTGGTGGACCACCTTGCGGGCCGAACGACTGTGCATGAATGCTGGTTCCACTCATATCTCCATGCTATCAAGCGCAAGCAAGGATCGCCTGCCAGCGTGGCATCGTCGCCCCAGCTTGATCGGCTCCAGAATAGACACATGCCTGCGTCTGAAGGCAGCAATCTCAGCTTTGAACTGCAAAAACAATTGTCGCGTCCTGTCGTAGTCTTCAAGCCACAGTCTTGCAATTTCCGAGTCGTGTATTGAAGCAAAAGCAAAAGAAGCAGCCCTCGAAGCTTAAGTCAAGCCAAGACCGTGAGCGGTCCTTGTCTCGAAGAATACCTCTCAAGCTCACACGCGTGCAAACATCAATTGAGGACTGTTTGCAAGATCGTTCGCAGAATCTTAGGGAAGGATCAAGGGACGCGCGAAAAAAGTCACGTGCTAGCGCGTTTTGCGCTAAATTAGCTCGCTGCTTCATATTGGGCTTGGACCCTGCTGCGCTTGCCCTGACTTGACGTGAAACTGTACCACCACATCACACACACCCAGATATTCCGCGAGCCGCTTTTCGACCACTAGTCCTTGGTTTAATCGGACAGTCGCCATTCCAAGGGGTCACATGTGATATCCGGGAACAGTCAATAACTTCGACACGTAACCACTCATAAACAAATAACATTCTCGATGCCGGCCGAAACAGCATGCCCAATATCTGGCGTCGACCGGGCCCTTTCGTCATACATCAACTCCCGTGATGACACACTAAGGATTAGACGTACACTCTCGCGCTATCTCACTTCCAGCCTCCGGCCAGTGAGCCATGCAACCCAAACCCAGCACGTAAATCACGAATGCCCTCAAAGCGTTTCAGCTACCAGCACAAATCCACCCGGCCTGAAGGATTCACGCATAGCTTATCTGCATGCCCTACGGGCGAAGACTCAAGCCGAAACCAAGCATCGCGAGCTCCAAGCATCACTGGAAGATCTCCGGAACCGCCATATCGACGAGAATCCTACACTGCCGCAGCCAGATCATGACGACGAATCCACACGAGGCTACATCAACTTGCTTCGACAGCGCCGAAAGCTTGCAGAGCTGAATGTGGTTCAGGATTCCTTAGAGAAATTACTAAGTGCAAAGCCACCCAACCAACATCATGACCCAAGGGACCACGTGCAAGAGGTTATCGGAGAGCAACCGGACCTTCCAGCGGAGAGGCTGGAACAGATTGCTCAGCCTGAGGACAACCAAAACTCGATATTCAAGCTCAAGCAAGAAGTATTGGAAGCAAGGAGCCGTATGGATCGAGCAAACATCGCTAGGAAGCAAGCCAACAGTGTAGTCCGAGATCAGCCTGGACTCCAAGACCAAGTGCGCGCCCTTGAAAGAGCACGGAATGAGATTGTCGAATGGATACAAGGCGAGTTGGCCAAGATGGAGGAAGACTCAGTGTTTCTCGAGGATGCCTCACCCATCAAACGTTCAGTACAGGCAGATACTGCTGTTGACCTTGAGTCTGCGGAAGCACGCATTCGCGCTTCTTATGATCAGTATACCTCAGCTCGAGTTGGGCTGATAAGGTCTTATGGTAGCCTGAACGAGCCACTGCACGAGAACAGCAAAACAGAGTCTGATGATACCACGAAAGATTTATCTGAGAGTCGCAAAGACACAAAGCTTGTAAAGCCTATCACGAAGCTGCTACCTCATCTTCCTCTGCTTGCTCGTTCCGCCCAGAATGAGCGCTCGCTGCTGCAACAAGCTGTGTACCTCCAAAGTCAGCTTGCTGCTTCGGATCAGGAGCTTGAAGAAGCGCTACTGCGGTTGTCGGGCGAAAGTCATCTACTCCCGGCTGGATCGAAGAATGCTAGCGTGTGGGGCAAGGTCGCAACGGAAGTCGAATCCGCAACGGAGACGTTTGTGAAGGAACATCTGCAAGAAAGTCGCAAGGAAGTCAGTAGCATCAGCGCCATCGTTGATCTCTGCTCACTGCAAAGCAAGGTGCTGGCTTCTGTGTAGAAACGACCTCAATCACCTTAAGATATAACGTTCAGGTTATATTCAAAGTCTGTCATTTCTCTAGAGTGCTAGGACCCACAAGCAGAAATTCGCAGAGTACGCACTTGTGGAAGAGTCGTAAACGCATGGTGTGAGGCTAGCACAAGCGAACGCCTCGGCGGGGACGCCTGCATGAATCGATCATGCTGAGCTTAGCTGCCAACTTCAACTAGACACCCCGCACGACACCCTCTGTCGCGGTAGATCGTGAGTGATCAGTACGCATGTGCGGAAATATTGAAGGATTGAACTGAGTTTGTATTGGGTGAAGCTACGAACAGTATGTATATAGGTGGGTAGCTGTAAACAACGCTAGTGTGACGTGGTAGTCACTCTCATGGCAGATGAGGTACGACAGGCAGGAGCACCCTAAACCGTGACACCCTCACTTTGATCATTTCGTTACCACGCGTATATTGAACGTACAACCGCATGTCCTAACCGGACCGAATCGACTGCTGCGAGGGCCGCCCTCACTGCTCTGTGCACAGCCATTCTATGAGCCTTCCAAAGCACCCGATGACCGAAAATGATGACCACGATCCCATGCGAGCATGGTTCTCCACTACGCACATCGAACAAAAGCCTCTTTCAGAAACGAACATTCGAGACATAGCACAGATACTTATGCGAGGGAGCTCCAGAGGTTGCCGGAGGCTCTCCTCGTAATGCGTGGTCCGATATTTGGTCACTTGGCTGCATGTTCCTTGAGATGTGGACTGTACTAAGGCTGGAGACCATACACGCGCTAAGCGTTCACATGTCCAGCCATGGGACTTCGTCAAGTGCTTATTGCACTAACTTGCCAGGCGTTGACTTATAGGTCGAGCGGTTGAAAGGAATGCCGGGACCTACAGTGGACAAAGTACCAGCAACCTGGATCGAACATATACTACAGCACAATCGCTATGCCCGCTGACCCGCTCATACTCTGAGAGATCACATCTATGAGCATAGCGATGATTCAACTGCAGTCTTCGCTTTTTCGGGTCGATGCTGCTTGGATGAGGATGACACAGAGGAGAGTGTGTTGTCATCAGACTGGGAAGAGCTAGATTTCCCAGCCGGAGTTCCGCCTCGTGAGCATGTGTCTATAAAGGCCAAGACTGCGGCGATCGAACATCAAGACCATCATACAAGCCAGTCTTCTACGAGATTGCTAGTCGACTGCAGTTGAAAAGCATCGTCTGAGTAACCCCAGTACACATTGTAAGGACATCATAAGCATGACTGAAATCAACTCACCTACAAGCCAATGGTACGAACTCATGCCAGTACCGGTCAACACTCTCCATGCAGGCCGCGCACCAGTCACTGTACTTGAGGCACACCAACGTGATCTGCTCTCGGCTAGAAGTAAGATACATTTGGCTTTCGTGTTATCGAAGATACTCTGGCAGTTCTATGATTCGGACTGGATGCAGGCGAGGTGAGATCTTGGCGACGTTCTACTCTCACCGCACCAGGACGGCCGCGACGTTCTTGATGCCGAAGTACCGTCGCCAAATTTTAGAATCGATACCGCTAGCCTTGCACGAACTCAAACTCACTTTGGGCCGTCAAAGTCCACCAGGCTGATATAATATACATGTCGTTTGGCTGGGACTGCGAAGGTCTTGTTGAGAGGGGTGAAATCCCACGTGTCATTTCAGGGGCATCGTTCAATAGAGAGTAGGAAGTTTTGTTCTTTACTTCAGCTTCAAGTTGGGGAGGCGGCAAGTACAAGCTGTTTCCCGTAAGACACGCCGATGTCTTTTCGATAAGAGCTCTGTACTGAATGGGTCCACTGAATAGGCAGAAGGCTCCTCAGATAGTGCTGCCCAAAATCAACACTTGGTCGTATAGCTACTTCTGTTTACAAGCATTTTGTTGCTACCACATACTGGTGAGGGTTTGGCACACTGATGCTTCATAAGCCAAGTGCCGTTGCATACTCAAGGAATACATGATGGAGACGCAAATTTCTACAAAAGTCAAGCAAATGTACAAATGCTGTCATGAAGTGTTTATCAGCTTTTGTGAGAAAGATCTTGATTGATTACTGTTTGTTGCCATGAGAAGTGGGCCTGCGATGCTACGGTCCGCCGCAAACATCTCCGTGACGCGCCGATGTACCAAACCTGCACCGACGATTTGAGAGATACCCAAACGCCGCCGATGCTTTACGCTTTTATGCGCACCAGAACGCTCACTGCCCCTGAAAGGCGCCGGACCTACCGCAACGCCGACCGTGAACTTGGGATGATGAGAAGAACGGCCATGACGTATAGTTCCTGGTTATGACGGTGACATAAAAGAAGATCGTATAATCCAACGTGTTGTGACAATCATATCATGAGAAATGATAGCGTGCGCGTCGAAATGTACTTGTTATACCCATTAGTGCCAGGTAAGAAAAGGGGTGCAAAAGGCATATACCTCAAGGTGGCAAAAGACCTAAACCTCCTCCTCAGCCTCAGTCATAGCAGCGTCGTCTTCAAGCTTGAGCTCCTCAGCGGAGTCAGACTCGGCCTTGACGTTGGCTACTGAGCAGTTAGTCACACTTAATTCACGTCAGAACGGAGTCTACTTACAAGTCTCCTCCTCGGGCTCCTGCTTAGGCTTGGGCCTAGCAGGGCGACCCTTCTTCTTGGGTGAAGCGTCGCCGTCCTCGGGCTCCTGGTTGGCGCGCTTGCGATGAGTCTTCTTGGGTGTGTCCTCGCCGTCCTCGCCGGCCTCGTCCTTCTTCTTGCGCCCAGCAGCCTTCTTGGGAGTTGGCGGTGCGCTGCCGTCGCTGGGCATCATCAGCTTCTTCTTGATGTTCGCCCAGGCGTTGCTGGCAGAGCGGGGATTAGACATGCCCGCGAAAGCGGCGAGCTTCTCGTTGTCGATCTACGCCTATCAATGATATAGTCAGGAGGTGGGTAAAATAGAAGACAGACCTCAGGAGGGCCTGACTTGAGGGACTGCATGGCCCAGCCGAGAAGCTGGAGCTCACGCTCGGTGAACTTGGGGCCCTCTGCGGCAGCGCCGGGAACAGGAGACTTGGTAGTGTCGGACATGGTTACAGGTGGTAGAGTGAGGTATGAGGGAGATGGCTCGTAGGAAGATCTGGTGATGAGCTGGAGCAATCGCAAATGGTGTGTCGAAGAAGAACGGTGGGGCATCGACGGTATTTATGGATTGAGGGACAGACTAGCGCAACGATGCTGATGAACAGAGAGTGAAGGTGAATGCACTGAAATGCTACCAAATGGCGGCGAATGTCCGCTCGTTCTCCTCGTCTTCCATAGTCTCAGACTCAGATAGGACGTTAAACCAATCAATCAATCCGCTCGTTCCTGCTTTAGCTGCCCTCCGCGAAGATACGTGTTCTAGACCTTATCGTAGATCGCGACCGTCCAACGGAACATGACAGATTGTAGACGAATATGGGGCAGAGCAAACGGTTTGACGGCGACACCCATTTGTTATGGTGGGTCCTCAGTGAAACCTACGTCCACCACGTGCAAGTGACCGCGCTTGATTGAGGCAGTTGCCAGCTATCCATTCTGGGTTTTCTTCCTCTTAAGTGGTAAAGTCTCGAAGCTCGACTGAATATGCTCTTGGGCGTGTTGTGGCGCTCGTCATGCAGCGCAGCGGTTGTGCGCCCCATGCCTTGTGGGAGAGGAGCAGCGCTGGAAAAGTGTTAATGGTAGCCATAGAATTGATGCATCTACTCAGTGAACAGAACAACCGTCACTATAGACAATTGCCCAGGCGGCGTTCGTTATGTGGTTTTGCAGTTGGTGTATAGACGACGGTCTTGAGACGCCAGTGCGGTGTAAGTGAAGGCAACAAACAGCAAGCACGAATGGCGACAGCGTCCCAAAAGAGTAGGAGCTGTTGCCAACAGAGCCTTCACGCTCACTGCACTTCCCCTCGTATCAGTAAACTGTATGCGCATCAATTTTGACAATTCACGTTGAGAGTAGAAGAGGTGAGGTCAACCTCCACCTGACGCGAAACCGCAATGGGCGACTTCGTACTTGACTCGCGGACCACCACCGAACTCCCGACCTTGGAAGCATTAGGTACAGGAGCTCCTGCCGCCGCCAACCACGTCGCAGCACCCGTCCGAGCCATTGTCCCCAGATCCCCTCTTCAGACCACTTTCTTCGAGATAGTACCTTTCCACAAAATGGCTGACCCCATAGACAGCGCTCTGTAAGCATCTTCCCCTCCAATCATCACAAACAGCTCCACTAACATCGACCAGCGACCTCCTCCGGCGCCTCAACCCCAAGGATGTCAAGAAGAACGTCGAACACATTATCAGCCTAAACCCCGCGCTAGAAGAAGACCTTCTCGAATCCGTCGATATCCCGCTCACCGAGAAGAAGTGCTCGAAGACGAAGCGCGATTTCCTTTGCTGCGACTACAACCGCGATGGTGATAGCTGGAGGAGTCCGTGGAGCAACGAGTTCGAGCCGCCAATCGATGATGGCGTGACACCAAGTGAGAGAATTAGGAAGATGGAGATTAAGGCGAACGAGGCGTTTGACGTATATCGGGAGCTGTGGGTGCATCGTTGGTTTGCTAACCTAGGCATATGCTGACGAGGGCAGGTACTTTGAGGGCGGCATTTCAAGTGTCTACCTCTGGGACATGGATGATGGGTTCGCAGGCTGTGTTTTGCTCAAGAAGGGTGTGTCAATCCTGTCGTACTCTGCAAAGGGCCACGCTAACACGAACAGCCGTCAACCCCACACAACGCAGCTCTGGCAGCTGGGACAGCATCCACGTCTTCGACGCGCAGGACCGTGCCCGTACCGCCCATTACAAGTTGACCTCGACCGTCATTCTCTCCCTCGGCACCGACTCCGAAGCGCTCGGCGGTCTGGACCTGTCTGGTAACATGGTTCGCCAAGTGGAGGCTGACATGGCTGTTGAGGACGACACATCACACGTCGCAAACATTGGCAAGATGGTTGAGGATATGGAGCTGAAGATGCGTAACCTGCTGCAAGAGGTGTACTTCGGCAAGGCGAAGGATGTTGTGGGTGATCTCAGGAGCATCCCGCCGCTGAGCCAGACAAACAAGGATAGGGCGACACAAAGGGAGATGATTAACAGCATGGGCAGATAGACGTTCTCCAGCCATACTGATTTTGGGCTATGTCAAAGACGTAAGCCCCGCGCTAGGCTCTAGAATGCCATTGGCGAGTTCAAGGCCATACCTAAACTATTCGATTACGTACACTCAGACTCGAATTGTGATGTACTGATAGCCTTACAGGAATCATGTCTCGCCCATGGAATGACAATGAATCATGTGAGATAACCTTGTCTCTAGAGACCGCTGGCAGCGCAGCTTGAACAGTCGCAATCATCAGCTTCGCTCCACGTGCGGTCGTCATCCATACTCAAATTTGACACTACGTCGTAGGCGATACCACATCTAGCTTCCGAAAGCGCATCTGCGAGTTCAGCATCGAAAGGGGTAGCAGATTCGGGAATGACGATTTTCTAAGCTTTCTCTCGATCGCCGCGAGTTCTTCCCCATCGGTGTCAAATTCGCCGATTCCCCAGTCTGACAAGTTCAGAGACTTGATTTGATGGCTTCGCGTTGAGCAATCGAGCGTTGTCCGAGCCATAACTTTAGCCCTTTGTAGGTGGTGAAAGGGAATGTGTTGAGCTCGTAAACCAACAGGGCGGTCTCTGAATAGAGCTAGCAGTAAACTTGGTGCAGCCGCAACTAAGCATGTTTGTCTTGATATGATTGCATATACGTTGACGCTCCATTTTGGGAAAGCACGTACTTCCTGTTTAAAAAACAGCTGGATGGTGATATCTGAAGTTACAGTGTACTTGAAGATATACTTTGGGTCTCTGGTAGGATGCGAAGCAGAGGTGAGTTGGCGAAGGCGATCGTGCTACATGTCTCATTGGCGAACAAGCTCGGTGATCAGTACTCAGACTCACATATCCTGCAGGTATTCCGCTGTCTTTCTGCCGACGAGTGCCTTGCCACGCACACTGCGCTGATAGCGAATCACTAGAGCTTTGCGCTTGCGTACAAACCCTGCCTTGTTTGCAGCATCGGCACTGGCCTGCATCTTGTCCTGAGTACTTTGCGGAGAGTGGAAGCCATTGTGGCGGGACCACCGTACAGCGAAGTGTGGTCAGATGTGAGGTGAGTTGGAGAAAAGTGGGGGACGTGAATGGGTTACTCCTTCCTCAGACGCGTCCATGAGCGCGCTAACACGTGGAGACGCGACTTGGTTCAAACGATAAGCTTTAAAACAACCGCCGAAGTGTTGAAGATTTCTAGGGCCTACAAGACGGCGGCATGGAAGCTATCTTAACACGACGCCCGTGATAGATAGGGCAGTGAGATGTGAGGTGGAATTGGGACGTTTGAGGTGAGGAAGGTGGGAGAAAGTAGCTCCTTCTTCGAACAGGGCAGGCGCATTGACAACGGAACTGTCTCTGCACAAAGGATCTTCCCTTTTCACAGAGACTGAAGGTCCAAACGGTCCATGCTCAACGTCTCGGGGTGTAAACTGCGCATTCACTGACAGTATAAAGACGGTGGGTAGAAGATCAGGGTACAAAGCGAATCACTGCCCAGCAAAGGTCACCACAACGCGTTCTTTCGTACACGAAGTCTCAGGCTTCCGTTGGGTACCGCGGCGTCAAAAGCAGAATAACTCCGACTAAGCTTGCTGCACATGCTGCGCTTCCTGGCAAGAATCGATCAGGTATCGACGAACGTCGTGTTCCAGCCTCTGGACCGCAGCTTTGCCCTCGGTCAACCGTTCAAGATGCGACTCATCTTGAAGGTCAGCCACAGCAGCATCATTGTAAGCACCAGTCTATGCTCGACCATCAAAACTTTGGTAGCTTATACCGGTGGGGCTTAGGGCTTCTCAGAAGTCAGAAAACAGTGTGCAGCTCATGAGGGCGACTTACTTGGCCAGGGTCGTGACAGGTTTCCCCTTACGGTTCACCAGGACAGACCCCAACTCCTTGATCACGTATTCTAAAAGCCGTGTTGCGAATCTCTCTAGGGAAACCTCGACAGAGATGCGTTTCAAGCAAGGAAGTTCTGCACTCGCTCGTCCCAAGGCTCCCAGTCGGTACTACCCAAGACCTTGAAGCCTCGTAGTTCAGCTCTCCGTGAGGAGTAGTTGCACAGGTGGAACGTAAACTCGATGCGTCTCAAAGCCGCTTTCTGACATTCTGGCATAACAGAGATATAATCAGCAAGCACTGCAGGAGTCATAAGTTCGAATGTTGTGGCGCAGTACATTGAGAACAGCATCTCAGAGTACATCTGGCGACAAGTCGAGAGCAGTCTGTAATTTGCCCTGCCACTTTCGTCTCTGATCATGATGGAGTCTGAGAAACTTCTTGCGGGCTTGACATAGTAGTATACGCAAATGTCAAATTCGTTAAACATAAAGTCGTAGATTCAGGTGTGGATATCTCCAGGGAGGCGCAGTAGTGATGAGCTCGATGCATTGTCGATGGTACTGCAATATCTTGTCAGTTGACGAGCAAACAGACGCATTGCTGACTTACCGCTGAGTTGTCTTACTGGACGTGCCATTGCGCGGCGCCAGCTCTTGCCCCGAGAAGTGTCACTGTGCGGACATTTAGGAGTTCTTCAGAAGTGCAGGTAGTCAGGATTCCGGTTGTGTCATGGTGTTGGAAGTGTTGACAGGTTATTAGTGCGCTTTCTCTGGGCGCCTGCTCTTCACTTTTATTTCCACCTGGTTGCTATGCTGCCATACGGCTACATTACCTAACTTTTGATTCCGTGTAAAAAAAACTCGTATGTAGCACCTCACCCTCCAAAGTCGACTGCGGTCATGCACCGAACAAGCAGCACATCATCGCACAAGTGTAGCGTTATGGAGCTAGATCTGCCTCCGCAACCAAAATTTGTCTGCATCCAGTCAGACCGTGCCTCCTAACCTAATTTTTCTGGAATTGTAGCATGGGATTACTGAGTAGCGACTTGAATAAATCTCTGATTATCCTTGGACAAGAATCTCGCGAGTATATCCATCTCTTCCAGATTCAGATCGGAAAACACTTCGCACGTTGTATAGAAAGAGATGCGCTGCAAAGCAGACAACTCTCTGCAAATATGGAGAGAGGTTGCCACTCAGACCAAATCCTCGGATACTTCCCAATGACGTAACAGCACTGGGATATGTCGTCCAGACCGTGTAGGTATGTGGTGAACTTGATGGCATTGACCACGAGCTTCCTTCCCTGCGGCAGGACCCTGAGCCAATCGAACAGTACGACCATATTCTTGAACGCAAATGTTGCAGCCTCGCACCACAATACTAGGATCTCCTTGTGAATTTGACGGCACGTTCGAACGAGGTCAAACTGTTCTTTCGCTTCGTCTCCAATCATGATGAAGTCGTAGAAATGGAGGGGTGGCACCAATTGGTAATATGCGAAGACGGGGAAGTCCTCGAAAAAAACGTCTTAGACACGATTGTGGAATTCTGAGTGGAGCCGGAGGAAGGAAGAGTTGTTCGCATTCCATCTTGTCACACTGCTTCTATCTGCTCCCGCCTCCTGAAGACATTGTGCTATACCAACTTATGAGCCAGACAAATAACCGGCTCGGGATCAGGGGTATTCTCATCGGACGGTGTGATGCTTGCGGAATGAAGTGAGGTGGCAGAGAAGAAAAAGAGGTGTTCTGATAAAAGTCGGTCCCAGACCCTGGGGAGCACGTGGGAGACTGAAGCCCTTCTCACTTTACTCAACTTCGTTCTTACACCTAGGCCTAGAATCCTGAATAGATAATAGGAATGATGCTTATTCAAGGCTTACGTGCACTCAGTCAGTTGCCCTTTACACCACGCGCTGGCAGCCAATATGATGTCTGGAATGAATGGAGTGTACAATCGATGGTTTCTTGACGCATCAAGGACCTATGTCCTTGCTCTTATGCATCTTCAGGTCAGAAGACCGAAGCTGCGATTGATTTGTGGGCACAGATGTAGCCTCCTTCGTTGCTACACATTGTCAATGGCATAACGTCAACATGATAGGGTAGAGCCGATGAAACTTCGACAACGTCCAGGTGTCACCCTACAAGGGGTACAGCTTAGAATTCAACAATATTCGGAGACTGCTACCCATGTAAAGAGGCAGGGTTCAGAGGATGGATGACGAATGGACCTGCTTGTCGTCGATCGCAAGGCCATCAGGCTGCCTCTTCGGCTCAAGCAGCCCCTCGTAAGCATGCTGCTGAGTGATCGCCTCTTCCCACATCGGAGGTAAGATGTGCAACTTCACAAAGGACAAGACCAATTGCATGAGAATTCATTGTAACGACATCTCCGCATACCGATTACGCTTCCCGCAAGACTGATGCTCACTAATGCCGTTGTACAGCCAAATGACCAATTGGACGCAGCACAGCTGGGAAGTATCCTTCAATTGGGTACAGGCCTTTCATTTCTGTGGCCATGTTGAGATAGCTCGCTCGCTTCATTGTCGACATCATCATGTAACTCACCATTGTTGTGGGTACAGAGCTTCACAATTGGCGGACATAGCGGGCTTGGTGCAGGGTAAGCACTATCGAGCACTATCAACTATACACAGCAGGTGGGGAAGCTGAAGAGGTATAAAGCTAAAGTCCAGTAACTGCATTCTCCTCACTCAAGTTCCATCACTGCATCGTCTATACAACTCGAAACTTCGGTCTTCATTCACAATCCCAACACCGCTCACAATGGCCCACACCAACCGCCTCAACAACACGCACGTCCTCGTCTTTGGCGGGACATCAGGCATCGGCTACGCCATCGCCAACATGGCCCTCTCCAACGGTGCCCGCATAACAATCTCCGGCAGCGCCCAACCCAAAGTCGACACCAAAGTCTCGCAACTGCGCTCGCTTTACCCCGACATGCCCGCTGAGAACGTTGCCGGCTTTGCTTGCGACCTGTTCGACATCGCCAACCTCGAAGCCAATCTCACTGGTTTGTTTGACAAGGTCACGCAAGGCGGTAGCAAGAAGATTGATCATATTGCGTACACGGCCGGCGACTCGATTAGTCTTCCAGGTGTGAATGTTGTTACGCCGGAAGCGTTGCTGAAGGGGTTTAATGTCCGCCTCATCGCACCCAGTATTATCGCCAAACTCCTAACAACCGGGGAATACATGCCTCAAACCGTGAACTCATCATTCACACTGACTGGTGGGACAAACACGCACAAGCCCTTTCCCGGATGGACGTTTGTCGCCGCGGTAGGCGCATCTGCTGAAGGCCTCATACGTGGACTGGCAGTTGACTTGAATCCCATCCGCACGAACATCGTTATTCCTGGGGCGACTCAGTCGGAGTTGTTGCAACCTATGTTGGACCGGATGGGTGAGGAGGCGACAGCAAAGTGGAGACGGGAGAATAGTCTGACGGATACGCTTGGACAGCCGGAGGAGATTGCAGAGGCGTATGGATATCTTATGAAGGACAAGTTTGCCAATGGGAGCCAAGTCACGAGTGATGGGGGGAGACTGTTGGTTCCTGCTGGCCAGTGATGTAGATGCTAGATAGCCCTTCAGTGTGATAAACGCCCTCGTTTGTGTTGGTACAGTCTTGTCGACGCCTTCGGAGAAGTCTGTTATCTCGCTCTTACAATCAATCCATTTCCTGAATACTGCGCTCGCTCAGCTTCGGCTTTCGCGCTTCGGGTGTATCGAGGTCCGTTACTCTTCTAGTGAGCGCCATGTACTTGCCCATCAACTCATTCGTCACCTTCATGGTGTGATCGATGAAGAAGTGATTACCGCCCTACAGTAGTGATGGTCAGCAGTGTCCGTAATGTGAGCGGGCGCAGTGCAATCGCAGACGCAGTAGTCAAAAGCAATAAAACAGGGTACAAACATAACAATCCAAATCCTCCATAGTCGCGCCCAGAATCACTCAAAGCATCGCCAAAAGCATCGCCAAATCCACTCGCTGTTGCTGTCGTCCAACTTACTCCTTCATTACTCGTGTCCGCCTCTTGTACAGGCGTAGCTGCAATGACGGCTGCCCAGTCGATGGTGCGCCAGTCTATAAGTTCGGTTTCCTTGAGATTGTTTTGTAACGGTCCGGGCGGGCTGTCGGCATTCTCGATGTTTGGTGATGGTACGTTCAAGTATGGTTCGAGTCTGTGGATGAAGGGTCAAGTATAAGCAAAAGAACGTATCGGAACAAGATGGGCGTAGTGATCTAACCTGAGGTGGACAATTCTGTTCCATAAGTGCCGTACAAACTCGTCGAGCTTGTACCTGACCCAGCCACAGAAGCTCAAACGTTCGAGTAACGCATTTGCAGAGGCGATGTTGAACTCTGCGCATGCAAGAGACGATTGGTGTATAAACCAGGCGCTCTCTGCTGAGCCCTCAGCCGAGATGGCACCGATGGAGAGGATCCAAAGAAGCAGATCTGGACATGGTTGCCATTCAGCGCGCGTCGTGCAGTTAAGTGCGCTTTCGAGCCGCTTGCTGGCAACGAAGTGTAGAAGGTGAACGTCTGACGGTCGCTTCAGCGCTTCAGTCGTTCGTACGGTGTAGATGATCAATGCAACGCAAAGGGCACCTTCAAGAGGTGTAATGAGAGGCTCTTTTTCGCTGATCCATGCGAGCAGCAAGCACTCGAGTGAACAAGAGAAGTTTTGTATGTCCAGTGCGTCAAGTGGACTCTCTGGATCATCATACCAGGCATTTAGGTCAGCGGTGAGTATCAGTACGAGTTCCAGCAGCTCAGTAAGGGATTCCGTAAGTCCTGCATGTCGGCAAAGGCTAACGAGGTGTTGTGAGTGGTTTGGACTATAGCCTCGTGGATGATGAGGAAAGTTTGCTGTGCGAATATACGCTAACGTTGTGGGGTTGGGTGCGGCGAAAGCTGCGATGGCGTGAGCTGTAGTATGCCTGATGCTCAGTAAGCATTTGCCAACCCGCTTTGGGCCATCAGGCCAAGTGAGGTGTCACATACCAAAGGATAAAAGCTTGCAGAATGCGATTCGTGCCGACAGCCTTCAGGCCGCCCCGCAAATGCAACATCTCTTGCAAACCATTTAGATGCATCATAGCATTTGGCTGCTCGTCGAATGGTATCTCGTCTCTAAAATGGGGCATCATCAGACCTTCTTCCACAGTCAACAGGTTGAAAACAGCGCCGAGATTCGCATCCGAGAAACGAACAGCACGATCTTGTGTCGACAGAGCCTTGTTCACCGCTGAGATAGCTTTTGCGCGATGGCCAAGGATCGTTTTGACGGTGCCCTTACCAAAGACGAACATGTGCAGGGCAGCCGTGCTAAGCAAGCTGTGCATGAAGCCTTTGTTACTCAGTGCTGTATCAAACCATTCCGACTTCATCAGGGTGGACCTGCTTCGAATGTCAACTCCAATTATACCAGGAGCCATTTCATGGACAACTATACACTTGCAGTCAGCGCTGTTCATTTCACACGACCGCCGTGTTGGAACAAGGCTTTGACTCGCTCTCGCTTGAGCCTGTCATTACCCTGGGGTGCAGCGGCGCGCCAGGGATACTGGTTACGCACACTTAAAGACTGCAATGGGACTGTGTTTTGTGGAACAGAAAGGTAAGCTTACAGTGATCAAGAAGTTCTGATATCTCCTTGGTTATTTTGACGGCCGACGCCCCAAATGGATCGAGAACACCGTTGTTAGGCTCTCTCACAGACCCAGTACTTCTAAGTAAGATGCACTTCGGGCATAGTGTCTGACCATGTCGGACGACAAAGATCTTGCAATTCGAACAAATGCCTCGCTCGAACGCGCCAACATTTGTTTGTTCGAAGGCCGGGAAATAGCCGTTGCGACTGGGCTCGATAGTAGGGCTCGATGATGCTGTGTTTGGGGTTGATATTGATGTGGGTGTACCGGCACTCCCCGGACTTGCACTTTCTTGGGCTCGTTGCTTCGCGGCCTGCTTGCTCGTAGACCACGGACGCTCCCTCCTCGCCTTCTGCATGACGAATGAGCGAGCATTGCGTCGTCCTTGGCGGGATGTCTTTGCTTCAGACGCATCGACAAAAAGGAAGTCTCGTGGGATGGGCACAGTCGGTTGGGAGCGTTTTGGGGCATTGGCATTCTGCTCCTGGCCCTCCATCACACGTTTTCGGGAACAGAACCAGCAAGACGTTGTGTTGCTGACCTGATCTCGGGGGCGTTGGTGGTAGTGCAGCTCAGCAAGGCACACCTAAGCGTAAAATGCGAGCGATATTAGAGCCAAGACCTCGCAATTGATTCCCGCTCGCCACCATCATCATTCGAGTGCTCCTTGAACGGCGCCGGGTTGCAGCTGCCTCGTACTGAGATGTGCCTGGAGGTCATGGAGGGGCTGAAGCTGTGCAACTATCAAAGTCCGGATTAGCGCTAGGCTGCTGAAGCGAGCACGGAGCTGACAGGGTATTTGATACCGACCTCGCACCCTTTCTTTCGTCGGTATTCGCTCGTAGTCGTACCGGTCAAGTCTTTGTTGTACTGTGAAGTATCGTACAGAGATGTCAAAGGTATGGCAGGTTTGGCGGGTCACGGGTGTGTACGTAGCTGTTATTCAAGCTATACGGGCCTCATGCCGGATGTACACAAAAATAGTATCGTTCTTGACATGGCGTTCAACGGATCTGGGGATAGTGGAATGAGCGGTTGCTTCCAGACGTTCGACGTGCAGATTAATTGGGACGTGTCATCTTGATAACTTCGAGATTTGCTCGAGCTGTCGGACGCAATGCTGAAATCTTGTCTACTTGGTGTACTACATCCTCAGAGCGAGTGATTGGTGTGATTGGGCAACGTTAGACCGGCCAATGGTCAGAAACGTGAACTCCGAAATCAATGAACAAGACTTTGTCAGGTGTCGTTGATCCGCTGCATCGTCACGACTCGAGCTTGCTTCAAGCGGCACGTCCCTTTCATGCTGTCAAGGTGCAATCGCTGAAGTCGTGATGGTGCCTGCTGCATTGAGTTGCTGCAGGGGAGGACCACACCGTCCTGCGGCTGTTCGTCACACCCGGAAAGATTGACGATGTGTCGCAGTTCATTGTATCGCTACCACCGTAATCCGTATGCAGCATTGAATAAGGAGATGTCTCGAGGTTGACAATAGGCGGACGCGCAGACGTCGAATTATGTAAGGGGAAAAGAGGCTCCGGTCCGGTATCATTGGCAAGAGCACCTCGGCGGTCTCAAACGCGTCTCCCAGCGTTTCGAGGTCTGGCAACGTCGACATGACGGCTGGCGATGGTCTTGTAGAAGGTGAGTCGCGCAACACGGTCCTTCCTAGGGTGCATCGAAAATCCACAGTGGTGTTCGTATACTGACTGGGATTCTTACTCAGGCCTCTCGCACATCACCACCGAGCTGCTCCGCAGAGAGCTACAACGCCGACAAGATGAAGTTGAGAAGCCCGAATGCGGGTCGAAGGGCGGAAAGAAGCACTACAACACAGGCATCCATGTCTTCGCTCTAATTCTTATTCTTGCCTTGAGCACGGCAGGTGCGTGTGGTTGCGGTGGATATTGCCGGCGGCGGAACTGACCATGGACAGCTTGCTCCTTCCCCATCGTCGTCAAGCGATTCCCTGCAATCCCAGTGCCCTCGCGCTTCCTCTTCCTCTCGAGACACTTCGGCACTGGCGTGCTCATTGCGACAGCCTTCGTCCATCTTCTTCCTACCGCCTTTGAATCGCTCACTGACCCATGTCTTCCGCACTTTTGGAATCGCGGCTACCCGGCCATGCCGGGGCTCATAGCCATGACCGCCGTCTTTGTGGTTGTTGGCATTGAAATGTTCTTTGCCTCGAAAGGCGCTGGACATTCACATGCAGTCGACTATGACACCCTTGGTCACGACGATCACCTCGCGCACGCTCGGCCGAACCACAAGAGAAGTCACAGCTTTGGACGATACAGTGCTGGCGCCAACGGCAACGTACCAGGCATCGTGCTGCACGATGTCGAGTCGTCTGAACGTTCGGGCCTAATGGCAGGACGATCACCAGCCCTCTCACTTGTGTCTCCCACCACACCGACTGCGCCCAACGGTCATGCTGCGAGGCAAAGCATTGACAGTGATGATGACTCGGACCTCGAAATCAGCCCTGAAGAGCTCGCCAGACAACAAGAGGAGGAAGATCTGGAAGATGAATCTCAGCTGTTGTCAAACCCCCACGCACACAAGCGGACCCACGATCCTCGTAATTCTTCGCCAGAGACACCTGAGAAGACGGAAGCACAAAACAAGAAGCTGCTATTACAGTGTCTGCTTCTTGAAGCAGGCATTCTGTTTCACAGCGTCTTCATTGGCATGGCTTTGTCTGTAGCAACTGGGACTTCCTTCATCGTGCTGCTAGTGGCCATCTCGTTCCACCAGACTTTTGAAGGCTTTGCACTTGGATCACGAATCAGTGCAATTCGCTTTCCTGTTGGCTCTCCCAAGCCATGGCTCATGGCACTTGCGTACGGGACCACCACACCTGTTGGACAAGCAATCGGTCTTGCCATTCACACACTCTACGACCCGTTTAGCCAAACTGGCTTGCTAATGGTAGGCTTCATGAACGCCATCTCGAGCGGGCTGTTGTTGTTCGCTGGCCTTGTAGAGCTTCTTGCCGAGGATTTCTTGAGCGACGAAAGCTACATCACTCTGCAAGGCAAGCGACGGCTGCAAGCTTGCGGTAGTGTTGTAGCCGGAGCACTACTTATGGCATTAGTTGGCGCTTGGGCATAGATTCTGTTTGCTTCCATATATCAACTACATTCGAGGTCCCGCGGCTACTCCTATGCACATCACCCAACTGATCTTAATCGCACAAGTGTATCTATATCGTGCCTTCACCCACAAGCATCACACAGTGATGCCCGATGACTATCGTTTACTTTATAGATGGTGTAAGTCTCCAGAATCTCATCAAATCAAGTTACTCGACTACTTAGTCGACTCTGTGTAGTCGGCTCAAATCCCCTATGGCGCAATCGGTAGCGCGTCAGACTGTTAAACTATCACAGTCAACTGAGGCCTCACCACCCTCAGGTGATTGTGATAGCTGCCGTCTGGAGGTTCACAGTTCGAGCCTGTGTAGGGAAGATCTTTTTGCTAACCTCTCCCGCACCTGCAGTGTACGATATAGCCCTTTTCTAGGACAATGTAAGCTCTGTTTTGCATAGGCTACTTGCTACCACTTGCACTCTTCCTCTCGGCCTCGAGCTTCTTGCACCTAGCCACCAAATCACTAATATGCTTATCCCCACTCTCCTCACTCAACCCCAACAACGCTTCTTCTAGATTGAACAAGTACTCTCTATTCTCCCCACTCGGCCCTCTGCTCTGCAAAATCTTCCTCGCTAGTGCATTTGGATCTTGCGGGCCTAGGAACTGAGGGTTCTCGGGCAGGCCGATGTAGACTAGACACCTGATGGGCTTCGAGTCTGAGGCCGGATGGAAGGGTGTGAACTGTATGCTGTACCCGTTGATTTCGCGGATGTCGAGGTATTCGCGGACTTCGGGGACTTTGGCGGCGGGGATGTGGTAGGCGGCGCCCCAGACGCGCTCTGTGGGCTCATGCTATTCAGTCGTCAGGCTCTGTTCATGATGGCCTGGAAACGGACGAGTGCTCACGTGGTCTGATAGAGTGTCCCAGTGTGCGCGGTCGATGAGGGTCACTACGCGACCGGGTGCTTCGGGCGTGCCTCTGTGGTCCTCACTTTATGTTTTGTTAGATACACGTGTCTTGCGTGATTTGCTCAGAAAGTTGTACCTTGCCTGTAGGAGTATTTAGTTGTAGATGTCCATCGTCCTGCGCAGGTCGTCATACCTGCCAGAAGCGTCGAACGTAACCTTCGATGTAGCCGGGCACTCGTTGATCTACAACATACCGTCAGTCCGAATTTAAGGATTGAACTTCTGTGCATGCTGAAGTACCGAAGTGTGGCGGTGGCTTCCATATTAAGCTCCTAGACATACGTGAGATTCCGGCTCTTGTCGGTAGATCGAACTTGTCTCCTCACCCGTAGCCAAACAGCCAGAAGTCATCGTTACTGCCAAACTCTTCTATCTGTTTCTGATGGACCGCCATATTGGTGATGTCTAAGACATGTTTGAATCTCAAACATCGGATGTTGTCGGTCGATGACGTGGGGCAACAAACAGTGGGGCGTATGCAGGGCAAGTTGCGGATCAATTCCGATGGCGCGATTTGATGCCATTGAGATCTCTCAAGCCGCAAGGAGGATTGTTCCCCATCGGCTACTATGTATACAAGTCAAGGTGTACAGTATCTAGAGTACAAAACGTTACGAGCCACCTGCTGCCCTGCTCATGAAGAAATTCTTCAGCGGGCCCATGGCATCGACTGCCCTTAACCCCAAACTTCTTAATCCTACAACCGGCCCCGACTCAACGCTGTATAGTCGATGCAGCTTGTCGCAGACACCCAACATAGCGTTGTTCTCCGCGTAACGCTCGCTGTTGTAGCTCTCTAGTGCCAGAGTCGAACCAATGTCCTGGCCGGTCCGTACTGCGTGCGAAATCGTTCGCACTAAAGCTGCAGCATCTCCCTGACCTTGGTTCAGACCCTGGCCTGCGAGCGGGTGTATAGTGTGGGCTGCGTCGCCAACGAGGGCGACTCGCTCGCCGGTGTATGTGTCGGCGTGGCGCATGCGGAGAGGGAACCCCGCAACGGTGCCAGATTCGACGTCGGTGATGCGCATCGGTATCGCTCGTTCGTTGACGGGTGTATGCTTCTCTCGCCATGCCACCTCCTCTGCTTGCCCTGATTCGAGAGTGTGCAGGTACTCCAAATCGGTCGGCGACAGTCTGAACCCTGCGTTGACCATAGCAACAAAGTCTTCTGGCGACAGTGCCTTGAGTCTAGCAGCACGCTCTGGTGTTGTACTCCACACAAGTGTCGACTTGTTGCCAGGCAGAGGTAGCAATGCCAGAGGTCCTGAAGGCAGGAAGCGCTGGTATGCGATCTTGTGGTCCGGTCCACCCCAGCCCTGCCCTTCGATACTCAAGCTTGCTACTACGCCGAAGCGGTTGTAATCGAAACCCCGCGACTCAATGTCGGCGAACGTCCGGACAGGGCTGTTTGCACCATCTGCGCCTACGAGCAACCTCGCTGCGAGTGTCTTGCCATTCGATAATGTGAGGATGGGCCACGACGTGAAGTCCATCTGTTCCGTATCGGTGCCCAGCTCGATCGAGCTCACTTTGGTCGAGGTGAACATATCGACGCCCCCTAGTTCTTCCAACCGACTCAAGAGCATCGTGACGGTGTTCGTATTCTCGATCATGTAAGCGATTGTAGTCGGCTGTGCGGGATTTCGAGGCGAGAGAAGTGGGCGCGCTGTATCCCAATCGAAAGAAATGCGTGCATCTGTGACACCGTCCCATACTTGCATCTCCTGGTAGGGTTGTACTCGGGCTGCGTTCACACGTGACCATGCTCCAATCTCTATGTACATGTTAGATCGGCATTGCCATGCTCTCACGTTCTCTGGCGCACCTTGTAGGTTCCTCACAGAAGCCGGTGTCAAGGAGCTACACCTATTCGAGAAGCTGTCCAGGCTTGCATCTTTCGATAGCCTGTTCTTCTGAATGTTCTGGCCTTCAATCAGAGCGACCTTCAATCCTCTCGTCACTGGCGACGCCTTCAAGCCTGCCAACAAGCTCAGACCTGCCGGACCTCCACCTACGCAGACTACATCGTAGACTTCTGGTGCATTCGCAGAGCTCGAGGCAAACCTCCGGTCGAGGCGCACTCGCACGACGACCGGAGATCGCGAGTGAGATGCTCGAGGCGCTCTGAACAGTAATCGAGGGGGCATTACGATCTCAGGGTGCCCGTGGCATCGGCGGACGTGATCGATGAGGAAAGTCGAGGCCTCGGAGTGGTGGTGTCATGGTGAGCCGCGCATGTTTGCGTTGTTTGGCTGATGACATGAGATCCCGCTCATCGTCGAATCGGTTGGGTTCCGAGCGCGGCAAGAGCCACCGCACTAGACTCCTGCATCCTTCGAGACTTCCAACGTTCCTCGCCACATCATCACTTTTCTAACCCCTATCGAGCATCGAACATTTGACTATGGATCGTTGGGAAGGTGAACTTGCATCCTTTCAATCATTATTGAAGTCATCCAGAGCGATACTTTTGTCTGCGATGCCTATTTCGACCGATCAGGCCCACCTTGCAGCCTCACAAAGCCCGGTCTGCCAATGAGCCGTTCACCGTTATTTACAACCTCATTTCCCTATGGGCCCGACGTGTCAACTCTGCCCCCTGTTACGATGATACCAGCAGCTACGTCACAGGAGCCGTTGGGCCCTAAACGTCAGTTGCACCGGCAACATTCAGTTTCCCCTCCTCTTCCCCATGGATGCAACGGCCCAAAAGAGTTGGGATTGAGCTTATATCGTCGATGACGGCTGACCGAACCTCACCTTTGCAGAAGCACTGGATCTTCGATTGCACCTCCGGACAGCCGCTATCCAGTCAGTTTGACGTCGTTACCTTCCAATTCTTTCGAGGAGACTTACTTAGACCTCTGAAAGCACCTCCAAGCCTGCGAAGCGCTGTTCCGAGTATCTTCGACGCTCGAACTATTGCCGGGTAGATGTTGAAGCTTTGACCATGACGTGCGGATGTGCAAGCCGTGCTCTAAGATTGGGCAGACATCGGTATAAATGTTCTCCACTTGAACGTGTAAAGACCCCTGCAGCTTGAGTATCAATGTTTCTATACAGACTCAGCGTTGTTGCTTACCATCATGAGCCTCCCTGAACCCCCCTTAGTTATACCCTCAATCTCATCACTGTCCCTAAACGACCTTCCCATAGATCACCCTCGTTCAGTTCTAGGCAATCGAGGCATGTCACTACCACACGAGAGGAAGCGGCTACGAGCCTTTCGTCCACTAAGCCTGAAGCGACGCAAACTTTCACGAGAGTCTGTGGTCAGCTCTCAGCATCAAGACGACACATCACCAGATTCCGCAACATCGCCAGCGTCCAATGATGTCAAATGTCAAGCTACTGTGACAGTTGTTCCACAAGACCCCTTTCCGGAGGAACCAATCCGAAAGAGGGACCGCATTCAGCAATGGCTCGTTCAACAGGCACAACGTGTCGAACGACTCAAGCAGGAGGTCTTTCGGCATCGCGACTCGAAGTTCGATCGTCAGGATATTGAGAAAGAACTCAAACAGGCTACGCTGGACGCAAACGCTACGGTAGTGGGGCCCGACGGTGAAGAAGTATCCCAGCGTGTCATCAATCACTTCTTCACACTCTACCCAGCTGGTGGGAGTGACTGGTTGGACTCTAAGCGATGGGAACGTCACCTTGCAAAATGCTCGCAGATCAAGTGCGACCATTGTAAAGCTACCCAAAGACCAGGAGACAGGTCCCCTTCACCGTTGAAATCCTCACCGTTACAATCCTCACGATCAAGCTCACCCAAGAGCACAAAATCGCCCAAAGAACCGAAGTCGTCCGCAGACGGTTACTTCTCGAACCCATTCTGGCGGTCAAGATCCAGCAAACGAAGAGAGGAGAAGGGAAAGTCGCCAGCTCCAGATGAGCTAGGCGAGTGTACCACCAGCCCGCTCCACGAAGTGCTTCTCAGTCCTCGAACGCAACTTTCAGAGCGTCTACCAGATCGGCCCAGAAGAGCATCGCGACCACCTAAGGGTAGCATCGTGATCCGGGATGCTTATCAATATACGCAACGAAAGCCAGTTCGGTGTTCTATCATCTCATCGTCTCTCGACCCATCCCAGATTCCTATACCTGCGATCCCGGACCTGAAGCCTGCAGACTCGTCAGGCCTTGACCTGCACGATCTCGCTCATGTCACCGGCCATTCGTATGGTGGAAGTCCGCTCGAAGATGGACGACTGCCTTTTCCTTTGTGCCACAACTTCATCCCCCCACCGGCCCCTCTGCTCAGGCCAGAGCAGCGCATCACTCCCATTCCGGATACACTGCAGCTAGAGGAAGCCTCAAGAGTGTCTTCGAGTGGTAGACCAATCTTCGACATGTCACCTTTGGTATCCGCTAGCCCTGGCGCCACCAACGTCCAGCGAGGATTCCACCCTCCGCCTGCTGTACGAACCCCCTTCAGGCCTGTCTTTCCAGATGAAGAGTACACCATAGCCGACGTCCTCGGCGATGGTATCGAGATGCCCAGGCTCAGGAAGTGTGGCCCTGCTCCTGCTCCCGCTCCCGCCGCTGCTCCCGCCGTCCAGTTCCCGCCAACCCCTCCCGACTCAAGGCAAAACAGCACCTCATACCCATCCGGCGTCTCGTACACTACTTACGGCGACACGATCTCCCTGCCTGCGAAGCCAACGTCCGTTCCAGAGGGACCTGCGGATAGGGACTGGGATATGTGCGAGCTGTCGGATACTACTGGATCGTCGTTGCCTGACTGTCCCGTTTACGTGAATCCTCGCCAGGCTCGGGGCGAGTGGTGGGATGGAATGGCGGAGAGGTATGGGCCTGGTATGAACTATTGGCGCTGACGACGTGTCTGTTTATGGCGTTATGACGTTATGGATCATGGGTTATGACAATTGTGACGATAGAAACAATAGATAAAAAGTATGGATTATAGACTGGATTGAATACAACCCTTCCGAGAGACACAATGTTTGCGTGGTCAAGTGCACCTCAATGTCTCGCAACTGTACCAGGGGACTGCTTCCTTGTACCACACGGATGGGTCTCCGAGAATCGCCACGGTCGTACGTTGTGTACGTTTAGTAGCAGCCATAGTATTACTAGAACGTATTTTTCAACCTCAAACCACGGAAGGAAGCAAGGACAATACATCACGCACACAAGAAACGACGAAGGGCACATAGTGTGATAGAACAGTCTTGGTAATCGCCAAAACCCTTTGCTGATCTTGAATTAAGAACTCCGGGCTACACGATGGTGATGCAAATGCTACTATTGCCGATATTAAGCGCACCCTATACGATGCGCCTTGCTAATTAAACTCCCGGTTGCTTTCAAATGAGCGGCAAGTCCCAATGGGTATCTGTATGGTGGTGAAATGACTGTAATGTAATCCCGGACGCTATGCATGAAGAAGATTCAGAAGAGAGATGGTGCAATCGAGCAATGGAACAGAGGTGTGGGGGTCTACAGCTTAGAGGAGGACAGCGAAGCCGAAGAACACGGTGCCGAAGAGGACAGCCATGCTGGTGGCAGCGTTGGGGATGAAGGACGCCGCAGCAGCACCAGTTGAACCACCGGCGGCAGAAGTGGCGGCAGCACCACCAAAACCAGTTACGGCACGGGAAGTTGTGGCGGATGCAGTGGCCGAAGCTGTGGACGACACAGAGCTCGAAGTGGCGTTACCCAGGTAGGGAGTCTGAGCACCGCAGGGGTGGTCGGCACGGCAGCTGTTGGCGCAGGTGTTGTCGCCGTTGCAGTTGGCTACACACTGGTTGCCCCACGCCTGGCAGATGTAGAAGGGAAGGGTCTGCGAGTATTGGGTGATGTTGGGGGAGACACCGTTTTCGCAAACGCAGGAGTAGGTCAACTGGTCCTATGAGTTTGTTAGCTCAAGTTCTAGGGAAATGTTGAGACGGTTGAGTAAGAGGAAGGGCTAGCCAATAGCGGTCAGGGCAAGCTAAACACCACAACTTCCATTCTGACCCCTCCCCGCATTCTTCCCAGTCTGTAAAGTCGAGTTGTGAGGCTTACAGGGTCGCAGTCGTTGTCCTGGGTAGTCGATGAGCTGACACCGGGCTGCTGGAGGCAGATGAGCGGGCATTGAGCCTCGTTCTGGTCACACCAGTATTCTACAGCAAAGTCAGAACAGCCCATACATAAGGTGATGCTTGCACGTACGCCTGTCGGATGACGAGACACTATCCGGGTCGATGCTGTATGGATAGTCGTTCTGAGAGGTGGTCTGAGCTGCGGCAAAGCCAGCGAAGGCAGCGAAGCTGAAGGCGAGTGTGGAACGCATGTCGAAAGTATGTGAAGTTCGAGGAGACTTGGAGAGGAGACTGCGAAAGATGAAGAGTAAGCTTTGATGTTCCGAGGAGATTGCTCCCCAAGTGCGGAGATATGGTTGGGAATGCACGTACCTTTGCTTGCTTGGATACCAAGATGGGAACAAATTCAAACGAGGAGATGGTCAGCGACAGACAGTAATCGAACCGAACTTTTGACGGGACAACGTCTCCTGCAAAGTGACAATTCTCAACAACGAGCGTGAGTGTGGGCAAAGAGGCTGCAGGGAGTAGCGCGGTATATAAAGGGAGCGATCATGAGGACGGCAATGGCGCACGTACAATGAGTGCATGGGCCTATCTCGATTTCACTAGCTTGGAGCTTGGGGTGTCTTCCCGCCACTTTTATTGCCGTAGAGCTAACTCCCTTGAGCCCTTTGGGCCAACAGAATCGCGGAACGGTGCTGCATGTCTCGCCAGATGCTGTACTCTGGTGCATTGCGCGGCCTGGTGCATACAGTTCGCCGTGCAACACCACGAACGAGTATCGAAATGTTTCTCAAGACCCTTCTCGGGTGAGCTCCGAAGGGAGGGCGGTCTATATCCCTTCTTTAATTGCCCAGTCATGACGCGTTGTTCTGCCAGCCGTGACCAGGGTCCAACACCCCGTATCCATCTGCGCATCATCCGGCTGTGTTCGTCAAAGCGAGGCAAAAGCAGAAGCCAGCTTTCTTTCGTCTGCTACCAACGGCACTAAGAATCTGGCTGCAGCGCCGTCCCACCTCAGAGGACTTATCTACCCCTCACCTCCACGCATTTCTATCTGACACCTTCCGTCTTCCCATTTGACGCGCCACCCGCCCAGCCCACTACATTGCAGATGGATGGAGCCGGTGAGCTCTGAACCTGTAAACGAAAGCCCCCCATCACCGTCTCGCGAGGATGGGGCAAAGCTCGCCACCGCTCGTCCAGAGCGGAACAGCGTAGTTCCGCCCTACTGGCAGAGGCACGAGCGCAACGGTAGTCGTCTGAGCTCGTACACCTCAGATGCTGGAGCTCGCATCGTGCTCGAAGACCACACCGATGAGGGCTCCGAGCAATGCAAAGTGCTTTGGGCAAAGCATGTAACGATTGATGATTATGTGGTCGTCAGCGGTACAGCGCCAGGACTTGGGGTCTACTCGCCCGGCCAGTACGTGGTGTGGAACTGCACAGTTGAGACGCTCGATGTAAGTCCTCCGAGAGCCTCACCCCAATCGAGCACGTGTACGCGGCCCACATATTGGCTCGCTCAAGACACTTCCCCCCAGCCAATCAGTCAATTTGGCGTTGTCCCAAAGGAACTGGTCATGCAGGGAACTACCAAGACCATGATGCAGTCTATCTATCTCCAGATATGCGGAATGGCAAGAACAATTGACTAATGAACAACAGGGCGGCCCCATGAAGATCCGTAAGAGGTATGTACTGTCAAGATGTTTCTTTGTGTCTCTGCTTATTCCGCACCAGGTATTCTGAGTTCGAAGATCTCCACCAGAAGCTCATCCGGACGTTCCCTCATGCTGTGGGTTCCATGCCACAGTTTCCACCCAAATCTGTAGTGTGTATGTCACGCCCCTCATCTCACCCCACCTCTTCACATTCGTTGCTGACACGAACGGTATAGCTCGATTCAGGCCGAGGTTCCTCGAACGGCGAAAGCAAGGTCTATCGTACTTCTTGGAGTTCGTTGTCAACGTTCGCGCTCGCAATATCTCGACTGACATATTTTTAGTTGCGTTTTACTCAACCCGGAGTTTGCAGGGTCACCGGTTTTGAAAGAGTTCTTGTTCTCGTAAATCATAACGGGTGGGTGCATTGGACCCGTTGCTTTTTGCATATCGATTGTAGGAGCGCGCGATTGGCGTTTTATTGTTGGTGATAGCACGAGCTATGGCTCAGTCTTCCCTTGAAGGTGAATGCCCTGTACATATAACGTGTAATGACAAGACCAGTACATAAGCATGGAGTCTTCTTATGCAGCTCACAATCTTCAAACCTCAGCACACAAGACTGTTTCGACGTTGATGTCGCAGATTCACAGTATGGCGCATGATTGGCTGCAATTCACTGTGGCGTCGAGCTATCTTGGAATTTGTCGGAGTTCCTGCAACTTGATTCGATGAAAATCGTCCTAAATTGCAACAGGACGTGGAAGAGGTCAAATCCTATTTTACGAGGCTTAATTTGACCTCACACGTGCATTGGTGAGGGTGAAGTGACCAGGCATAGATGTCTGCAGCTACCGCTGCTGGAGAAGCGGCCGACTGAGCTCGAGGACAAGCACCCCTAACACCGTTGCGACAGTTTTGCCTTGACCCAGCGCGACATCCTCAATGGCAGCTATGCGTCGCAGTGACTGAAAGATGACCCCGCGAAACCAGATATTCCCCCAGTAGCACCATGGCCAACCTCGTCCGGCCTCCAATGCGGTCGTCGACTGAACGTCTCGTGCAGACCAAGCTCAACTTCGCGCCTGTCGCGCCTGACGACATCAACCGCAGCAACCCCCACAACACCACCGTCTCGACGCGCCGTTCTAGCAAAAGCGGCCCGCTGCTCGTCCTCGGCGACGATGAGAAGACGGTGAAGCAAATAGCAGTATCGCCAGCGCGTCCAGCACCGCCGCCCCGCACCAACTCAAGGAAGCGGTCCTCTGCAGCGCTGGATGACGCGCCTGACACGAGACCACCCACCAAAGTCGTGCACCGTGAGCCACACGGCGAATTGGTGCGCATAACGAATGGCGTGCAGACACTGCTAGACATTGACGCCGACGATGTGCCTTCTGGGCGCTCTACACCCCGGCCAGGCAGCGCAGGGAAGCTTGCTGTGCCTGCGCCCACAGCGGACCCCAAGTCGAAGGACAGGAGGAGCTTAAGGAGCTCAGACGGTAGCTCGCGACTAAAGAGTGACCTTGCCGTGTACTTCTCCAGCTACGACGACATCATCGCAGACTTGCCGAAGCCATCTGGTGCGTCACTCGCTGCTGCCATGCTGAGATATCAGTTGACCCTTGTGAGCAGAGTTCCTCGACATCGACACGCCCATATATATTGTCGATGAGCCCTCCAAATCGAAGACACCTGCGCCTGCTTCACCCGAACCGCTCCGCCAGTCTGCCAGTCCTACGCGGACACGCAAACCGAGAGCTACTACACCTGCACGCGAACTTTCGAACCACGCGATACCCTCAACACAATCATCCACTACCTTCCAAGTACTGGACTACAGCAGCATATCAAAGCACATTCGGAGCGATGGCGAGGAAGATCCCCTGGCCGATTCTCACTTCTTCGCTCAACATCGCCGTGCTGAGCGGAAAGAGAAGCAGCTGCGCAACATCGAGAAGGAGCGCGCTATGCACGAAAAGCAGCAGCTGGAGCGACTTCTCGACGGCTTACAAGGGCCTGATTGGCTGAGGGTCATGGGCATAACAGGCGTCACGGCTGGCGAGACGAGAGACTGGGAGTCGAAACGAGACTACTTCATCAAAGAGGTGGAAGCGCTCGTAGACAAGTTCCGTGTCTGGAAGCAGGAAGAGAAGCGTATAAGAGCTGAGAAAGAAGCTGCACTCGCCGCCCGCACGGAGGATGAGGACGAGGAAGGTGAGGAGTCAGAAGCCTCAGAAGTCACCAAGGTGAACGGAAAGATAACACAGACGAACGACCAACAACCGAAACAGCCAGAATCTCCCAAACCCAAACGTCCGCCACGACCACATGGCTTCCTTTTACCTTTCGTACCGCCCGAACCCACAATGCCATTCTTATCCTTCTATGCGAAACCACATCTACGAGCAGCTGCGTTAGGCAAGCACCGCCATGGGCGTAATGCTACAGCCTTTGGGCAGCCCATACCGGACTTCGAGGAGCATGAGTTCGAGCTGCCAGACGACTACATAGATCCGCAGTTCCTGCGTGACAATGCGAGACAACGGAGAAGGAGACAGAGGGAAAGACAGTGTGGTACGAATACACAGTCAACTTAGCCTCGGCTTTCTTTCATTTCGTACTCTTTTATACCCTTCCTTATAATCCAGCAAAGCAAGAGCTGGATTACTAGGTATTATTGTGGCGTTCTTGGGTTGGATCCATCAGCTCATCTCGGGCTAAAGCGAGGAGCATATTGTGCGCTTTCGCTGTGTAGGATAGACCAAAGCATAGCATTGAAAACATTGAGTTCAACTTGCTCATTCTGTCTTCGCCGTTTGCTATGATGTCTCGCAAACGCTGACACTGCACATTTCTATGCCTTGTCCGATGCATCATCACTCAGCCGCGCACTGGCGTTGTTCGAACACTATAGGCGTCCAACCCATCCTTTTTGCTACACTCACTTAACCACGTCCCGCTGTCAGGTTTGGAAATGAAGAGACTACCCAAACATGCTCCGTGGCCGTCTTCGCGTTGTCAAGCCCTCCAAAAGGTGATGTACTCATCTTCAATGACATGTCTGCTGTTCTTTCCTACACATCAAAAGCTCTCCGCAAAAAGCTCATGAGCGGCTCTGTGTGCGTGTCCTCACGAGAACAAAAGACGAGAACGCACTGCACATGCCTAAGGCAGTGTCTGAACAACTCCGGAGCGTCCCTTTGATGACCTTTCACTCCTGGGCTCGCTCTTGAACGGCACAAGGACCGTTCTTAGACTGTGTTCAGCTCCAAACATGTCTCTCTCTTCCTCTTAACAACATCTTTTACTCAAGCCTCCATCCTGTTCACGAATGATGTGCATGCACTGTCATGCTCTTGCCGCTGAACTTGCTCAAATCTGCGAAAGTCATCAGGGGTAAACACTATGCTCGAGCGCTCTCTGTCGTAAAAAGGGAACCTGCTGTTCTTCTATTCGTCCCGGCCGACACTGTCATTATATTGGGGTTCAAGAACGGTTCAGGTGTCAGTACATGTTTCGGCGTCTACACTGTGTCTTGTCCCGCTAATAGCCAAAGAATACGCAACACTTGAGCCCATCTCGACGATAGGGGATGTGCGCTCGAAGTCTTATTATGTTTATGATCTTCTGCTGTCAATTAAAAAAAAACTAAAGCATTTCTTCGAGCTTAGATGGCTGTCTAGGTCGATAAACTTTTTGCTGTATCCTAAGATGTCAAAACATGGGTCGCGAGTTTGCTTTGATATAAACTCGTACGACAATGATCAACTTCGAGCTCGCACTGCCCGGGTTGAGGTTGATTTTTGGCTGTTTCGTACAATGGCCTGACATCGCCTGAGTGTACAAGCCGCTTTTGAGCTCGTTTAACAACATCGGTGAGACGGTATCGAAGGTTTTGTGCATATTGCGCATCCACTTCGCAAGTTTGCCTGATGTTCCATCGTAATGTCCAGGTCTGGCAGCATCTGCCGGCTGGCACGCGTGGCAGCTTTTCCGACTCATCAAGACTGGGGACAAGGGAAGAGGGAGGTGATGAATGACTCGGAGAATTTGGTTGTCAGCAAATCAGGATGTGGGCATACCGCTGTCACCCGCGCGGCCCGTGTCAACGGTGCTGGATGCGTCTTCCCTGTTCGAACCTAGTCGGGACGCATCTGGCGTGTGGACCACCTTGGCTGGGTAACACCCTTCGACACTTCTGTCACCAATTCCCGACAGTGCAGGTATCGCACTCCACAGCAAAGCACGCCAAAATGATAATGCTGGCCGTTCCGCACGATGCTTGTGGGAGAGGAGTCTTCTGCTTCGCTGCAATTCACCTCCTTACACCACTTGCGCCAACATGACGGTTCAGGCCGTGTTGCCTCTATTGGAGACATCTATCATCTCAATCCGCAATGTACTGGCGTTCGTTGGTCTCTGGCTGGCATACCATCTACTCAAGACCATCTACAATGTGTCACCTTTGCACCCGCTGAGTCGCATTCCCGGGCCCAAGCTAGCAGCAGCAACCTACTGGCCGGAATTCTATTATGATGTTGTCAAATTCGGATGCTACACCAAAGAGATTAGGAAGATGCATGAGAAATATGGTAAGTTGGGGATCAGTTGAAGCCCAGGAAGTCCAAGTCTAACGGCAGAACTCGTATCATAGGTCCCATTGTTCGCATCAGCCCTCATGAAGTGCACTGCAACGACATCTCTTTCGCAGATGAGATCTACGCTGTTGGCGGGCGCAAACGCGACAAGCCAGTTCACCAAATCAACGGCTCAGCGTAAGACCTTCTTTACAAGTCGCAGATGGCACACGCTAATTGCACATGTTTCGACTATAGACTGGGACAAGCTGGATTCGGAACAGCAGATCATGACCTACATCGAGTACGCCGAATCCCCGTGGCCAAGTTCTTCTCGCGCGGTATGATCGCAAGACTGGAACCTGAGATCCAGAATCTGGCGCAAAAGCTCTGCGATAAGCTGCTCAGGGAGTCAGGCCGTCAACCATTCGACGTTACTATGGCGTACAGTTGCTTCACCTCTGATGCGATCTCCGGCTACAGCTTCGGTGAGAGCTTCGGATTCCTTGATCAAGAAGGCTGGTACCCCAACTTCCGCGAACCGCTGGCTTCCATCTTGAGACCTGTCTTCATTTTCCGATTCTTCCCTTGGACCAAAGCCAGCGCTGGACTTGGCAAATACCTGGTCGACTACATGCCGCCAAGTTCCGCTCTCATGGTTCGCACGCTGCAAATTGATCTCCCTGAGAAGATGAGGAAGGCCAAGGCTGATATTGAAGCGGGTATCAAGTATGACCGACCGACTGTATTTGGTACTATTCTGGAATCAGATCTGGTGTCGTTGGAAAAAGAGCCACAGAGGTTGGCCGATGAAGCCGCCGGGGTCATTGGAGCTGGCACAGAGACCACGAGTTGGGCAATGGCGGTTATCACATATCACCTCTTGACCAAGCCGGAACTTCTCACCAAGCTCAGGAATGAACTGCAATCAGTTGTGAAAGACCCAAAACAGCTACCTGCGTGGACTGAACTTGAGACCCTCCCATACCTGGGAGCGGTTATTCAGGAGGGTCTGAGGCTATCGTACGGTGTATCAGCTCGAACAGCCCGTGTGCCAACTGAAGAGAACCTGGTCTTCCGTGGAGAATGGGACAAGCGGCCGGTCGAGTACATCATTCCGCAAGGCTATGCGGTGGGTATGTCGGCTGCCATTACTCACCACGACGAGAAGGCTTTCCCCGACTCTTATGCCTTCATTCCTGAGCGCTGGCTGGATGGGAACAACCAACGAAGGAAAGATGTGGAGCGTAGCATGCTCGCTTTCTCGAAGGGTAGCCGCTCCTGCCTCGGCATGAAGTGAGTATTCCCTTTCAATTGTGGAGTCCAATGCTAACATAAAGCAGTCTCGCATTGTGCGAGCTCAACTTGAGTCTGACGGCATTGGCCTTGCGTGTTCTACCTCAGATGCACTTGTCCGATACGACAGCTGAAGATCTTGCGTACGATCACGACATGTTCATCCCCATGACCAAAGACAACAGAGGCGTGCGAGTGACGATAGACTAGACTGAGGATATTAAGGTACTCCACTGGAAGCGCGCAACTTAGGCGACCTCCACAACATACCGAACAATCAACAAAGTGATGACAATGGCCGTCTGTGTAGGATACTGTCTATCTAGAATATGTCAAAACTCGAACTCTTCTTCGCATCTTCGGACAAGCCAGGACCTAGTGGTGCTTTACAATGTACGGCACTAACTCCGCGCTAGCCACGACCGTGTTAGCCGTGTCTTCAACATGTGAAAGTCGCAGCATCCGTCCGCACAAGGCTGTCCGTTTCGTCTTTCCGTCTCGTACAGGATATGTATCCACAATCTCGATTCACCGGCGACGGTTCTGGAAGAGTAAAGTGCCGGCGTCCAGCATCCGAAAATTACTCAATCGGCCCGAGACCCACATGGCACTAATGGCAAGTGCCATCTTGAATTTCTTAATGTAGATTTTCTTGTGGATTGATGCGGAAGTTCCAAGGCGTCAAATTTCGCTGCTCTGGTACAGAATGGCTGTGCGTGGCTTTGTGGTAGGGCTCACCATGATCGGACTTCTGGCGCAAGACCTTTACTAGGAACGTGCGGACCGGACGCTAATGAGTTTCTGGGCCTGGAATTGACGCTGTCGAACTGGGCCCAGGGGAGATTCGGCCAGGATGTGGTCTTTTTAAAGGCCTGCAAATTCCCCAGTCGTCGATGACAGGATTTCCATGAAACTGTTGGGCCATACTGGGGTGTGTTTTCCACCTTCGACCTCCAGTATATTTGCTTAGAACGATTCAAGAACGCAAAAAGAGCACAAGAAGAGCAACGATCGACGCTATAATATCAATGCTTGCCATAGTCGCTTCGGAGTTTACCTCAATATAAGGAGGACCGCCGCACTGTGGCATTGCAATTTTCGAGTTTTTGGGAGGTCGTGTACTCGCCTATCGACTGTTCCCCACATCAACACCTATGGAGGGTGCGAGTGTCGATCCTGATGCGAGGATCATCGCTCCGGATGGATTACCGCTGACCATCATCATCATTTCAGGCGTCTTTCTTGGTCTTTCCGTCCTCGCAGTGTCTTTAAGGACATATGTTCGCCTTGCGAAAGGCACGTTTGGTCTCGATGATGCCTTCATGGCAAGTGGAGCCGTAAGACCAGTCTGCTATATCACCGACAACATGCGCTGAAGTCCTCTTTAGGTTGTCTATACTGCAGTCATAGGACTGGCAATATACGGATGTCTAGTTGGACTCGGAAGACTAGAGAAAGATCTCAATGCGTGGCAGTACTCTGAGGCCATGAAGTACTACATCATCTGGATTCTGATGTACGTTGTTGGCCTTGCGATGGTGAAGTCGTCCATTTGCATCACGATCCAGCGTATCGCCTCCACGAAGAAAGCACTCGTCTACACTGTCTGGGCCCTGCTTACTGTGACATGGGCATCCTTTCTCATCACCTTCCTCGGAACCCTACTCTATTGCCAACCGGTCCGCACGATCTGGACGCCTACATTGATCCTCAGTGGCGAAGGTTCATGCGCGCCTGTAGACACATTCGTCATCATTGGCCATGTTGCTACGGTATCAACGATCGCAACAGATCTAGCGTTGGTTGTAGTGCCTGCGGTCATGTTATGGAATACGCAGATGAAGAGGCAGGCGAAGATTCAGGCTTTTGGACTGCTGTCTTTCGCATCGATGTACGTTCTTCTGTTTCATCACCAGGCCTGCAGGCAATACTCGAAAGTCATATGCTTACAGACAACAGCGCATCAGTGATCACCATGGTCAGGATACCCTACGTCAACAAGTTTGAAGGAATGAAAGACTTGCAATGTAATGGCATCCCATCCCTGATCAATTCTAAGCTAATCGATTACGCAGTCTGGGTTGCACACACAATACTCTGTTCCAACATCGAAACCGGCATCGGCTGCATAGCTTCCTCAGTTCCCTCACTGCGACATTTCTTCCGATCCAATAGTGATGGGAGTTCTGGCCCCAGTAACAAGAGGAGTGGCACGGGAACCCAACTAGTCACGGTCGGTGGATCACGCCAGCAACGACGACTACGTGATAGTTTCCGGAACCCTACAGACATCGGATTCAGTCTGTCGACCGTGCATCATGGAAGAGCAGACGACAACTGGGAGCGTCTGGATGGAGACTCGGATAAGAGCGATGCGCCGATAGACCCGAAGAGGATATACGCCGAGCAAAGCTATGCAGTGGACATTGAATCAGATTCAGAGGCAAGGAAGGGAGAATATGGATACCCACGTGGACAGGCTCTATAACAAACGTTTGCTGTTGCAAAATACTAGACAGCCTTAATGACAAACGTTAAATTCGAAGATTTTCTGCCGACAGACTAAACATATATGTGCATATGTGCCGTTGTACCTTTTCCCGAGAGACTGCAAATGCAGAAGTGAATATTCAGATAACCCACTGTACATAGCGACGACATGAGTTCCGTCCGTTCCTTGCCACTAATCCCACCACGAAGTCGCTACGAATAATGTTGCGTATACATAAACCATTCATTGTCACCATCTCCTGTCTTGCTAGGAATCTCAACCACTTCACGCATGGTAAGCTCAGAGCCGCCGTGTTCTGTGTCTGTACTTTAGAAGACTTCGCATTCGAATGCGAAACTCATATGTTCACCATACTCAAGTGGGTCTGTGCCCCATCTGTTGAGCAAGTCTTGGACGTGTTGTGCCAGATCACAATCTTTGTCGATACTGTGCTTCAGGTGAACGTGGGACTTCGTGTTGCCGGCCTCATCGTCGAAAGAGCAGCAAACACTGAAGCTATTGTTCTTTGCGTCTTCAGTCCAGGCTTCATTTGGGTTCATGATGTATGACGCACAAGCTTCCGTGTAAGCTATAAAGTCCATCAAGCCCAGGTAGTGTTTGTAGTTCCTCTGATACATGCAATGCCACGGTACACAGTACTTGGACGGGCACTCCTTGCGATGAAATTCAAGCATCTCAGCAGGACGAAACTTGCAGATGAAACCGGAGCGATGAGCATGTAGACTGACGAGAAGCGTCAGATTGAGCGTTTCATCTGGCTGGCCGTACATGTCGTACTTGTATGAGACGTATACCTCCTGAGGTGTGAAGTGGAAGTCGTCCTTGCTTGAGCTAAAGAAGACGGTACTCTGCGCGAACCTGCTTGCATGTCTGAGCGAGTGCCAGTGGGCGTTGAAGCCCGCGCGGACCAAACCATGTCTTGTGACAGAACCGCGGAAGATAGGGCTTGTATGCTGAGTCTGGTCCCCAACTTCCTAGATCGAAATCTGGGTCTGGCCTCTTAGAGTACTCCAGTGGATCTTCATCCATGTGTTCTTTAGTGAAATGGTAGATGCGATCGCGTAGCTCTGGAGGGAGTAGTGAGGATCTACCTGGAAGTGCCAAGGCTAAAAGATATACCTGGCGGTAGCTCAAGGAGAAAGCATCTTAACGTTGGCTTGCGGCTTGATGCCTGGATGTTGCCCGTAGTGTGCAACACCTTCGCCTGATGAATGCCTGCCCCGCGAGGGCGCTCGGCACCATCGCGACTGCGAGCTTGTCAGAAAGGGGAGATCTAGAAGTGGTTGAGTTGGACTGGCAGTCACTTACTTAGTAGGAACCATGGCCGGCAGTAAGTGAAGCAGACCTTGAAGGGCTTCAGCGTTCCGCAAGTCGGGTGCGGGCGGTGAAGCAAACACGTAAACCGAGCAACAGCAGGCAGCAGGTGCGACCTAGATGTTAAGAGTACTCCCGAGGTCGCTATTGGCGTCCATGGTGAACGCAAAACGCTGGAACCAGCACTGACGTAACGGGAAAAACTCAAGAGAAAGTTGGGAAGTCGCGAACGCACACGAACAAGCGCATGTATGCGGCAGCTGCAAAGCAAGTGAATAAACACGCGTCCTGCACCACACACCGACACAATATGAAAAATGGCGCTCACGACTCTACAAACATTTCCTCTACACACCACTGCCGATAAGCTGCATCTGCTCCACGCCACGCACATCTCCAATCTCTACACAGCCGTTGTCAGCCTTGCCGATTTATAAACGAAGATCCAGCGCAAGTTTGGCCAGACATTGCATGGACTACTACCAGTGTTCAATCGAAGCGTTGCGCCAAGAACTGCAACGGCGTGACTACACATCATACGGCAGTCACGACCAGCTCAGCGAGGGTCTTAGAGCAGACGATGACGAACGAGGGTCTGAGGCAACAACAGTGATGACAGAGCATCCTACGGCATTCGCACCGCGCGAGGTCAACCTGATGCAGACAGTCGAGTTCGGCCAGACAGTTCCAGCAAACCAGCTGGTAAACCAGAGTGCGTGCAGTTGCGGCAGACGACTATGACACGACTACTGACTGCAGGGCAGGAATCATGTATTGGAATCTAAACACGTTCTTTCCCACTCTCCAGCTCTTTTTCGAATCCGGTCTCTCGTGTACGATCGATGGTGGCCAGCTATCAGGCGCCCTTATTGGCCTTGACTCAAGACTTCGGTTTCGCCTCACGGATTGTACACACGAGGAACAGGGTCGAGTTACCAAAGGCATGCTGCCGGAAAAGTTTGCACGTTCGGGCGCTGATATTAGGATACTGGAAGCTACGGTTGCACAACGGACAAGCATCGCGATGAAGCCTACAGCACCAACGTGCCAGCTTCTTACGCCGAAGGCTCAGGGCCTGGACATTGTACATGAAGTCCATACAGTGATCGGGCTGCGACTGAGCGGTATGAATGAGATGGGATACGTCTGGGCGAGGGCCGAGATGCTGTCAAGGATGGCTGAAGGGCGCATATGGGGCGACGTAAGACTCGCTGGCCTGAGGAACGACGTTCCAGCCCCGTTCTTGGGTCTCGCAGCTGACTTCCCGAAGCCGGGTGGCGAGCTGAGAGTGGTGGAGAAGGGAAGCATGATTAAGCTGCCAGCAACGATTCCCGGTGGTCTTGACAATCGAGGACGGCCGTGGATATGAGCAGCTGGCTTGACGTCCGAACTGAGAGTTACTTTTGCACATTGCATGTTGGTAATGCTTGAAGATGTAGGTTTTGCACTCTTTGCCTCTGTCAATGTCAGCAAGCACCCACGAGGAATTACACAAGAACAATGGATCCGCTGTCCAAACCTGAAATTTCATCGAATGTTGTTTGTCACGCTCTACGTGCTGGTCCCTACCTGGGAACTGTGCTGCAAGTACGGCTAATGGTCGAAGTTTCAGCTGAACAGGCACGAGCCAGCTATCAGTCAGCCACAAGATGGGATGAAAAATGTCAGATACCGGTAACGAGGCCTGTTCTGCAGAAAATTGTCAATCGGAGGCTGCGGAGGTAAGGACATATGAAGTGGGGGTATATCTCCGATACTGACATTAAGGTACCCACCCCCACCTTCAAGCCGAGAGCTGCGGATATAAGGACGTATATGAAGTGGGGTATAACTCCGATACTGACAGAAAGGTACCTACCCCCCACTCCCCATCTTCAAGCCGAGAACTTCAAACTTCAATTTGGCTCAGCTTTTTTACCAATTACAAACCCCAGGTCAGTATCTTCAAAGGTACTTTTAGTTTTCGCTCACAACTCGCAGGTACTCAGATAACTCAAGCCCGAAACGCCACAATGTCCAACAACGGTGCCCAAGTGATCGTCCTTTACCCTCGCAAGGATGGCGGGAAGTTCGACCTCGACTACTACCACGCCACACACATGCCGCTCGCCAAGAACACCTGGACGCAGCACGGTATGAAGTCTTTCAGCATCGTTCAGTTCAGCCCAGACAACCAGTACAGCATGGCCGCGATCATAGACTTCGAGAGCCAGGAGCACATCGACAAGGCAATGGAAGACCCCAAGACGAAGGAGGTTATGGACGACATCCCTAACTTCAGCAACGTGCAGCCCGTTCTTGTTACAGGCAATGTCACTCTTCGGGGTTAGATGCGGGATGCGGATGTTTTGATGAAGCTGAGTAGGCTGTATGGAGCTCCGGAAGAGCTACCCCTCCCTCCGTTGTGTTCGAAGCTCTCGGTGCAGGTAGTCCCGCACTAGATCGTCAACACCGCGGTACCTCCTCACACTTCACACCTCAATGCATGACAATTACCCTCGACCCAGTGATCCAATTGACACTCACTTCGAAGCACGATACACAATGCATGCTTCTCTTCACACCCCAAGGCACTTTTGCGATCTAGATCGGCGGCTTTTGGTCCTTTTAGTTACAGTACATCTACGTCATGCCGTTCCTGGCTGAAGAGCACATCGACATTCCCATGACTGACTTACTCTCATGGATGTTCGATGAGCAGAAGTACGATGCAGACAAACCTGTGAATAGCATGGTTCACAGATTGACCAAGTGGAAACTGAACAGTGCAGATCTATGTCGATGCAGCAGAACCTACACGATCGTTCTCATCAAACCAGGCAAGATGTGTAATACGGAAGTTATGTGACGGTTTCAAGTCAATCGGACTGAAGGAGGGCGATTGTGTTTGCATGCTCTCCTTTAATGATGTAAGTCCTTAGACCTGACCTCTACACCTTTTTGAACACTTACTGACAACATGAGATATACTACTCCATGGCCTTCCTAGGCATCCTATCCTTTGGTGGTATCTTTGCCGGTGTCAACCCATCCCATACACCTTACGAGCTTACGCATGCCTTCCGTACCGCCGAGATTAAAGCGCTCATTGTCGAACCTGAGCTTCTTCCAAATGCCCTGAAAGCAGCTGCACAGGCTGGTATTCCTCAAACTCACATCTTCGTCTACGATCACCACACACCAGTCAGTCAACCCTGGAACAAAAGTGACGTCCGGGACAAAGAGCTGGGTCGCAGAAACCACTGGAGCGGCCTCAAAAGCTGGAGATACCCCATGAGCCATGGACAAACCGACTGGGTCAGGTGGGACAACCAACTCCAGAGTAAATCAACAACAGCAGCCCGCCTCTTCTCCAGCGGGACAACCGGGCTTCCAAAGGCTGTCGAAATGACGCACCACAACTTCATCGCCCAGCACACCATGGTCCTCGAGCACAACCCGCGAGACTACGAAATCATCCGCCTCCTATGTACACCTATGTTCCACGTCTCCAATGTCCCGCGCGCACACACCTCACCTCTCCGTAGTGGCCTTCGGACCCATATAATGTGGCGCTTCGAATTGCAATCCTGGCTGCAAAATATTGAGCGTTTCGGCATTACGGAAGCAAACATGGTCCCGCCAATGGTAATCCAGATCACAAACTCGCCGCTTACGAAAAACCACACTCTCAAATCAATCCGGTGACATCGCTGTGCGGCGTCGGGATAACGGACTGTGGTACATCGTTGGCCGGAAGAAGGTGGGTCAACAATCGATTGAAGACGTTCGCGAGGTGCTAACACCTAATATAGGAACTCATCAAAGTCCGAGGCTTCCAAGTCGCGCCCGCAGAACTCGAAGGCGTCCTCCTCTCTCACCCCAAGATCAGCGACGCAGCCGTAATCGGCGTATCGGCAGGCGGTGCGAGCAGAGCGAGCGAAACGAGCGCGAGCTTAATTGCAATGGCGGGTGAAGAAGGAAGTGAGATGCCACGAGCCTACATCGTGCTCAAGCAAGGCAGCCAACTGGGCGAGAAAGATGTACAGGCATATATGAAGGAGAAGTTGGCAGGTTACAAGCAGTTGGTCGGCGGCGTGCGGTTCATTGATTCGATACCGCAGAACGCTTCAGGCAAGATACTGAAGAAAGACTTGAGGGACATTGCTAGGAAGGAGATAAGTGCCCGATTATAGATGAGAACATAGACTCGCGATGAGAGATAGCCGACATGCAATATATGTATCACTATTGTTCGCGAATCATATCGTTCAATATACTAATGAGTAGTTACAGGCATGCTCGCCCTATGCAAAGTGCGATCCAAAGTAGTGCTCCAATCCAATGCACAGTTCGCGTAGTTGTTTTTCGTTCCAAGATATACAAACGAAAATGTAGGCCGAGCCCAATATATACTATAATGTTGTAAGATGCTGGCGTACCCAAAAAGTTATATAGCCTGTCGACTTCTGCTCGTCCTTGTGCTCTTGAATGCCTTATCTACACGGTCGTACTAATACCTCCGTTGCTGCTGTTGCCCGTATGGCCTTGTTGGTGGGTAGTTCTGGTCCTGCTGCATGTACTGTTGCTGCTGCTGGGGCTGTTGCTGTGAGAAATACTGACCCTGCATGGATTGTGCAGGTGTCTGTATCCAACCACCAGGCATCTGCATCTGCGGTGTCATTTGCTGCTGAGGAAAATACCCTTGTTGAGCGTACATCTGCGCCTGACTAGGTGTAGAGTAAGCCATGCCAGGCATGCCGGTAGGAGTTCCCAGGCCTTGCGGTGTGCCCATCATGCTTGGTGCATAGTTGCTCTGCGCGTACATGCTTTGCGCCATAGCCATTTGCTGGTTTATGTTCTGCATCTCCATCATTTGACGTTGTCGGGCTTCCATCTGGCGTTGCTGTTCCTGCATCTGTCGCTGATTTTGTTGCATCATTCGCTTGTCAATCTCAGCTTGCATAGCTGCAGAATGACGGTTCTGCTGCTTTGCGGCTGCCTTCTCCTTCTCGCGGAAATCGATGTAGCCTGTCAGACCTTGCGACGGCTGCTGTTGGTGTTTCTTGGAGCTGGTCGACATATCGAGTAAGGGCGTGCCAGTCATACGAGCGACCTGCTCTTGTTCGCGAGCAGACAATGTGGTAGGCTTCGCGTCGAGCAAGAGCTCTGCACCTCGGGAAGGGGGCCTGCTAAGCGTGAGTCTACTAGACGGTCGCGCAGCAGGTGAAGGAGGGCCTTCCGGAGTACGCTGTATATGAGCCCAGTCGCCAGATCGTGTACGGTTCATGGGAGGTGGTGTTTGTCTAGCGTAGTTCATCAGGCCAGGGGACTGTTGAGCAGCGCGATGCATCACCCATTCCTCAGCATCAAGCTTGTGTGCGCTCGACTTTCGAGGAGATGCCATAGCAGGTTGCCATGCAACTTGTCGTGTCTCCAAGTCATTTGGAGATGCTGAGATACTGCGCATGTGCAACGCAGTGTTAGGTGTGGTTCTTCCAGACGATATGTAGGAGTTGCGATTAGGCATTTCGTTGGGAGAAGGTGCAAGGTTCTCTTTTGAACGCGAAAACTCAGTGCCCTGCATCACCTGCCCAGGGGTTATTGTACCGCTCGTTCCCGGACGCTTGTCGTTGAAGCCCAGAGCATATGTTGGTCCGAAATCGATCGAAGGCATGTCGGCCGAGGGTTGGACTCTGGGGTCTAATGTCGGGTGTGACGCTCCAGCAGATGTATCCGCCTGAGGCAACAGACTTGGATCGCCGATCGTCCTCAAGACACCACTGCGAGGTCGATCCTCTCTTCTTGCAGGCAGCTTCCGTACCACTATCTCTTCGCTATGCGTGCTAGCATAGTCTGGAGTTGACGTTGAAATAGCATCGTCGTCATAGCGACTGCTTGATACGCTTTGCTGCCTGAATAGTGAGGTTTCTGTCTGATTCAGGGCGTCAAGAGCTTCAGGATCAATTACGTCCTGTCGTAAACTACCAAGACTTGAGCTAGTGGTCGAGCGCTGCGAAAAGGAGGGAGACCGACCTGGGACTGGTTTACGGGTAATCTGACCGCCGCTGCTACCAGAATGCGGGCGATGGGGGAGTTCTTGTCTCACTTGGGATGGCAATGGCTCGCCATGCTCTGGCACAGGAGGTGCTACAGGTTCATATCCTTGGGGTGGCTGCACGAATTCAGCGTGTTCAACGTACGGCGATGCAGGAATCGTGGGCATCCTGTTCTGCGAACGATCCTCGCGAGGGGCAGGCCGCTGAGGTGCGTTCAAATACATCTGTTGCCCACGGTCCGCGCCATATTCCCCGCTCCTTCTGCTGTGCAGACTCTCCTGGCTCTTCCAGGCTGCCGCCGCACCAGCTGCCGCAATACCGGCTAGCAAAGGTGTATTTGTTGCATCAGCCATTTGGTTGAGTGTAGCATGATCAACGTGCGGGTTCGGCTTGATGGCGGACCCGGGCACGGAAGGTCGAACAGGCGGCTTCTGGTTCGAAGCGTGTGCAAAGGAAGGCGGCTGATCTACTGGACCGACAGGTGGCGCGGAGGCTGCGACTGGAAGCTCAGGCAGATTTTGAGGTTCATGACCAGGGGATTCGTCGGTATCAGAACTTTCAAGATATTGGGTCGAACTATTCTGGGGAGTCCCGTTGTATACAACACCGTGTTGTGGTGGAGTCGGCGGTCTGTCGTTGTCGTCCATACTCTGCTGTTGCGCCAGGCGCGAGGGAGTCTTATGAAGATTGTGCACAGTCTCAGAGACTGATCGCTGATGGCGAGGAGTTGCGAAGGGGCCTGTTGGTGGCGCAGAGTCCACACGGCGGGGTCCTTGTGGGTCAAAGTTGACTTCCCTTGCGGGCGAGGGCTGTCGAGTAGAAGGCTGCGAACGAATGGAGCCACCATCCTGGAATCTGAGATTGCGAACCGAAGGAGCGAAGCCTGCTCGACTGACGGTGTTCCTTCGGCCTCCAGGCCCTGTACTGCGGTCAGAGTCGGGCAACGCGTTCATGCGAGTAGATGTCAGGTCTTTCAGTTGCTTCCTCCACTGTCTCTCAGACCACGTCTGGCTACCGTCCTTGTTGATCAAGCCAGTCACATCCCAAAGTTCAAGGTATCCATATCGCCTGTCAGAAGGCATTGCGAACATGAGACCGCGTGTGTCCAAAACGTCCGCAATCAGCTTCTTCGGTCGCCCGTAGAGATTGAAAGTGTCGAATACTGGGAAGAGGAATTGCAGCATGATCTCGAAGCCCGTGACAGCAGGTCGCGACTCAGGCATAACAAAGACGAAACCCTCGGTGGTGGTCTCTGGCTGAGAGTGTACAGTAATCTTTCCCTCGATCTTTACCAGAGTCGATGAATCGATGAGCGGCTTCGACTGGGGATAAATGGCGTAACACGCGAATGCGTCCTTGACCGTTGCAATCGGCTTTGTCTTTTTGGTAATCTTCTTCGTCTCGTAGAACTTGATGTCGCCCTTCAGCACCGTCTGCTTCTCGTAGGCGTTCTTCTTGTTCTTCTGGTCCTTTTGCAGCTTGGCGTACTCTTTCTGGTCTGGCGGGCTAACCACACACCAGCAACGGCGCCAAGGAGTGCCTGCACCGAAGCGCACTCTGACCCAGTCTTCATATTTGGCGTTCTCTCGGGCCAGAATTATGCGGATGTTGTTCAAGAACTTGCCCTTTCCTGCGATCAAAGACCCAGTGTATGCCTCCTGCAGCGTTGTGTGCTCGTACATGGCGAGTCGAATGGCGGCGGTCCACTGTGTCAGGGCGTGGTACGAATCGAAGTGGAGCAGGTACTTGTTACTTGCGGCCGTGGATACGCTGAGGATGTGGTCGAGCTTCTTGCCGTCTTTCAGAGTCATGGAGGGGATCTGCTGGGTGTGAATACGAGTCCCTATGTCGTCATCGGGGAACGCACCATGTGAATTGCAGCATCAGTGAGGTTGATGAACGTGGGAACTACTTCGCGATCGCCGCCAACCTGATCCAGCTCGCTCGCATCCCACAGGGACATGATGGTGCCCACGAGTTGGACAAAGTACTCCTGCCACTTCCTGTCTTGGGCCGGACGGCCACCTGCATATCCATCAGTGTCACAGCAGCGGGTATCCTAGCAGGCCTGACGTACGGGTGTCTGTGTCGTGGAACTTGAGGAAGTAGCCCTCCTGGTACAGCTTGTTCGAGTGGCTGTTCAGGAACGTGAAGATGCGCTGCAGCTCAGGCAGCGTGTCCTGGCCCACCTCCATGATGGGCGGCTGGTACGTCTGGATCATCGACATGGGGCGTGACGAGCGGCCGGTGTCTGAGCGCTGGCGCTGCTGCTGGGCTGGGCTGGGCGAGGCTCGCTCGCTGTTGAAGTCATTCAGCGCAGTTGCTGATTCTGCGAACGAGTGTGAGGACGGCGGCGGCTTTGAGGGCGACTGCGCAGTGGTTGGGGACGCTGGGCCGGGCGAGGGTGCGGCGGACGAGGACGTGGTTGTCTTGGACTGCTGTGTGGAGCCACCCCATTGTGACATGAAAGAGAGGACTGTAAATGAGCGGACGGAGCGCAGCATTAGTGAAGTGCTCTCCTATCAAACGGCGCCGGCTGCCTCGTAAAGCAGCACGGCTGAGGGATGCTCGGCGCAGCTATTTACCTCTCTTAGGGCGGGCCATGGTGGACGCTCTTTCCTCAGGAAGCCCGGAAGCTCCTCCTAGCTACGCAGCACCAGGAACACCAGGGAACGCAGGCAATGCTCTCAACGCGTGGTTGCTGCCGCTGGGTCAGCCGCGCAAGCCACGGATGCACCGGCTTGCAGCAAAGGCACGTAAAGGGTATGCGGGAGCTAAATGCGTCCAGCAGCTGGGTGTCTATGTAACGAGTGACAGCAGACAACACAAGGGTCCCGTGGAGCAGGGAGATTAGGAACTGTCAAAACCTTAGAACAAGCGGAGGTGCGAGGGCGTGGCAGTAGTCTTGTAGTACCTCCTAGTGCGAGTGCTGTACGTACGCGGGCCACCGCGGTAGAGCGCTGCAATAATTCTCGGCGCCGCGGCAGGGATGCAGCAGAGATGACGACAAGGGGATCGCCGCAGCCGTGATGTGCCCTGCTCTCAAGATCAACCGCGCCTTCACTCAATTCAACAGCTTCAGAACAGGATGCAGGGAGGTCGAGGACGCGTGCTGTGGCTGGCAGCGGCTGCGAACGTCGGAGCGGCAATATTTATGGGGGCTGTCGTCTCCACGCTCGCGCCTCGAACTGGCAGCCAGCTTCCGTTTGTAGACGTAATGCTATCCGGGTGCTCCATCGCGAGCTTACTCACTGGCCCATCGTATTCGACCGCACCGGTACCTGAGCAGCCACAGCTGCTAAACGAAACCGGATTCGTGCGCCCACTGACCGCTCGACGGCACTGTTCTCTCTCTGCTTTGGGGCGACGATGATGACTTGGTGAACGCGGTGTCCTTGGCAATGTCCTGTGGCTGTTGGCAGCGGAGAGGCGGGGGGGGGGGGGAAGGAATGCTCAGCGAATGCAAGTAGTCACATATACGACGTGATGGGAACGGCTCTCCTGCTTCGAAGCAACAGATGTCCTCAAATCTGCATGCTATTATGTTGGTGCTTTGCATCACACTCAGTTCTGCACCTCGTATCGAATAAGACTACGTATTGCTTCTGCCGCTGTTGCACCACGCGTACGGCATGCAGGAAGCCATTGCTAAGACTTAGTCATCCGTTGAATCTGCCAACATCTACGCAGCCAAGACTCGTCTGGAGGCTGAGAGGAGCACAAGAAACCACGTTCACGAACAAAGTCCCAAGACGCCGGAAGCAGCGCAGCGAAGGGCCGCAGAACGACCGGCTGGGATTCTATTCTAGAACGCGACTTTTGACACGTTAACACGTGATACGTCATACCGGAGCCTTGTCCGTACGCTTCAATCTCATGGGGCTACACAACAACGCGTTACACGTCACTTTGGTAGTTGACATGTCCTGATATGATGGGTTCCCCTGAGCTGTCACTTGTCCTTTTCTAGGGTAACCATGCAAAGAGCTTCGAAGCCTTTTTTTCGCCGAGTTGTTCATTGCTATCAATATCTCATGAATGAAAGTGATTGATCGTGGGTATATCCATTCACTCAACCTCTCCCAAAACGCCGTCGCTGAATGCTACTAACATATCCACTACCCATTTTGCAGACTCGAAGACTGAGTCTCATCCCATGAACTCCAGTAAATGCATGCTTTCTTTGCTATCCTCCTTAATGTACGCTTTGAATACCACGATGAAACCCTCACGAACGCGGCAACTTGAACCTATCAACCTTCATCCGAACGATCAGTTTCGGCTTCTCACCACCCGACCTTTCGACCTTCACCAAGCCACTGTTAGCAGCTCCGTTGATTAACCCGTTAGGCTCAACACTTTGCCTCTTGAACGGCCTATCCTCACCACCAGCGGGCAACTTCCTCTTCTTGCTGCTGCCGTTCTTAAACCGTGCAAGCACATCCGAGGGCAACTTGAGCTTAACAATCTTGCTCCTCTTAGGTTTCGACTGGCTTTGTTTAGCAGGCACAGGCGTGGATCGTGGCGCAGGGGTAGAAGCTGCAGGTCTTGGTGGAGGAGCGGGAGCAGCGCTGGGTCGCGGTGGCGGCACACTCGGTCGAGATGGTGCTGGAGTTGAAGGGCGGGAGTTAGGTGCCGAAGAACCGGGAACAGTCTTAGTCCTGATCTTGATCTTGGGGCCCGACGAGGGAATCGGGGAGTGTATGGGCGATGGCGCCGAAATGACTTTCGGGATGTTAACTGGCGCAGGTTTCGGACGCGGTGGCACAGGCGCTGGCGCTGGCGTAACAGCTGCTGGTGCTGGCGAAGCGGTCGGAAGCGGGACGGGCGTCTTCGCGACAGGCGTCTTCGCGACAGGCGTCTTCGCGACAGGCGTCTTCGCGACAGGAGCCGGCGTTGGGACTTTCTTTGGTGGTGATACCGCAGGCGGGCTGGAAGGTTTTCGTGGCAATACAGGCGATTCCTGTTTAGCCACCGTCGGCTGTGGTGCTGGTGATGCCTTCCGCGAAGCTGGCGCCGACATTGGAGCAGGCGAAGCGTGCTTGATGGGTGGAGAGAATGTAGGCTGTGTCCTTGACAAGGCTGACAGCGAAGGAGATGATGCACCTCCAGATGTGTTCGACTTGCCGAACTTGAGTGACAGCTTGGGCTTTGGCGGCGCAATGACACTCGGCGGAGCGACCTTCAGCGGTACGACAGGTGCAGGCTGTGGCTGCACAGCCATTTCCCGAGGTAGCACCACTGGTGCTGGTGCTGGTGCTGGTGTTGGTGTTGGTGTTGGTGTTGGTGCCGGCGCTGGCGCTGGCGCTAGTGCGGGTGCAGGTGCTGGCGGAGCTTCCTTCACCAGCGGGTGTAACGGCTTCGTACGGTACTTGTCAGTTTGCGCAAAATGCAGCTTCGCTTGACCAAGATGCTTGACTTTCCAGTAGCGTGGGAAGCGAAGCTTTACAGGCAAGGCGTTCTTCCTACGATCCCGGAAGATCATGTCACAGAAGTCCAAGAGTTGGGTCATATCACTGAGAGAAAGGGTTCTCGAGTTCAGAGCCTCCTCAAGCACCAGTCGCAGAGTCTGGTTGTTAACCAGATCCTGCTTCAATCCTTTGAGTGCTCCTGCCAGCGACTGGCGTGCGAGACTTGATGCGCGAGCTGAGTTGTCAGCTTCTTGATCGATGATCAGGCCACCTGCAGCCTCTTGAGTCTTATTCGGCGTAAAGAATTCTCCAGTCGCAATCTGCCCAACAGCGATGTCGAGAATGAGAAGTAGCTGTTTCCTGAAGTAGGGCGAAGGGTCTGATCGAATGTCATGCATCAAGAACCTCAGCATGCTGTCCTTCCGTATCATACCCAGTCGGACAAGGCATTCCCAGGCTTTCAGTCGAACGTTATCCGCGTTGCCAAGCTGAGCGTACTGCGAGAATTCTGAAGGCTTGAAAGGCATGACCCGGTTCACAACCAGCTTCAGTGTGCAATCAAGACCGGTAGTTGTGTATATATTCTGGAAGGTTGGGATCCATTCGTCCAGCCGTTGATGCCGCGTAAGCTCCTCAATCGCTTTTTTGGTGAAGTCGAATTCTTCTGCTTGTACGCGAAAGTCAAAATCGGTCACGACACTGGATGGGACGCTGACGAGGCATTCGGCTAGACACCTCATAAGTGTCGAAATGTAGTGATCATCGCTGTAATCGTTCCCGCGATTGTCGTTGTATCGCATGAGATCGAGCAGGAAACGTTTCGCCTCCATGGGTGCTTTGCCATTTTCGCCCTTGATTCTGGCGATAGCTTTGGGGATAGCACATTGTATCAGGTACAAGCTTCGGTCAGAGAAGTCGTTCGACCTTGTCATAGGCGAGCCAGGCAAGCAAAAGAGGTCCTGGAAAGCTTTCTTTAGGTGGAAGAGACCGATCCAGTCCAAACTTTGTTTGGCACTCTGCGCCAGAACATCAGCAGCCATGGTCCGTATACCGTGGAAGTATCGAGCATCCATGAGGGTCTTGACGAGGAATGTCGATATAAGCTTGTCTTCTTTTGTGGCGAGAAATTGTATGGACTGAATTGTCAGCGAGAACAGGAAAGCCGCGTAATTGAACTTACCTCAGCCTGTGCAACAACGTCCTTGTCCTGTTGCAGCTGCGAGATATACATATAGCTCGGCATTTGAACCTTGGCCTTACAGATCCACTCAAAATCTGCGTCAATGCGAATCCACTCGTAGGCTTCACCCTCCTGTTGACGCTCGACCTCAGCGGGCCAATCGCCGAGTTTCCACTCTTCTTGCTCTTCAGGCGATGCAAACACATCACCCAGCATGTAGAATGTAACATCCTCTTGTGCGTCGCCTGAAGCATCTAAGCCGGCAGCGGCAGCCATTCGCTCTTTGTTGAGTCGGTTTCTTTTAAGTCGCTTGTACTTGGTATTGTATGGGATCTCCACTTTGACCTTCGATGCATTGATCTCCACAATATGCTCGTATGGTGTACCGTCGGCTTCGTGTATCCGGATGGTCATGGGTCCCAGAAACACCGGCCAGTTCTGTGTTGGCGCCAAGTTGTGCATGCTCTCCTTAGTCTTGCGCACAAACTCATCAGAAGAGAGGGTGCTTCCGACAGCCAGAACATTTTGTTCTTGTTGGATGGTGAGCACGACCACTTGCTTCTTCTTGTTGAACTGCTGATCACAGGTAAACGTCGGGAAGCCAGAGCCCTCGATCCACTGCTTGAAGAAGGTTTCAAGCTTCTGATGACCGACCTTCTCACAAATGTCGAGGAAGTCATCGGTAGCGATTGCACCGTTGTCGTACTTGCCCTGTCGAGCGTTGAACAACATGCGGTACAGACACCTGTCGACACCATTTTTTCCGCTCTGTTTGACGAGACGGTTGTGTAGAACGGAGAGCACTAGTAGTGCCTTGATTTCCATGAATTGCTGTTCAGCAGGATGGAGCTGCAAGAGGGGTCCGAGCTCAATTAGACTGGGTCGCTCATGGTCCATTGCAATGATCTTATCCACCATCTGTTTCTGCCGGAAGCGCCAATCGTTTCGGCCAAAGAGCTCGCGAAGATACAGCTCAGCCATGAACCAGGAACCACCAACAATTATCCAGTAATCGTAGGGACTGTAAGCAACGACGTCAACTCCAATCCACTGACTAGCCACAGCGTGCACCAGAACCCTCGTCGTGTGCTCGAGCGGCTCCCATACTGTCTCTGGGAAGAGTAGACGGGTGCTACAGATCGAGAATGATGCAGTATGAGCAGTGTCGCAGTCCAGATCATCCACGAAAGCCAATTTGTAAGCATTGCCAAACGCATAACTCTGAAAGCGTTCCGTGAAACTATCAAGAGCGCGCGCAAGCATCATAGCACTGTTCCGGACCTCATCCTCCTTTCCTGGCAAGCAAAAAGCGTGTACCTTGACGGCGTTGGATCCCAGACGTTCGTCGTCGGCGGTATCGCGGTATTCGGAGAGGTCGACATGTTCGAAAGGACCGATGACGAAGCCAATGTGCTGTGGCAGAACAGGAGTATCGCAGGTGAAGCTTGCTGTTTTACGGGATGCATCGGCTTGATCCACGATGTCGTCTGTCAGAGCGCCTGAACAGATGACTTGCATCTCCATAGCCCTCTCCTCAGCAGAAAGGTCGGCCAATTCGTCGTCCACATCCGTCATGACGCTGTCCGCCTTGTCTGCCCCACTTGCCAGGGCCTGTCCATCTGCGCCTGCCAGTACTGGCGCTGTTGCTTTGCTGAGCGCATCGCCGAGTGTTCGCGGGTATCGAATAGCGACGTCGAAGAGGCATTTGCGTGTGCTGTCATCTATGCAGGGAAACAGGCACGAGGCCATTCCGGGGAAGGGTGAGTTTCGTGTGAAGGCGTGGGGGTATCGTCCGTCTCCATCCCGGACACCGACGAAGTGGAGTGCATCGCGGAAGTCGTCCATTACGTAGTGAATCTCCAGCCTCAACGGCGCATAGAAGACGCCCTGTGCACTTTCCAGCTCGCCCACCTCTTCTGGTCGCACCTCCCGTGTCTTGACCTTGTCAGGCACGAAGACGACCAGCTCGTCCGCTGATGAACTAGGATCCACGTGACGTGCTATCCGGTCCCTTGCGAAGTGATACTGCTCGAGGCCGGTGCCGGGGTACAGTGTGAGGCGCTGGTGCAGGTTCGAGTAGCTGTAGCCTGCCGTCTGTTCGTCGATCCGGATGCGCGTCGGCTTGAGCTGCCGGCAGTTGAGGACGATCTCACGCAGCTGCGACTTCTTGGGTTGGATGTCGAGTACTGTCTTTCCCGTCACGCGGCGCGGGCAGAAGCTGATATCGAGCTCCAGCGACTGCTTCAGCACGGTGAATGTGTCGCCCGTCGAGGCATCGTCCGGTATGTCGGGCGTCTCGATGGGCGCCATGGTAGGCGACGCAGGCGATCCTGCTCCCGAGGTTGCGCGGTCGTGTGTATTTGTCGAGCGCGGCAGTGGTTGCTGGGTGGAGCTCGAAGGCAGGCGCGTTGTTCAACCACGAACTGACGCTCGGGCCTTCCGCGGGAGTTTTAGCGTGACTTGTCTCCTTCACACGACGTCACTTTCACTTGCTCACGCGATACAGACACTCTCGCAAACATCTGAGCCAGTAAGTATTAGTCGAATATGTATCCAAATAAGTAGACTCCTGGGCTCACTTGCTCGGACTGGAGAGCTAATGCTCGAAATACCTCTTTCGGAGCGCGCCGGGTACCTTTTTTGCTACACCCCGCATTGATTTGTAGAGAGTGTACAGTATGTTCTACAGCATGGTCTTACAAAGGTAGGAAATTGGTTGGAGCTTGACGCTTCTAACACTCAAGCGTTATTGAGGCCAACTCGCCAAGTGCAAAAATGTTACTCGCTTCGAGCTGAGCACTCTTCAGATTATGTACATCTCCATCCCAACACTCCTTGTCTACCACCCCTGCTCTCGTGTAAATGTGGCAACACCGATTCATATGCACGAGTTCCCTTGACCTATTGGGCGTACCAGAAGTCCGTAGTGTTTGTCTGGCGCACCGAGTAGATCCGCCTTTTCAGTTCCGAAAACGATGCATTGCATGTTCGTTTTTGAGAGGGTATCAGATTGATCGAGATGTAGTGTCTTCTTGTTCCCAGATGAAGGATCGGGATTTGGCCCAGAAGGCCTCAGGGTGTTGTGCTGGGCGATTTTGAGGCTTGCCGCCTGCGTCAGAGAATGACTTCATATCTTCACGGAGAGTGGAACTTCTGATGGGCATCCGTCTCCTGTTGTCTCCAAGCCTGATGTAGGCGTTTCTGTCATAGTAGGACGTTGCTTCTGTCGATGCGATGAGTCTAAGTGCATCGCATAGCTTATGAATTTTGGCTATGTGACTGACGGGGACGGATGGATCCATGCATTCACCAGACACATTGATCTCACGCAGATCGATATCCATGCTGTCAGGGTAGGAGGCATAATTAATTGAGTGACGCAGGCGCTCCATTGCTGATTGGCGTATCCTCGGATAGCAGGCGGTACTCGACGAACCTGAGTAGCTCTCTTAGTATCGAGCTAACACATTGACCCTCGTCTTTAAGAAAAAGAACCTTTAACGTGATCGATCCATCTCCGTACGCTGGTTTAGAGCTGCACACCATCTTGGATGATGAAGAAACTGTCTGTGAGGCTGGCACTGAATTGCTTCTCGCCCGTACAGAAGCCAAATGATGAACTCCAGTATGATGCATCCCATACTCCACATGTCATAGGACCGTGAGTACACTCCCCAGATTGTAGTCTTTATCTCAGGCGACTGGTATCGGAACGTTCCGGTGAAAGCACCAGACTCTGTCTTGCGAAGATTGGTGGGCAGAGAGTGTATCCTCGCCAAGCCCAGGTCTGCAATCTGCAGTAAACCTAGAGAGTTTGGCTGCCCACATCTGACAATGTTCTCAGGTTTGATATCTCCATGCAGACAGTTCAGTGCGTCTTTGTCGGAGGGAGTGAAGGTGTCCACCGATCGCCATCTGTTTGCTAGCGGTCCGTTGCAGTGTTTGCTAACGGCCCGCTGCACTTCACTGCTATCCCCTTCTACTATATAGTCTCGATCGATTCTAGCCAATAGCTCCCAAGATCAACCAACACAATCCACTCACTTCAACAGTCTTCCTGATATTGGTTATGCCAGTGTTCGAGCGCATCGGCAAGCCCTCCAATTTGTCTGAGAGCCCACCTGATGGTGCCTAGATCTCGAGACCAGTCATGCTTCTCCCAGAACTCTCGTAGATTGCCTCCATCAACCCATTGGAACATCGGGCAGTACCTAGAGTCTTGTTGAAACCCAGCCACGAACTTGACGATATGGGTGTGATTGAGCTTCTGTGCTAGTTCAAGCGCAATGACTTCGGGTTCACAGGCTTTTTCGGTCCCAGTTTTCAGCTCTTTGATAGCAAGCCGATCAGCCTGATCGCGTTAGTTGGCTCTCGCTTATAGTGGCTACGACCTGTACCTGAATGATACTCTGGTGAGCAGGATGTATACATGCTTTATGAAGAGTACTGAAGTCACCACCTCCGCTTTCATCGTACTTTATCAGAGGTAGCAAGCAGTCATCATGAAGTTTTTCAATGGTGAGCCCTTCCTAGAACACCTCGCAGGGGACAATCCACTGCTTTTCGCAAAAGTCGGCGACTTACGAACTCCGAGTAGGATCGCATCTCTTTCGGGTCCACCCTTTAAAACATTTCAGTGCTGGATCATCTATAGGGAACCCATTCAAGGAGTGAACCTGAACGTCGTCTGCCTGCTCGATGGGGAGATAGCAGCCCTGAATCTATGACATTGGAGTGTGAATGTATGGTCGACAAGATTGCAGAGAACAAGGACGGTAAATTTTTCTTCGCGTGTCGCATATAAGTCGTCAAGCTTTGGATATCCTGGCCTACAGCGTTCGGGTCGAGAAGCTCCCTTCGCATGTTTTCATTCGCGAGCAAGTCCTCGAATGCGTCTTCCGGTAAGAATTCCCAGCTGGAGAATGCGCTTATTTGCAGTTTCTCGTGAATCAGGTCCGCAAGTGACCATTCGTCGTCCATCGTGGCATCGGAAGTCATTGTTGTTATTTGTCAGTAGGAGAGGAACTTGTCTAATGACAGAGAAATCGGTGTTTCATAACGAGTAACTCCGATGCTCACTGCAGTTGCGCGCTCGGAAGGGGAGTCAGCTTGCTTTGGGTAGAACAACACAAAACTCATCGCTTCGGACAGCCTCACAGTTGCTTCGTTTCCCTTCTTGTCATCAGACAAAGAGCGCTAAGGGACGTGGAAACCAGGGCACACAATACCACCCCAGATCCCACACTGGCCTCGCATTTGGTACTAGTCCGAAGTACAGCTCCAGCGTAGCGAGTCACAACGCGTTCCTACAGAACCTGCGTAAGCGGTTAGCGATCGCTCGAGGGGACTGCAGGGCCAATGAAGACTATGGGAAACCGTCTTTTGCTCGCCAAGTAGCTACTGTGCATACCTTCTCACGGCTACGCCATCTCGGTTACACAGACCTGAAGACTCTGGTTTGAAAAATGGTGACAAACTGGATGATGATCAGTCTGTTCTCTAATGGTGTGATCCGCATTTAGTCGATGCCGAACCTCTGTTGAGAATCCATTGCTCAGCCCTGACATTGACCTATGCAGCCCGTATGCAACTTAGAAACGGAGCACGAGCAACTGTGGGCCATCTATTGACTGCCGTATACGGGTTTGCGGTTTGGTGGAAGACGTCATCAATGCCGCTGTTGGGGCTATGATTGGGATTCTCGAACGGTACAAAGGAAGGCCAGGTGGTGAGATCGAATTCCCAGAACGTAGGGAGTCCTTCACGTATGCCTTGAGCATAAGACCCAGCAGGATGAACATGGTGTGATTGAATGACGTGCTGCGGCCATCCATTCGAGCCTAGGTATTTTTACTAGGATTGAACAAAGTGACCACTTCAAAGGGTGCTCTCGCTCGTTCGGGCTGTTCGATGCTCACATCTTCAGCTATCCATAAACAGATGGTTAAGCAAATGCGAAACGTCGATCTCGCGTCCCTGTGCATCGCGCTTGTGGCGGTCTTGGCCTACGACGATACGTGAAGGCAGGAACTTAAGGACGAGATGACTTCTCAAGATCTGGGGATTACAGAGTGAAGCATAATCACCTCTTCAAGCTTGAAACCGAGTGTCAACCTCCTCTTCAACAAGTTGCCACGCTGCAGCCGCTGTGAAATACAGTCTCAGCATGGCCGTTGCGACCATCACGATCCAAGCCATCAACACGCTCATCGGCTGCTTATCCCTCGTCATACTCGGTCCGGTCGCGCACAGCGTCTCGCTGAAAGGCGGACTCGAGTATGTTGCTCCTGCAGATCTGAAGGAACTGGGATGAGTTTCCTGTTCTGGCCGGCCTGCGGTGGCATCGTAAACTTCTGTCTCTTCCTCTTCCTCTGGATAAAGACGCCCTTCCATGAAAGAAGAGTAAGTATCGCATGATGCTCTTCTCCTTGAAGGCTAGATTGAGATGCTGACGGGAACAGAGCAAGAGAAAGACGAGATTCCTTAACGCGCTTCTCTTTGTGGCCTCATTCCACTTCTTGCGGCCACTCATCGTGCTCATCTACACCTTCGTTGAGCATAACATGGAGGCATGGGCGTGCTTATTGTCGAATCACGGCAGGAACGATACTGCAGAAGCGCTCTGTAGGGAGCTGCGAGCTGCGCGCTATCTGTTGATCCGTTGTTCATCCTGGGTATGATCATTCTGGCGCTGGTTGGTTGGCTTCGGTTTGGAGCGGCAAAGGAGCGGAGTGTCCAAGATTTGGGTGTAAGTAGTGGCACCAAGCGCGATAAAATACAAGGCGAGGCCTGATGGACCGGCTGTATGTTGATTGTAATAATGCTTTGTCACTCCCTCCATGACCGTGAGGGGTGGCAGCATTGGAATTCATCGAGCATCTGAATGCCTAGGGGACCTTTGACTCCACTAATCTGACTGGGAACTCATCTGTGGTCGATGCAAGGACATCGGACTCGATATAAAGGTAAGGAAGAGGAGAAGGTAGGAATGATCAGCCTCATTGAGTCTTCTCAAGAAGCGAGCAGCCTAGTCCCAGTTTAGCGCTAGTGTCATGTTTCCACGCGATGGGGCTCTGCGACCCATGACGTTACAAGACACAACTCCGCGTCTTCTCGATTGACACGAATCTGGCCTTTCCTCCATACCTCTAGACATGCCCGTCAAGCACGTTCTTAATGTAGCTGAAGAGGCCGAGGAAGGATGGGCGAATTCATCTGCGCCATTCCGGCCCGCGAAATCGCAAGTCTGCGTCAATGAGAAGGGCGAAAGCACAGGGAATGGTCTATTCGCCAATGTAGACTTCGAACCCGGCCAGTTGGTCGCATCTATCAGGCGGCCCATTGTAGGCTCACTGGACACTGAACGCTTACTCGACACGTGTGCAAATTGCTATGTCTGGACCGAAGGTGTATCAACAGGCACAAGAACATATGTCCCAGAGGGCGTCAAGGTGTCAAAGTGCGCTGGATGTCAAAGGTTTCGATACTGCAGCAAGGTATGTATGCTTGCGAAGTGTCGGCGAGTTTGTACTAAGCAGCAACAGGCATGCCAGAAAGCAGCATGGAACCGTGGTCATAAGTACCAATGCAAGATCCTCAAGAAACTAGGCGAACGGGAGATTCCAAAGGCTGTTCTTGCATGCATGGATCTTCTGACCATGAAGAAGCACGACATCATACCAGATGAGGCATGGAACATGTTGCTCAGCTTGCCATCCCACGTCGACGACTTCAAAGCGAACGGTAACTACGGCAACATCGAGTTGATGGCGATGGGCGCAAGTCAGTTCTCGGTCACACAAGATCTCTTTGACAAGGACTTCGTAGCAGCAATGTATGCGAGGGTGAGTGGCCAGGCCTCAATTGGCAACATGCATACTCACAACAACAGGTCCTTACGAATTCTTTGACACTCATCACTCCCACACTGGATCCTCTGGGTATCATCGTGGACCCGATGCTGGGTCACTTCAATCACTCCTGCGACCCTAATGCCTACATCATCATGGATGGAGCCGAAGTCAACGTACGGTCACTCAAGCCTATCAAAAAGGACGAAGAAATCTTCATCTCGTACATCGACACGACCAATCCCTACTATCGACGTCAATACGAGCTCAAACAACGCTGGTTCTTCACATGCAAATGTGCCAAGTGTCAAAAGGGCGCGACTCTTGATGAGGACAAATGGGCCATCTATCCCAAGGATCTGCCACAGGAGATGCAGCAAGTCGCCGAGATGATGACCAAGAACGAGAGCTTCGCATCAGACCCAGCAAACTATGTTGGCAACTCGAAGATTGAGAAATACATCGCCACCATCCAGGGCAAGGCTTACGCTGAGTATGAAGCAGCGCAGCGCGCCTCTCCAGAACAAGCGAAAGAGATCATCGTGAATGGAATGCGCCTGTGTCATCAATCTGGTCTATGGCCTGTGTATCGTCAACCGTATGCTGCGCTCAGAGACGAGCTGATCGTGAACTTGCTTGCGACGGGAGTCTACCCAGTGGCATGGGCGCAGTGCGCGAAACGATACAAGCATATCCAGCCGAAGCTGTACCCAGTACCCTCCCACCCTGTACGAGTGGTCCAGACCTGGCAAATGGCAATGTTGGCTGCTTACTTCGCTGGTGAGGAGGAAGGAATCGGAGCGCCGGGAGCCAACATGGGGTTGATAGCCATGATGCTCACCAAGCAAGTGCTAGATGCTTCGGCGTTGAGCCATGGCCCCAACAGTGCTTTCGCAAGGAGTGTGAAGAGCAAGGCGGATGAGATGAGCGAGGAACTGAAGAGGAGTGTAGGACAGAATCCAGACAGAGATGTCATCAACAAGGAGCTTGAGTCGCAGAAGGAAATGCTGATGGAGATGGGCGACTGGATTCAGTACTAAGGTGCCAGCGCATGCAAGGACGATAACAGGAATAAGATCATAAGACAAACCAGAGTCGTCTTTGCCCAAGTGGATTCACGCTCACCCAATCGTGCTTAAGCTCAAGTGGTGAACATTTCAACAACAGGAACAACTAGCTTAGTGCAAACCCGACGATGGCTCCCCTGGAAGATGTCAGGGTACGACGCACAGCCGTGTGCATAAAGGAGCGCGAAGCCGCTCACGTCCACCATCACCAAGTTGTTGCAGCTCACCAGCGCTTCCAACAGTCCGTACTACGACGTACTACGGGCGACAGTACGGTGTATGGTAACGTACCGTAGGCAAGGCATGTAGCTATCTGTGAGAGGGGGCCAGCTGGGGATACCAACTGCTCTCTGAGATGGAAGGATTGGTGGAAGGATGGTTCAGGCTTGTTGGAGATAAGGGTGTAGAGGAGACCAAGTGTGGGGATACCACAA